GCTGTGATGCCCAAGGTCATGTCAAGAACGATTACCTGCCCACCAACCGTGGGACCATGCAATTGATCTCATACCTGGAGCACCGGCAACCATGTACACCAAGATTTACCCCATGTCCCTAAACAAGCAGGAGGAGTTGGATCGCTTCCTAGAAGAAAATCTGCGGAAAGGCTACATTGTTCCCTCCAAAATCTCGTCCCCAGTCTTCTTTGTAAGAAGGACGGGAAACTTTGTTTTGTACAGGATTACCGGAAACTAAATGAGTATACTGTGAAGAACCACTACCCCCTCCCATTGGTGGCTGATATAATTAGTCGGCTTCAAGGGGCTCGATACTTCACCAAGTTTGACGTACGCTGGGGCTATAACAACGTCAGAATCAAGGAAGGTCACGAATAGAAAGGAGCCTTTGCAACCACATGAGGGCTGTTCGAGCCCAAGGTTATGTTCTTTGGTCTCACCAACTCCCCCGCAATGTTTCAAGCACTTATGAATGCTATATTTGCAGACCTCATTGCAGCTGGAAAGGTAGCAGTTTACCTAGACAATATCCTCATCTTTAGCAGTGATCTTCAGGAACACCAACAAGTGGTACGGGAAGTACTAACCCGGTTGGAGAAGCACGATCTGTACCTACGACCGGAGAAGTGTGAATTTGAACAACAACAGATTGAATATCTAGGCCTTATTATATCGGAAGGGGAGGTGAGAATGGACCCTGTAAAGGTAGCTGCAGTTCGCGACTGGCCAGCCCCCACTAACCTTCGAGAGCTATGAGGGTTCCTTGGATTTGCTAACTTCTACTGACACTTTATCCGGAACTTTGCAAGGATAGCCAGGCCCCTGAACGACCTCACTTGGAAAGATGTATCCTTCACCTGGATGGACACCCAGCAACAAGCATTTGATACCCTTCAAGAGGCCTTCATCTCTGCACCCATCTTAGCCCTATAGACACTGGACAGACCAACCCAAATTAAAGTAGATGCTTCAGGCTTTGCTACTGGCAGTGCCCTCATGCAGAAGCAAGACGATGGCCAATGGCATCCTGTCACCTTTAGATCAGCCTCTATGCAACCAGCAGAACGAAACTATGAGATCTATGACCAGGAAATGCTAGCCATCATAGAAGCACTGAAGGACTGGAGGAACTTCCTAGAGGGACTACCCCAGCCATTCAACATCATCACTGATCACTCTAACCTCGAATTCTGGCGCACAGCTCAAGACCTCACCTGCCGCCAAGCTCGCTGGGCTCTATACCTTTCACGGTTTGACTTCCACATGATCCCCCGCCCTGGTAGAATAAACACTCAGGCTGATGCTCTCTCCCATATGGCAGCCCACCAGGTACTAGACAATGAGGATAATTGACAGCAGACGGTCCTTAAGCCCAACCCTAACCCCTAAGGTCCTTAAGCCCAATCACTTCACCAAAATTGCAGCTTCTATTCTATGGAACCCCTAAGAGGATCATATCTGGAAAGCCTCACAGCGGGAAGCACAGGTACTGGAAGGTCTCAAAACAGTCAAAGAGCATGGACTACAACACTTGGCCAATGTAATCGCTGAATGGGAGGAGGACAACAGTCTGGTCCACTACTGAAAACAAGTGTACGTGCCAGCAGACAGTGATCTGCGCACTGAAGTACTACGTCAATGTCATGACCATCCCACTGCTGGACACCCTGGGTTTCATGGTACACTCGATCTAGTTAGCATCTATTTCTGGTGGCCAACACTGTGCTCCTTCGTGGAAAAGTACGTAGAGGGATGTGAGACGTGCGCACGCAAAAAGATCTAAAGCACCCACAAGCTGTAACTCAACCACTGGACGTACCCTTGGGTCTATGGGAGCAAGCACATCAAACACGCTCTTGCTTAGATCATTTCTTCCAGCCTCGGTGCTCCACCCTCCCCTCTTGAGTTGCAAAGCACTAAGTTCATTGCTGCTACTCTTAATTTTCAGGCAGCTGAATGCAAACTTGGTCAAGACTTATGTAACTTATGCACATATTGCCAAGGTAATTGTAGATGACGCTTGCAGTATTTCAAAGAGTTGTCAGAATTCATAATCGCTGCAAAAAATTGTAGGCATATGAGTTCCGCAACTGCATACCTTCTGGCTCCAGTGGAATCAATGCCAGATCAAAATAGTCTGGTCAGGATCCACAACAGACAAACAGTATATATGTATACTCCCCTAAGGCAAATGCACCCCCTTCTGGTGAGGAGCGAGGAATCCAAAGCAAAGCAAAATTCTGAAAAAACCCAGCACTGGACCTTGCTAGTAGAATGAGACACTCTAACACTGTTAGAGGAACTTTCCAGATCCAATCTGGAAAGAACTATTAATTTTATTGCAGACTGGTTTTGGATAACCAAGGAACCCCCCTAACCAAGGAACCTTGTACTTAGTTCACTGTGAACCAGAAGGGGCAGCCAAGAGTGTTGTCTGGGAAACTAGACCTGAATAGGAAGCTCCTCAATTCCAAGAGACATTTCCTTGTGCAGGAACATTCATTGCCCAAAAATAATGAGCATCCTGGAATCAGCAATTCAGGTAACTTTTGGGGACCACCCTAACTATACATGTCCTTTTGCATAACCCAATGCCTTCCCAGAGTCAACTCACAGACACAGCCAGTAACACCAGTCTTGTCCCAGCAATACCAGATTGATGAAGCAGAAATGGAGAATGCACAACAATCATCACCAATCTCTTGACACAATCTGACAGCTCACTTGATCCCCAATCCTAACCCCCTTACAGATTGAGCAATCTATCAAGTAATGTCTGTTAATTGGGCGCCCAATTAAGAGGAATGTCTGCTAATTGGGTGCCCAATTAAGAGGATTGTCTGTTAATTCTAGGAGAATGCCTAGGGCTTCCAAACGTTACTCTTAGCGGTTACCCTTACGATCCCTCGAATTCTCAATGCCCTTCCTCTCCTCACACTGACCCTATCCCTTCACTTTCGCAACATGGTTCAGCAAAGCGGAGTAGAAAGACTGACAAGGCGAGGAGGAAACGGTCGACCGCCGCCAAAACCAGAGATTCAGCCGCCGGATTGAAGGAACACGCTATCCGCATTGCCCAAGACTCTACGCCCATCGAACTCAAGGCGTTCGATATATCGAGTCTTCCCGCTGGCTCTAATGGGTGGACCGCCTCACCTACTTCGAAAATTAATCCCGGGCTGAGGAGGATATGGAGGAATCTTGATTTATTGTCTTCATCAAGTCTACGGCTGTCAGATTGCGATGGGGTGTAAGCCGTTATTTCTAAGTCCCCCTGGTTCTTCTGAAGTTTACGCTATTTAGGTCTTGTACCGCTCTTTTAGATTCTAGTGATCGGATTATCGCTGTTCTCGGCGGTGTCCCTCCTGGATCCGAGGGTGAGGTGTGGAAGGAGGCCGCCGCGCAAGCAGAGGATGCGGTGCATGGCTTCCGAGAGCAGAGCTCCTGTTAGAGCCCGGTCAACAAAGGGGGTACAAGTCTCTGAGTGAGTGACAGAGCGCTCCCTATATCAAGTCAGTGTGGGGTAGGCTTCCACAAGAAATCCACGTACCGCCTATAACAAGAACCAAAGAGGCCATACAATAACTGGATGCTCCACTCGGAGATGTATTAATGGACCAACGATATTGATATGCTTGGTTCAGCAGCTCGATAACAGAGACCATTATGATTTATGCAGACAGAATGCAGAGGCAGAGACATCTGATGAAAATCAAGACGCGGAGCCGAGAAAAGGTCCTAGACACACAATATTTCATATTTTCTACAAAAACAGTGCAGCTCCACCTTTCTTCGAATTGGATCCATTCTTGAAGAGGACGTTTACGCTGTCAAGCCCCTCCACAGGCCAGACGCGCGAACGGACTTTTCTTGACTTATTCAATGCGTCGACTCTTGGTATACTGTGCTAAGCAACATCTTGGAATCACTGTTCTTATGTCTTTCTTGTTTTTCTGCCCAGTGCTTCATATTTAATTTATTGCCCAAAGTTTATGGAGCTGTGATCTCCACAAGGAAGTTCTCAATGAAGATACTATCACTTCTGCTGAACCTCACAGTTTTCAATTTTTTTTCAACCTTTCCCTCATCGTCATTGCAATCCAAATCTCCCTCCTGAGTAAACCCACCAGCGGATTTCTCTCTACAGTGGTCACACATAGCCCACTGGTGTTTCGGTGACAGGTACACTATGGCTGGTGGGGAAGAAAATGAGCCCGAACTCTCACCTTCTCTTCCCTTCCCACTCCCAAGTTCTACGACGATGGATCCCGAAATTTTCGATAATGTGATCTCCGTGAACGCTGGAGGTATTAACAGACCGTACTTTCCAGGTGAGTAAACCTCCATTTGTGCATTCAGAAGACGGAAAAGCTGACACGCAACCAAATGCATTCCGTTCTTTCTCAGTTGGAGGACCGAATCCAAAAACACCTGCATCAAATTGAGATGCTACACCCTCCTATCCCACAGTGACTACCGTTGCCTCCACACGGCGATTATACGATGAATGCAATCTCACGATGAATGCAATCTCGCGATTAACACTGTGAATAGGTGAATGCACCGGCAAACGTGGCTCATTTCTTCGGAGCATCAGACGCGATTGGCCTCCAGTCCCCATCCTCGTCGAATTATCCGGCTAGACAATATTTTGAAGGCCAAGGCTCCCGACCTTTCCATGGCACCGGTCAGCTGTTCTCCTCTGCCACACCTATACTTCTGGTTCGCTTCGTTCTCAAAAGTAGACCTTATAACGTTGATGCTGCTGGTCCTTTCTTAACATTGATACTTGTACATTGTTAATAACCTATATCTCAGTGTGTTGCTTAACTTATGTTGGCCAGCCTAGCATTGCTTAGTGCCCGGTGAGAACATCTTAAGCATTTGTAACCTCTACATATCTCGCTGGTACCATGAGTCATATTGATTTATGGTAAGAAAGCAATCTATTGTACATATGCCTCTGACTATGGGTTCTATTATGCCACTGCGAAGAGATTCCTATTCCGTATGAGGCGCGAGACCAGAAGCAGGGCTGTCCCCACCAACGACATGATACCCTGGTAAATGTATGAATCACCGAGACCAGGAAAGTGTAGCTTGTTACTTACCGAAAATAGTATCAACTTGTCAAAATTATCCCTTGTCTGCTCTTTGATGAACAAGCCCGATATCGGCGTCCCAGCAAGCGTGGCTGATGCCATAAAAGCATATGTTCCTCCAATTCTTGCCCCGACACGCTCAATAGGTGATATTTCGGCAACACAAGACTGAAAGCAAGATACATTAGGAAATCTGTGATGAAGGCGTAATCTGGACGAAGCAGAATTACAGGCGTAACCGAGAAGAACGGTCCACAGAACATCCCGTATAATGCTGCAAACGCAATTAGGTTTTCCTGCGCGAACGAAGTGTACCATAGCGCTAAGATTAATATTGAAGATATCAAAGTCGAGATGTATAATATGTTGAACCTGGACAGGGCAAACAGAATTAGTAGCCGGATCCGGATGAGAAAAACAACGTCTACGTGCCTTCCTACTTTTCCTGCGATTAGGCCGGGACTTACTCTTCCGAATATCGATGCTGCGCAAAGGATGGAAAGATAATACCCGTTGACGTTGGAGCTTGGATTCGCGACTTCGGCACTTAAGTCGACATAAAAGAATGGATTGAAGACTGCAAACACCGTGAACCAGCATCCTAATACGAGGAACAGGTAGCATGGATCTTTGAAGGCAGTAAAGTCAAATAACGCCGATACCGATTTGGGAAATGGCTTGGACGGCCTACGCTGCTTGATGGTCATTGTTCCGACAGCGAAACAGGCGAGGGTTATGAACGCTAAAATTCGAATTGTCCAGCCTGTTGATATTGAGTTTCAGAAGTGACATTATAATTCCAACCACGTACCAAAACCTATTCGTGGAATTAACTTCGATATCATGATAGGAATTACAATTCCGCCCACACTTGCACCAGATGCAAGACATCCTATCGCATAAGGTATCTTCGACTTGAACCAGTGGGCCATAAGACCCATTGAAGGAAAGAAACTGCATCACAGTCATCAGCACACGAAAGAGGGTACATTGCGATAGGAAGCGCACCTGAAAGTCGCTCCAAGACTAAAGAGCACCGATTGTGATAAAAATTGCTGGTATATGTGCCCGGGTTTCGTGAGGCTGAGCATGAATAGCGAAAAGACCACGACTACTCCGCTGGCAGGGACAAGATATCGTGGTCCAATAGAATCAAATACAGCTCCTGCAGTTCCTGCGACTGGTATGTAGATGTGAAAAATCTCTGTTAGAAGATGACGAAGACACTCACAAAGATATAGAATGAATACTTGCACAGCACCAATCATGGAAATAAGTGTCGCTGAGTAACTCGTCAGATATTGTTCGTTGTAATAGTCGGAAAATGCCCCAAAGGCATTGACAAATCTGGTGAATTGTGCAGCTTGATTAGACTTTGAGGATCTGCAAATCAATAGAAAGACTTGCCCAAATGTTCCAAACGACACCAACGTCGTTCCAAAAACAGTACCCCAAGCATCCCAGCCTCCATCAGTTGGGGCGTATGAGTCTCCGGAGCTATCCTGCACATCCTTTTCCTCAAGCTCAACTTCTTCGATTTTAGTCACATCTTTGATGCCTGTCGGAATGGTTTCCGAAGAATTTCGTGACATAGATATGAGCGAGTTCGAGGTTCAAGTGCGAGGGATGCAACTGTGAGGCCGTCAAATGCTACTGCTCAGAGCAATGATGGGCGGGGTAAAGGAAAATGCGGATTCAATTTATAAGCACCAGGGATGGACAAGAAAGAGGAAATCAAACTCCGTCCAAGACCCGACTTGTTTGAGTGTGAGTGAAGCGACAGAAACGGATGATCTGAGTGCTGGGTTAAAAAGTTTGAACAGTGACAAATAGGAAGAACATTACTTACATAGCAGGGAGCTTTCAAAAATGGACTCAATTCGCACAAACGGTCCGATTAGCTGACTCATCTACTTTCTTTCTCATGGTACACCGACGCGCCGAATATGGATCGAGTCTCCCAGCCGCTGGCAGCTCTTCGATGGATTCGACCAGGATTCGACTTGGAAATAGAACAATGATGCAGTAACCTGGCCGATGATTTCGTGAATATCCTGCAAGACTGAAAAGTCCGAAACGTGGTACATCCAGCATATCATCCGACTCCTGCAAATATACAAGATTATTTAGGACGTTCGATCAAAGTTCAAGACATACTTTCTTCTACTGCCTCTTCCAACGCCTCTATTCTCACCTTTCCGACCCCTTTTGCACCAAACCAACCACCTAATTGCAGCATCTACATCGCATCAGCAGAACGACACCACACCGCAACCCGCCTTCAGCTTCATTCAGATGCTACTAGTCCAGAATTTCGGAAAGTCTTATCCCAGATATCGCCATGATCAGTTAAAACTTCGAAAATGAGGGTGGTGGATGATTGCTTGTTGGTTCTCAACCATGAGGAGCTGGAGAGACGTACGATAGGAAAGCTGGTGATAAAAGTCGGATTTATCGGAGCTCGATGATTAGAGGCAAAATAGGGCGTCTATTTTCGCATTCCCCTCTTCCGTTCGCAACTTGAGTACTTCCTGAATAAACTTGTCGACACGTTCCGCTGAACCAAAGGACATTCACCCTTGAAGTTGAACATTTAAAAATTCGAACTGTCATCTGATTGGACTGCTCGCTCGACGCTGCGTTTTACTAAGCAATTCGGTCGGATCTGTTGGCTGTACAGTTCTTTCCAGAAAACTTGTTAATTTGTGAACGCCTCATGATGGTCTTGGTTTTCATCTTGTAAACAGTAGCTGCATACTTAGGAGAGCGAGCGGCGAGCTTTTGAAGGTTCCATGGAGGTCAGCGATTTTCTATATCTATTCACAACCTGTATTAACGCCATCTCAAGTTCCAATCTATTTGCGATTTCTCTCAAGAACTCGATACCTCATTGCTGGATAGAGCTGTGTTATCATTCTTCACTGGATCAGGGCCTGAGGTGCGCTTCCTCGTACTCATTCCCTCCACGAAATTCTGATCAAGATAGTCAATAGCGACAAGCCGCTCAAACAGCTTTAACGCAATTCCAAGAGCATCCCGAATCATGGACTAGAGTTCCCGAAATATTGCAAAAGTCATCCTATCCTCAAACTAAAGTAAACCTACAACGAACTTTCCGATTGATTCGTTTTACCGATCTTTTCTGGTTCGTAGTATATCGGTCTTCAAATCCTTGAGAAAGTCATCTCAACGCGATGGAAATCTCTCCCAGATGGTCAACGACAAGGTGCGCCGCTTTTTTTCTTGTCTCAGGTCATCAAACTGATTAACGCCTCATAAGGTATGAGGAACTTTCTCATCACCGTTACCATCGAGATCGCCTCGGACGAGGTGACGGCGCGGAAAGAAAAAATCTACCTGAACAAATTGAATTTGGCCATGGTGCAGGTACGGTTGGCGTCTGCTCTAGCCGAATTCTCCACTCTTTGACTAGGTACTGCTCATTTCCAGGTCCTCAAACAAGAATGGCCACACAATTGGCCTACATTCATCTCCGAACTCGTCGAATCCTCCTCAACCTCTCTCCCGCTCTGTGAAAACAATATGGTCCTCCTCCGTCTCCTCTCTGAAGAGATCTTCGACTTCTCTGCCGACCAATTAACTCAAGCCAAAGCTAAAGAACTCAAGCTCCAGCTATCGAGCGAGCTGAGTATGGTCTTCAAACTGTGTCTGGAGGTATTAAAGGAGGCATCAAGAGTGAGCCTCCTGAGGGCGACGCTGGAGACGTTGGGCAAATTTTTGAGTTGGATACCATTGGGGTATATCTTCGAAACGGAATTGTTACAACTTTTTGTCGAACGGGTATGCATAACTTTTCTTCTCCGTCCTTTCAAACGTTTCACGCTTGTCTGCTAGTTCCTTGAATCAGCCGAATATCGTAATCTTACCCTTAAATGTGCCGCCGAAATCGCGAGCCTCCCTCAGTCGGACGTATCAATGTACGATGCGAAACTCAAGATCTTCTTCATGAGTGTTATGACAACTCTCAATAAACTTATACCACCAAGCACGGATATCGCATCTGCATATGCAAACGCGTCGGATGCGGGACAGGAAATGGTCGTCGCTCTGGCGTTGTTCCTGGCAAATTTCTTTTCGAAGCACTTGCCGATAATGGAGGGAGGTGAGTCGCGTTATAGCCATACACGCTAACGTGTCTTTGACCCTATATGTAGACGCAGACCGCGAAGCGCTCATTAACGCTCATTTCTACCTCATCAAGATATCTCAAGTGGACGAGCGAGAAGTATTCAAGATCTGTCTTGAATACTGGCTGATACTCCTCGTTGGGTTGTACGACGAAGTGTCTATGATACCCATTGGTACAGATCTCAGCAGGCTGAAACTGAGGAAAGACATATACAGGGAAGTCTTGTCGAATTTAAGGCTCGTGGCTGTGGGGAAGATGGTCAAACCTGAAGAGGTGGGTATGTCCGGCCTTCTTACACATTCATTTTCTTTACGATTTCGCCATCACATACTCACATTCTATTTCTCTTCCTTATACAGGTCTTGGTCGTCGAAAACGAGGAAGGCGAAGTTGTCCGCGAATACCTCCAAGAAACCGACACCATTGTCCTGTATAAATCGATGCGAGAGCTCATGGTTTACCTCACTCACCTTGACGTCGTTGATGTCGAGACGATCCTAACGCAGAAGATGGCAGCTCAAATTGACGGCAGTGAATGGAGTTGGGGAAACTTAAACACGTTATGTTGGGCTATTGGGAGTATATCAGGTGCGATGGGTGAGCATACAAAAACTGTATTTGTTGTTCTCTCTGCTGACGTTGTATTTTTGACTCGAAATAGACGAAGACACTGAAAAACGGTTCCTGGTCCTCGTCATTCGCGAACTCCTGGGACTCGTCGAGCGAAAGTGCGGTAAAGATAACAAGGCCATAATTGCTGCGAACATAATGTACATTGTCGGTCAATACCCTCGTTTCCTCAAAGCCCATTGGAGATTCCTGAAGACGGTGGTTAATAAGCTGTTCGAGTTCATGCATGAGACGCATGAAGGTGCGTATCGTACACTCGGATTCTATCTGAGAACTGGTATCTGTACTCAAATTCACTAATACACATATGCTTTCAGGTGTTCAAGACATGGCCTGTGACACGTACATGAAAATTACTACAAGCTGCGGGAGACAGTTTGTCGTTCGACAGTCGGACGAGAAAGAACCTTTCGTCGATGAGATTCTGCGGATGATCAATAGGATCACAGTGGATTTATCCCCTCAACAGGTATGTATCATTGGTATTTCTTTTTACTATTTTTCGCTATTGACTGTTGTCATAGGTACACACATTTTATGAAGCAACGGGAGTAATCATCGCTGAGGCGTTGAACAGAGCTCAGCAAGAGAGGCTGATAATTAGTCTCATGGAATTACCAAATGGCGCTGTAAGTCATTCCTCTTCCTCTCCATGTTGAATGATCTCCCAATGTACTAGTGGGATACCCTGATGATGCAAGCCTCTCAAAGTCCTACCAACTCCGCCAACACACCTCCACTACTACATAACCAGGAGTCTGTCAAGCTTCTCTCGAATGTTATTAAAACAAACATCTCAGCATGTTCATCCATCGGCGGGGAAGCATACACATCTCAAATAGCGAGGATATTCACGGATATGCTAGGATTGTATAAAACCATTAGTGGGATGATCAGTGAAGTTATTGCGAAGGAAGGTAAGCATTTGACCTTGATATCTGCTAAAATTTGTACGAAATTCATCGCTTTCACTCTATCTTCCAGGTGTCCTCATAGCCAAAACTCCGCAAATCCGTCAACTGCGCGCACTGAAAAAAGATATACTCAAACTAATGCAAACATACATCAACTCCGTCGTACAGATCGAAGTCGTCAATGAAAATTTCATCCCTCCGCTGTTAGACGCAGTGTTAGGGGATTATCAACGAAATATAGCTGCGGCTAGGGATGCGGAAGTGTTGAATCTGATGAGTGATGTTATCAGGTGTCTCGGTGTAAGTTCGTCCTTCCATTCTCTTTACTCTGTTATGTCGCAGTTCTCTATCCGTTGTTTCTCTTGGACTGTTATACTTAGCTTTTTCCCCAAAATATTGACCCGTGTTCTTTGGTTCTGCCTCCCAATACTAAAATTGTGGCCCCAGTCTTTAATCACCCCGCAAGTACCGCCAATACTCAGTGCTGTCCTCGAGCCAACGCTAGAAATGATTACCCAAGATCTCACAGAGTACCCTGATCATCGGCTGTACTTTTTCCATCTTCTCCGTATGATAATCTTAAATTGCTTCCCAGGTAAGCTCGAAATGTTGACTCATTTCATCCGTCTCTCGAAATGCTGATTGGTTGTACATTTAATAGCGTTGCTGAGTATACCTCCCGAGGGCTTTAAGCTCGTTATGAATAGTATCATCTGGGCGATGAAACATTCTGCAAAAGATTTGGGTGATACCGGGTTACATAGTAAGTCTATCACGCAAACGTCTCATTCTAATCTATTTCACCATATCTAACACTTCACGATTCCCGACTGACTATATGTTTCCCTTCAATATAGTGTGCTTCGACATCCTTGAAGCATTCTCCTCCTCCTCCCCCGAAGTCGCAGAAGTTGCACACGCCTTCTACAGCCAGTACTTTCTCGTTATTGTTCAAGAAATTTTTTATGTCATGACCGACTCAGAGCACAAGAGTGGCTTTTCATTGCAAGCAACAGTGCTATCAAGGATGTTCAAGATTGTCAATGAGAGTGGAATGCCAGTGGAGGTCTTAGATCCTACTACTAATGTCACTACCGGTACTTCCACCTCAAATATGACGTCGGAGTTCTTCCAGCACTACTGCGTCAAGCTGCTAAGCAGCGCATTTCCACATGTCCATAGGTGAGTGCCTACTCATAGTTGTAATATGATTTCTTGATTACATCTCTTCTCAGCTCACATATACAAGTGTTGGTGGCGGGCATGAATAACAATTATAATGATATTACCCAATTCAAGGTGGGTTTGAAAGACTTTTTAGTTCAAATGAAGGAGTTTTCCGCCGAATCATGATAAAGGTGTGTGATGTGTGGTGTGTATTATGTGGACGCATGTATATGTTGTGCAATGTCCCTACTTGATTCGGAATGACCATTATCTCTTCCGATTTTTTGAGAATTTGAGTTAGCTATCTCCAGTCATCTTCCCTCATCTCAACTCCATCAGTGTCATGAGCCATCGGTATGCTCAGGAGCGACTCAGCCGCCTGAATGGAGATGCACGGCTTCCAAATACCATGATTCCTGAATCTCACCTTGAAACACATTTTGATTATCATAAAGATTGGAACGAGTTTACATCCATCCTTCTAATTTGTACTGTGTACCTTGGAAACATTGAGTGGAATGTCGGAGTATTGTTCTTGCCCAGTGCACTTTGCATTGGAAAAAGTGGTACAGTCTGGTAAGTCTAGACGGCATCGATGTATCCCATACACGAGGCAGAGAACTCTTTCAGTATAAGTATGAAAGTATACAGCACCCAATCGACTCTTCGCGTTCCAAGAAAGACTGTGTGAGACTTTGTGAGACTGTGAAGGTTCCGAGGCTTCAGAACGCCGTGTCCTCGGATGCATTGCGAGCGGATGTAGATGAAGTACATAGCATATTGGTCAGATGAAGGACATTGGCAAGGAACGAAGTTGGATGCGGGAGACATATAACAGCATATAACTCTACGATGGTTACTAGAGATTTTTTCCCGGTCTAGTATGATAGGATGTCAGAGCTCTCAGTTCATCCCCCCAGCACGCTACTGGTACTTCATATAAGATGGGGTTTGAATTTTGGATAAGAGATAGATTTGTGAGGCGTCGGCACTGTGGAAATTTGGATAAACCGACGACGAGGAGAGCCGTAGCATCCGACGTCATGAGACGCCAAGCACGTGCGGGAGCTTGCGAGCAAAGCTGAGCAATGCCAGTTTCCATCTCAACCTCACCTATCCTAACTACCAAATTAAAGTGTTTTCATAGACCTGCGCCTTTCAAAATCTCTATTATCGCTCTTCTGGCACGAGACTCAATTCGAAAGAACGTCACGCTGCAATTCGACCAGGTTCGACGCTTTTTCGACCATACATAAGACGATTAATGAATACACAAGCCCTCACCGTGGTCTCTGGGCTGCTTTTTATCATTACTGTTGCACGTCTAAATTTTCCACTACATCCTCATGAATTCCAATAGCTCACAGACACTATACGGTACTGGCATCCCAAGACCATTGAAGAGAGGAAAGGCTTGTTTAACATGCAGGCGCGTCTTTTTTCGTTGAAATTTTACTAATTCTGACCCGTAATCATAGGTTTTTCAAGATAGTACGTTTTCTTCTTTGCTATTAGCACTCTGCCTAAATGAATACTCGATAGAGATGCGATGGTGCTCGACCAATATGTGGCCCCTGCCAACGAACTCCAAAAGACGATCCTTGTGAATATGCTAACGGTCCAGGAAGGTCAAGGGCTCAAGTACTCCAAGAAACGGTCTCGCGTCTTGAGGCCCGCCTGCGAGAATACGAACATCCTGAAGAGACACCATCTATGGTGCTTTTTGATCCATACCAGCAAGTTCACGCCCATCACAGCGACGAAATCATGCATGGATCATCATCGTCGCAATCCATACGTAGTTCTCCTACACTCTCATTTTCTGGGACGTCTCCTTTACGTAGTTCACAGGCTAGTAAGTATGGTCTTTTGCCACCCAAAATCTCATGATTGACCTTAATCAGGTGTGTCATCAGGATCATCGGATAGAGCCTCAACGTCTGCAGAGTCAAGGATTTCCCTACCTGGAACTAGAAATCTGTATGTTATATATAGCTTATGATTTCATTGTTCGCTCTAATTGTGCGAAAGCCTCGAACGGTTTTTTGCGAATGCAGTGTCCTTCGGCTTCTTCCTCAATCATTCGCGTTTCTCAGATTCTGCTCTCCTGCCGTTAGATTTCGGGCATCAATCCAGGCCATGTCCGGGTCTATTGAGTACCGTGTATCTGTGGGGTATCCATCTATCATCGCCGACACAACATAGATATCTTGAGCATACCTTGCTCATGCGCGCCCTTCGAGATACAGCCTCAGATCTAAGTACCTCTAACCCACATCCACTTCGATTTATGCATACTATTCAAGCGGAGACCTTGCTCGGATACTATTTTTTCCGTAACGGTGAAGTCCTCCAGGCCAAGCGTCATGCATCTAGTGCCGCATCTCTTGCTTTAGGGTGTGGGCTCAATACTCTTAGGTCCTCGCACGAACAGCAGCAGTCGAGCTCAAATAATCTCCTCCCCCCACAAGATGCAATTGAGGAAGGCGAACGGATTAACGCATTCTGGGCCGTATTCACGCTTTACCGAGATATCTCCCTCACAGTAGATCCTCTGAAGTCTGTGTGTGGGGTGTTTGATGCTCCTGGATGCTGGATTGATACCCCATGGCCGTTAGATATGGATATGTACAGAAATGTGTGTTCTAATCCAACTGTTCATCGATCCATCTGCGTTTGAGTTATGCTCATTTCATGAACAGAATATCCTCCCAACTCGTAGCTCATCGACAGTTTATGAATTTCTCAACCATATACAACAAAATGTTGACGAACATCAGCTTGCTAGTGCGACGAATATGGTTACGAAGGCATCTCTGCTTTTACATCAAGCTTCGTTTGTTGCTGGACAGTATTATCCAAGTGCGTAACTTTTAGGTCAATTTCCCTTCTTATTTATGGTGCATCCGCCGAAGATTTGCCCACGGCCGACGCTCAGATCCTCTTCGCAGCGTTCCAATCCGTGCACCACTTGATTGATTTTCTGCGTTCTCAGTTATCTCCATTGGAAGAACTCGACCACCAAAATCAAAATCTATCAACGTTCCGAGAAATATATCTTGCTCACTCTCTGATACACGGGTCAATTATACGCTTGAACGAAATTTTTTCAGATTCGGATGCCGGTTGCCGCCAAAACTGTGTAAAGAGCGCGCAGGCCATGATTCATGGAGGTGGATTGAATGTGGCTGAATTTGAATGTGTGAATCCTATAATGGGGGTATGTACTTTTTTCGCGCTCTGTAACCAAAATTCTATGAATATGTTTCTCCTAGACGCTGTGGGGCCTGGCTTGTCAAACGCTCGTTCAAGAAATTATTCGTCTGCGTTCTGTGCGATCTGGAGAAGCACAAGGATCATGGTCATATCCTTCGTTTCAGTCTTCGAAGACAGTGTCAATCTCACCATTTTCTTATCGTCAGGACTTGCACGCTGGATCGGGGATCAATGAAGACAAAGGAGACTTGCCCTTAGACAGCGAAGACTCCCTCTTAGCTTCCCTCCAACAGGATCTCTCGGTTCTCACGTTTTTCTCTGCTAATAGTGTTATGATGAATAAGTCTTTTTTGTCTTCACCCCTGTTCAATGAGAGGTGAGTGTAACTTTTCTCGTTTAAATTTAGGATGGATATCTCATTTGAAACTTAACGAAGACGATATCATTCCTGGCATTGTGGTCGGGTTGGGTGCCACTCGTGGATTCATCACCTACGTCTTGTGCGAGCATCTTCATTAGCTTTTTGGTTGTGACCCCAGCCCACGGTTTTGAAAATGTATATACTGCATTCTTGTTTTCACTTATATGCCCACCTCCATCTGGTTTTTCTGAATATTTCCCCTGGTTGGAATAGGATGGTGTGTATACTGTACTGTGTCACATGTGTCCTTGCTTTCATTGCTCTGGTATTACACCATCCATCTGGTAGTATTTCGATAGAAATAGGAGGAGGAAATAAACGGTGTACATATATGCCGTGTATGTGTCCTCGCTTTCACTGCTTTGGTCTTATATATATGTCTACTCCTTTGGTTAAACTATTCTGTGATAGATATCTAGAGATAGGAAATACACGGCGCAATTCCGATGTCTTGAGACTATACCTTGCATTATCAAGGCCGGTAATTCTTCTACACCTATTTGCGTGAGTCCTCCGAGTGAGCTAACTTGACACGTCCTGAGTTGTGGTTCCTGTCCTGCCTAGTACATGCCTTGAGTCAATAGGCAATTGCCTATTGGAAGTGCTGATTCATATGCCAGTGACCAGTCATACAATGCCAATAGCATGCCCTACTGTTCCAATCTCTAACTATCGACTTTGGCAGGACAGTACAGTCCGGAAACAAGGGCAAGGCTATGGAACTCTATTCGATATGAATTTCCGCGAAAAGAGATCAAATTTAAACAGTTGAAAATGTCGAAGACAGGTTACCTTGCTGCGTTTGGCGGTCTATCCACCATCGACGTTTATGAGCTAGGCTAGGCTAGGCTATTGATAACAGCGGACGTCACGGTCGACCGATTTTTGACTATGCCCTTAGTTAGGATGACTATACTCTGAGGAATCTAGGCAGAGCCTGAACAGCTTTCCGGCCTCCTCAAGGACCAATCATTTCCTTGATTGTATCTCGACCAACTGCAAAAGGGGGCGCACGGAAGCTTGGCCGACCTGCCCTAAAGTGGCAAGTTTTCGCAGGCTTTTTTTCCTCTACTCGGGTGAATGTTGTTCATTGTTTCCTTTCATGCGATCGCTCTCTTGCTCTTTTCGTTTCAAACATGTAGAATAACCAAGGACGCTGTCAAAGGACATTGACTAGAAGCCTTTTCCCCTTGCGTACATGGTTTATGTTTCGCATTCAACGCGGTCAACGTGCAGTCAACGTCCTCAGCAGTTTTGCCTTATCTGGTATTCTCGTCCGTGCCATGGGGGGAAGACTTTTTGGGTGCCATGGTGAGCGGGTCATAACCTAACTTTAATTCATCGCGCCTTCCTTCGTTTCTCTATTCCTATACGTTTTTCCATTTCCTATCCTTACCTTCGAGGAGTTTCCGTCGCGTGGTCTTTTGTTGGGTTTTTGTCTTCCGATGATGTTTACACGAAAACAATATTTGCTACTTCAGAGGGCCTATCTACCCTATGAGAACAATTTTTCCACCAAGATCTCTGAGCTTCCGATTATCTTTGTTTCTTTCGTTGCGCCTTGACTTTGTGTTGACTCGACTTCTTTTCACGGCCAGGTCCTCATGAAACCAAATCAAAGCAGTTGTCTGGGTGCAGATATTAGTGTTATTCGCGGTTGCAGTCTTGGGTCTGAAGACCTCACACGTAAGCCTACACTTACCTCTATTGTTATCTCTTTCTCTTCCTACGAATTTCTACTGCCCCTCGTTCCGCAGCAACAGGGACAAACTACTCGTCCTGCCCCAACACCTTCCTTCCACATGATGATTTTATAAACAATTGTTCCTACAGAAAGTCGTCTTCCATAGATGTTGCTTTTTGACGAAAATATATAAGGGATTCAAGCTGATCCTTTTGTTCTTTGTTTCGACGGTCTCGATTCGACGTTGATGATCCTCATGCTGATTACTTGTTTCAGGGATATCTCGTTGAATGATTGGTGTAAGTCTTGGCGACGATAGTTTGCAACGTTGAACTGGATGCATTGTATTTCAACCAAGTCAACGACTACGATGTGCTCATCTTGAACTCTCTGTAGCATGAATCATTAGACGAGTTACATTGGCTGCAGCTGTCCTGCAGTAAGATGGTACAACGAGATATAATCGCGCTCGCGTGTCAAGTCAGTACATAGTCGTTTCAGAAGTCCAATATCACGGAACTCATACTCTTAAGCCCTTGTATCCTGTCGTGTTGATCTATGACTGTTGATATAGTCATAGTGTCACCATACATCTCAAATATCATATCATTGTTAACGACGATGAAACCTTTTTACTGCAAGACAACCATTGGTTAGCCAGCTCGGTATGGATGGCAAATGCATCGCAGCCTCTCATAACTCTGATTGCGTTATATGGTTGTGTAATGTTTCTTTCTTCCACTCCCTCTGGTCATATTTCCTTTAAGATACTCCCCGGACTGTGCGGTGTTCAGATCTTGGACCAAGCCGTCTAATATACCTTCCTTCCTTCCTTCCTTTCCGCCACCGCAAAGTCCACAACTTTCTGTTAGTCGACCAGAGACCGGCAACACACCACCGTCCCATTTCCAGGTCAACACTGATGGTAAATCTTCTCACGACGTTCTATACACTTGTTCAAGAGCTTGCTTCGAGAGAGCTGTTTACTGAGCCGGCGAGCTTTATGCAGGACGCAGAACTGGAAAAGATCACTGGAACAAGTGAATAAAAGTATCGAGGCTTGACGGCAGAAATGGGAGTTTCATACTATTGCCGTGAGTCGGGCTTTCGCCTCTTTTCTTCAATGCCTTCTTCCCTACCTTAGCCTACCTTTCATCCTTCTTTGTTGATTGGTAATCTGAATCACTACATGACGCGGACCATTGCCAATCCTACTCTACCCCTGCTGTAATGGTACCATCGTTTTTAATGGCGCAACATTGTTTTTCATTTTGTTCCTTTGTTCACTGGCTCGTATCCGGCTTTGATCCCCCGTAATATCCCTCCCTATATACAGCTCTCCTCTAACTTATCCGGCCTTAAAGCAACTTACGACACCCTCCTCCAGGCTGTATCGTTCACTTCGGTACAAAGCAATGGCCCGAAGGGCGAGGATTGGAAGAAAGTCTCGAATAAGATCTAGATACAGAGTAAGTACGTACTAGGGCTTAGAAGACGGTATACATTGACAATTTTACGACCTTGTAGGCATCGAATGGTGTGCTGTATCGTCGATGGAACGAGCAGTGTCGGCTATTTGTATCGAATGGGATATGCGAAATGGGTTAATGGTGCTATTGTATAAGCTCTTGGCTGAGAAAATTGCATCATCATCTGGAACTGAAATATCTGTCCCTTGTTCACATCTTGTCTGTATGTAGAAGACTATATCCGGTTCTCCTTCTCTCCGTCTTCTCTAGATCTTGTCCTCCATGTTTATATCACTCTCTTCACCGGCTTGAGGCTGTTATTCTTGGACGCAGTTGTGGATGGCCAATAACAGACTGGTCCTCATGTTAGATGCTATTCAAACCCTGTGCAACTTTCTCAAATGGTTGGTTTGGGGTGTCCTTCTCGGAGGAGCTGGAACAAATCCGGTATGAAGAGTGTTTCTTGTTAGATTTTTCACTGACCTACACGAAGTATGTACATTTGTTGCTTGCAATAACTATGACATTGACTACGAAAGGGCAGATAGGATAGGTCAAAATGTAGAATGTCGGGGAATGGAAGGTAGAGTACACTAACTTGAATTGTTAATATAGCGATGGCCTAGTGGTACAGATGTTACAAGATGAAAAAAACGACTTCTGATCGGTGGTGTGAAAAGTTGATGAGTTCAAATGCGACTGTATGCAATGAGACGAGCGGGATTTTGAAGACGTTGAAGGAAACGCAGGGGGCAGAACGGTGAGTGTTCAGACGATGTGTGCCGGCGCGGCTTTCAATGCAACAGGGATATACGAGAAAATTCGGGAGAGGTAGGAATGTAACGCGGCGATGGCGAGATATTCTATGGTAGCAATGAACCGTGAACAAGAAAAGAACCAACCGAGACAAAAAATACGACCAATGACCAATGACAAAAAGAAAAGATAGATTCCATGAGGTGAGGGTCTGTAGACCGAATGTGCGAGAGACTGTTGAACAACTTCCGATGAGGTGTTTGTGTCCGGATAAGCCAAGCAGTTTGATGAAAGACCAATCATAATTCGTAGAGTGAAGTTTAAAGGTGAACGCGAGCGTGTTGTCCGAGATTGTCTCTCCTGCTAAACGACTTATTGCATCCGGGGTGGAGGCATTTATGTGCTAGAAGGACAAGGAAAAAATCCGATCAGAATGTTGTGAGATGCGATGAACAGCAGACGAGCACGAAAGCAGCAAGACCACAAAAACCGCAGAAAGAAATGGCACTCACGTTTCTCCCACGAATGCAGACTCCTGACATGTCTCTTCAAGTGTTCTCCTCTAACGAAGCACTTTCCACACTCCGGAGCAGTACACACATATCGCCGGTCCCCGGTCGCTTTTTTTATCCCTCCACTGACTACTCTAACATCTGTGTTGTTTGCGTAACGACCACGAGCAGGAGGTCGGCCTTGCTTTGGCGCGCTTGTTTCTCCGACGCTACTAGCCTGAGGGTACGAAGGCCATGACCCTTCGTACTTAGCATATTGAGAGTGACTTCCTCCTTCGTATTGACTTGTACTATCATCTCTGCCTGTTGAGTTGGAAGGATCCGGAAGCGTATACAGGTTCGGAGAGTTCAGATTGAAGCTCGGTTCTGCGGAAGGAGCACCACTGGTATGAACGTTTGTCATGGCTCCTCCGTCAACTGGGACCTTCCTTCCTCTCGATTTTTTTGCCACGCTGGAGGTAGGGCCAGGGTTACTATGACCACTACCTCCGCCATGAGTGAAGTCAAATTGAGAGTGTCCCTTGGCAGCGGCAATATCAGTGGGAGAAAGAGACGACAGTTCCTCAAGCTGACGCAAGGAAAATGTGGCTCTCGTACTGTTCCGGTTCAGAGAGTTTCCGCTTGCGCTAGACTCATACGAACTGTCTGACATGCGCTTGCGTCGATCTTGGAACGGTGGAGACGTAGAACGGGAAGGAACATAGGAGTCGCTATCTCCATCGCCTCCAATCTCCTCATCAATTTCGACATTTTCGATGCCAACTTGGCGAGCACCAGTGCGAGATTGGATCTTCGATTTAACTCGGAGGAGAAAGTCCTTGCGGGGCCTGCCGCGAGGACGCTTGACAGCAGGAGCCTCGACTTCGAGAGAATCGTGCGCACGAGTGCGCTTATTTCCGCGACGAGAAGTACCCTGGAAGTCTTCCTGGGACCCAAGACCGAAATTAGCCGACGAAAATCGGTTACTTTCTAATGCATGAGGCGAGGGATATCTATGCATAGAGGAGGCATCACCACCGAGACTAGCGACGTCGGACATGTTGACATACTGCTCTCGAGGCGGGTCAATGTGAGTTAATGGTCTTTCAGGATATGCTGAAAAAGCTTGTTCTGGAAGAAAAGTGCTCATATGCAATGCAGGACTACCAGTAGCAGGCGAGTGTACGACGGACATAAAAGGCGTGTTCAAGCCAGAGCTGGAATGCGGGTACGGAAGATGCGAGGTATACTGTACCGGACTGGGTTTCGGCGAGTTGAGTTCGTCAGGCAGTCCAGTTCCTGGAGCAGGATGGCTCCAAGAAAGCGGATTACCCGGAGCCGGAATACCGATAGACGAATGCTGTGAAGACGCATAGATTTCGGAATGAGAAGTAGGTGAAATTGTTCCTTCAGACGAGGGTGAAGCCGCCAATGGCTGGACGGCCGACAAGTCGAGATGATAACCAATCGGGCTGAGCACAGGATGACTGTAAGTGTAATGAGTTTCTGGATATTGAGCTGACTGCAAGGTATGGTTCTTGTTGTCGTTCATCGAGTGTCCAAAGCTAGATGAACGTCCTGCGACATTAGTGCCTTCGAGTAGCAAGCTGTTCGAGCTAGAAATTAGCTCTTCTGGATTACCGGAAAGCGAAATCCATCTAGATAGTGATTCGCCAGACCAAGAAGACGAGATATCTGGTATCGTCTCATTTCTACTTGGCGGCTTTTCCAACGCCATCATCATCGTACACACCTAAAACACTAGAAGACGAGGAGGTTGGATCGTCGGAGGCTCAACTTGAACGACGATGGCGAGTAGAAGGTAAGACTCGGGTGACGATGAGGGAGCAAGAAAGAGAGCGAGAAAGAATTCGGACGTCTAAGGGCAAAGAAGTATTCGATTTGGAAGCTTCTTTTGTTTGGCATCATCTCCCACAATTAGCAAATTTTGCTTCCGTTAATTATCTACAAGCCTAACGGAACGAACGTTTACATGTCTACATCGATGTCCTCGTCATTTCGGAATTACTAAAGCTTGACTCTTCCCAGATTTCTCCTCAAGTATTCCGCGAAAGGTCAAAGCGAGTTATTGCGAGCCTCATGTGGGGTACCTAATTATAGCGCCACATTGTACGGCATTGACGCAAAGTACAAATATCTGCGAAGAACATTTTCAAGCGTGGTAGGAAGATAACTGAAGACGCCCGAGACTATGAGTTCTAATTGATGAATATCTGGAGGAGAAGAGCAATAATCTGAAAAGGTGACTCGAAAAAATTCCAGGGAAGCGGGATTCGCGTTCATAATGCCAAAGTGGTATCTAGACTTAGCTACCGGGAAAACATCTACATCAAGGTTCCAAGAAAAAGTAATTGTCGAAGACGTTGAGAACACTTTCATTGATCATTTTGTAGAAGTTGAATTTTGGACTAGGAATGAGACGACTAGTTGCAAGACATGTAAGTAAGTGTCACTGGCTGACAGTATCACACAAGAGGAGGAAGGGAGAACAAAGGAAATAATGCTGCTGCGAAGTTCCGTACCGCTATGCACACCTTGAGGGTGCTCATCGCAAGGGCTGACAATCATTGTCGTCGGCTAATAACAGAAACAGGGAAAAATATCCCGTCTGCAATAACATAGCCATCTAGATTCTAATGTTTGCATGTAGTACCTACTGACTAGTGAGAAATCGTTGAAGCGGGCCACAGGTCGGTATTGGGAATAATCGATACCTCGGTTTTGTTCTCATGGTTGACAGATGGACGACCTGGGGGAATGTGATTGAAGGCACTAGGAGCAAAGTTATTGTTATTGTTACGATCTTCAAAACTATTGCTCAGGGTGAGTGAACAAACTTGTTTCTGCCTTTTGTATCATCTCTTTTGCTCAATTATCATTTGCCTAGGATGAAATCTCAGTCAAAAAAGCCAAACCTCGATCCACGATTTTACATTGAAACGTGGCGCTTTCTTATCTAGACTTATCTTCGCAATATGTCCTTGGTCCAGCTCCCAGCCTCTCCCAGCTCTCATACATAGTATCCATTTGCAGGGTCGATTGAAGGAGATTTTTGAATATCGAATGATGGCAATCATCGCTTCAGTTATATGATACATCAACTTATATACAGAAAGGTGTCAGGGTTATAGAGCTGGATATCTGGACAATGGTCAAACGATGTAAGTCTCAAGTCGTTTGAATCGATTCCCATCATGATACCACCATTTATCCTTTGTAGAAATTGACGACGTCGGGCCAGATTGCTTTGTCACTGAAATAGACAAACCGGTTATGAATATACCTTGCTATGAATATGAATCATTGAAGCCAATGTTTGATCCCGCGTCGACGGCCAGGATGAATTCTATTTCCTCAATGACGTTCGTGCTGGGACCAGTCAAAATTGAAATGTTGTTGAATTCTCAATAATATCCCACGACTTGTACCTATGGCTCAATCTCTCGAATTATCGCGTCGCGTAGAAAGCTGCTGGGTGAAACCTACAGACTGTCCAGAGAACTCTCCGGAGTTCAATGTTTTAAGACAATGTACGAGAAAATGTTGTTGTAAGATGTCTTTTTGACAGTACCATTCTTCTTCTGCGAGTATCGCGACAACGAGATGATGGCAAGTCTCTTTGCAAGTGGTCTTCAACTGATTTCGTGATCAAGCAAGATTCCAAGTTCTCCAACGCTGAAGTTGACGACGGGACAAATAATACCGATCCAAATTAAGTAAACTGGGCTTTGCAGATAAATCACCGTGTTAAATTGACAACAGTTGATCCGTAACACTAACAGGGTTAGATCATAAGACAAGGAAAACGACGGATACAAGAAGATGCATGAAGAAACATTTATCAAAGTATTGGGTAGGATTAAAATTCAACGCCTAATCGGAAGTCAAATCGGAATAATAGTCATATGTAGATAGTTGAAGCAAAGGTGGACTGGGCACAACGAACGAAGATCATAGTAGCTGACGAATGACCGAGGGGTGCCGGACCTTACTACAAGGCCAGGAACGATACCGTCTTTGTCAAGTTTGAGATGAGGACTCTTTCCTAAAAACTCACGCTCACCTATCATTGAATAGGGGCGAAGACAAAAAAGACTTATCCATTAGTGCACTGTTAGCAGAGAAGAACGTGAGGGCCGAGAGGCCCCGCTGAAGGGAAGCTAAGAGGGAGTCTTCACTGTCCAAGTGCAAGTCCCCTTTGTCTTTACTTTCTGATCCAACATGCAAGTGATCCTGACGGTACGAACATGGTAAGATCGACGCTGGCTCTGAAGATTGATACGGAAGATATGGCCATGATACTTGTGCTTCGGTTTGCATAGAACGCAGACGGACAATTTCTTGAACGAGGGTCTGACAAGCCAGTGTCCACAGCGTCTATGAAGGAAATATAGGTATAGACTTTCGTAACGGTACGCTGAAAGAGCACACACCCCCATTATAGGATTCACACATCCAAATTCAACTACATCAAGCCCTCCCCCATGAATCATAGCCTGTGCACTCTTTACACAGTACTGGCGGCAATCCGCATCCGAATTTATAAAAATCTCATTCAAGCGTATGATCGACCCGTGTATGAGGGAGTGGGCAAGATGGAGTTCTCGGAGGGCTGAGGGATTTTGACTTTGATAGTCGAATTCTTCCAGCGGAGACAATTGGGATTGTAGGGAAGATATCAATTGTCGAACAGATTGGAAGGCCGCGAAGAGAGTTTGCACATCGGACGTAGGCATGTCTGAGTGGTCATGGTGTAAATAAATATGAGTTGGAAGTCGGCGTAAAAACAACGTACTTGAATCATACTGTCCGGCGACGAACGACGCTTGATGTAGAAGTAAAGATGCCTTCGTGATCACATTCGTCGCACTTGCAAGCTGATGCTCGTCAACACTATGTTGAATATGATTGAGGAATTCACGGATTGTCATTGAACTACGAGGCGGAAGGATATTCTACTCATATAGAATGAGATTACTTTGAACGCAGATGAAAAGGCGGTTTGGATTGAAACATACCTTTTTATACATATCCATATCTAAGGGCCATGGAGTATCAATCTGGCATCCAGGAGCATCAAAAATCCCACACACAGACCTAGGAGGATCTACTGTAACGGCGATATCTCGATAGAGCGTGAATACGGCCCAGAATGCATTAATCCGTTCACCTTCCTCAATTGCATCTTGTGGGGGAAGGAGGTAGATGTTGGAGCTTGACTGCTGCTCTTTGTGCGATGACCTGAGGGTGTTGAGCCCACACCCTAGAGCAAGAGATGCGGCACTAGAGGCATGACGTTTGGCTTCGAGGATATTACCATTACGGAAAAAATAGTAGCCAAGCAAGGCCTCAGCTTGAATGGTATGCATGAATCGATTTGGATGTGGGTTAGAGGTACTGAGATCCGAGGCTGTATCTCGAAGGGCGCGCATGAGCAAGGTATGCTCAAGATCTTCACGTTGTGTTTGTGGGGATAGATGGATACCCCATAGATACACGGTGCTCAATAGGCCTGGACATGGCCTAGACTGATGTCCGAAATCTAACGGCAGGAGAGCAGAATCTGAGAAACGCGAATGGTCGAGGAAGAAGCCGAAGGATACTGCATCCGCAAAAAACCATTCAAGGCTACCGGACTATTAGTACTATCAATGGAATGAAAGACCATCAACGTACAGACTTCTGGTTCCAGGTAGAGCAATTCTTGATCCCGCCGTTAAGGGTCTACCCGATGGTTCAGATAATCCACCTGACCAATATTATAAATTAAATGACCTTGCATATATGGAAAAAGAACATACCAGGATGTGAACTAAGTAGGGGAGACGTCCCGAAAACTGAGGATGACGGAGAACTATTTGAGGAATACGACGATAACAATCGGTCGACATCTCCTCGCATAGTTCCGCTGTTGTGATCTTGACCTTGCTGGTATGGGTCATAAAGCTCCATAGATGGCGTCTCTTCGGGATGTTCATATTCTCGGAGGCGAGCCTCTAAACGCGAGACTGTTTCTTCGAGAACCCGAGCTCTTGACCGTCCCGGAGCGTTAGCATATTCACAAGGATCTTCCTTTGGATTTTGCTGGCATGGTCCACACATTGGTTGAACACCATCGCATTTCTGGTGGAAGTTTGTGAAGGTAGAGCCTAACTAGCAAAGTAGAAGCGTACAATCTTAAAGAACCTAGAATGAGGCGTTAGGATGAGTGAAATTTTGGCTAGAAGATTACGCGCCGACATGTTAAGCAAGCCTTCCCTCTCTTCAGGGGCCTCAATGTGCTATTAGAAGTCATCAAGTAGGAGTACGATGGAGGTATTAGTCGTGTTGTAATAAAGGTTGACCACACGGCGAAGAGAGGTCGCAAGTTGAGGTTGCATATTCACTGGTCGTCTTAAATAAGTTTCGTTTTCTGACCGTAACTTGGCCGTTTGAGTTAGAGCAGTGGATGATGAGTACTACCATTCGTTTGGTGATCTTTGGTCGGTACTTGCATGCGGCAAGTTGCGGCGGCTTGGAAGCCGAACCCGGAAATTTATGAGCGTTTTCCAAAAACTATCAAATTCGCTAACAGAGGCTGTAAGCCGGTGCTGTCCACTGGATCCCCGCGATTACCTTCCTCAGAGCTCCTCGGAGTCGCCGCACTGTCGGTTCATTCAACTTGTTGCTTGCTAAAATGCCTACTTTTTCTAAGAGTTCGGTTCAAAGTTTCAGACACCCGTAGATTGTGCCAAATAGATTACAGCACTTAATCCGTCACTCGATCTCTAGAGGAAAAACGAATTACAAACAAACAAACTATTGCTAACTAGTGTACCCCTTTGGTGCCCTAAACCAAGTGCTTCTCTCCAGGGTGGATGCCCAACATTAATCAAGATATAATCCAACTACCTCTCCCTCATTATTTCAGAGTTTAGATGAGTCCGAAATCAAGCCCGAGGATGGCAGATCAGTTGTGGTAATTTTGCCTTTCTCCTTCTGTAGTGCTTTGTGTATGTAACTCTTTATTTTCGCCTCCTATTCATATCTTTTTGTTTGTCCAATACATTTTGCCCCGAAAAAGGAAACTGTCTAAAGTCATTTGAGCGCAACAAGAGTCTGGGCCCAAGAACGTATTCATTCGAGCCCATGTGAGTGATTGTGACATATTTTCCCACCAAAACACTATTTGTGTGTCTTATGACCTCACTTTGGAAGAACTGAAAAGTAGGACAGTATCATTAAAATCACTCTATATACAGTAGATGAGCATATGTAATCATGTTGGAAAAATGAGGTGGTACAAGTACACAGATTGGTGCAAGAATATTCACAACCGACAAAAACTGCGAGAAGGTTTTGAGACGAAATTGACGAAGAAGAAGGTTCGGCGAAGACAAAGGATCGTCAGGAACGCGTTTGCGAATACGCTCTTATCTGAGCTTGGATCGTGTCACGCGTGCTCACCGGAGTGGTATCCTATGCCCTTCACCCCACCTTACTGCCTTCGAACCCTTTCCTATTACCTCCAACGGAGCTCATACGCGTCCGAAGGGGGTGCGTTATGAAGTGTCGGAACCTTCACAGTCTCCCAGAGTCATTCTGTAGTAGCGGCACACGAAAGATAAGTGGGATGGTATGTTGGCTCCAATATTGTAGTTCTAGTCTTAGAGTCTTCTTCCTCGTCTTTAGGATACATCGATACCACATCTGTATAACATATCATACTTACCGCATAATCTAGGTCGAAGCAAAGTCAGAGGAACCGTTCTTCTGGCGTACGAACCAATTTCTCATTAATCGGAATTGCAAGAATCAAGGTACAATGTACAATTTAAGACCTGGTTACAGTTTGAGATTGGTATATAATCAGCTTTAGTGCCGGAGTCTAGACCCAGCAGCCGCTATACACTTAGGATATGGACTTCATCTGGCCAGGGCCAACAACAATTCGAGATTCGGGGAACTCGCAGACTACATAGGTGCATAGAGTATTTGCACAGGTCTTTCAAAGTTCCAGGCTTCCGCGCCACTTCATGCTTCAAGCTTGAAGTTCCGGAAGTCCTGAACTGCACTTTTCCGATCGACACTTACTGTCATGGTCTTGACCATAATTCTATGAGTTTTGTTGTATTTACACTTCATAGCGCCACACATTCCGCGTACTGCCTTCGCACAATCCATTTTATTGACAATTCAAGTTGTATTCATATCCTACCTGTTTTTGATCCTTTGAATAATACAGAGCACACCTCGTTGTAAGTAAGGCATAGCTGCACTACAAATAGCTTCACCAACTGTTCAAGTGCAAGAGTCTAAGCTTAAGTCTCACCTCTGTGATGTAGACGAAATGTGCCAGACGAGCAGAAATGTTCGTTACAGCCAAGATTTATGTGTTATACAGATACACCATTCTCTTATCCGTTGTTGATCTCCAGGTAACATAATCAATCAGTATCTATCATTCCATCTGTGACAAACCGTTCGATGCCTACAATGTAATGCAGTCTAAATTTTCGAAGACGGTCTGAGTATATACGCACTTGCATCGTACTCAACAGCTTGGTCCTGCCTTCGACTGTAACTGTCTTTAATCGTCGTCGTCGTCTGCCGCATTAGTTTGTGTTGAGGTGAATGATACCGATTTGCCTTTGAGGACAGTGTCGTACGTCATTGAAGGAGCAGGAAAAGTCAGAGGAGAGGTCGGGGTGGGGGGAACATTAGTATGGGGATGTTCGGCGGGGATGTGAGCCACGGAATGAAGTGGACGAGGCCACACATAGTCTCACATAGTCAGCACCACAATGAGAGCCATTTTGATAGGAACGTAGATGAATAGAAAGACGAAGAAAAGTGGCCAAAGCCCGACTCACGGCAATAATATGAGCCTTGATCCATCTCTGCACATTCTCCCTCGACAGCTTATAGAATTCCTCTTCCCACACAGAGCTTTTCGAATCAGCGAAGGGCTGACACAAAGTGAGCTCGTGAGCATAAGAATAAAATATCGAAGCCGAGGATCCAGCCAGGATCTGGCAGTCAGTAAATCCGCGAGTCAAAGCATTTTTTGACCTGGAGATACAATGGTGTGTCCTCGATTTCAAATTCAGCTGAACTGAGAGGTAATCTGAGGTGAATCTGCAAAAGCCGGGTAGAAAAATGGTCCAAAGAAAGGATAATAGTGAAAGAAAGGAAACTGCCACATGTTGTACTAGTTAGTTGGTCAATGAGGTCACTGCCACTGTCATTGTCGAAGGCTGTCACGGTCGAAGGAGATTTGTTCAGCACGGGAACAAATATTGCACAGCCATGGTCCCATACTTGGGTAATATGACTCGCTTTGCCCTCGTTCAGGCCCAAATCGTCGCTGACACAGGAAACAACTTACAGTAAGTCACTGGTATTACGATAACCTTGCATTGAATTAACGCAAGAGCGTAGGAACTTGGCTTATTAAGAAGCTCGATGACGTTTTGTTTCTGCAAGTCTACAGTAATTCCGTGAACTTACTGTATATTGTGTCCTGTGTCACAAATGAATCGAGTATATCTCGCGAGTTCTTTATTGTAGAAGTTATCGTCACTTACACTTAATGCGCATATAGAATATTCATTGGATTTTCCCTCTCCAGAGCGTGATTCTCACATATCTATCATTCCAGCGAGACCTTTACCTTCGTGCACTGGATTGGATATGAAATTTGAATGCGTCCAGGCGCGCGATGTGGCTATAAGGGATAAGAATTAGTCTTATGATAAGGAACTTCTTTGAAGGCAGAGATATTCAAGACAAACGTACCGTATAGCTTCAATCGTCTGCTTGTCTGGAATGCCATATGTTCCTGTATGATACCTTTCATCCAGGATAACATCGTCCTACTCAATCTTATCCACACCAAGCTCCATTTCCTCCGCTGTGGCCTTCGCGACCCTCAACACCTGAGACCCTCTCTCTACAGGTGTAGCGCTGGCAGCGAATACCAGCGAGCCTTCTCCTACCCAGCCTTTCTCCATCCTCTGGATACGTTTTCGCAAGTAATAACCCTGTAATCATCCCTGCAAATTTCGACCGTGTCAAAGAAACAATTCCTTCTCCTATCCATACACCTCGAATGCCTGTCGGGCGAATCCTAGTCCTCCTATCCTCCTAGGGGATGATAAGATTGTAATAAGGCTTGCCTCCTTCGGACAGAACTTGCGCTGTGAAAGAGGCTTCGGTGGGTTTGTGCTCGATGCTATCTTGAGTCATGATCTAAGTTTAAATCACTGCTTATGATTGTCCAGAGTTAGATGTTGTGGTCTGAACTTACTGGATATCGTCCCTTTCGTTAGGTTGATTTGCTCCTTCCTGGGACCTTGAACATTACATCTGTGGATTCTAGTCGTATATCGAGTTGGGAATACCCGACAGACCGACAATATCTATTCTTCAGTTCTGTGAGTGTTCTTACAAGCAATCCGAGTCCACCCATTGGTTGCAAATTAGCGTTTTCTAGATCTGACGAATACCCACTAATGCCTTTCCTCCATCTTCTTTTGCTCAGACTACAAGCCTGGCAACATCACGGCGTATCTGCCAAGCTCTTCATGCGTGACAAGCTACCAACCGATGTACGAGACATTCTGAAGCTAATTCAGTTTGCTGAGCAGAAGTATGTGCGTTCTGATATCACGGGAATCACTGCCAATATAGCACGCAAAGTGGTTGTGGTTGGATCTGATCAGCCTATTTCGGACTAGTGTTGGTGGTCGTCCAGTCTCCCCCTAGTGCACTGCAAAGATGTTACCCAAATCCAAACGAAACAGTCCAGCTTATCGAAGTGAGAAGGGCCCTATTCGCCAGAATTATTCATTGAAACTGCAAAAGCAAGGGTAAGGAAGTTCGCTCAGATATATCCATGGTCAGAAAAGCAGTGGAAAACTACAGGATTCGAGATAAACAGCGGTGTGGCTTCTCGATACCACACACTATCGCGCAACCGTGAACAGGATGTTTATTTAGAAAACGGGAAAAGTAGACTGAAAAGCGAAATGTTGGTTGTGTGTTGAACGTTGACGTTGAACATTGAGCGTCGCCGAAGGTAGACGCGAGAACAAGCGCTTAACTCCGGCGTCTACGAATTTCTCATTGCTGAATCCATAAATGGATAACAATACACATTCACAGCGCCAACGTCGGCTATGGAGTTATTGTTATTGTTACGATCCTCCTTCGCACTTGGCCATTGTTGGCCACCGATGGTCCACCATGTCATCTCCGTTTAGGCCCTCTTCATTTATATGTTAAAAACCCACTGCTCAGGTTGTGTGTGAACGACTTCTTTCTGCCTTTTCTATCATCTCTCTTGCTCAATCATCATTTGTCTAGGATGAAATCTCAGTCAAAAAAGACAGACATTAATCCACGATCTTACACAGAACCATGGCGCTTTCTTATTCAGACTTATCTTCGCAATGCGCTTTGTCCAGTTCCCAGCTCTCGTGGTGTTCATCTGCGGGATCGATTAAAGGAGGGGTTTTTGGTATCACATAACGGCGATCGTCGCTTTGATTGTATGCAGAAAGGTGTCAAAGTTTTAGAGCTGGATATCTGGGACTTTAGGACAATGGTCAGACGATGTAAGTCGCAAGTGATTTGAATCAATTCCCATACCACTATTGAGATTGCTTTATCCTTTATAGACATCGACGACGCCCCAGATTGCTTTATCACTGAGTCAGACAAACCGGACATGAATATCCCTTGTTATGGCGTCAACAGCTTGAATATGGGTCAAGTCAATTTTTTGTCTCGCGTCGACGGCCAGGATGAATTCCTTCTCCTCATCATGACGTTCGTGCTGGGACCAGTCACCCATTGTTGTCGGATTCTCAATAATATCCCGCGATATGTACCTATGGCTCAATCTCTCGAATTCATTGCGTCGCGTGGACCGGATCAGAAAGCTGCAGTTGAGTGGGACGTGCTGAGAATCGTAAGTTTCCCCACTCCGGTGTCGACGCTCTCATCTTATGGACATAGCCTGCCACTACGTATGGCGAGGGATCTCTTTCGATCATTTGTGTTCCACCGTGGAAACTTGACTTGAAGGATTTGCGTGCCTTTACAATGCCCGAAAACGTGAGCTTGGTAGCTTGAAGTTCCCTTTCACGTCATAATCAATCATCTTCCTTTGGCAGATTCCTCAGAATGTGGCTCGTCATCCTCGTTTCCAGGAAATTTCAGAGGCTGCGAGAAATACGGCCCACGATTTATGGCAGGTGGTATGTTTTTCATGTATTCCTTCCTTCTTCAACTCAGCAGGACTCACTTCATCCATTTTCCAGGTCCTTGAATCGTGTGCCCCCGCTGGTCCTTGTTTTGTTGTCACTAACTATGCCTTTTGGTGTTTTGGACGGTTTGAGGCAGCAAAACCGAGAAACAGCAAAGGTAAAGAAAGAGAAGGCAATGACGAAGGTAAGGAAAACCTAAGACTCACTCAAATTCGTTTACTAATCATCCTTCCTAGGTTGGGCAACGGCCACGGTCAGTCCACCTATTGAGCTGGAGATGAGTATACCCAACAGTGTCAGGCTTCCGATGAAGACTGAACCTATGGGCTTGGGTTGCACGGTTACAGAGTGTTTGACATTTTGGATTCAAATGACAAGGGGTGCTGCGTCTTGGATGCAAACGTAACGATATTCTACTGCGATGCGCGGCTTTTTTTTGGCGAAATGAGCCTCGATGACTGATGAAGCTCAAAGTCTCAGAGATAGGACTGTAGTAGATGTACACTGAAGGAGCAAGTCATATAGATATCAAAAATATAGAATTCCAGAGGAGCGATTCGAGATTAATCTACACCGAACTCCACCCTCAATGCACGATCCAAACTATGAGGGGATGTAGCTGCAATTGCAAGGGAGATCTGCTTGTTCAACTGCTTCTTCAGTCGTACCCTTTCCTCAATACGACGAGTCCCTAAAGCTGTTTCTCCAACTCATTTTATGATCAAGTTCAATCAAGATAAGGTCTGCGATGTGATTTTTCGAAAACTTGAAGAACAGGCAGACTCACACTTGAAATCAAGCTGAGTTTGGCAGATAGGGTCACTCAGTTGTAACAGGGTCATGAATGTAGAGAAAGTCTACAGATATAGGTAGAACCAAGGAGAAACATCCATTTTATGATTGAGAAATCGAAGGTAAATTTGGAAGCAAAATTGGAGGGATGGGCACAGTCAATACAGGGGGTAAATTTGCGTTGCCAACATCTTGGACTGGGTACAACCAGAAAGATATAAATCCGTGCGTGGGTTTCTAACTACACCACAACGCCGGGAATGATATCGTCTTTAGCAAGTACGAGATGAGATCTATCTTAAATATAACTAAGAAAACTTACGCTCACCTATCATTGGACAGGGGTGAAGACCAAAAAGACTTATCCATTAGAGGGCTGTTAGTAGAGAAGAACGTGAGGGCCGATAGGCCCCGCTGAAGGGAAGCTAAGAGGGGATCTTCACTGTCCAAGTGCAAGGAGTCTCCTTTGTCGTGTAAGTTCTCCTGACGGTATGAAAGTGATGAGATCGATGCTGGCTCCGAAGACTGAGACAAAAAATATGGCCACGATCCATGTATTTCTCCGGTTCGTAAAAAACGCAGACGGATAATTTCTTGAACGAGCGTCTGACAAGCTAGGGTCCAGAGCGGCTACGAAACAAATATCAGGATTCAGGTTACAGTGCGCGAAAAGAGCACATACACCCATTATAGGATTCACACATCCAAATTCAGCTACATCAAATCCTCCCCCATGAATCATAGCCTGTGCACTCTTTACGCAGTACTGGCGGCAATCTGCATTCGAATCTGAAAATATCTCATTCAAGCGTATGATCGACCCATGTATGAGAGAGTGGGCAAGATGAATTTCTCGGAGGGCTGAAAGGTTTTGATTTTGATGGTCGAGTTTTTCTAACGGAGACAATTGAGACTGTAGGGAAGAGATCAACTGTTGAACAGATTTGAATGTCGCAAAGAGAGTTTGGGTTTCGGACGTGGGCATGTCTGCAGTGGTCGTGCTGTAAGTAGATAGAAGATAGAAGTGGGCTTGAAAATAACGTACTTGGATCATACTGCTCAGCGACGAATGAAGCTTGATGTAGAAGTAAAGATGCCTTCGTGATCATACTCGTCGCACTTGCAGGTTGATGCTCGTTAACACTCTGTTGAATATGATTGAGGAATTCATGTATTGTCATTGAACTACGAGGCGGCAGGATATTCTTAGAAATTCACACAAAATGAGCTTTGAACGCATATGGAAAGGCGGTAGGATTCAAACATACCTTTTTATACATATCCATATCTAAGGGCCATGGAGTATCAATCTGGCATCCAGGAGCATCAAAAATCCCACACACAGACCTAGGAGAATCCACTGTGACGGCGACATCTTGATAGAGGGTAAATACGGCCCAGAATGCGTTTATCCGTTCGCCTTCCTCAATTGCATCTTGTGAGGGGGGAAGGTTGATGTTCGGGCTCCATTGCTGCTGTTCGTGCGAGGACCTAAGGGTGTTAAGCCCACACCCTAGAGCAAGAGATGCGGCACTAGAGGCGTGACGTTTGGCTTCAAGGATATTACCATTACGGAAAAAATAGTAGCCAAGCAAGGTCTCAGCTTGAATGGTATGCATGAATCGATTTGGATGTGGGTTAGAGGTACTGAGATCTGAGGCTGTATCTCGAAGGGCGCGCATGAGCAAGGTATGCTCAAGATCTTCACGTTGTGTTTGTGGGGATAGATGGATACCCCATAGATACACGGTGCTCAATAGGCCCGGACATGGCCTGGATTGATGCCCAAAATGTAATGGCAACAGCGCAGAATCCGAGAAACGCGAATGGTCGAGGAAGAAGCCAAAAGACATTGCATTCGCAAAAAACCATTCGAGGCTGGCGGAATATTAGAGCGATCAAGGGAATGAAAATCTATAACGTACAGACTTCTGGTTCCAGGTAGAGTAATTCTTGGCTCTGCCGTATCCGATAATCCAGATGATCCACCTGACCAAGATTATCAGTTGAAAGAATTCGTATGGCAACATACCATACCAGTATGTGTACTACGTAAAGGAGATATCCTAAAAAATGAGGATGGAGAACTATGTGTGGAATACGACGATAATGGGTCGTCAATATTTACTCGCACGATCGCGTCGCTGCCGAGGCCTTGACCAGACTGGTATGGATCATGAAGCACCATAGATGGGGTCTCTTCAGGATGTTCGTATTCTCGAAGGCGGGCCTCCAGACGCGAGACCGTTTGCTCGAGTGCCCGAACCCTTGACCTTCCCGGACCGTCAGCATATTCACAAGGATCGTCTTTCGGAGTCCGTTGACAGGGGCCACATATTGGTCGAGCCCCATCACATTTCTGATGAGAGTTTGTTTAGGCAAAGTGCAACTAGATAAGAACATACAATCTTAAAGAATCTATGATGACAGGTTAAGATGGGTGGGATTTGATTGGAACAGACGCGCCTGCATGTTAAGCATGCCTTTCCTCTCTTCAATGGCCTTGACGAGCCAGCACCGTATGAAATTTGAGAGCTATAAGAAGTCATAAAGATGCGGGTGGGGTTTTAGAAGTACAGCAGCGATGAAGACAATTAGTCCAAAGACCATGAAGAAGACCAAGAGAAAGAGCCTGAGAGGTCGTATGCTCAGGTTGCATATTCATTGTTCCTCTTAAGTATGTTTGAAGTTTGACCGTGACTTTCCTTTGAAGCCGATCTTGAGTTTACGAAAACAGTGGAGGATAGATATTATACTGTAGATTATAGAGAGAACAGTCTTTTGCTTGCGGCAAGAGAAGAGACTCGCGTGGTGCGGCAAGCTACGGCCGGATATCTTAATCGTCCACAAGCCGGTCGCAAGGCCCACAGTACTGCAGCTTGCTTCCGTTCATTCTGCGTTCAAGATTCGAAAGCTCCCTCAATAATCCCCTGCCTCAAAGGCCCTTGGATTCACCTTGCTGTCGGTTCATTCAACCTGTTACCTACTATACTGCATACTTCTTGCAATATCATAAAACCTCAAGCATCACAATACGGTTGATACCTATTAACAAATTGTGCCAAATGGATGAACATAGATGAACATTGAGTCAATCTCTCAACAAAAAACCTCTAGCTACAAGCAAATCAAACATGCTTCTATTGACTACAAATAGAATTATACTTTGACGTCTCCAATATCCTAATTCGCCTTGTGCCACAAATACGAATCCTTCATCCGACCTTCCTTACTCATATGCTGTGCACCGCGTCTACACCAGCTCCAACACCTTCATTGGAGAGCGTACGCGTCCGAAGAGGGCACGTTTTGAAGTTTCGGAACCTTTTCAGTCTTTAAAAGTCATCTTGGCTGGCGGTCCATGAGCGGAACCGTTGACTCGGATGCTGTATGTTTCTACAGTCCTAGAGTCTTATTCCTCCTGTATGGGATATATCGATACCACTTTCGTATATTGAATTGCACTTACTAGATGACCTAGGTCGAAATGCAGTCGTAGGAAAGGTTCTTCTGACGTTACAACCAAGTTTTCACTGGAGTCTCTACAAGAATCACGGTACATGTGCACGAAGTTCTGTTCACTGATCGGACGCTCATTTCTATCAGATCAATTTTAGCATGTCCGGATTCTAGATTCAACAATCGCTATTCACTACGCACACGAGGTTTCTCCGACAAGTGCAACAACGATTCGAGGGCTCGAAAGAACTGGTGGAATATGTCCGGATTCTAGATCCAGCAGTCGCTATCCACTAAGCACTCGAGGTTTATCCGACAGGCGCAACAATTTGAGGCTCGAATGAACTGGTGGATTAGAAAGAGTTTCTTCCATCTGCTTATATTTGACTCCAAATCTCACACTTCAAGTTCAGCACGGTTGAATTAACAGGCCAAGGACACCGGGATTGATAATATATAAGAATAATGACTTGCTTAGATTGCAGCTACTACTTGAGCCACTTGTATACTGTACAAAGTATTTCTGGAATATTCTACATATTTCAATAAGTGTCCGTGGAGCACTCCTTGAGGTTGCTCCTAGAATATCTCAGAATGTCAGAGAACATATGAGGATATTCTCAACAAGTTTGTCTACATACAACTATATCATTATCAACGTGATGTGGTTCATGATGAGGTATCTATGTACTTTTACAACCATAGACCTTTTGAGTGTAATTCAACGTAGGTATTTTTCTACTAATTCACAGTTCATTGCATTGAACCACATTGTTCGGGCACTCACTTCGTATTCCTTCCGACGTCTTTAAATTTACTCTATTTCCCGTCCACACGCTCAGTCCGAACTCATGCATTAACCTTTCATCCACCAGCAACCAAAAGGTGTATTCTTAACTTGTACATAACATCTGCCCTACTACTGTTCGCATAACACCTGTACTACCATTGTAGGCTATCCGAGTCGTTATGTTAAAGGTTCAAGTTAGTGCACTCTATCTTCACGTACTTCAATATTTGTACTTGATTCAGTATATACACTGACTATATGTACCATTCGTGCGTGTATTTGAGTATCTAGGACGCGCTACCTTAGCCTAGGTCAGTGGAAAATCTAACAAGAAACACCTTACCAGTTACATGAGAAAGTATGAAAAGCATCTGGCATTGACGTCCTGCACACGGTGATAGGATATGATCCAAATTCGTCCTTACAATTGCGCTGAATATTTACAAGGTCGATCAAAAGAAAATTTATGCGTTTTGCATCATTCACAGCGTACTGACCACATCTAAGACCGAGACCTTCTCGGTATTGACGACAACAAGAAGAGTAAGAGAAGGTTCAAGCTGAGAGCGGGTCTCAAGATAGATAGATATTTCGGATAATCATTATCTCAGCCAAGATTTTTGATACATTGATACACCATTCACCGTCGTCTTTTTTCACTCCGCATATCCTGATTGATACGATTATTCGACATCGATCGTTCCATCAATGATATACAGTACACCGTTCGATGCCTACAATGTTCATGTCGTTAGATTGTGAACTTATAACTATTGTTCGAAAACGTAGTGTAGATACGCACTTGCTTCATACTCAGAATCTTGATACCATCTTCAATTGTAACCGTCTTCCAATCCTCGTCGTCGCCATTGCTTTGTGTTGATGTGAATGACACGAATTTACCTTGAAGGACAGTTTCGTACGTCACTGTAGGGGCAGGGAAGGTCAAAGGAGAGGACTAAATGAGGAGGGAACATTAGTACGGGGTAGTTAAAGCGGAATATGAGCCAAGGAACGAAAATACAAAGTGATATGAGATATGATTGAGTACGAGAGTGATAGGACCAGGTATGTAGGCTGCCATAATGAAAATACCAATATGATAGTAGTGCAGTAGAATTGAGACGGAGTGGAAGAATGAATGAAAGCTACCGGTGGGAGTAAAAGACTACGGAAAGTGACGAAAGCCCGACTCACGGCAATGATATGAGCCTCGACCCATCTCTGCACATTCTCCTTCGACAGCTTATGGAATTCCTCATCCGATATCGTAATGCCTTCGTTTTCATTCTTTGGTGGAGGTCCTTGATGTCTATCGCCAAACGTAAATTGGAATCGGAATTCAGACAGCCATGATGGGAGTCCGACTCACGGCTTCCTCGCAAGCGCCATAACCGCCTTATTTGTAGGTACAAGCAGCGTTAATCCACCGTTTGCAAGAGTCAATTTCTGATCTCCGTCCCACACAGAGCTTTTCGAATCAGCAAAGAGCTGACTCAAAGCAAGCTCACGAGCATAAGAGTAGAATATCGAAGCCGAGGATTCAATAGTGAGTAAATCCGCTAGTGAAGGCATATTGTTGACCTGAAGATACGACGATGTGTCTCCGATTTCAAATTCTGGTGAGTTGAGAGGAGTCTGTGGTAAATCTGCTGAGGCCGAGAAGGAGAACGGTATCAGAGAAAGGATGAGAGTGAAGGAAAGAAAGTGCCGCATGTTGTAAGTTGGTCGATGAGGTCACTGTCACTGTCACTGTCTATCGTCGAAGGAGAATTCTTTGTTGGGCACGCGCTTCGGGAACAAATATTGCACAGCCGTAGTCCCGTGTTGCCGGTTTGCCGACACCTGTGGAGTCTTCGAACGAGCACATGATGCAGTACGCCTCTACTGCATCGTGTCAGATCGTGTCGACTCGTCTCCTCTCGTCTCGAAGCATCCCCTCCGCTTCAACATCTCTTTCTTTCCCTTCCCTCCCACCCTGCTCAGCCACCCAGATCATCAACACTCACAAAGACAAACTTTCTTAAGAAAAAACCCTCAAGACCTCTGATTCAGTCCAAACTGAGTGAGCAGTGGTAGCAGGATGGGCCCTCCTACCCATCGCAGCTAACCGCATCGACCGGACCTCACTGCAGCTGGGACCCTCTTCCCCAACCTTCCCCAACCTTAGTGCACACAATACCTGTATAAACGTACATACATATATATCCCTGCTAGATAGTTACGCCTATAATATTATTGAATATACATGCATCTGGCTTAGTCCAAAGATTGGGTAATATAACTCGGGTTGCCCTCGTTCAGGGCTCACAAATCGATCAAATTCTCATTCTGGATTTTAAGAGCAGGAGGCGTTGTCACTTACACGATCTTCTATTACGCGAAACTACACTATATAGCCCTCTCCTCCATATCCCAGTACGCATTCAACGCTAGCTGGCCCCCAAGATGCGCATATAGAATATTCGTGGAATTTTCCCCATCCAGTGCGCGAATCTCTCCTTTTTTCACCATATCTATCATGCCAGCGAGACTTTTACCTTCGTACACCAGATCGGTGATGAATGCGTCCATGCGCGCACCGTAGCTGCAAAAATAAGAATCAGTCTTATGATAAGGGACTTCTTCGAAGGCGGAGATAGCCTGAGACTCGGAGAGATTCAAGAAAAACGCACCGTATAGCCTCGATCGTCTGCTTGTCTGGAATGCCATATGTTCCTGCATGATACCTTTCATCCAGGATAACATCGTCCTCCTCAATCTCATCCGCACCGAGCCCAATTTTCTCCGCTGTGGCTTTCGCGATCCTCAACACCTGAGACCTTGTCTCTGCAGGCGTAGCACTGGCGTCAATACCAATAACTTTCCTCCTACCCAGCCTTTCTCCATCCTCCGGATGCGTTTTCGCAAGCAATTTGAACCCTGCGATCATCCCTGCAAATGTCGACCCCGTAACAGCACACACAAGAACCGTGTCGAAGAAGACACCCAATTCCTTCTCCTGTGCGTACACTTCGAATGCCCATCGGGCAAATCCTAATCCTCCTAGGGGATGATCGGAAGCTCCGGCAGGAATATAATAAGGCTTGCCTCCTTCGGACAGAACTTGCGCTGTGAGAGAGGCTGCTGTGGGTTTGTGCTCGATGCCGAATTTCGAGTCATGATCCAGGTTTGAATCGGCACCCATCAGTCTCGAGAGTTGAATGTTTCCGACTTTGGAGTAGACGGATGATTCATAGTCGACCCAGTGTTCCTGAACAAGTTTAGCCTTAGGGCACATAAAGAATGTTAGGGTGAAATTTGAGGACGAAAGTAGAAACGAGGATATACCTTCAATCCATATTTGGCTGCTACCGCGGCTACCTGCCTAGTATGATTACTCTGCACACCTCCAATGCTAACGAGCGTATCAGCTCCCTGTTCTAATGCTTCCGCAAGGAGGTATTCCAATTTTCGCGTCTTGTTACCTCCGAAAGCTAATCCAGAGTTACAATCGTCGCGTTTGGCGTAGATGTTCACTGGATGGACACGGTAAGTGGATTCCATAAAGAATGAGAGAACCACAAGACGAAGCTTGCCATTAATACCTTTGTACCCGATAATCGCATTCGAGAGGTCATCCGAAATCCGATCCAAGCGATGTATGGGCGAGAAGCCAAAAAGCAAAGATTCTCGAGGGATTACGGAAAATGGGGCTGGAAGATTTAGAGCATCGATGGTACGAGAAGACATTTGAAGCATTTCAAATCCAAGCCCGCAGTCTTATTGATCGATAATGTGGGAATTTTAATAATGGCGTGCTCTGTGTGAGTGAATAATCTACAGAAATTCATTGGGAAGAACGTTTGGACTGAACAAAAGTTCGTGAAACGATTCGTGCAAAAGCTTGAAGTCTGGAAAAGAACGAACGTGATGACCCCGGAGTCAGCCGAAGCTCTTTCGACGACGCCTGAATTTCTTTTCCAACCCATAAACACGAATACTCGATTGTATTCTAATAGTTCTATATCTCGAGGGCATTAATTATATACGACACTCGAGCTATGTACCATGCAACCGCGTTCATGAATCACGATTTTCGATTAGTGAGTTGGGAAAACTTCGTAACTTGAATAACTTTTAACTTAACTCAAGGTTCTGTATCCGAAGAAGCTCGGAAGAAGATCTGTTACATTATTGAACAAAGTTCCAACCATGCCAAAGTAAAGTAAAGTTCCAGAACCAATTTAATAGCACCGAAAACCATCTGATAGAGAACTTAGACCCCTCAAGCACTCTGGACCACTGCCATCAGTATCCCAATGCCTATGAGATACCCAGTAACGAGCAGCGAGCTACACACTGCGACTCAAGCGACAATCGAAGGCTTGAAATCATTGCGCCTCGATTGTTGTCTTGTAGGTAGCGTTGCATGTTGCGCGTACGGAATGTCCAGGGTGCCCAACGTGAGTTTTTCATTATGTAGTATGACCATTGTCCTCCTCTCGTACTAAGTCCCGACGTAACAGGACATCGATATGGTCGTTTTGACATCTCGATATACTCAAGAAGAGCTCAAGAATCTCCTGGTCCAATACAATTCTACATTTTACCTCATTGCATCCAAAGATCCACTGGCGACATATCGAGTGCTGTGGTTCAGACTTGCTGGATATCGTCGCTCTTGTAAAGTTGATTTGCTCCTCCCTGGAACCATGAACATTCCATCTGTGGATCCTAGTCGTATCTATCGAGTTGGGAATACCCGCCAGACGGACAATATCTATTTTTCAGTTCTGTGAGTGTTCTTACAAGCAATTCATCTACTGGTTGCGAATTAGCCTTTTCTAGGTCCGCCAAATACCCATTGATGCCTTTCCTCCCTCTTCTTTTGCTCAAATTACAAGCCTGGCAAGATCACGGTGAATCTGCCAAGCTCTTCATGCGTGACAAGCAACCAACCGATGTACAAGACATTCTGGAGCTGCTTCGGCTCGCTGAGCAGAACTATGCGCTTTCTGATACCACGGGAATCACTGCCACTGTTGGTTCTGGTCAGCCCATTTCGAGATAGTATTCGTTGTCGTCCAGGACTGACTCATGATCCTCCCTCATCGCAATGCAAAGATACCACCCAAATCCAAATAAAACAATCCAGCTTATTGAAGCGAGAAGAACCCTATTTGCCAAAATCATTCATCGAAACTGCAAAAACAAGGGTGAGGAAGTTCGCTCAAATGTATCCACGGTCAGAGAAGCAGTGGATAATGATAGGATTCGAGATAAACAGCGGTGTGGCTTTTCGTGCTACAACTAGATCGACACAAAGTAGTGTGCGAAGGCTTGAAAATATGATGAGCTCGATGGCATTGAATTTCTAGAACGACTACTTCCATAGGTATATACTAACTCATATTATGTGTAGCTCGCAATACTGCAGGTCATCAATTATATGTAGACGTCGACAATTCATCCCACAGGCCCCTGACTATCAGCTGCAAGTTGGTACACTTAGATTGACTATACCACGACGGTTGATACGTGAGCGTATTATCGGATCGATACCAGTAGGGAGCTGTCAGAGCATATCATGCATATGCATATGTTCCAGTGTCGGAACACAGCAGGATGCTTCTAACGACCCTCACTGCATCAACCTCAGCTAGTTCAACTATGAGCCTCGTTCAGCGGCAAGAAATCCCTGAAAGTAACACCACAATCAGCGTGAAGTTCAACACGAGGAATTGGTAAAAAACATATTAAACAAAACCTCTTATGAGTTCTCATCAAGAAGAACATCTTTGTAGACGATCTTCAATTGTTTATAAGAAATTTCATGGGTGTCTTAAGGCGAAGGAAGATTTGTATGAGGATTGAAATTTGTTAGAATAAAGGAAAAGGGTAAAAGTTTGATAATTTTGTAGAGGAACGAGGACATGGAGTCGGATGTATGCTGTTCAATCTGCACAAAAAATATGTGAGTCGGAGAAAGTCATACTAGTCAGACATTATAATATGAGTAGTCTTAACTCCCCAGTCTTGCTTCCTTTGTAAATTGGCTCTCCAAGAAGTTTCAAAATGACTGCTTCAAGCTTAGGATAAGCTTATCCCCACCTGGGTGCAGGGGGCTACCTTGCCCATATTCTAATGTTGCCTGAAGGGAGGATCATAGAAGTCACCGCCGCCGACTTTCAAAGCTGCTTTAAAGATTGCTGCTGTTGGATGAAGTAGATCTCGGAGATAAGGAAGATCAGGACAGCCGGGCACAGAAGGTACGGACCTGGCAAGTACAAGAACTTAGTTGAAGGATGCTGAAGACTGCTGATTCCTGAAGATTGCGTGACCAAAAAGACTTCGACACTATAGAGACCAGCAGCTGGCCACCCGAGAAGATTTAAGGACTCATCAGAAGTCTTACCCGTACAATAGTAGTTCTATACATTCGGGATTGCAAAGACCCTTTCCAAGCAATAACTACAGCTTGCCTAAAGGCTACGTATAAAACAACGTTGAATCGGCGTTGCGGCGTCTTGTTGTTAAGGTGGACGTACAAGGATGTGGCACCGACGAGTCGCACTGGACAAACGCCGTGGCAATATGAAGGAGAAGGAGGACGTCTCACAGTCCTGAAATCACGGTCATTTCGGAGAATATTTCTCGTCAATTGGTACTAGAGATAATAAGGAAATATTCTATCTGGAATCTATGTAGAAGCTTACATTGACAACAATAGTGTTTACGAGGGAGTTTCTGCTGTTCTACGAAGTAATAAGTTAGATATATTACCGTACGAGACGGAGGCGAAAAAGGCAAATAAGATTGCACTTCTCACAGTACAGATGGACATGGAAATACAACGAGAATGGTATCACGGAGAAAATATAAATATTCTGTGTAGGATTTTACTTGCCAACTTTTTTTTTCGTTCTGCACCCGAACGTGGAATGTAGTGTGGATAACCACTACGTACCACAACTCGATGCTAGACGATTTCACCGAGGGTCAAATGGAATCATTGGCATTTGTCCTCCTACTGCCCGCCAGGCATCTTGTCGCGATTGGAGTCCCCGCAGAAGCCTATGTAGTACTTGGCGAACCTGAGGCATGAACACAGCGAGGATTTGTGGGGAAGGGTCTTCCCCGAGACATTGTTCCAGAACTGCGCGTAGGTCTTTGGGTATCGAGTGTAAATCACTGAAGAAAGAAACAGAACAAATCAGACGGTGAAATCTTCGTAATGGTTCGAAACAACGAGTGCGAACCTGAGATCTATTTTGTGATATGTGAATGCGTTCACTGTAGCATTGAAATCGGTCCCGATTTGGACGTATACGTCGCTGACCTGGGCTTCGGTCGCCTGACCTACGCTCCAGTATTTTAAAATGTCCTGCAATTGCTTCATGGATAGCAGGAGATTGCGAACGGCAGATGGGACATCTCCCTGAGCACGCTGGTAGTAGGCAGGTGGATGCATGATCAGAGTGAAGTGGATGAGGGGTGGTGAGAGTTTTTTTTTGCGAATTCGAGTGTCGAATGGAGATGAAGAGAACGAGTTTTTATGGGTCAGTTTGATTAAGCGCAAGATATATATTACATGTGCTTACTGGAATGACACGCGAAATACTGTTCCATCCAATGCCACTGCTTTGTGATGCGTGTGATATACTTGATGCAGGAGTATGGTTGTAGGAGTGCTGTGAATACATGGATGATAGAAGGAAGAAAAAGCTATGACCCGAACTGCGTAGCAAAGAAGTAACCAGACGACGGCGCCAACGGTTCACGGAATGGAATATTGATGAGATTCTCCGAAATTCTCCTTGACGTAGGTTCCCTTTTAACCTTTAATTTGTTATATATCATAGCCATGGAGGTCGGTAAATTCGGTAGAAATCAAGGATTAATTTGAGAAGGCGTTGGACGGAAACAATTATTATGTAAGCTTACCGCATCGCTTTCACTCGGTTTTAGCATAGCTGTGCTCTGCCACCACGTTTCTGCACGATGATACAGGTAACCATTGAATCTAAAAGGAATATTTTATCGACTGGTGCCCAAATCCAAAATTGCAAAGTCGACGTTCAAGGGATCATTCATCACTTCGCCACTGTCACAAGTTTCATGACTGTATCTCGCGTATCCTAAGGTATCCTATGTGTTTCTTATGCTTTCTTAATTGCCACACTTCCATCAAGTCCGTCGAAGTTGGTTGCAAGGACTACGTCGTGATATGACCTCGCCTTCAAACTTCAAACTTGAGAGTTCAAACTTACTTCGTTAAACATACGCTGTCTCTGTCATGTTAATACTTCGCACAGCTCAACCTTCTAATTCTGGTGAGTGACGAGTTTGTAAACTTGAAACGACCGCTATCTATGCAACTCGGCGCTTTCTTCTAACAGGTATCCTCGTCTCGGTTGAACGAAGCAAGAAACTGAGGCCCATTCTTGATCATCAACTCATGTTAAAACAGTGCTCTATTTGTCCATCTCTTCCAAAGTTCCCAATCATGCATAAACGGATTCAGTCTCGACTCGAGGTTTTCATGATTCTCCGTTCAACATCAAATGTTCATGATATTCGCTAAGCAGTTGCGTCAGTGGAACTTGGGAGAACCCCGGATCTTTCAACTGCAATACTACATAGGCAGTACTTTGTGCACTGATTGAGGCCTAGAGATGGTCCAATCATCGCCAGCTCAGCCGACTGCGCGCTTCTTGAAGTGCGTAGATATTATTGAACGATTCTCATAATTTGTCTGATATTATTATCTTCAACGTCTTGACAGAATTCGACTGTTCAACTTTCAATGTTTAATGCGCCAGTAAGAACATGACTGGGGATTGTCAACACTAAGCACTGAAATTCCAACTTATGATCTATGATTTTGTCGGGGGTGGAAATTCATCGTACGGGTTAGGAAAAAAACGCACTGCGCTATACTAATGTGCTCAATGGGCAGAACAATTTGTTACAACGATGATACATACGTATAAAGATCTGCTGCTCATTGCAAATTGATGATCATTGCTTTAATTTACTACTACTATCTCAGCTCAGTGCGATGGCAACACATCACATTACATCAAATGTATGTATCATCGTGTGTAGACCTGTGTAGACGTAGACGCGGCAATGACAGGAGGAGTGCCTACACTGGCATACACCCGAAGCACACGGACAACATCTATTTTCGAATACCAAGTCAATAGGCTCTCAGGTGTTGTCATGTAAGCATATTCAACTAGGAGCCTACAGTCATGGTGATATAGGTTCAGTCCATGAACACTGATAGAAGTACATACGAATATGGCAGCACAATTTGAAATGACAGGTCCAGAATTATAGGTATCGTCAGAAAGTCATGAATCGTTAAGATCGTAAGAAAAACATGATGAGTAAAACAACAAGCAATAAGCAATAATAATGATAAAAGAAAAAAGTAGCCTAACTATCGACAGTGAGAATAATCGTCGAGGGTGTCGTGTACCGGGGGACTAGGTAAACGGGAGGGAGGAGACAAAAAGCAAACGAAGAACAACGAAAAGTAAATCGATAAAAAGTGGGGAACACGGATAATGTAGGAGTACAAGATGGGGAGAGAAAGAAGAGACGGAGAAGAGAGGAGAGGGGTTTAATGGATGAGCAGGATCGCTCGCTTATCGCCTACCCTCTCCTCTGTTTCCCCCTTTCACTTTTACCTCGTTTACTTCATGCCAAAAGTCACCCCACCGCTGTCCTCGACCCTCTTCTCGCATGATAACCGGATCACGACCATCACCCCCGCTACCACTGCCAACCATCTCTCGCCTGTACGCCTCATTCCTCGCTTTCTCCACCCTGTGCAGGGCGTTGAGTAGAGAAGGCGTCGTGGGGACTGGGAGTACGAGTGGGGGAGTGACAGATGAAGTGAGCGGTTGGACGAGCGGCTGTGTCACCGGGAGTGCCTTAGTTGATGTTGGCGTCGAGAGTGATGGCGATGCTTCTGCGAGCACAGGGGGGATTGGATGTGAGTTTGAAGAAGCTACTGCCGTTCGCTCTGAAGAACGGGAAGTCTGAGACGGCGAAGAATGTGCTGAGGAATGAGCTGAAGAAAGGGAAGAACGATGTTGTTTGAGAAATCTGGGTGTCCACTGTGGAGTAGATGACATCGAGCGAGTCGCACCGCTGACGATGTCTTCCTCACCAACAGTCCTACCCTTGTCGCCTTTATCTTTGAAATCCGAATAGTCTGGTGGACCGAATAAAGCATTATCAGTATCGCTTAAACTAGGCGACATAGGGCGAATTTTCGGGTCAGTACGTCGCCTAACAGCTCGGATCCGTGCTCGTTCCTTCTCGTGATTCAACTCGTCTTCGTCAGAAGAACTGAGCTCATCCAACGGTCGAAATTTGACCATCTCCTTCTTTCGGAACCCAGGCGATGGAGAAGATAAGGATCTCGAAGATGACGAACGACGGCCATTCTTGAGTAAAAGACCCGGGTGGGGCTTATACAAAGGAAGAGGCTCGTCGACGGAATTAGTAAACGGTGAGGTAGAGTCGAACTTTCGGAGTTTGCCAGGTCCGGGACTCGAGAGATACTCCGCATCCAAGTCTAAACCCAATTCTGCGTCATCGATTTGAAAGGCGACTTCCTTCTCAAAATTTCCTTCCTTTAATGCCCTTGCTTCCTCGTTCCTGTTATCCCTCGAGCCAAAGACTCTCTCCCAAACCGATTCGAACGGTCTAAAACTCCCTGCCCTCTTCACGTCGTTCGGTAAATTCACAGCATACTCCGCCAGATAGGAATCCCACTTCTCATCAGGACATTCTCCCCATTTCCTCCAAAATGCCCAATCGCACACTGTACCTGCCAAGATAAGAATGCAGAACAAAGCTGAAAAGCCTTTCTCAGTGGAGGTTCCCCAGGAGGAGGATGCAGGCAGATATAGGTGAGACCAGGGGGAGGACCAGGATTGGAGTGATGATGCCGAAGAAGAGGAAAACGACGATGAAGATAGTAAAGAAATACACATTGTCACACCAAAAGAACCCGTCGACGATGCAGCGAACCGAAGCAGAGGATGTTTGAACCTCGTAAGAGGAGGTATGAACGCGCTAAGCATTATTGCAATCATTGATATGACCATAACCGCGATAGTGAACACCACACGTGCTTCCAGTGGAGGGTGTATGATGATACATACGCCTAACACAGACGATGCTCCACCGGAGAGCCCTGCAAGACCTAAGGCAACAATGCTATACCGTGCGGCAAGGACGGTAGTAGTGAACGCGGATAAGACCCAGATAGCTATGAAGGCGCCGCTAGAAAGATCGGAGGAGGTAATATTTGGGATAATTAACGCGAGGAATGTTGACAGATGTACTACACAGTTCCTCAGTTTATTTTCATCTTTAAGTAGAAATCTTGAGGAAGGACTCACCACCAAACGCATAGCCCAGCAGAATGCCTCCTACGCCTCCTTCCAAAACCATCATTCTCTTTAACCTCAACCCTTTGGTCTCTTTCCCAAAACTCCCTGGCATCACATACATATCATTCTTAGCACGAAATCTCCTCGTCCTATCCAAGGTCAGAAATGCTCCAAAAAAAGTCAAGATTAGCGAGACCAAGAGCAATGGAAGAGCATAAGCCAGTAGATAGGATGAGCTTGGGAGGAGCGTGGACAAGCTGTCGCTAGAACCCGATAGACTAGAAGTATTGGTGGCCATGGGAGCGAAGAAGACGAGTCTTGGTACGCGTGTGTTTGTGTCGTTATGTCGTTAGTTCGTTCAGGTCGTCGTCAGGTATTGGGCAAGGCAGGTCGTGAGATGAGAGAAGAGAGAAGAGGAGAATGATAAGATAACAACTGATTAGTAGATAAGATTCGAACGTTCAGGTCGCACGAAATCTTTTGTTTTTTTTTCCTCTCATCATGCTCTCCAGTCGCAATGATTCTTCAGCGGTAAGAGCCATTGATTTTTGGTTTTGTCAACGGTCCGAGGCTCCGCTCATCTTGATATTGGCTACCTCGCGACTCGTCTATGACAGCAAAATGGATCTCTTGCGATGCACGATCCTTGCCGCGCAAAAGTTAAGTTTCACTCAAGAAGACAACCTGTACCTTAGATTGTCCACACGTTGTCACCCTTCTGTCGTCTTCAGGCCAACGTCAGTGTGTTCAAGAAGTGTCTCTGGAGCAAGAAGACGAAAGGTGAAAAAATTATTTAGATTAGCCCTTCCCGAACCCGGTCGAGGGCCTTTTGCCTCAGTGCTTCCAACGAACTCGTTCATATTGACAATTGTTGTCAGGAGGGTGATGGTGAAAACCTGAGAACCAAGTCGCACCATGAGATGGAATACGTACTGAAGGAAATGATTAGACATACTATTCTGTTATGTAAGCAAAAGGTGCGTACTGAGTCGTATCACTATCAACTACCTGTTATTAAAGCCTCCTCATTGTGTTTGCTTGGGAAGGAGGATGGTCGGTACACTAGGCTCAGGTACGGATTATAGTGAAATTTCTGATATCCCGATTTCGGCTTTAGGGCCTTGATGTACTCCACTTCCTCCATTTGCTCTACCCCTTCCAATTTTACTTCTTCTTCTACCTCCTTTCCTCCTTACACTATACACAACATCTGCTCTAGACCCGATTCGACGATTCAGCAAACTCACGAGAGTCAAATTGCGCTGGGACGCTCAGTATTTTCATATACCCATATTCATTTTCGTCGAATATTCCAGTAATATTCCCAACCCTTCAAGTTACAACGTCGCGATCTAACTCTCGTACATGGTGGAATCGGGTTATCATGATACGGAGGCGTTTCGAACCAGTCGTCCCGTCTTTCCCCCCGTCTTCAAGAAGTTCCTGTTCCATCGTCCATTTTGGTAAAGTCTCTATCCTTAGCGTTCCTCTGATCCCACCTTGACCGCGTTCAGAGCGTCGCCATGGCTCAGCTGCGCTGCATGACAATCACACCTTCCAAATATCAAGCTCTTTTCCCACCAATGTTAGGAACCCATTATCGATTTTTGCATCGGGAAGGTCAATACGTCATAAGCAATGTTGCTATTATTATCTTGATTAACTTAGTAACATCGAAGTACAAGTAACCAAGGATAAAATAGTAAGTACATCTCAATGATCTCATTATTCCTACTTCCTGCCTGTTGCACCGGGGCTTTACTAGAGTCCCGTCTTGGTGACGGACTCAACTGTAAGATGTCCCAAGGCCTTGGTGGTCCTAAATGCGTATTGTCGAAGCGTCTACGGTGCCAAATTTCAGTTATTGATGCACTTCTGGAGAGAAAAATTTCCATTCACCTCAGTTCCTACCATAGGCTAGATATCAAACGGTATTAGCCAAATTTTCCCTTTAATGAAAGGCTGGGACTCACCCCGATAATTAAGTCTAGCCCGTCTCCTCCGTTTTCAAGGTCTGCGGCGAGTTTGACTTCATCATCTCCCTGTTCGCCATGCGTACAAAACGACGTGAACTAAAGAAACGTATTTTACGTGATCGGCATTGCTTGCGAGAATCCGAAAACAGATTTATTCCTTACCTCATGCCATTGTTCAAAGTCGGGAGTCTATAGGTGATTATTAAACTTCATCTGAATACAAGGATGAATTAGCAAGCACTTGACTTACCTCCATCCAAGTATTAATCGTTGTGGATGACAAAGTAGCAGGACCAAATTTATGAACCTTGAGACTGGTCAATGCGGATTCGTCGAACTTGAACGTGATCAAGTCGGCACAGTTGGTTTTCACGTTATTAGCATCAACCTGGCGTTTCTTGCACCAGTCGAGGATGCCCGCCTTATTATCTGATACGTAGAATCCTCCTTTACCTATTTATTTTTCGAGCAGATAAATGAGTTCAGCAACGGCTCAGTATCATGGTGGACTATTACACATACCCTTGGGATTGAAGTCATCACCTATCGTGGGTTTGACTTGTAGCTTGACCCCGCCGCTGTGGATGCTAGCCGCTGAAGCAGCGGTAGTGACATGGTAGAGCTCGATAGTAGCACGCTTTCCGAGTGCAGAGGCTCCAACCCCACCCTCGACGTCAGGAGCACGGATCGGGGATGCTGTCACAGTAGTAGCATGAAGAGCGAGTGCGGCACTCAACAGGACGCGGAGAAGCTGAGAATAATGCATTATCTTATAGAAGGTCGAAGATGAGAGACTGGCAATGTTGAGCAACGAGGATTCGGAGGAGGTTAATGTGTACAGGAACTAGAGTAGATATTTCACGCCGACCTGTAAATAAAATAATACTCAGTCAACTCGTCTACCAGGGGACAGGGAGCTCAAATAATGCGTTGAGCTCGTCACTCACCTGCGGAGTGAACTTGAATATGAGGAAGTTGAGAGTGTATATGTGTGCTAACCAGAGCTGGGGAAACACCCCTCATTTCTCTACCATATTTTATAGCGGCTCATAGTCAATATCCTGGAAGACTAAGGCTGATCCTGACCTGGATGTCACCTACTGCTGACGCATATACCACCTCGGGTGTCGGGGACAAATATCAGCGGGACGATGCAAATGGCAGACTCATCTCCTTCTGGGTTGCTCAGACACTCAAGTAAACTCAAAGAATTATTCGCAGTCATTTTTCCGAGTCCTTTCATTGCATCCGCCTGTACTGAAATTATCTCATAATTTTAAACTCAAGACATGTTGCAAAAGGAGAAGAAAATAATTCACTTATGTTTACGTCCTTGTTATGGAATTGTGGTTGCAATATAACCCGGACATAGTTTCGACTACAGAATACCATGCGTTCCTAAGTAGTCTGGAACGCTGTCTGCTAATAGCAGATAACTAAATCTTGAGTGCGGCCTCTCATATGCTCCGAGATAATACATAGTAATGTTCCCTGAAGTATTTGGACTTCGAAGTATATTTTACATATCATGAAATTGGGTGGAAGAGTTACACAACTACACTGGCTGCACATGCTCGGAAGTTTCAGACCATTATAGGTAGCTCACTCGGAATTGCTACCGCCGCAAAGTTGACATCTCTTAATAATATAAGAATATCCGAGTCTGTATTTATTTTCAAACTTGAATATAACACGTAGTACAACTTGAAGGGTCAACGTTAGAGGTTTGAACAGAGCTAGAGAAACCCCCCCTCCCCCTTACTCTCCTACCATCTTTGATAGCCATTAGCAGTCAATCTTGAAGACTGAGACTAAGCTTGTTCTGTCAGTTAGCTACTTCTGACGCCTTGAGTATCGGGGAAAAGTGTGCATGTAGATGTAGCGGCGTCCTCAGTTACGAAAGCTGTTCCAAAAATGATGACACTAATACATATGCCAATGCCAAATGTTAGAGTCATCTCAACCCATCTCCTTGTGTGCTGCCCAGACACTCAAGTAGATGCCGCTGGGTGTTATTTTCAGTCCCTTGTTCCGCCGAGTCCTCAATTTGAGCAAGTACTTACATCCGCCTGTACTGAAATTAATTCATAACTCGAACAGGTCAAAGAAAAATAATTCCCTTAGTACCATAATATTTTCATATGTATTTAGTATTTTCCATGGAGTTGTGGCTGCCGCAAGATAAATCCAACAAAGTCTCCAAGTCGACTACCGATTCCCATGCGCTCCGAAGTCTGCAACTGACTTCTGATACCATTCATATTTCGAGTTCATCATACAGAAAAAAATGGTACACTCAGTTCTCAAACTCGGAGGTCTCAGAGCACGAACAGGCTTACTTGCTCGACATACTATGAGGTTCCAAGCACCACCACTAACTCACAGTAGAGCCGTGTTTACGCTGGTAAAAATGTTTGAATTTTTTGCATCCAGACTCGGAAAAACGTACGACTTTAACCATGCCATTTGGAGCGGCTAGAAGTCAAGGCGGTAATTGTACTACAGTGAAGGAGCTTGAAGCTTGACGGAGCGCAATATACAGCGGTAAATACAATTGAGGGGGATCCTTGGAACTTAGCGTAGAACCCAAACTTAAGGGGGGGACCGGCGTAGATGCAAAATAGGTAGTTAGGCTTGAGTTGAGCACTGCAGCTACGAATGACTCACGTTAATTGAATTGGATCTTTGGATTGAAACACGCAAATCCTAGGATAGCATTTTAGTGTTAGCAGTAGCAGCCACAAGATGCCACAATGGTTACAGCCAAACTGGTAACCGCCGATGAAAAGAAATTGTTAAGTAAGTAGTACTAGGTTGAATGAAATGACAATAATATGTATTCGATGATGAGAATATCCGACATTATCGAGAGTCTCGGAGTTTCATCCCAAATTCAGTCAGCATGATTCAGCTTTGGCTGAAAGCATTCAAACTGGACCAAGGGGATGGAATTGAGTGTCGACATACCAGCCTGAGCTAGCCTGAACAACGCTACGCCGATGATACTCCACTTAATTTCGTTTTCGACCCAGGAAAATCGGGGTCAATCCGTCGATGAGGACATGCAGGAGATGAGACGGGTGCCATTTTCGAAGATTGCGATGCGCTTTCGAGGAAGTACGAGGGTTTTGACACAAAATCAAAGACTTTTCTCAAGAGTTTCGGCGGTCGAGTGCGTAATTTCCTTGCTAGCGGCTTAGTTAGCTCGGAGCTCGGTTTTTCATTTGGTTAACAACCGCTCAACGCGGTCTTGTCCGAGGTCGAACTAGCGGCCCTTTCGTGAGATCTAGTAGAAGTAGCGGCATTAGAGACGAGAAATAGGAAGAAACAAACTCACTTTATCAAAATTGGTGCCAAAATTCAGCTAAACATATTTACATACTAATCGCCAGTCGATTCTTCTCCTTCCTCAGATCGACATGGGTTCGACACGGGGACCTTGTGTGACGCGCGTGCGGCGCTCAGGAGAGTCCGGAGGTGGCCTGCTTTGTTTTGGAGGGATATTTCATTGGAAACAAGTATTGTCACATTGACATTGTGTTGAGATCGTTCAGGAAGAGAGCAGGTAGAGAGCAAGCAAGGCAGGAAGAGGAGAGGAAAGAACGGTTATGTAGCGTGTGTCTGAGATTCGGCTCGACAGCCATTCCGGTCAGCCGCACCGCATATAATCAGAGCTCGCTTCAGGTTCATAATTATGACCCATCTTGAACTAGGCGTTCTCGACATGAATGAAGGTGGTATTGTGCTGCATGCCTTGCAATCCACGTATTTATAACTGCAGCCTGGTGAGAGACAACTCAACTAGCAATATATAATATGGCCATGCCATGTTACTTGGTCTGGGTAGCTCAATACAGTATAACCGTACTGAGCCCGTACCAGGTAGCGTTGAAGAGCTCAACTACATTGTTCTGTGGCAGCAACATACGGCAGCGATGTGCACGACAAAAAGAATCTCATCTGCTCTGCTAGAGTAGGCTAGAGTACTATACAATCCAGATTTTGCAAAGAAATACATCTGATGAGAATTGAAGGTAATAATTGGAGCTTAATATTGAATCATAGGGATGGGAAAGATAGCTGTATGGTCTGCTCAAATTCTACTAAGTATGTATGAGGCTCCAGACGCGTCTCATATAATATCCGTGTAAATATCTAACTCGGCCAGGTGCGGAATACGATTCTGCACATCCCCATCTGAATTTCGATGCCACTGCGGCGACTTATACATACTATACAACTCCGTCGTGGGCCTGATGCCAGCAGGGCTGAGCCTAGCTGAAGTTATGCTCCACCGTACAAGGGAAATGTTGCATACTCAACTCCGTTGTCCGACTGATGCCAGGTGGGCTCGCCTTATGTTCCACCGTCCATGGGAAACCATTTCGATACTACTCTATTGCTCATGGTCATACAGGAACATTTGCTCCACGTTTCGACTCTATCACTCAGAAACGGATTTGACTTGAATCCTTCAGTTATGTCCATCCAAACCGAGTCAAGAAAATGCAGTAAACATTACATTATGTCTCGCCACCAGTTGCCGGAGCTGTCATTCATGAATGGTGTATGTATCATGATGCATTCTGTTCAGAGGGGGATAATTCTTGAAATGGAGACCAACATATTTTCGAGACGAGACCTCCAGCAATGACTCCCCACTATAAATCATGGTCCAAGATGCAATGCAATGCTCCCCAGCTCTGGTAGCCTTCATACACTTCATATTCCTTGTTCTTTTTACTCCGCAGGTCAGCGAAGAACTTTTTCCCCTATGGTATTTCAAACTGAACACCTTGTTGATGATATCCAGGCCGGCGTAAATCACAGTTATCAAGCACCGACTTTCCCAATAAATCTTGCAGATTAACATACTTCAAGCTTCGCCATGCATTATTCTCAACTCATTAAAGTATTCATCTGTGTTGTGTCTGTCCTGCATGTCTCCGCATCTCCATTTCCTGTCTCCGACAAGCTTGACACTGCATCATCTCCCGAGCTTGGAAAGCGCGCGAAAATTCAGCTTTTCCATATCACTACTGCTGCTGCAGCAAAAAGTATTAAAGAAGGTGGAGCGAAATTACAAGTCAAGCCTACCATAGGAGATGATTTCAATCCCAAAGGTATTTGCATCATCGCATGCAATTGGCATGATCACTGACTAACTCCCTTTCCTTGTTCAACTGCAGGGACAGGCGGGTTTTACGTAACAGATAATAAGAAGGCCATTGTCGATTGGTGCAAAGGCCGCAATGCAGGGGGTGACAGAGCAAAGACCAATTGCGCCGAATTGATTACCTTTGAATTTGATGATTCTGCGCTGAGCAGTCTCAAGGTTCACAAATTCGTAGGTCCTGCTGGTTCGGCGACAACAGATCTATCAACTTGGATGGGCGTAAGTACAGCATTTCCAATCAAATCTTACAGGTACTTACTGATCAGGTTTCCCCAATAATTTCAGACCACCGATTTCGAACAGTGGCATGAGGTTTATTCAAATTCAAATTTATGCGCACCTGAACTAACCTCGCCCACACCTCCATGATCTAGTTCACGTCACTGTGTACGCATGGTGAACAAAACGATGAGGATGTTAAGCTCCCCGCGGATCTGGCGAACTCCGGGAAAGATTTGGATTTGGTCATTGGCGTAAGTTCTTGCTGGCTTTGGCTCAAATCCTCTTTTTTTGATGGGAAATTTCTGACCATTGAATATCTAGCCCATGGTTTCAACTGAGGTAAATCCATATTCTTGGGATGTGGAAATTTTGTTACTCAACCTCCAACACTTGAACACCTAGACGGTGAGACAATATGCATTCAGGACCACGAAAGCATTGGCACACCTCAAATTTGTCAGTGCAGCAGCTTCGGGAGTTTGATGATACCAATGTGATTGGGACGAGGTGTTACTTACTGTATTCCTCACTCTTGTATATGCATACCAGAAGTCATAGGGGTTATGCATAATTTAAAATTGGTTCCAGTAAGCACAAGGGATCTAGTCGATGATCACAAATGAGTTATCTGTTTGGAATCAACTGAGTTCGACCTTTGAGTAAGAGTTCAACAATCCAAGCTTGCTGATAGTATGTCTGTGGACTCAATGTCTCGAAGGGGCTTGAGCTCAACGAATTATGCCAGCCCTGAACTTTTGTAGTACACTACGGCCTCTGACCTATCTTCTAACACTTACTAATATCCGCATATACTGAGGTCAAATAAAATGCCATTAACATGAAGATCAGGAAGAATCGGAGGTTTTCAGCTTGCAAAAGCATGGAATGGGATATCCTTTCGAGGATTTTGACGGACAGGCTGTGAATGATCATCGAATCGTTCAAAGGCAGAAGCGCGTAGCAGTTCACTTGGGCATGTTTGGGCCTGTTTTGCTTGCATTGTGATCTCGCCGTGTCACAGTGTGACAATGATGAAAACAAAGAACCTCAAAGGACTCGGAGCAAAAAGGATTTGAATTTTCAACACTTTCGCTAATGGCACTTTTGGATGTAGAACGGCGACGGGAAAAGAAAACCTCTGGTAGACTAGATCAACAACAGCAGATGAGGCAGAACATTGCAAATTGTGTGTATCTGAATCTCCATTTGGCATCACAGAGATGGTAGGACTTCGTTCTTTGTGGTTTCCGTCTTCAACATCTTCATCGATATCTCTTTCCGCACCGCTTTTGGAACCTCGTATAGTTTCACCCCGTCTTACTCTTACTGCACATCAACTCAGGAGAGTGTCGAGATAGCTCGGAAAGACCGCGACGTTTCGTGAGTTACATGGCTTCATAAGTGGAAGAGCACGACCACGTCTTGCTTCCTACCATTAGGACTACCACTACCATCGACGCGTCCCCTACGTCATGGGCTTCATCTAGGGTATAGTATATAGCATTCTCGCGACTCACTCTGGTACCACCACCATCGTTCATTTACACGTACCTTCCTGACCTTCTCAATCCAAGATCTCTGCCTGTGGTCTTAGTGAGTCCTCCTATTAGTGTTGCTTACCAGTGTACTTGGCAGGCTTCCAATAAGACTTCTCCGGTCAGAGGAAACCATACATGCACTACTGTCGAGCCAGGAACTTCTACACAAATTTTTGATACGAAGGACTCGCTCAAGCATCCTGCTATCGCTAGTTTCTCGGTCCTAGCCCTTCTATTCGATTCGCCACTCAACAGTGTCAAACACAATTTCTTCATCGAAACGGTGATCCCTCGACTAATTGCTCAAGAACTCTACTCTCCCAAGTTCGGACATGAATTTCTTCAATCAAATAAAACCTCAACAAGGGTTCTTCAACCCCAACAACGTCGAAGCCTATCGCAAGCCTTTTGTAATCGTTCTACAGTAACGACTGCATTGAACCGTTTCTTTTCTCTTACAATTGATTTTAGCCCTTCCTATAGTCCATCGCTGCAGCGTGCACCGAAGACTGCATGAGAGAAAGACAATACTTACTACTGTCGTACCAGGTTGCATCCCGCCTCTTATTGGCGCTCAAGAGCAACTCGCCAACCTGCAAGTCCGTAGGCGCTTTGGATGTGTCCTTCATCGATTTTCGTGACCATTCTCAATGTAGGACGCAGACCAAGAATTATGCCAACACTGCCTGCACCTATGACATATATCTACAATCAAGATACGAATTCCGAGGATGTTCAAGTTTTTTCCCCAATGTGGAAATCGTCTTCACTGGCCGTTCCGTTTAGGGGACCACACCATTGACGTGGTGGGGCCGTGTAACAATCTATCTATCTATCTATCTGGCCACAAGTGAGCCTATTCTTGAAAGGTGGCAGAGACAGTGTTGAGATGCGAGGTTTTGCAATTGTTGTTTTAATCGAAATGCAGGGTTCCCCAGTCATTACAATACGACCTCTTGTGGTCTGGGGTCATTTAACGATTATCAGAAAAATGAAGAACATATTCCCATTATATTTCTGTACAAGCTTGTACTTCCGCCTCTTCAGAACTACGAAGCACAAGGAAAACAACTCTTTTTGGATGGGAAATCAATATGTTTCATCTTGTTACGGTTCAGATAAGTAGGGAGTTGACCGTTGTTACAATTATGTCGATATATGCTACTCGGCCCATGGGTTTTTGGATTGGTTACATCCAGAATACACAGTATGATAGAATCAACACTATATTGTGACATGTAAGGCTTCCAGGACCCAAGTCGGCGTACAGGTAGGTGTCGACCGACGTCGCCAAAAGTAGTGGCAGAATGTTTTCTGACTTCGCGAAACAAAATACCATCAAGTTCAAGAGCCTGCTGCTCATTATGATTATTACGCCGAACATAGTTGTAAACAAGTATCCCAAAATCGTTTCTACTTCGATCCCATAGGCAAAGACTCCTCCACATCTGATGAATCCAATTTTGCTCGAACCTTGGGAGGGACTACACCCGGAATCATGTAAAGGATTACACACAAAATCTCCGGGACTGCGACGAGGGGGTACCAATAATGCTCGTTGTTAGCCCTTGGGAAGGTATTGATCGTCGCCGTGGTGAATATCTCCCGGATGAGCAAGAGAATCGAGATACCTCCAAAGATCCAGGATGCATGTCTACCACCGAAAGAAGGTGAAACGTATTTGAGCGAATTTTTGTCTAGAAAGGACCGGGATAAGTGATCAGTCTAACATAGTGATGAAGGATGTAGCTTACCTTCGTACTCGGATTTGATAAGTACCCCAGTTTGAACGACTTGGAAGAAAGTGAGGACTAAAAACAGAGCTGCGCTGGCTTTCCGTAATTCCAGTCCCAGACTCTCTTCAGGATTATCGACGCTTTCATCAAGACCTGCAATCCCGAGCGCCATAGGAGCCAGGAGACACAGCCGGAAAACTCGAGGACTCCTGGTGAAACCCAACAAAGTCCTAATGAAAGGACTAGTAGACGGTTTCGTAGCGCATAACTCTAGTCTTTGAAAACTAAGTAAAGTTTATAAAGTGTCGTAAGACCACTATCTCACCTCGCAACGACCAAAAGAAAGGCACAAAAGAGTAAACCAAAGAATCCGATTGAGAAAAACGTCTCGGTTGCAACGACATATCCCGGATTCTCTCCAATTTTCGTGTTATTTGAGGCTATAGCACGCATGATGAACCCGACGATACGAACTGCGCGAGTGAATTAATCCTCTATTTCTGAGATGGAAAGGTCAAAAGAAGACATACAGAGACAGAAGGCAAGGAGAGCGATCAAAATTCCTCTTCGCTCTCGAATAACCTTGAAAAGATAGAAGCAGAAAAGAAGGGTATATAAAGCCGCAAAGACTGCCGCTGCCGCAACGGAATTGAAACCGAAAATCTTGGCATAGTTGATGTTTTCAAAATCTGCTGAAGACATCCAGACCTTCGCGACGATGGGGATACTGGAAATCAAATAGGAAGAGGGAGACGATGTTTGAAAAGTTTCATAGCAGGCCCTTTATGTTGTTGTTATTGATCATATTTATTGGATATAATTAGCATTCTCGTGAGAAATATGAGGGTCCTCCGGTGGAACTATACACGCTTGTCATCGTCTGTACCATTGAGCAACTGCGGAGCACAGGACTACCCACATGGGACAACTACGCTTTCTCCAAAAACAACCGCTCACTTGAAAGGTGTTGAATTTGTTAACCGAGGCCGCTAGAGCCTGAAACTCAGCAACTGTTACTCCCCACTTCTTTGAAGGCAGCTGCTAGAGATCAACGATATGTCTTGTTATGTCTAGGCACTACTAATCGGGATTCAGTGGTTCAGCAGAAGAAATATAACCGAACTCATAGCTGCACCGTTGCTGCACCGAGTGACTCGTTGCGAGTTCAATTTGATGACAAGTCCTGAGTCAATCAAGAGGCGGCTGTTCGTTAACATTGGCTGTTCAACGTTCAGCCCGTTTCTTCTTCGATCGACACTTCGTTAAATAAGCCGGGCCGGTACAGCCGAATGTACGGAGAGTACAGCCCGGGTACAGTCTACGATGAACCAGATTCTGGACCTCCTAGGCTGAGAGAGAAGTGAAGGTATTTATGCAGCAGGGAGTTACTTGGAAAGAGTTACCTATATAGGTAGTCATACATAGCATACAATATAAAAGAAGAAAAGGAACTGGAAAACAAAAATAAAACATAAGATACGTAGATAATTATTATGTACTGTTTCGAAATATAAAAGTAGAGGTGCGCAACTATAGCCCTCTGACCACAGAAGTTTGATGAAATACAAGACAGACAATAAAATCATCCAAAAGCGAAACAAACGGGAGTAACATATAAAAGAAACGCACTCATTCGTTCCCTCGATTTGTCGCGTCGACGACGGTCCAAACACTTTCTCTTCGATCCTTTTCGCTAACTGAGCTTGACGGCGGACGTTGTATCGGTGCTGAGGGCGCCGGCGTTGACCCAGGAGCAGCTGACGACGGTCTCGCTTCCCCACTATCGCCACCGCGCATCTCATCTATCCCCCTCTTGATGCCCTGCATCATTTTTTCTGTCCTCTCAAGTATTTCCTCCATTCGCATCTTCTGGTCCCGAAGCTCGGCATAATGCCGCTCGAGCTCAGATACAGAGGGTATCAAAGCGAATGTAGTCCCGGGAAGAACGGCAACCATGGTAGACCCTGTGCCGGATCCTCCTGGAACATCGAGTGGCTGGAACATCCCGCCAGGTCCCTGGGGTGAAGGGAGGACCAAGACACCGGAGTGCTGTCCATTTGAAGGCGAATGGACATGAGGGGAACCGGATCGTATGTAGCCCGGGCTGTTAGAACCACCTGCTACAGCTGCAGTGCCAGGTACTCCCGGTCCTCCAGGGACGAACACCATTCCTCCAAGACCTTTTGAAGGGTCACCACCAGATACATCCATCGAATTAATACCAGGGAGCATTCCACCGCCATGATTGAACGAGGAAGATCCAGGACGTTGGAGGGAAGGGTGCATAAATCCCATTGGAGGTATCGAATGGGGGCGATGGATTGGATGATGATGCATAGAAGGCGAACCACCTTCTCCAGTCCATTGATGAAGGTCTCCCTCGTAAACCCCCTCCCCTTTGCTCTTTCTCGCCCGTTTCTTTTTAGGTTGTTCACCTTCTAGCGCCTCATGATCATCGCTTTCCTCCCCAGGTGCAGAACTCCCGCCCGCCCGACCGACAGCGACCAAAGCCTCTGCGGCCGCCTGATCGGTCATTCGCATAGGTATTGGTGGGCCGGTTCCGGCTGCTGCAGGGACACGTTTCCGTCGTTTGATGACGGTCTTTTTCATGGATGTTGGGCGATGAGTACCGTGAAGTTTAAAATAAAGGCCTATAAAGATGGGAACATACATCGTCAGTCTCGAATTAGATCGAATAAACAAACAAGAATGGTGAGGCAAAAGTCGGAGTATATCCAGAAACCAATATCCCCACGAGTCGAAGACCGAACAAACGCAAAGATTGGGGACAACGTACAAACGCGAAGGGTTATAATGGAAAATGATCGACAAACACAATATGAGGATAGAAAGATAGGCGTGAGAGATAAGATGATTAATCTGATAAGATGCAACATGCAACAAGGAGCAACGCAGGAAAAAAGACCTAGGAAGGGTATACTGACACCGATATCTGATGCCGACAGTCGAAGTTTCGCAAGCACGTTGCAAGTTGCAAGGCAGGCGGAACCACAACGAGAACAGAAAGAAATAAGATATCGAAGAAAGTCGTGTTCAAGACATAAGAATATCAATGCTTCTTCGAGGGGTAGAAAGGACAATGCAGGAAAAAGATATGAGAACAAAGGATGACCACCTACTCACCGCAAGCGTTACAGATATTGTTACCGACGTCATCTCTCCTCCATAGCGGCGTCGCACTCGTCCCACAATTTGCACAGCACAACGCGCCAACGGCAGCGCGAACCTTCCTCGAATTGTTGTTTCCATTTCCTCCACCCGGGGTACCGGGTCCTCCACCAGACCCATCGCCACCTCCGAAATTATTTGTGTTGCCAGATCCAGTAGGACCACCACCGCCCCCGTTGTGATTATTAGGGTCTACAGATCCAGAACCATCACCGCCAGGAGTGACTCCACCCATCATCGAAGGCGAGGCTCCCGCGGCAGTCGCAGAACCCGTATGTTGTGATATTTGTTGCGGCGGCATTGGATGATGCAGAGAGGTTGCAACACCAGTCGTATAATGTTGTGAGTGTTGTTGTTGAGAAGTCGCAGGACTCCTTTTTCGATCACCTTCTTCAACCCTCGCACACATTGTGAAAGCGTTGTTAACGTTGTTGTTAAACGTTGGACAGCCTGAACACGTTTTCGAACCACCTGTTCCGTCGCAGCGGCCGTCACCGGGACAGGTACCTGGACCTATTACAGCTGGGGCAGGATCAGCAGGAGGAACGCCTATTGGGTTAGTGCTGGCCGAAGATCCTGAAACAACAGGGGAAAGTTGATGAGGAAGATGAAGTCCTGACGATGATGAACTGTGCGGAGGGCCAAGCGCAGGGTGAGGAAGTTGATGTGAATTGAAGAATGACACTGATGGAGGAGATCGAGCTGGAGAAATGTTATTATTGTTAGCTGGCGGACCAGCAGCAGGAGCGGAAAGCGATGACGCTGATTCACCGTTCGGGACTGGTGTTGTTTGGCTTTCAGATGAGCCTGGGCTATGGGAGACTAAAGTAGCAGATGCAGTCGCAGGTCGACGCCCTTTGCCAGCTTTCGCGTACAAACCTGGATAAAGCAAGGAAAGCAAGAATATGGTAAGCAGAATTGACTTAAACTGAGGGAAAAGGAGAGCCAATGAGCAACAAAGGAGAAAGTCAATCTAATAGGATATATGAACACAAGAGGCAGAGTGACAGATACCAGATACCGATAACCAACACGACTGCGACACCCACAGAGCAGCCAAAAAAACCAGAACGAGGGATAAGGCGAGAGGAGTATAACGGGACAACGAATGTATGACGGTCAGAGGAGGCATTCACTCGTTATCCAATGACCTCGTTTTATTCACTAGCAAGCGATGAAAAACGGGCATAAACCGCACCAAGAACACGCCTTTATTGGCAGCCTGGACGATTGAAGATCGTGGTTTGGTGATATGATTGTGACCCGTCATTTTATGGTCTCCATTTCACGCAATTTGAGCTATTCTGCAAGTCTGCATCACATGAAGTCTATCGCTTCAATCAATCCACCGGGTCTCCAAGCGCTGTAAGGCGCAAGATATCCTCGGAAGGATATTGTGGACGCGATGGACACGATGCACGTGTAGGTCAAACAGGGTTCCGTAGAATCAAACAGATACAAATTCGATTCGAGATGCTGAGCCATTGCACCCCTGTTAGGCGCTGCGATCTGAGCTCCTCGATCCCCGATACTGGCTGTATGTTATGACGAACAGGATCAAACACAAGCAAAAGAAGAAGAACGAGAAGCAGATAGAGCAAATGATAGCAAAAAAGAACACTAGAGAGGGTCAGGAAACGTATACTCACCACAGGCATTACAAACTGGATGTCCTTCCGAGTCTCTTCTCCATAGGGGGGTATCGAGTGTATGACAGTTCTCGCAGGGCTGTCGTACAACAGGTGAAAGCTTGTCTGACTGACTCTGGTTAGTCAATGTCGGTGAGGCCGAATCGGAGCGAGAGTCCAACTGTGGATCGAGCACACTGTCACTGTTCTTATGGAGTCTTGCCAGTTCCACTACCAGTTGTTGGGTCTGGATAGATGGCGAAGTCACCGAATTTGAGTCGGAGGAGTCTGGAGATTCTGCACTCGTTGAGTTGGCGGTTGATGATGACAAGTTGGCCGACAGGTCTGAAAGTTGGCGGGCAGGATGTTCCGTAGCGCGGACAGTAGATGCAGGTCCTGCAGCGTACTGAGTGTATTTAGAAATCGTAGCCAAAGAGGCAGCATGTATAGCGTTGAAGGACGCGGGAATAGGTGGTTCCATGACGACAGAGTTTAGCGATGACACTCAGCAACGAAGATGTATTCTACAAAACTCGAAAATTAACGCACTGTCGACCGAATTCAAGTGTACGACTCACCGGACAATAATTCTAAAATGTGGTCCTTTTTCTTAGTCAATACACACTTGGTGGCTTCGACTAATCAAGAAGTCAATCTTCTAGGCCAACGACGGAGACCCTTAATAGTGACCAAGATGAGATGATGAATTTACAGTCGTAGATAGAGGACGGCGGTCAACAAGAGAGAATACAATCAGTGAAAGACGGGGAAGATAAAATAAGATAAACAAGTAGCCAATTATATTCATTGGATTTCGCTTGGGTCGTTATCGTTATCTCCCACACTCACATGATCATGAATTCCGTATACTCTAGGCCCACGCGATTTATCAAATCTCGGCCTTAGACGAGAACGACTCCTCGCCCTCCGTCTGCAGCTCAGACTTAATAATGACAATATGAACCTCGGGAGGATATCAGCCTGATATCAGCCATGATATTCTGCGTAAACTTCTTGATGTAATATTATTTACTTACTCAAACCGATATCGGCAACGGTTATCATATTTCCCCCCGACTCTCGAGCTCCACTGAACTGCCCTATTTGGAAGTCAAGCGATACTAAACCCACTACTATTGAGCTCTACGTACCACGTTAATCGGCCCTTTTATTTGACTCTTGACACTAGAGCAGGAGAACCCTCCCAATCTCGAATCGATACAGTAATGTTGACTTATCTAATATATCTTTCAAGTGACTGTGAAGGTTCCCCTTCGTTCAAAGGTGTGTTTCGATTTGATTAGACCGAGGCATCGATCCCGAAGCATCGGAAGGAAGATATTTCAGCTGGCAGAACAGTGTGTTATCGTAGTAATTTCAAGTCCAACGTAAAGCCTGTTCCGCACCAATGGTAAGAACGATTAGTCGATAAATGGACATACGATATATTCCCAGCGTGCAATATCAGAACAATTGTCCTTAGCTAAGTCTTCGTGTAAGAAGGATGTTCAGATTTGGAAATGCTCACCAACTCCAGCGCTTCCTCAAGGCTCAAGCTGGGACTTGATAGCTCGAAACGTCACGCTAAGCCAAGGCCATGGAAAGGAATGGGTTGAATTTGACATGCTCAGGTATTTGTATTTTTACAAAGTGTATGAACACATTGCACATGCATAGGAAAAGAAGAACGGGATTACATAGTACTGAGGCCAATTTCACAAACGTAAGATTGTACGTTCCACAATCGACTCAGATTCTGGAAATATTGGATGGCGCATACGTCGCAGCGAACCAGTTTTGCAGAGTTGGGTTTAGGTTGGGTTCGCATAATTAGACGTCCGAGGTTTCACCAATTGTTTCGTAGCCCATTCTGGATGGACGTGTCTTCCTTTCAATACACGGAGGGAGGTGTAGAAGATGGCCCCTTCTAAGCCTGACAAAGGAAGCATAAAGCACACCAGCCGTTGAAACAGCTACAAGACTCATCACCACAGGCCATCGAAACTGTTCCGGCTTGGAGAAAATGATAGTAGAAGTGAACGCGCAAAGTTCAAACATGTTTTGCCAGGCAGCCTCCACAGAAGAGAAGGAGCCTCTGATTTCGGGTTCAACCTCCTAATGACCATAGAAACGCATATTTAGGTTGTATCATTTTTGGTAGCAACAATCAGAGAGACTCACCCGTTGAACCATAACTTGAACGGAAAGATCGAATCCCCAAAGTCCGACACGACTGAGAATTGTTGCGGCCACCAGACCGGAAGCAGCTACGAACTGATTTTGCACCGTCCAAAAACAAGCGACTCCAGCTACCAAGCACATTGCCTGCCAGTTGACGAACCACATTCCAGTCCGTATTGGGTTGATCTTCGACATTAGTATCGGTGCAATCCAGGTGGCAGAAAGTTCGAAGGCTACGGAAAGCGTGCGAGCGACTGCGATGTGTACGGAATTATACCCGGCAGAGAGAAGGTATGTGACCATCTGACCAGAGAAAGAAAGCACGGTGAAGTAGAGGAGAGCACCTGCAAACGACGGACGAAACGCTCGGTGGTGGAAATAAACACTGAAGTCATGTAGGGTAGACCATACACCATTGAAGTGACTCCAGAAGTTGTGAGCAATTGCCCTTTGGTCTGCCGAAGATTCGTCGTTCGGTGGGAGTATTTTGGGTTCTTGTAGCGCAGGTACGACTGCGTAGACCTGTGGATCCAGATTAGCCTTCAGAGTTAACGGGGTAAAAAATGTCTATAGTGGCTGACCCTAGCAATAGTGTGATATTCCACAATAATGGAAGCCAAATTCATACTCAAGTTAACCAATACCGCGACCTGAGCTGAATACCCATGGATGATAGCAATGACAAAAGGCCCGGCAAGCTTGCAGATCAAGTCAATCCGTCGCATCTGCGCATTTAGAGCTACGTTTTTTAACAGTGCATCTACATCGGAAAGACGCATGGGGTACCTCTTAGCGCCACTTCATTTTGTCCAGCAATCACGACAACCTTGAAATTATTTTCAGTTTGGTCTGCGACACGGTCGGCTTCTCACTTACCCAATCCTTTTCAACAGAAACGAGGTTCATTATAGAACAAAGCTTCTGAATGGAGGCGAAGACAGCCAATATCGCCAAACTGCCTGGTCCTAGGTTTCGAGTCCAATGCCGACCAGATATGAGGGCCCAAAATATAATGCAAGACGCAGACACCACCAACCGCTGTAAGACTATTGGGAGATGATGACATTGATACCGGTAAAAGCAAGATAGATTGTAGAAGTAGAAACTGACCGATCGAAAGCCTTACTACGTGAAGCCGATTGGCAGTATCAATGTAGCGACCGATAGCTGACGAGAAGAGGATGGCGGAAGCAGCGCGGGCCAGGGCGTAGATGGACATAGGCATAAGAGTTCCTGGGTAGATAGTCGCGAGATACAAAATAGCACCGAATTCAAACACCCTGGAATTCCATGTCGAAAGAAAATGGGAAATGTAGAGCCTCTTTGATATTGCGGATGGAATTTCGGGAGGCACGTTGTCCTCATTTCGCGGCTGGGCAGCTGAACTTGACGACGACAAAGAAGAATACATATGACGACAAGTGAGAATGCATGAGTGCTGGCCAAAAACATAACTTGCGGAGATTAAAATTCCTGTTAAAGTTTTGAACCTTGATTCTGATTGAAACAAACCCCCAGAATCTTCTGCGAACCTCACCGGCCTCACCCGTTATTGAGAGCTCGATTTCAGGAGATACTTGTCCACGTAGCGTTATAAGGTAGCCTCAAGCAAGTTCCCTGGATTTAAACTTCACCGGAAATCCAGATTTTACAGATAAGTAGGTGATGTTCGAATTCTCGTGTTTGTGTTTATTTGAAGTCTTTTCTAGTCTTTTGAGCCCGAGGCCCAAGAGAACAAACAACAATAAATAGCTGGCAAGAAATCCGCATGTGCAGCAGCACAAAGCACTGTAAGGAGGGCTCATGGGTAGGGATTTCATTCGTTCTCTAATTTTGCGAATCAAACATTCAGTAAGTACCCGGCATAGCTTACGAAAAACGAATTCGCTGTGGCAATATTCTCAAACCCATTCGGCACTGCTGCCGGAGTTTTAAATTCCTGCCTCATCCAGCGCTAATAGTAACATTCTAGTCACCATGAACGTTTCGCAATCTGTGCTGGAGCTTCCTCTACCACTGCTCCTTCTCATACATTTACAAATTTTGCAATATCCACTCACCAACAATGAGGATTTCGACATTCACATCTTCGATGCCCAGAAACGCAGACTACGTGCCAGGATCAAGATGATGGAAGATCTAGGATATTGGCTGGTTAATCAGATCGAGGGGAGGGGAATCAAGAAGGCGAGCCTATAATTGAGCTGCGAATAGCTGATATTCATGGCCTTCCGCTATGCGAATAGATTTTTCCAGTATACCCATGTATTAAACCATCCGAAACAATTGCTTTCAGAACTTCCTTTGCAAAGTATCTCGAAGCCCTTAGACAAAGTTGTATAAAGGAAAATGCCGCATCTTCAGTGTGGTGGAGGGGTGTTCAAGTCCGCAAATCGGTGTTGGAAGAGTGCACCGGGGAAAAGTGTGTCGAAAGTGACAATGTGCCGTCGTAAAGTTGTCTGAACTTACAAGTTTATAGGTTCCTTCGTTTGCTTCTGGCCTTTTCTACGCAGGTACTCTTGAGGCTTTCGCCCAATCCTCACACCTTGTCATTGCCCGAGCTATATTATTCAACCCGTCTTGCTTCTACGCAAGCTTCTCAACGAAAGTGGATCAAAGTCGCGTCAAACCTGCTAGAGCGGGAACAACGCCTAATGGATACTAAGATAGTGCGTCATTCGACGTCCTTCCCTCACCCGTTGTTCATCCTTTGCTCTTAGATTCACACTTCAACTACGTCTCCATTCCAATCGAAATTTCAATGTCTCTCTACGCCGCGTTTGGTTGCTCTCAAAGACTCGAAACTTCAAGATGTCCTCAGTCAAGAATGTTGGAGGGGCGAATCAGCGCGGAAAATCCTTGAATTCTTCGTTACCCTGGCAGGGCTAGGATGTGGTCCAGCTGAAGACGGAAAACATTGGGAACCTTCACTAGTACGTAAGATGGTTGACCAGTGCTTTCTGTCCTTGACCGTAGTGCATAGATCGGTACTCTTTCTCATCTATCCCAATCACCGCGAACCGAAGTACAACTCCTGCCAGTAGCGGCTTCCCGACACCTCTATTATCTACAACAATTGAAACGTCCTGTATTTTCTCTTGCCGAAGCTGAACTCGCTGCAGCTGCTAAAAAGGCAAAGACACCGAATTCTAGCTCCGGGAATATGGCGCTACAAAATTCAGCTCAGCCGGAATTTGACTACGCAGTGTTTGCCCTCCGACATCATCTCGCAAATGAAGAAAGCGTTCGTGTGGCGTTCGACCGCGCGCTGAAGAGGCTTGCGGCAAAAACAAGCAAACTCCAAGAAAAATCAAATGAGAAAAAATTCAAACCCGATGCTCTCGCTGGCAGGGCGGATAAAACAAAGCTGCAAATGTTGCCCAAATCTAGTTCTTGTATGGTCCATCTCCCTGCTACTGAAGTGAATGCGGTGAATGTGAATGTGGTCAAAGAGTTCTCGTTCTGGGAAGATAAATATAATTTTGACGAGAAAGGACGGCGCTTGCTACAGTTGAATTTCGATCCTTGTTTTTAAAACTTCCTGGTTCATCTCTCGTTCTTCACAAAGTATGAATTGAGGTGGATAGTTCTGGATGACCACATGTCTCAAACTTGAGCAGGTTGGGTGGCAGCAGTGGGAAGGCTGCGGCAAAAGCTGGCTCAAGGTAAAGAGCCATGCTGGAGAAGTGGGATCATCAGATGTTGACGTCATTCGAATACTTCGGTACTACATAGTTGGAGAGGGGTTGATTAGGTGTATATAGTACAGGTATAAGTCTTCCATCTCCGTCTATATATCAGAGTTTCTTCCCCACCAGAAAGACAATGAGCTTCGTCAACCATCGTACCTTCCTTGAATCGCCCTTCCAGGGCTTCACATCCTCACGAATAACTGCGACTTCTCGAGCAAGCTGTTCACGTAACGTTTCCACAGGATCATTTGCTGCTGGAGAAGCGGTAGAGGGTGGTAGCGCCATGACGAACGAAAGCTCCGTGTCAATATCCGCAGATCGAGAATTAAGGTTTGTTGATCCAAAAAGGGTTAATACCGGGGACGAATCTGCGCTAGGAGACAGCCATAAACCTTTTAAGGAGATCAAACAAATTCACGGTTCGATTTCTCATCATAAGGGAGCTGGAACTAACCTTTCGCGTGATACGTCCAACCGTCCTTTTCCCATTCAGACAAGTCTATGTTACTTTGTCCTGAACCAAATATCGAAAATCGGTCCGCCGTTCGCCTCACAGCTCTCATGAACTTTTGTTCAAGGAAGGTATAACCTTCTGGTATTCGACCGGATATCCCTTGTGATCCATAGAACCCATTTGCCTGAGATAACAAAATCAGCACAGACAGAACTGAGATTTAAGACGAGCACAAACTTTCGGACTAGCAGCAACGATCCGCACCTCAACCTGAGGATGCAGAAGGAACAACTTCTGGTAAGGGTGATACAAACTAAAGTACCCACTCGTCAGGTCCATTAAAGGACGTTCTTGTACTATAGACGAGACACCAGCGGGTAAAGAGCCCACTGAGGGTAAGTATGCGCGCATCGCCGCCTTTTTCAAGTGCCCGAAAAGAAGCTGGAAAAAGTGCTCCTCTTCGCGAACGCAGAACTGTCCAGCTTGGATAATGGGAAAAAGAGTAACGTTGGAGGAGGAAGTGCAAGGTCTTCCTGCTTTTTCTTCCCCCTCGAATTTTTGACGATTCGTTGCTTGGAATGAAGTGAGTGCTTGTTGCATCTTATCTCGAATACGATGCGGATGTGTTTCTGGATCTGACCATATAAGCGCATAGTCTCCGCAAATTTGGGAATTCCGGTTGGTGCCATTGTTAGGCAGAGTAGTAGCCTCGCTAGGAAGTAGTCGATATGAGAATGGGGTTATCTCCTGAAGAAAGTCGAAACAGTAATCGGAAAGATGGACTTGGGCAGTGAATCGAATATATCGGTCACGGCGATTCGTGAAGTAGTCCTTACTTAGATTAGCACTGTGTAGAATGGTCAGACAAGTGAGAAACGGATAAGGATATTGATAACACACCCGCTGATTATTACATCGTTGTCGACACCATATATTTTTGCATGCCAAGTGCCCCAACCCTCTTTGAACCTTGGAGGGACAATTTTGGCCAGGATGCCGCGTAAATTTGGACTGCGAAATAAGGATACATGGACACGGTCGGGAAATGCGCGCAGGAGTGGTAATAGAATTGCAGCAGTGGACGCAGGGCCCGGTCTTGTTGAACGGTTCAAATCTAGCAGGAGATACAGATGTAGTGACTGCTTTTCTGCGAGTCTATTCATCAACGTTGCTATCTGCACAGATTATAGAAAATGAAGAGGACTAGAATAAGATTTGACAAAAAGAACACACACGAGTTCATTCTCGCTGGAACCTATATACAGCGAAGAAAGGAATATGCGTTCTTCAGCCCTCCTGATCATATCCTAAGTAGAGAATTAGCGGAGTTGGTGATATTATGACGCGACACAAACTAAAAGTGTCGAATAGAACGCGCTGGGCTGTGAGAGAATACGTATTCCATCTGCGGGAATGGAAAACTTTGGTTGATGTTGCTTGAGTTCGGCCACGATATCATGGAGGATGGGTTGAAATTTTCGAGTGGCGCAAGTACTGGAAAGCCGCGAAGCTATGCATAAGCTATTGATATTGAGGCTTGAGCGAAGGACATTGGATCGTAACGAAAGAAGCATTGGATCTCGCAGAAGGAAGAAAGTAACCGCCTAAATAGGCGCGCTCCATAAGATCAAGCGCTTATATTTGACACGGTCACATGCTTGTGATCGATAAGATAAAGGTTCTGCCTTGCCAAATAATGGCTACTCAATTTTTTACTTTTGACATGCTACGTTGCAAGTCGTGCGCCGCTCCAACCTTTGCTACCTTATCCACAACTCGACCATGAAGATTTTTGGCTGGGCGCATCCTATGTCACCGACAAAACACCGTTCAGCAGGGTCTCGTGAACATGTTTCGAAAACTGCAAATCGCATGATGCATTTCAAGGCACCCAATTGCTCAATATAAGGACTTCCCGGATACCTTCAACATTGGAATGGGAACCCTGAAAACCCTACAGGCTGCCATGAGACTCGTTACTATTCCTCTACTGACGGCTTATCTGAGCAACCTGTTCACACCAGGTGTTCAAGGCGTTTCTGAGAGGTCAGTCTCGCTTCTTTTTGAGAATGATGGGAATTGGGAGGTAAGTCGAAAGTATAATCATGTTAATCTTAGTCCCTTACGTTGTCGCTCTTGCTAGAACTTGGCTAATCGCACAAGTGCACTGTTATTTTCCGATCCCGAAACATTTGATGATGCTACCCAAGTATGTCAAGACTTTGACGAAAATCTTCTTAATATCGAAGGCCTATCAGAGTGTGTTTTCCGTATTCCCGTTGACATCTTTGTCGATGACTGATATCCTTGCAGCATCCGGGATAAGCTCTCATATTTAAGATATCAGGGCGAGTTTAACGAACATACAAAGTTCTGGGTTGCTTCAAATACCACTGGCGGAGGTTCTGCAATAGCGCCCTTTGCTCCCAACTCGTCGGCATCGAATACTGGCTCATCGCAAAAGCTCCCTTTCCTCTGCTCCAACTCCGCGCCTCTCACGTCCCAGGTCGACACAGATTTTGCATCATTGCCTCAAACAAACGTCACCTCGAATGGGATCGTGTTTGCGGGGTAAGAATTATTTCTTCTAATAGCTTGCTATTCTCTTCACCCACTCGCTTCACCTCAGTGTTCGAGATCATCTAACCTTTCGGTTCATGGGTGTCCCATACGCATCTTCGCCTACAGGCACATTACGATTCCAGTATCCAGTGCCTTGGAATGGTACATATGTCAATGCGAGAGGATGTGAGTTTCCACATGCTTTCAGCGAGTAGATTATGTTAATCTCGACCCTTAGTCCGACCAGCCTGTTTACAATTTGGGTCCTTTGCCAATAACGACGCGGGCTTGAACCCATGGGGGATCAGTGAAGATTGGTGAGCCATAATTTTCTCATCTGACCGAAATAGTCAAGCGTGAACACTGACCAGTCCTCGAAGTCTTTTCCTCAATATCTACACCTCGTATATCCCTTCTTCCTCAATCAGACCAGCTTCACTCAGACCCGTGCTCTTCTGGATACACGGCGGCGGTAACTTAAACGGGATGGGCTCCGACGAGACCTTCGACGGAGGTCCGCTCGTATCTCGAGGCGACGTCGTCCTCGTCACCATCAACTACCGACTGAACATTTTCGGCTTCCTTGGCCTCAACGATACCGCTATCCCAGGTAACTACGCCATGGCCGACAAGATTGCTGCCTTGCGTTGGGTCAAGGACCATATCGCAGATTTTGGTGGAGACCCAGAGAAAGTGACAATCTTTGGGCAGTCAGCCGGAGGATGGTCAATAGTAGATCTGCTGAAAAGCCCAAAGGCAGCAGGTCTGTTTCACGCTGCGATTTCTCAGTCTGGCGGTTCGGGAACATTCACAACTGCGGAAGAAGTCTACAAGATGGTTGGCGAGTGTTTTTCGTTTTGAATTACACGCCGAGTTTTTTACCTTACAGATGCACAGTGCCTTTTCTTTCTCCGCTATGCAATGAAACAGGTACAGAGTTACTCAAATGCCTCCAGGGTTTACCAGCCAATGTCCTTTTGAATATCACCAACTTTGCTGGCTCCTGGAGCACAGTCATAGATGGTATTTATGCCCTGGACTCTGCTGTAAACCAGATGGCTCTAGGTTCGGATGCAGTAAATAGTGTACCGTTCATGCTCGGCTTCATGCCCGAAGAGGGACAATCGTACGTTTGTCTCCAGTCTTTCCGTTACCCGTTAATAACTTGAAGTACTTCTCTTCGGCTGCAGTTTGTTGGGAACTACTATATTGCCCAATACCACCGACTTTAACCAGTCCCTGATTAATGCGATAGGCTCCACTTTAGCTCAAGATGTGCTACAGTCTGGGTATTGGACAATCAGCGAAGAGTTCGATGTTTGTGCGTTTTTTCCGACGGTTCCTCGTATCAGGATACTCAACACCATATTCCGTTTCCTCCGAATTAGACAACGCGACTATTGATGCTTACACGGATTGGTTCCTCACTTGTCCCGCGGAGAACATGATATCTGCGGCGTCGAAGTCCAATGCCTTCCCTGCTATGTGAGTTATACTTTTCACCAAATACTATTTTTGTTTCGACCCATTCGATTCTTGAAAGGTACGTGTACTCCATGCAGCACGCTTACGGGCTCTCGTTCTATGATCCATATGAACTTTGCACATTTCCTGTGGGAGATCCTCAGCCCTATTATCGGTGCCATTCTGGTGACCTATACGAGGTATGTCTGTCGTTCTTTCGTTTGACAATTTTACCTCTTCCACGTTCATTTCCGACGTACTCGTCCATTCCATGCTAGATTTTTCCATTGATATTTCTATATCCATCTAATCTTTATCATTGCTTTTCTTGGAACGTTCAGGTTTTCGGAACGTACCACCTCTTCTCTGAGCCTCTCCGCGTGCCAGCTGACATCTTCTACACGAATCTTGTTCAAGATCTTTGGACGACTTTTGCTCGAACGGGAGATCCTAACCCAGACTTGGCAGATCTCGCAGCTCGGGGTCCTGCATATGAAAGTACGCGTTGGCTGCTGGTCGACACGAAATGGGTCTGGCCTAAATACGACAACGTGTCCAGGCAGATAGCGTCTCTAGAGTATCCGGAATTAATGACGGTCAGAGGGTTGCCTGACGACTTGAACAAGAGATGTGCTGTAATTACTGCTGGGTCTGAAAATTGACGATGCACATGAAAAAGTGTATGATTCTAGGGTTTAGGGAATGTATTCCTTCTACGTTTCGAAAATATGAACGGGGGCGGCCGTGGTACACTGAACTCCACCAGAAGGTTTTGTGGGCACCAATATCATGCTGCGAGTAGTACCCAAGATCCAGTTCCTGACGTTGGATCTCCTTAACTGATTCCAGACTCCCACTAATCAGTGCGTTCTGTTGAAAGATTCATCATTCTTCTCTTCCATCCCAGGCTTCGAAGATCCACAAGAGGGTCTTGAATCTGTCAGGATGATATATAAGGCGCGGACATCGAATTTCCTTTGAAATCAGTGGTGTGTTTGGCGTTCGCTATTGATGAATTCATTTAGCCCTACGGGAAGAATTGTGCCGCGAATTCGGCCTCACTTTGCGACTTGCATGTTTATTACTTCTCCTACACCCAGCTGCATCTCTAGTGTACAAAGGACATAAATTGCGGTGCTAGTGGGGAAACTTTGAATCGACACATTCAAGAGCTATGCTGACTTTACTGGTTTTGGGCGTGAGCGCTCTGACGTTGGGTATATCCATCTTCATTCTCCAAAGAAGACCCTCAACACTTGCCTTTCTTCGAGGACCGAAGCCAGTCTCTTATTTGCTAGGTCCTTTTTCTTGAAGGAGATGTTCCATCTACGACATCTAATTTGTGTTGCAGGTCATGAATACGAAATTTCTCACCAAACCGATGCTGGACAACTAGAGTTCGAATGGGTCGAAAGATACGGTCCTACAATCCGTATCTTCGGTTGCTTTCACGTATGAATTACATCACCCTCGTCAGACCCTCGTATTATATCTGAACATGCTCATATCCTGTAGGAAGAAGTTCTCATGATAGCAGATCCTATGGGTCTGCAGCACATCTTCCAATCTCAGAACTACCCTAAAACAAGGGATATCCGTCTAATAGCTGAACGGGTATTCGGCAAAGGTCTTCTTTGGGCAACAGGTAAGACTTTAACAAAAGGATGTGAGGTTAGTATACAAGCTTCTTTCAGGCGAGGCGCACCAACGACATAGAAGGGCCCTCAATCCCGCCTTTTCTAACCAGAATTTGAAAAAGTTTGTGCCTCTATTTCAGGAGACAACTCTACAGGTGAAGATGATGCTGTAGAGCGCAGTTCATTTTGTCTGATGCTTACTTAGCTTGTCCAGAAATGGAATGCTCGATTAGAAGGAAATGCGGCGGTTGTTCTGAATATGGCGCAATGGATGCCAAAGATCACCTTGGATGTAATTGGTCGCAGTGTGAACTATCCATTCCTTTTCAAGTGCTAGTCATGATGAAGTATGTAGGTGCATTTGATTTCAACTTCGGACTCCTCGATGGAACTGCCGATTACAACGAGCTTTACAGGACAATGAGAGACATGTTGTATGTGAACGCGCGCTTCACCAATTAATATCCTCGCTAATTTATCACTAATTTCATGCAGCCTTGACTCAAAATCATCTTCTACTGTGACAGTACTTTATGATGCCATTCGTCGACGCATACCTGAACGCTTTGGTTTCAAAATGTACACAACTAAAGAAGATCGGCGACTTTCCGCTTTTCTGTCCGCGGCCCAGAGGGCCGCAAGGAATATTTTGCTTCGTAAACAGGAAGTTGAAATGCCAAATGCCAACTCTGATGACGATAAAGACATCCTCAGCGTTCTAAGTGGGTCTCTATATACTTATTTCTTCAGATAACCTCAAATGATTTCAGTTCGCGCCACTAAGCACAATGATCACAGAAAGAAACTTTACGAGGATGAGATCATCTCTCAAATGGCGTGAGCTATACTAAAGTTCTCAACTAATGATGAACCATGACGATTATTCCATTCAGAACGATTATACTCGCTGGAAATGAAACAACTTCTTCCACAATGTCATGGATGCTGTACGAACTGAGCAAACACGCCGATAGTCAAACTCGGGTGCACGAAGAGATAACTATTCTACGAGCTCAAACAGGATGCCACGTTTCCCTTACCAGTGCACATTATGATTCGATGCCTTATTTCAATGCAGTCATCAAGGTACCCTCAATAATAGGTATAATTTGTTAATTCACCACTCTTTTGTCTGTCGCCAGGAAACCCTCCGACTGCATCCAATATTACCAATTTTGGTACGAGAAGCAGATGAACACGACACAATACCACTCTCGATTCTGGTGAAGAGTAAAACCGGGAGTCTTCTACCTGATGTTCCAATCCGCAAAGGACAACGTATTCTGTTACATCTGGGTGCTTACAATCGGTGTGTTAATTCTGCGACTCTGTGAGAACTGTGGAATAGTTTATAGTCCATATTTTAAGATTGACCCAAGTATGGGGCGATGATGCAGACTCGTGGAATCCAGTCCGGTTCATTGATGAGAAGAAAGAGGTGGTGGTTGGAATGTATGGAAACTTGTATGTGGTGATTTATCTCTCATCGTTCAACAATGATGCAAGTTCATGTCTGTTGCAGAGCAACTTTCAGTGAGGCATGTCACATCCGGGTTGATTTGGATTACTGATCAATCAAAGGTGGTGGTATCAGATCTTGTATCGGGTATGCTTCGTTCCCTTATCGGCATTGCTTAAACATTGTTGATTAAATCCCCAGTTGGCAATTTGCGTAAGCTTTGTTTTTTCCATTCGACGTTCCAATACCCAAAGCGCCAAATTAGAGTCATGGAACTTCAAGTCATGTTATTTGAGCTCATTGAATCCTTTGAATTCTCTCTACCTGCAGAGGCATTAGATATTCAAAGGATCCCCAGCATCCTCATGGTTCCGATGATTCGAGGGAAGCCAGAACTTGGAGCGCAACTACCATTGCAGGTAAAGCAACGCACTCAGTGAGTCGTTCAAAAGAAGTCAGCAGTAGATTGTGATAAACGATGCCCCGTTTGTATTTACACTCACTTGGGTGCCATGTCTGTGTGCCATGCAATCTCCGTATCGAAGTTCTGATATACATATGGTATGCATGCGTGAAAAGCTTGTAAGAACAACTGAATGAACGCTTCAATGCACATCGTCTTGACTTCATCTCATGGCAGCTGCTTGCAAAATCATACTCGCCGCCTTCTCCGCCACTCCATACAAACCTAAAGTCGGATGCGGAAACACACTTAATGGAAGGATAGAGGCATCAGCTATCCGGAGATTTGTCGTTCCTGTCATAACCTCAGGATTGAAAGTATATACAGAAAAAAAGACACACCGTAAACCAAGAGCTGAGGAGAAACGACACCGCCTAGCTCCTTTGGCATCATCGAGTTACTCCCAAAAAAGTGAATGTCAGAGACATATCTGTAAGTAGAAGGTTTTTGAGAGTTGCTGGCACGATTTGTGAGGCGAAAACTTACGTGTCAAGGACCCACTTTCGCACTTCCTCTTCAGTTGCATTTACTAGTGGGACACCCGACTGATGCAGTGCATCCTCAGTGATTAAATCGCTGAATGGAGGTGTTACCGCAATGAGAGATATTCTACGTGCGGCAGCAACAGCAGCGCGGATGTCAACCTCGGATGTGAGGTATTGCATGTCAGCTATCGGATCGGCGGATGGATCGGTGGTGTTGATGTGGATGGATCCACGAGAAAGCGGAAGGATAGTATGGGCTGCAACCGCAAGGGATACAGAGCCAGGCGTGAAGAAGAGCTCTATGAAAGGATCTGCCGTAGGGGGTGATAAATCACCAGAATATCCCTTAAAACGATCGGAATACATACGGTCAATCTGATATGCCTCAGCTATAACAACGGCTTGCCTCGCCAGGGACTCTGAATTTACGACTCCACCGACGGAGACAGTATATTCGGTTGAGATTCCTCGTAAGAGGATGTCCATGGCGTTGGAATCTTTAACATTGGCCAAAACACGAATGCAAAAGTGATCAACTTCGTTGATTGTAAATTACTATTACTTACCCTGCAGTCCCAAAGTGTTTCGAGTGGTAGGATGGGTAACTACAATTCCCGGAAGTATGTTAGGCCAAGAAGTGATAGTTGTAGTATTTGCAGAAGGTGCCAGAGGAAAAGATGCGTTGTATAGGCCAACATGGTCCTGTAAGCTAGGTTTTAAAAATAAGAATGAAAACCACAAGTGATATTTCAATCATGAATGCTTACTTCGCTCCCACACCTGGGAGATCCATTACCAGTTCAATTTGGAGGTTTCGAAGAGCCCTATTCATATTTTTAGAAATGCTCAGCTTAAAATTATTGACCAGAAAAGTAGAGAAAAACACACACATGGCGTTACCAATGCCGCTGCGCTGTAGGATGGCAGGAGACTTTAACATCAAGGGTGATCGAGTCAGCAGAAGGCCTCTCGAGAATTTCAAAATGCACCTGAAGTGCTCCGGCACTAATGATGACCTCCCTTGAGGCATTGAACAAGGTTATTCGGCCCCCTACACTCGGCTCTACGAGAACTCCAGTGGCAGTGACGTTACCGCTCACACTCACAGACGTCAGTACAGAGTTTACGCGATGCCCTGTGAGCACCGTGAGGTTCGCACGCTGTTGTGCTTGAGGATATAGGTAGGACCAAGCGGAAGAGGATCTTCGGTCGGAATGCAAGGTTTTGTTGAAATGAATCTGATAATAAAAACTCGATACGTGTCCTTCGCCCGGCCCCAAGGATTAAGCTTTGAGTTTTACAATCTGGTGAATTGCCTCACCTCCAGAAAACCCATCACCCATGTCGGGACTTAATGTTACTTCTCCGTCGAAAACAGTTTGGGTCGTGTTCTTCGCAATGCTTTGCAGCACAGGGGCATTGAGAGGGCGGGCAAAGGAGACTCCAACGGGACCATCGTATCCATGAACGGCAGCAATGTAGTTTGCACCTTTCTCCATTTGCCAAGGGTTGGGGGGAGTGAAGCTCTCTGATTTTTGCATGTATCTAGGAAGGAAAAAGGTTCAGTAAACTATTTCAAAGGACGCTAGTACTGACGGTAAAAAATCATTCCAACCCCATCCTGGATTCCCAAGTGCCTGTATTGCGTTCATACTAGCAAATGTTGGTCGTGCCCCCATCATACCGTTGATGGAAGAGCTTCCGCCAAGGCAGCTCCCACTGTTGACGTCAAGAATAAGGTCTTGGGGATAAGTAGTTGGACATTCGGCAAGCCAGACGCACTAGAATAAGGGTAGGGATCGACGGGTACCACGAAAGCCAACTTGTGGGGTTGAGCTCATCGAGAATCGACATGGAGATGGCCTGAATTTCGCAGGAAGACAAATTGATGTTAGGCATCGTCCTGCATCGTCATCGCAAGATAAACTCAGCAAGACTTACGTTCCAGCCGCAAACATGTATGGATTGTTTACTATCTCGTCATTGACCAAGTCTGGGCCTCGTTCTACCACCAAAACAGAGTGGTTCACCGCAAGGCGATTGGCAATAGCTAACCCAGTTGTCCCTCCGCCCACGATAATGAACTCGAACGACGAGCTGACGATATTGGAGGTGTCGTTAGTAATGACAGTGGCCTGAACAAAGACAAAGCCAAGGAGTATAGTGAGTAACTTTGATAAAGACCCCATGGAGTTTCGCTCTCGTACTAAGTTAAGTAGGATCACAAGGAATAGAACCTTTAAAGTTCATAAGCTTGCCTCTATGAGTCATTTTCACGACGTAAGGCTGTTGAACAACCTATTGAAGATTGATATCGAGAAGAACGCGGAAGCTTAGGCGTATACGAAGCAAACTAGGATAATCCTTCACCCGAGTGTAAGACTGGAGAACCCAGGGAAAACCATCGAAGAAGTGAAGAATGCACCTGGAGCACTTCACTCGAGGCATTGAACACGATTGTCTGACCTCTCAAAGTCGGTTCTACGACTCCGATAGCTACGACTCCGATAGCTACGACTCCGATTAGCAGTAACGTTATCGTTGACACGCAGAATCTAGACGCAATTTGCCCAATGCCTATAGATGCCCTCGATAACACTTCTCCTTCAAAACAATTTGGCTTTGTAGCGCAAGAGCATTGAGAAGGGCGAGTGAGTGATACGTTTTGGATTAACTTCGTGTCACTCAACGCAACAGCTTCGTATCAAGTAGAAGATGAGTGCACATAGTGGTGTTACGCTCCTTCCCGAGGCATAGATAGTGCCCTTGACAAGGAAAGTTTGTGCAATAGTCCAGATGCCCGACAAATATTTCTGAAAAATCGGGGTGAGTTTACAAGCAAAACGACAATACTAGCATCCAACCTACTTCAGATCAGAGTATATTGCTCGCTTGCCTGGGGAGAAAACATTGGGTATTAAGGCACGCTGTAGACAACTAAATCAACGACATGAAAAATGAGAGAGGCTTTTGAAATTCTGGGTCCAGAAGAAGATGCAGCCAAGTGTACAATTGTAATATCCAATTAACCTGTACTTATTACAAGTACCGAGTAGATATGATGAGAGGAGGATAAAAAATGACTGAGTGAGATAGGCGTAAGATCACGAGAATGCGGAATGAGAGCTGGAACCTAAGGATTGTGAGGGCGAGAGAAGTACGACAGCGACTCGCCAAGTATACAAAAAAACCAAACATGATCTGACGGCCTTGAAAGATATAAGATGTTCAGCATGAACCGTACGTCGTATCTGAGTGCATCCCTTGTTACGATCAGGTACTCGTTCGCAAGGAAATGGCCATATCACTGCTCTCGCTTCTCTAATCTCCTGCATCCTCAGGCTCCAATTAATCACTCCCGACACATCGAAACGCCGGATCGTCGCACCGGCGTACTATACAGGAACCAAAAGCAACACCGATCACATCAGACTAACACATGATAAAATAAAATGATGGTACAGTAGCCAATGGCTAGGGCTTCCCTAGCCGCCTAGAAGGACCCAGGTTCAGGATCTGGCAGAAGACAGTCTTGAGACTACCACCGCAAGGGCAATTAAAACTCCCCACCGCCATTTCTCCCAAAGGACCTGTCCCCAGGACATTGCTACTTCAGCTGCCCCTGATGCATCATCAGCGGCCTTTGGTTTTGCCTTGGACGCATCTGGAGAGGAAGTTGAGGCCGCTAGTGTATTTGATGTAGGCGTGGCGGTGGAGGCAAATGGCATAGTATTAGGAGGAGTGAAAAGCGGTAAAGAGGTAGGGGGAGAAAGATTGGGTGTTTCATGTTGTTTGTGTTGTTCACCCATATTCGGAACATCCTTCGCGTAAGGAGTGCAGTACTATAGAAACAAATCAATTAAAACAGACAATAGGACACGACGAACAAGCGTACATCTGGAAAAGCTTCTTTAAACCTTGCCTGGTTCAAATTCCAAGCATGACTCTTCAATGCAAAATGGCGCTTCTGCGCTGCGCTAGAATTCACGGAACCAGTAGTCATTTCGTCGGACAACATGAATGAGAGTAGACCAGTAAGACTGTGGATATCAAAGAAATCGTTCAGCATCACCATCGCAAGGAAAGGCGTAACAAGGGACCCACATCGTAGCAACACTCCAAGCAGGATTCCACGAACCAGGATGAAAGTCGGACATTGAGAAACAAATCTTCTTATCAGGATGGAATCGGCCAGACGGTGTTAGCATCTAAATGACAGTAAGTGAATGCAATGTCCAGAACATCGCTCTCAAGCGCACCTTTATACCCGGAGGTTTGAACGGATACTCCGAAGGAAATAGGAGCAATCCGTGGAATTCCCCTCCTGCGAAGGGTGAGTCGGGTGGCCCGCGCTAATTCCCCCAACAATCGTCAACAATGAAGATGACCGCCAATTCACGCAAGAAGAGTAGAAATCATGCGAGGAAGATGATGATTTTCACAGTCAGGCAACAGCGCTAGGTCTCAAATGAGCCAGAAACTCACAATGATATAATTCCCTGCAACACATGTCATTTTACAAAGCAAACGAGTATATCGAAGGACACATACAGGTCAAAATATTCTTCTCGTCCGGTACAGCCCAGATAAACGGCGGTGGATCCTTCTGCATCGCGACGAATTCCTTCGTGAGCTATATCCAGATAGCTATAAGATGACAAATTATGAAGACATTAAGAATTCTTACTCGTTTTTGAGCCGCTTTGGTCGCCATTGTGAGTTGTTGGTAGTATTGGTCCCAGGTATGTACAAAAGAAATGGAGGACAAGGAGAAGAGTGAGCTGGACGTGTTGTGATGAAGGAGGACAAGGTTGGGGACGTGTGACGTTTGACAACAGAGTGTGACTGAATGACAAATCACGCCGAGTGTTGTTGGAGTTGCGTGTGCTGTCCAGGACTCCAGGTGCAGTCTGAGTTGTTGAAATTCCGTACCCCTATAAACGCTCGCCTTTTAACATACAACCTGAAATCATTGTCATCAACCGTACGCCGATCTATCTGCTGATTGCAGGATGCGTTTTCCTCCCAACTGCGTTCAAAGCGGTCCAAGCTATCGAACGGTCACTGAAGGCATTGTTTACAAGTTGCTCTAAACCGGTCGTCCGCAATTGTCTAGTATCGGACGCGTAATCAACTGGCTGGTCAAGACCCCCGTGAATGTTCTAGTTTGTAGGAGTCGTAGTCCCAGAAATTTTTGAGTCGAGCCCAGGATAGTAGCTGATCGGTATGTTAATGGTTGTCCTTGGGTCCTATATTTGTCTGCTGCTACGATACGACAAACTAACAATAATCTTAGTAGCCGAGCTCGATTTCCAGTCCTTCATCACTTGGAGATATTCAAAAGCCAAAGGTGATTCTCCTAATTGCCATTTACCCCAAGGAAATGATTATGGATGTTCTCGTTCTTCTGCAATGAAGGACAGGACAGGATAACTGGCTTTGGAGCCATTCATGGGATGCAAGTACGCCCTCACTTTGTTATACATATCTTGATCTAAATTTGGGTGGGCATAGTAAATCTAGCAGGTTGACATTTCGATGTTGAACATCATCTGAACCTTCGAGAAGCCCAGTACATACTAGTAATAGGGTCCAATCTATTCAGTATGATTGCTTTACTCATCCAATGTGTACTTTTTTGTTAATTCAGTGTTCTCAATCTCTGTCAAGTTAGCCACTGAAATACTACCTCTATAATCATCTGAGCATGCTCAAGACGTTGACTTTTCCCCTAAGACGCTGGCAAGGTAAAAAATCACCTGGTTGATCCATAGCCCATAGCTACTACCATCATGAATAACAATGCACTGTTCTTTGTGACAGGATATGGAGTTCATTGCCAAATAGCCACGAGCTTTACACCTACATCCCAGATCTCGGTCCTCCACCATTAAACTAACATACCCTAGACACCCTTTGAGGAATTCCCTGGAGAACGCGGTAGGTCCTGTAAAGGAGTTCCCAAAATGGCAGAGAAGTTGACCAACTTATATCAGCAACAGATCTCATGAAAGATCGCTGTGCCCATGGGCACATGAAATTAGCAGACCAGGACCGGGTTATGATAAGGTTTTAAACTGGAATCGGGGAACGAATTGTCGGTGGTAACGAGGATCCAATGCGTCGTTGGTCAGTACACTGGATATGCACGTTTGAATTTACATCCTGAAATACTTTGGTATCATAGGTTGAGTGATGGTCGAGGGTCCTTGCTTCTCGGCGAGCTTCAAAGTGAGTGAGGTGCGATGGTAGCTTCAGCCTGAGTAGAAGACAACAATATCGGTGATTGAGAGGTTTCAAAAATGCTCACCCTGTCATTATCCTATGCATTCATACCACAGATAAGAGTCTTCTAGCGTGCTGAGGCGTGCTGTTGATTCCCAATGTTCGAAGTTGTGCAGCTTTACATTCGATGAACTCACAGAATTACAACTTACACCCTCTTACACCAGTCAAGTTGTCTTAGGGTCAACGTCAGCTAAAAGCTTCCGCTGGAGACGCGGAATGTGGATGCTTCCCATTGATAGGAATAGTAAGATGATCCGGCATCAATCTGACCAATCCTGGACCGGCAGCTAATCCGGCCAAAGTCCGGTTTATTATTCGTCCTCAATCCTTGACCTACATATATGTAAGTACCTTGACCCGAAGGCTTCGCGTGGGCACTGCTTCTGCTAAACTTTCCTTTAGCCTGCCACTTCGATGGCTATAAGGTATTCCTTGATCATCTTGACAAGTATACGATACAATGTCCACAGCTGGCCACCGCCAATCCATTTTTCTTCCTATCAAGCAATGCAGCAGCGTGGTCAAGCTCAAGCCCACAACGTCACACGCTTCAAATCTAGGTGTCATAATGTCCATCACATCAAAGCCAAACCGGTGCGCTCTGGGCAATACATGCATAATTCTCTGGAAGTGGAGTGCTTCTTTTAGCGGTGTAGCAGACGAATAAAATAATACCGGACCCATTGGCCATGTTACCTGTGTAATGTCTAAATATCTAGCCTCTCGTTAGAGGGCATCGATGAGCTTCCGCTCTTGCAGCATGCGAGTCTCCTTTTCACATCCTTCCAGCCAAAGACCACACGGTGCCCAATAATTCCATGGAATCCACACTATCATTTCATGCGGGTTTCGACGTATGTACGACGAATCTCCCACCTTTTACTTTCTGATCCTATCTTTACTACAGCTTTTTTCTTTCATTCCATTGTGCATTATTTCACCCACATCAAGGAAAAAGTGTCGCAACTCCTTGCGTGCATCTGACAGCTGGTGATTAGACTCGCGGACTTCTTCAAGCCCCTCGCAGTCTAGCAAGTCATTGATGGTAACAGGGAGGGCCATCGAGAAGTAACGATCTACATTCCATCGCTCAAATACTCCAGCGAACAATCGTAGTACCTGTCTCCGTGACGAATCGCATCTTCGGTCATCCTCCGAAGGGCGAGAGAAACGGCGTGAATACCACATCATTTTATTTTGGAAGAAATCCCCACTTTTCGAAAGGCCACTGACGATCTATATTGCAGAGACTACAATGTTACGCGTCACACATTCATATGCTCACCATCGTGATACGTACCCTGGCTCATTGCCTTCCCCCTCACTGCAACCATTGATAAGCGCTGAACTCGAACGGTCTCCTTCTATAAGCCTTGGTCTTTTCGTAACATCGAAGATGTAATCGGTCCATTCGAGTCCGCCTGGTATAGTCCCGACCACCATGATTCACTGATCATCGATGAATTTTCCTGGTATCGAAAACTTTGTTCAAGCCTTCAGTAGCATTATTAATGATATCAGTCTAAGTGGCTGAGCACTTACATTGTTCAAGCTCACCTGCTTATTTAGTAGCTGAATACACTACTACCTTTCAGGAGCTCTCGGGACCCTTACGCCTTGTTATGAAATTTCCTATTCCTACGCATTAAAATTCTTCGAACAATTCCACAAGTGTTGCCGATGTTCCCGCGCAACCTAATCCAATGTAGTAGCATATATTAGACAGGTATGTTACAACTGTAACTGTTGAAACTGTCTTACACAGTTTCGACTATCAACTTCCTCACAACTCATTGATGTCGAATAGTTACTCAGAAACGTCGGAAAATGCCTCTTCGATTGGGGATAATTGGGGGATAAGAATGCTTACGGTTCTCGCCGAAAAAACACCTCTGAGCTCTCAATCTCTTTCGAATACTTCGACGTACAAATAGACATATTGAACGACGCTCACACAGCTTTACATTAATGCCATAACCCATTCTAAATCTCACACTTGGCGCCAATCTCTCCACTGAGTGCTTCTAAAGTCCTACATAACCGCCGAAAATCTTGTCCACCAATCGACCGGAGCTGTAGCCATTCATTGGCAATTAGGCCGATTCTGATTTCCTATCTATTCTATTGACATCTGGACTAGAAGAGATTAGAAGAGAAGGCCTTCGATTATGAAGCTTGCCGTTTTCTATCCTACGCGGCCACTGGACCGTTGATGCAGATGACTTGCCGCACTACTCAAGTACTATCAATGTTTTTTCGCGTTTGTTTCTTTGTCATGGGTGTAGCTTCTACGAGTTTATGTGACTTTCTTCTGGTCTGCCGTGATTCATTTTCCTTGCTTCCTTCCCGGAGCCTCTCCCTTCCTTTTCCACCCACTTTTCCTTCAAGCTTTGTCCGTAGAAAATATGGTAAAAAGGCTACTCCACTCGGACACCAGTTTGGGGTCTCACACTACTCGTACCCGTTCAGTCTTCTTCGTACTTTTCCTCGGTCTTTTCGTAGTTAACCTCAATGCGAATGCGATCCTACTAGGACAATCGAAGCTTATCGGATACAATAAATTGACACCAGAACGGAGGGACGGTGTAAATGCAAGTTGCGAACCGGATTACAATTGGGCAAATAACGATGCAGGAATCTCGCCCTGCGTAATGGCTGCAGCAATTGAGGCTTGCGAAACGGGTCGTGAGCAATATTTCGCGCTCATTACTGATTGCGATCGATAGCTTCATTTTCTGCTAGCGCATACTGTTCCACCGTTGTCTATAGGATCATATTATAATCCTCCAAGTTTGGAAACCAACACTGTCAATGTCTGTCAGTGGTATGTCACAAACCCGAGGCCTTTGGCTACTACCTTGTAGCTCACAAACCCAATCCTCAGTTCATGGGCAAACTATAACCTGGTTAGTATGTGTACCGTTTGTCAAGGACAGGCAGTTTCGCTTTCCCCGTAAGTGACATTGGGGCCGCGTCGAACTAGACACAATCGATACATCTCAATCGTATTAGGTGGGCATCATACACCGTCGAATGCGATGGTTTCACAGAATCCAACTCGTAAGCTCTGTGCTGTTATTCTTCCAGTTTCAATTAAATAAAGCACCTCATATATTTGAAACAGGTATTATCCATCGAATTATGAAGCTCTGCTGCCCTCCAACAACAGTATTCCTCTTTATGCTCAAACCAATCGTAAGTCGTTCCATGTAGCATGTCAACTTTGGTCACCTATGTATGTCTATTTAGCGGCAACTCAATGGACGAACGGTGTTTTCAACGTTACTCAAGCCCAGGCAGTGGTTAATGGCACTCTCTCTTTACAAACCTCCGCCACATCACAGTCTACCAGCTCAAAGCCCATTGCAGCTATCATTGGGGCTTCTGTCGGCGGGACAGTTGTCTTACTTTGCTTCACAGGCATTCTGTTTTGGGTACGCCGACGAAATGCTTCCAAAGATGAAGGTAGATACCAAAATCTTCCGAATGTTGGCACACCTCCAAGCACTCGCCTGTCGTCGAGTACGCCACATTCAACAATTAATACTAGAAACGATGGTAGTCTTCGGAATAGCCTTTATCCTTCCTCAATCAGTGACTACACTGGATCGTTGATACATTCAGAGGATTCTACACGGAACTCTGGAGTTCTTACTCCGTTTAGGAAATCTTATATCGACTATCCAACGGCCCATGACGATGGCATCTATGCCCGACCAGAGGACTTAGCACCGATTCGAAGGAATACTGGGCCTTCAGTTGCTCCGCGATCTACTCAACAGATGTATGATATCATCAGGAATCACCAGCTGGGACGATACTCTGAACCCGTCCTTCCTGGTAGTTCGGGTTCTGGTCCCGCAATATATACATACACAATCTTGGCAAACAACGTAGCCGAAGAGACAGAGGAGGTACCAACAGACAGTTCCAGTCCCAGTGCTCGGCGCACAAGCAACCCTCCTCCCTATTCCCCGGGGGGGCCTGCTGGTGAACTTTGATATAAACCCCTCTACTACTTATGTGATGTCGACCTTTTCTTATACTACGAATTATGCATATTGCTAGGCCATGATGTTAGTGGATCATCCTAGTACCTTCCCAGCTTCAGTGTTTGGTACAATATTCCATAAGCAGATTGTAATACCACTTGCTCTGTGATCGAATAATTTATGTATGTGTCTCCTGGTCATTGCACTCCGAATACCCTTCTGTCTGGAGGACTGAAAGTAAGTAGCATGCTTAAAGCGTCCCGATATTTCTAGCTTTGACCTTACCTTTTTCGGAGAATACAGAAGGAGTAGAACCCTCCTCCTTCATTGTCATTCGTCTGACGCGAATTACAGGGTTTACCAGTGATATTGACTCTACATCCAAGAACGTCTACTCTTTACAGAATCTACAATTATTTCTTGTCGTTCTCATGAACGTTTGGGATCGGAATCGGTAGCCGTAATCCCGTCGTTAATTTTCGTATCCACACCTTCGGGTCGGACATTCCCACTCTCCCTCTCACTTTTGCCTTCTTTTTCTGTGATATCCGAGGCATTGAGCTTCCGCTCCAATCCAGTTCCATTCCATCCAATCCACCTTTTCTCTCTCACAGAATCCGAGCGATCCAGCCCCGGCCCTCTCAATAGCAAGATCACAATCTGCCAGATCGCAAATCCCAGTGTCATGAGAGCACACGGGCGCCATCCGTAGTGGATGAAGACGTACGTCCCGGCGGATGTTCCAGTGACCTGGCCGATGAAGAGCTAGACAGTAAAGAAGGAAGATGAGCAAGTGGCGAGATAGGAGGAGAAATAAATGAATCGTCGCACCGAAAGTATATACACGGCGTTAAGACGTGCTCGAGCTTCGGGTGCAATACTGAAAATCAGCAGATGATGCAAAGTTAGTGAGCGGCAAGTCAAGCAAAAGAAGTCCAGAAGTTCAGAACGAATGTAAATATAGCAGTAGAAAACAGTGTAATGAACTGCGAACCGCGAACATGCAGCAGGTGAACACGAAAGACCAACTCCACTCGCTAAAAAGATTCCCACCTAAATATATTTGACGCCAAACTAGTCTGAAGCATTTGCCTGAAAATATCCAAGCCCAACACTGCAATGATGACTGCTGCGATACTAATCCCATTTCCGACCACTTGAACAACCTGGAAACACGTTGCATACCACGTTCGAAATATAGCACAGTCAAAAGTCGTCAGCCTACCTGAAAAATGATCAACGCGATGCACCCCACCAATGATGCATAATAGGCCGGGAGTGCATCAATTGCCTTTCCAACGAAAGGACCCATAGCGACACCAAACATACCCACTAAGCCAAAAAGGCCAATAACGAGACTGGGAACAGGGACGAAGTAATGAGCACGAAGTAAAGTGATCGAGAGATCTCCCACATACGTGGAATAATTATACGGGTCCCCGCCCAACAAAAACGTCAAGGTGACCCAGAAAGCACTAAAACTCGCACTACTCCCCATGTTTACCAAACAAGCCTGAATCAGTACGGGCTCCGTCACCGCGTACTTGCCCATCGTCCACAATATCCTCTGATAAGTCATTCCCGTCCCCTGGTTCTTCGCTGGAAAGTCCGGTAACAGCGCCCAAGACCCAATGAGTACGACAGTTTGCAAGCCAATAGCAAGATAATAGACGACACGCCATGAGGTAAACTGTGCGATGATGCCGGCGAAAACACGAGCGATGAGAACACCAAAGAGAAGTCCTGCGAAGACAACGGAGAGCGCAGATGCACGTTTGTGTGCCGGTGCAAGGTCGGCAGCGAGGGGAAGTAGAACCTGTGGAGTTACAGAGACGAAGCCCACGAGGAAGGAGAAGGTGAGGAAGACCGTAAGGGACGATGTTACTGCAAGAGGAATGGAGAGCGTTGTAGAGAGGAGAACAATCAGAAGGATTAACTGTCGTCGACGGACAAGGTCACCCAGGGGTGAGATCAGGAGCAGGCCAGCAGCGTAACTGAAAAGAAAAGTGAGTGAAAAGACTATGCGTGAAGGAAAGAGGGTTGTACCCCGCTTGTACAAGGGTTGGAACTCTAAAGATATTAGTTAGAGCTGAAGTAAGCGCAGTAGCCAATGAATATCAACTCACTTTGAAATTTCATCGTATGAAACGTTGAATGACTCTGATAGCTGGACTGAAATGTCGCGATTACGATACGTTTGCGGACAGTAAATAATGGGGTTTCGCACTCAATAACGGTTGACAGTAATACAGATTCGCCACAACTAGGCTATTGTTAGTATATGGACATGAGAGAAAAATGCAACGCTGACCGAAAGTGCTCGCAAACCCGAACGAGGCGTTCAGGAGCAGCCCGAAATGGAATGGAGGTTCATCTGGATGGTATCGGAGTCTCTTTGGAATAGGAATGAGCCCAAAATCAGTGGTATGCCACCGTCTTTGTGAGAATCCCAACTCTTGGTCGGGTGCAAGGGCATTAGTTCTTGAAATTGTGGTTTCTAAAGCCGTTCGATCTACTGTTATCTCTTCCTTTTGAGATCCACTCTCGTTGTCCATTGGGCTTTGCCCTAACACTGGATGAATGGAGAGAGAGTAATGACCGTGGTGGTGGTCCTGATCAAAAATAATAGTTGGCTTTAGTCATGCGTACATGGTATCGGCCGTGCTTAAGGATTAGTATTATAGTGTTACGTACTTGCAAAGGATTTCATATCTCAGCTCGAATTATCAGCGAGTTCGTGTGAGCAGTGATATTCTTCTAGTGCTTTTCGTGTCTTGTAGACAGTCACATAATGATGCGAATAGTGGAACGGAGGAAAGACGGAAGCCATGAGAGCTTTCTACCAAACATGGCAGGGGCAAAGCAGGGTACAAAGTCTGATTGCCGACTATTTTGCTCTGTGCTCTTCTGTGCTCTTTCGAAAACTTCTGCGAGTCTTCTGCGTCGTTTCTAGCTCGGCTGCTCAGCTCAATTACTTTCATCAATTGACCGGAGTCGAACGGTTGTTGCCAGTTGGCACGCCATATTAATCTTTCCAGGTCTTTCTGGGTCACATTTCTAGCGGGCGCCCATCGATACTGTTTTTTTATAGTATAACATTTCCTTCTCAGTTTTGCGAGGGATAGTCAATACAGGACCCCGTTACCATTAGGATTAGGATTGGGTCAGGACCTGGTCAAGACTCCTCTCCGCAACCTCCCCAGAACCTCCCAGAACCTCCTCGAGGTTAATTCATGTTTCATCGTTTTTGTAAATACTGATCGTCATCTTGATCCTTCAAGCTTCACGCTTAGCTTCGTGACGGCGGTAATAATTTGTATTGAGTACATACTATTCGGTTGGGCTTCGCAAACGAAAAAAAGGACCAAGAACGCGCTTTGGATGCCGAGGTTGGCGTACATTGGGCGTACAGTTCGCTTTGCAACTCTAGAGCACGCCTTCACGAATTTTTGAACAAAAAATCATGTAACATGACTGCACAGGGTCACTCAGGGGGTCACCCTAAGGAGCGTTTCATTGCCGTAATGGACTTGGCAAATTGCCTTCACTGAAGTTTTCGAGCGGCGAGCATCGAGGTATATAAAGTGCAAAAGATCAAATTTGATGCTCGCCTTGTCTTTGTTTTGGGCTACCTGCTAGACCCGTCCTTTCTTTCCTCCTCTTCTACTCTGCGCTTCAGGCAGCGCTTTTGGCTCATGTTCAAGATCAAATTTGCTCTCGAACCATTCTTGGCTCTCCTCCTCTTATCGGTCGTTACCGACTTATCGCGGTTGGCTTTCGGTGGCGATTTTGGAAAAGTATTCGTATCAGGAGCTGAGGTGATTAAGATTGGCGGCAAAGTACACAGTGAAAATTTGTTCGTTGTGAATAGGGAGCTTTCTCCGGATGGCTTCGAACGCTCGTGAGTTTTATCCTTCGGCTTTTCGGCCCGGATAACTGGCTTTACGCGTATCTTACAGTACCGTTCTCGCTGGATTATCTTCTCAGAATGGAACGTTCCCTGGGCCACTTATTACAGGAACCAAAGTATGCTTAGCCTCGAAATCTCTCAACGAAAATTCATCGCAAATCGATCTAATATTGTATGATCAACAGGGGGACCGATTTCAGATCAACGTGACGGACCTTCTCACCGACAGCACAATGGCGAGAAGTACTAGTATCGTACGTTTTCTGTTCATTCAACCGGCGCTGTTGATTCACCGAGAGCCTTTCATGTTCTTATTTCTTAGCACTGGCACGGTCTTTTCCAAAAAACTACCAACTATGCCGATGGGGTATCTTTCGTGTCTCAATGCCCCATCGTCGCGAACCACTCGTTTATGTATGATTTTCAAGTTCCAGATCAAGCGGGCACCTTCTGGTACCATAGTCACCTGTCGGTTCAAGTGAGTCGGCTTGAAATAGCGACTGTTCAACACTCGCTAAATCTGCACGCGATAGTACTGCGACGGCTTGCGAGGTCCCATTGTGATATATGACCCACTCGACCCACACCGATTCTTATATGATGTAGACGATGGTCAGTTTTATCATCAGAATTCATTTATCGGAACAGATAAACTCAACCTATTTTTTGACGTTAGAATCTACGGTCATCACGATTGCAGACTGGTAAGAAATTCTCTGGCTTTCTTGCCTGTTCCTGAACTCATAGTATCTTGTGCTTCCTTAATCCCCTGTTTCTAGGTATCATGATACAAGCTACGAACTCATTGCGAAACGGGCTGGTCTGACCCCTGATGCGACTTTGATTAACGGCAAAGGACGCTACGTTGGAGGTGTAAGCATCCTTAAAGTCTTACCTGCTCAGCTCCAACGTTTACCCCTTCTCTCACAGCCTAACATCCCTCTAGAAGTAATCAACGTCGAATACGGAAAACGTTACCGTTTTCGTGTCATCTCCATGTCGTGTGGCGTCGACCACGGCTTCTCCATTGACGGACACGATCTAACCATCATTGAAGTCGACGGAGTCAACACCCAACCGCTCACGGTAAATCATATCCAACTCTACGCTGCGCAGCGGTACTCCGTTGTCCTACATGCCAACCAGAAACCGGATGTGTATCGTATAAGAGCACTAGCGACCTCTGGTGTGGGTGCCCAGAACTTCACCAATGGTGTGAACTCGGGTATCTTGAGATACAAGAACGCGGCTGGAAATTCTGATAGAGAGCCTACGTCCTCACAGCAGAGTCATATGGTGTCATTGAATGAAAATGATCTCCGACCCCTAGAGTGTCCTGGAGCTCCAGGGAAGCCTTATCCTGGCGGAGCTGACCTTGTTCTGAACTTGACAATGGGTTTTGGTGTAGCCCCTGGTGCCAGCGCTCCGTCGTTTTTCATGAACAATGTATCATATGTGTCTCCGAAGGTTCCGGTGCTTTTACAGATCCTGAGCGGCGCTCAAAGCGCTCAGGATTTGCTACCCGCTGGGAGCGTGTATACGCTACCGCGGAACAAGGTCATTGAAATCAATCTACTTGGAGGTAGTGCTATTGGTGGACCACATCCTTTCCATCTGCATGGTGTATGTACTCAAATCCTTGTCTCCCACCTTCCGCCACTGAGTTATCTCTATTTCAGCATGCCTTCGATGTTGTCAAGACCTCAAGTAGCTCAGACTACAACTTTGTAGATCCGGTAAGCACAAGACGTTCCTCTCTGCTCCTTTTCTCTCACCTTATTTCTCTCACCTTATATTCTGTAGGTCCGTCGAGATGTGACACTGGTGAATCAGAACGGTCAAACGACTATTAGGTTCCTTACCGACAACCCAGGACCTTGGTTCTTACACTGGTGCGTTCATACTCGGTTTCTCTACCCTTCTGCATTAACTGACTGTCAATGGAAGTCATATCGACCCTCATCTTGAGGCGTGAGTGCCTTTTACAATTTCGCGCATCTAGAATTAATGTATTTCTTATCTCGCAGCGGTCTTGCTGTTGTCCTAGCAGAAGACACTAGGGACACGAAATCGAATGATCCAGTTCCGGGTGAGTGTCTGTCAGTCAACAAATGTTGATTGCACTGACTTCAGTTTTTTTTTAAACAGCCGGCTGGGATACACTGTGTCCGATTTATGATAGTTTGACTCCTGATCAACTGCCTTGATCGCTCTGCCTTACCTTCTTGCACTTTTGGACGATCCTTCGGACATTCTCTTCTGGACAATATTCTATACAACAGGACTATAGTAGACTGTTCGTACTAATTTTACTTTTTACAATGTAATGACAAGCGGGTACCGCTGACACGGTATTTTGGAACCTCCGAATCGGACTTCTGGACCCAATGGTGACTCCGACTCCGACCCTGTCCCACAACAGCCTGGAACAGCCTCCCTCAAGAACTGGAGGCTCCTGCAAAACCCCACTGGCCTGAAGTAAGCTACGATTATGGCTTGAAATACGCTAATTCGGATAGGGTCTAGCAGGAGCTTCCGGGGTCCTCTCCTTCTCCATATCGCATCGTCCCTAAGGTTTTCCGTTTGCTATTTCTATCTTACACAAACTTCCCCAGCGCCACAAGTCTCCTGTTCTACAATCTTTGCTTAATATCTATCTACAGAAATAAGCATTAATTTCTTATATTTGTGTGAACTTACAAATTTCATGAGTCAAACTGATCAAAGAACACAATGCAAGCAAGGTAGAACAGGGTACGTTAATACGAAGTTTTCCAGAGTCTTCGAATTCTTACCATATGTTAACCCTGTTATCGCTTAACACTCAGGCTTGTACATATTGAAATTTCTTCCTCATGACATTAAGTACATCCTGTTACAACTCGGTCAGTTACACTGCAGTCTTGCTACATTTTATACACGTGATCGCGCTACACCATTGTTGTGCCAGCCTTGTAAATTTTTTCTCGTTCCAAACTCTATGCATCTATGCATCTATCCGGTCTGTATTCCCGGAAAACTTCACAAACAATCTTAGCATCTTTGCGATCTGTTTGCGATAGAGTTCGCGTGCACCAGCTCAAGCAATGTCCGATCGGAAATTTTCACGTGTACGTCCACTCTCCCCAACCCTTTTCCGAAGGCTATAAGAAACGAGAAATAATCTTATACTTACATACATACCACAAAGCCGGTCAGCTAGACTACCTTTTCCCCAGTATTGACGAATGACTAAGATGGGTCACTACATGTCTCAGAATTATCCGCCAAAATCAGTATGGTCCGTTGACCAAATTCCCGATTTGGCTGGACAAGTAACCATTGTCACCGGGTCCAACACTGGTTCGTCGGAAGGTTATATACTGAGGCTTGTAAACCTCGATTGATCTTTGTTTCCAGGAATTGGAAAATATACGGTCGAGGAACTGTTGAGGCACAACGCAAAAGTATACATGGCTGTCCGCAGTCAAGACAAGGCAGAACTGGCTATCAAGGAACTGAAAGCGAAGACAGGGAAGGAAGCTATTTTCCTGAAGCTGGATTTGAGTGATCTTGCTTCAATCAAGTCTTCAGTTGAAGAATTCCTCAAGTGAGCTGTCGGTTTTTTCTTCGACGAAAGAATCATTATTCAAAACGTTAACCTTATTGATTGTAGGAGGGAGAGTCAGCTGCACATTCTACTCAACAATGCGTACGTTCCTATTTCGTCCCGGTGTGGTAACTCTCTCATATTTTAGTGGTGTTGCCGTTACACCAAAGGATATGTTCACTGCTCAAGGATACGACTTGCAATTTGGGACTAACACGCTCGGTATGTTGAATTTTGTCTCTTCATGACATCCGATCCCTTACGACTTCCTTCGAAACAGGTCATTTCTTCCTGACAACACTCCTTCTCCCCACCTTAATTTCTACCGCCAAAACCATGCCCGACAACAAAGTCCGAATAGTGCACACCTCGTCGTACAGTCACCACTTTTGCCCAAGGATGAAATTCGATTCTTTTAAAGACGGTCCTACACGGACAAAGATGAGCGGCATGCAATTATATGGGCAGAGTAAAGCTGTACGTATTAGTCGAGATTGTGAACGAGATTGCTATACTTATTTAAGAGCAGGGCAATATCTTGTTCTCGAATGAACTCGCGAGCAGATACAGCGACCAGGGCATCGTGTCAATCTCTCTTCATCCGGGTAGTATCAGGTCTGAGCTACTACGGCATGGCCCAACACTCCTCACGCGACTTATGGTGCGCCGCTGCCTTCTTTAAATCTTGCTCGTCTCGAGATATTCATTCGCCTATGTAATACATTTATTAGAATTGGGCGCTTTTCTATCCTGTTGAATTAGGCGCATTGACACAATTATATGCGGCAACAGCACCCGAATGCACCGAGTTCAATGGAAAGGTATAAACGATTTCCAATTTCATACCTCGAATTTGTTACGAGCAGCCATCTCTAGTATCTATCGCCTTGGGCCCGATATGTCCCAACAGAGCCAAATCAAGATATTCGGGATCCTGTTGCTACGAAGGAGTTGTGGGAGTACATGGAGGAGCAAGTCAAAGATTTTTTATAGCGAAACAGTGATTTACTTTACAGTATCGATACAATACCAGCCCTATGAGGAGGATATCGAAACTTCCTCAAGGTCCTAATTCTTCACTGTACAAATCATATTTTTCCCAGTTGTTGTAACAATTTGGACACTTTTGTCAACAGCAGCCCATACATATACGCGTATGTGTATCTTCAGTCTTCAGACAGTGACATAAAAAATCCACATAAAACGGTTAACCGTTTTAGGCAATTTCGAATTGGGTAAAGAAGGAAGCGCCATCGATCGCTGTGACGTATCGTCTATCTGTCTACATAAGCCGTTCTATTCTTTCTGAGCAGCAATTTCAATCCCCACCCAAACTTGACCTTGAACTTTCATGGTCAGTCCTTTTTCCACAGGAACACTGCCATTACAGCTTCATTTCTTTGTTCCCAGATGTCGAAAGAAACCAAAGCCTGGGCTGCTACTTCTCCTCAAAAAATCGAGGCTTCAACAATCACTCGTCGTGCTCCAGACGACCAAGACATCGCAATCAACATCAAGTTCGCTGGTATCTGTCATTCTGATATCCATACCGTCCGTAGTGAATGGAAAGAGGTCGAGTACCCGCTCGTTGTTGGGCACGAAATCGCTGGCATCGTTAGCGCTGTCGGAAAGAACGTTACCAAGTTCAAGGTCGGCGACCGCGTTGGGGTAGGGTGCATGGTGAATAGTTGCCGCGAGTGCGATAATTGCAAGGACGGAGAAGAACAATACTGTGCAGACATGGTCGGAACGTACAATGCGAAGGACCCCAAGGACGGGACGATCACCCAGGGAGGCTATTCTCAATACGTCGTCGTGGACCAGGCGTTCGTATTGAACATCCCTGCAAATCTTCCGTTGGACAAGGCAGCGCCGTTGCTCTGTGCAGGTATCACGGTATTCTCGCCGTTGAACCACTGGAAAGCTGGGCCCGGAAAGAGAGTTGGGGTCATCGGACTAGGTGGCCTAGGACATGTCGGTGTCAAAATCGCTAAGTTAGTATCATGCATTATCGGCGTTCACGACCCACAAAAGCTAATATTCGTTCAGAGCCTTGGGTGCCGAGGTTACCGTTTTCTCCCAAACCGATAGCAAGAAGGAACTTGCCATGCAATTTGGCGCAGATGCGTATATCGCTACAGGTGATCCCAAGGCCTTCGACGGACTCGATCGCAAGTTCGATATCATTCTCAACACGGTTTCCGCCAAAATTCCTCTTGACAAGTACCTATCCTCGCTTCGTCGCGATGGTTCCCTCGTTCAAGTGGGCGCGCCGTCAGACCCTCTGCAGATTACTCCGTTCAGTCTCTTGCCACAACGTATTGGCATCCACGGAACCTTGATTGGTGGCATTGCGGAAACGCAGAAGATGTTGGATTTCTGTGCTAAGAAGCAGATTTTCCCTGAGATTGAAGTAGTCTCCGCTTCGTACATCAATGAGGCGTATGATAGGGTCGTCAAGTCCCAGGTCAAGTTCAGGTTTGTTATCGATGTATCGACCATGTAAGTAGAAAAGACAATCTACAGCCTATCCCGGAAAGTCACATCATTCGATAGCATTGGATTTGTTTATTAGTACATATTTGAATGCGGAAACTGATTACTCCGAATGCTCAGCTTAACTGTTCTTGTGGATGTCCAATCAATTTCATCCCGCTAACTTCATTCCGCTTCAATCTCTGTAAACCATGAACGATTCCTTTCAGTCCGTTCGGAAAATCTTCGATACGGGCAGGCTTCAATAGTATCAGCGAGAGTCAGTACTTCAGTGCTTAAGCCATATATATCAATATATGCACTCACCACCACGACGTTTTGCTCAATGAGCTGTGGAAGCTTTTCGTAAAGCACCTTCCCAAACGCTCTTGTATGTGGTAAATGCACTGTGCCGAATACAGCCAACATAGTCTTCCCGTCGTCTCTATCCGTCTTCGTGGTCGAATTCACAGTAACGAGTTCCCCTCCCTCGGTCAAGCAATTCATACTCGCTTCTTGTGCCTCAGCGTTCCCTACAGCATCGAAGGCAAATTTCAGAGGTTTTTCAGTTATTTTTGCGACTTCAGAAGGAAGACTGCCCGAAGAGACTTCATGGCGGTCAATAACATGCGTCGCGCCGAGGGACTGGAGATGTGCCATGTGTTTCGAAGAGGCATATACGATGATTGGACTGAATTCCATGTATCGAAGGAGTTGGGTGGCTATAGATATATAATCACAGTTCAATTTTGTGTGTTTCGTGAGAACAGTGAGTTACACCCACCATACATCCCTACGGTAGTTCCTCCGCCGTAGACAAACACAGCTTGTCCGGTCTGCTTGATTAACGGGTCTATGGTGGGGTTTAAGCCGAGTCCAATGGGCTTGGGTGCATAGAGACCATAGATGGCGCATGTAAACGAGACAGGGATAGATGCAGCTTGTGAATAAGTGTATCTCGATGGAATCTGTCGAAGTACTTCAAGTTCTCGCAACAAGTCAGCTCACGTTCATCAACAATCTACCTTTGCTACAAGATCCGCTGGAATGGTAGTGTACTGCTGAAAAGCAGCTCTCTCATTCCGATAGAAACCTTGGAAGAATCTAATACGTGCAAAAACTCGCGATCAGCGTAATCAGCGTATAATGTTAGAGATGAACAGAACTGGGTTCCCGCGGCCGAGGAGTACTAACACTCTGTCACCCTTCGCCCATCCTTCGACACCTTCTCCGACTTGTTCGACATCACCAGCAACATCTGAGCCTAACACAGCAGGATAACTCTCTACAAGAAACCCAGCAGCCTGGATTTTCCAATCCACCGGATTCAGTCCAGCAGCTTGCACCTTGACGAGGAGTTCACCGGGTTCCAAGTGTGGGATAGGTCTTTCAGAGATGATGAAGTTGCCTTGTTTGCTTTCTAGCACGAGAGATTGTTGAGTGGCCATATTTATTGTGTCTAGTAAGAATCGATGATAAGTACGATAGGTTTTGGCTGAAAAAAGAAGCCCCGCGCGAGTAGGTAATAGACCACTATGCGAGGAGATAGGGACCTGGAGCGTCCAGGTTGCAGGGAATGCTCACCAGATCAAGTTGGTCATTGAACAAGGGTGGGCTGGTCGGAGGGTTGTGATAGTAAGCACTATCTTATCATTATCTTATCATTCATTGCATCGGTCGTGACATTGACCTCTTCATGTGTAACGCATCCTCGGACCGAGTCGTATCAGTCACCTGATGTGACCGTTTTGTCTTTCTTGTCGTTCTCAATTGCACTTCTACCGCTCCTGTCACCAGAATAAATGCTAGTTGCGGGACTTTCAGTTCACCGTGCGATCTAGCCTTCTGGTGCTTACCTTCTCCTAACAGTAGCATGCTACATTCTTTCAAAATACCCTGTGACCTGGGTCCTGGCCGCTGGTCTTGTCATCGAAAAAACTTAAATACCCCACTTAGATGAGATTGAATTGTTCTCAGCTTCAAGTTGAGCACCATCCTCCCAGCTCCAATCAAGTGATCAAGGAGAGACATGCTAGGATTGGGTACTCTTGCTCTATCATTTTTCCTTTTGGCACCTTCAGGAGCCTCTGCCGCAAATAGCTTCGCTGGAGCCAACGTGAGTATCTATCCTTCCTTCCATTCCTGCTTTCTCCCTGACAAGTCCCGCTCCTGGGAAATAGAACTATTACGCGTATGCGCTCCCTGAAAGCGATCGCATTACCCTTTTGGATGGAATGCAGGCTGCCGGGATGAAGGTAAGCGATTTTCTGCTTTCATTTTGGAAGTAGTACTATTCTTACGCTTTAATGAATCAATTGAAAGGTCCTTCGAACGTGGGTCTCCGGACAGACCGCTGGCCAGAAAAAAAGTGATAGTGTAGCTGTTCCCGATCTGGAAGCGAATGGCATTGGGAATTACGATGATACAATTTTGAATCTCATTGACCAACTTATGGTGCGAGTCATTCCATGGTGCAGGGTCGTAGATTGGTGACGATAACCTACTTAGGTTGATGCCCATGCTCGAGGAATCAAGCTTCTCATTGGTATGTTCAATAACCCTAGTTCTAATAATTACTTGACTCAATGGGGAGTGTATACCCGCAGGCATGTATGATCGTTCGTCGGAGTCTTTCGCCAGTGGAATGACGCAAAGCGATTAATATCTCGTCTTGATTTCCGTTTAGAAAATAGTCTTCAAGCTGGTGATATTTACGGCAGAACCTACGGTGTGGAAGGGTTCTATACTAGTTCCGGTCTGTATATACCATCCATTTTCATCCACAGTTTACTTACCACCATTTCATTATCTTGATTGGTAATTTAATGTTCGTGGATCTCCGTCCCTTCAGTCGCAATCGATGCCTTCAATCAACGCATAACTCACATCCTGAATATTCATAAAAACTCCTTGCTTGATAACCAGCCGTGGAGCGAGTTGGGAGGGTATATATTTGGGTACGAAGCCCAGAACGAGTGGGTGGATCATGATGCTCTTCAAGCTAAACTTGAGCTGACAGATTTTGTCGGCAGGCCGATGATATTTGACCAATCGTTTTATTTGGTGAATCAACAACTGAGCATCATGACTGTTGGCCTTAAATCCTTCACTTAATGTCTCAACAGGACCATCTTTCTTGGATCTGCAATTCTGCATTGCAGGTAAATTCGAGCTCGCATTTTGATTAAGCCCAACTTTGATTTTAAATAGATTCGCAACAACGTCGGGGACACCAACCAGCTTATTTTCACTGGCGGAGGCTCCGCCGCATCCAGCGTTCAATCCGTCTTCTTCTCCAGTTCTTGCGCTATCGATGTAGTTGCCGTTCACGATTACAACGAGTAAACTACATTGTCAGACCCTTTGACTTTAGTGCTGACGCTGCATACTTCTTGATTTTTTTTAAACACCAGTGACTATGACAATTTTATGTCTTCCGCCATATCCGAAGCAAAGGCTGCTGGCAAAAAGATTCTGGTGGAAGAATGGGGATCCCTCGCTCCAAGCGGGAGCGCGCGTACCGCCAATATCGAGTCCAATGTGCAGAAGATCAACAATTACAAGGTTCCATGGTTCTATTGGGAATTGATCACGAATCCAGATCCAGGCGAAGGGCAGGACTACGAGGTGTTTTGTTTTCGTCTCTAAGCGTGTTCGAAAATCTGAAACAATCTATTGATACTTTCAGATCGAAGTCAACGGGGCGGATTGGAGTACTATCTCTGGTTTGGCGGATACCACGGCTGCCATCACGAATGCAGCATTTGATTTCAGTGCGTCTCTCGCTTTGTGAGCATGAGGCAGTAGCGTAGCTAGGTAGATGATAAGCGCCTCTTAAGCGCCACATGACGCGTCCACATCGTGCTTCAACGTTCAACTACCACAGCAATTTTATTTTCGCCCACAGAATGGACGAACCTTCTGAAGTATCCATGGACATAACTCGTTCACCTTTTCATTCAATAATCGGAACTAATTGCTCCCTTTCTCAAGTAGAAAGAGCATCCCTAAAAGAGTTTCTTGTTGCACCACAACTCGAAAAGTCCCGGTTAGAGGCGGAGTTATCTCGTGTCCAGGCTCATTTGAAGAGTACTGAGGAATACATTCATGCTCACCAAATGTTGCTATCTCCAATTCGCAAGCTGCCTCCGGAAACGCTCGCTGAGATCTTTATGCATTGTGTTCTGGCCGCAGATGCGGTGCGAAGTTTGCAAGAAGCCCCTCTCCTATTAACCATCATTTGTCGAGATTGGAGGAGAGTTGCCATCGACACTCCTCTGTTGTGGAAATCCCTTCACTTCTACCTTCCTCCACACTTAAACCAGGATGCGTTATCCCTGCGACTCGCAGGAATCTCTCTATGGCTTGAACGCTCTGGTTCTCTTCCATTGTCCATTTCATTTCATGGCAGAACAGCCTATAGTTCGCCGCTGGTAGGAGAATTTGATGAGCATCAGACGAAGAAGAACATGGAGTCTTGCATCCGCACTCTGATGCGGTTCGCTAATAGGATCGCAACTCTATCATTATCATTACCTCTCTCAGATTTCGCGCTCTTCGATGAACTATCTCCCCCAAAATTTCCTGCCCTTATATACCTTCGATTACGAGATGCAAATCTACACGAGGGATCGTACGGACATCTATCTGAAACTCCAGCAATCGCTTTCCTTCCTTCTTTACTTGGTCGAATGCCAGTATTGAGCACACTTAAAGTTCATGAATTTCATCTTCGTAGAAATGCTGCTCTGAGCTTTGGACTAGGCTCTTTGACCAACATCGATCTATCTACCGGGGGCATTACTACATTTGGGGTGCTTCTTACTACGAATGAAGGGCTGGCTCTTTTAGCGCAAACCCCATTGGTACAGAGCGTTAAAATAACTATCCATCTGGGAAATAGTAATAATAATCCCAATGACACCAGTTCTCCGGCGCGCACTGAGGTCCACCTCAATCAACTGGTGGAAATGCGTCTTGTCTTTATCAGAGTCTCGAGACTAGTTGAACTATCCTCCGATATGCAAACGCATATGACTCTCTTCTTCGACAGTATTCAATGTCCTTTGTTAGAATCCTTTTCCGTGTCCTGGCAAGGATTGCTGATCACTCAGTTGCCATTTCGTGCGTTACCTCTCAACAAATTGGATTCTTTGGACTTGGATATCTCCATGGACTCGACAACTTTGTTGGAATGCCTTTCGCTAGTTACCAACATAAAATCCTTGCGATTCAATGCTACCTCAGGCAGAGGTGGACCGGGTAATGCTATGATTACCTGCTCGTTCGAGGATTTACATCTCTTGGGCCTCACACAATCCTCCAAGGATGTTGTTCCTCTCTGCCCACGGTTACAAAAGTTACAGCTGATCATGAAGACGACGGACGGTGGCTTGAATATGAACACCACGGCTCTGATTAACTTAATCCAAAGTCGGCGCAACACGCTCACATATTGCGACCTTTTCTTTCGTAACAGACCACCTTTTTCGCCGGAACAATTAATCAGTTTACGAAAACTTAAGGATGATGGGTTGAACCTGCGACTGCATTGTGCCAAACCACTCTTACCGCCAAACTTGGATCCGCCCACGATGGGTCTTCCAGATCTACCATATATGCATCGGCGACCTCTTTTACACCAGATGTATACTGTCCCTGATGTTATGGAAGGCCCCTACGGTACAGAGGTCATTATTTGAATGTTCTCCAACCTGTATCTGTTGAATGAAAAATCAAATTGCCTTGGTATTCATAGTGTTTGTTTGAAGAAGCTTGTTCGAGATGCCTCTTGCAGTCAATAAACCTTTGTATTCTGGGAGGGAGATTTTCCAGTTTGTGAAACTACTCAGATGACTCCTCAAACATGCGCATTCCTTGTCACCCCTCAGGTCATCCACTTTGTCTTCTCTGCCGAGCCTCCTATTTCTCCTCTTCTCTCAGGGAACGTCACAAGGAAATACTCACCAACTTCAGCCACTGTGCCCTCCAACTTCAAAACAAAGACTATATGCGTCGATGTTTTTCCCGGTTTATATTTTCGCATGCTAAAATTCTTGGCTGGCTTAGTACCCGCGCAATTTGACTCGATCTGAAAAAAACCGAGGAAGCCACCAAATTTTCCGAAGTAATAGAAATCCGATGTACATCATGATCGATAACATACTTAGACTCGAAGTTCACCCAGTGGTACGTCGGGATTGTAGATCCCACACGGAGAAGATATATGGTAGATGCTTAGTCGAGGTGGGAAATAGGTTACGTCTATTTGGAAACCCCCTGGTAGAGCCACTATATACGAGGCTTTCGGTATGCCACGTCTTACCCGTAACTTGGATAATCATCTTTTGAGAAATTAAGTCGAAATGCTGATCAAAAGGAAAAACCTTGCAGTATTCTACCAATTGCATACTTAGTATTATATTATTCAGTACAACTTTCGCCTCTGTGGCGGCCAAGAAAATGATATTTGCCTTATGACCTGGAAATGGAAATGAAGTTTTCAATCAGAGAGAAAAGTTCCAGTGTCATCATATGCTATGATCCCAGAATGGGCATGCTTGTGGAATATCCATACTGATCCGAGTCGAGGGATGGGTATAGAAGCGAACATTATGTACACCTCAAGGAAATTGACCCACAGTTCATTGATTCTCTCAAGGCAAATGCATCCGGCCGAAACAAGACTCTGGAGTCTGGATAAGTGTAAGTTTTACATACCAAATGGGAACTCTCAATTCTTCAAGCTCGTTAAACTTGGTCTGCCATAATCCATCGCAATCAAGGAAACGGCATGAGTAATTCTAGGAAAACCGCGGATAGCATAAATATAGGATATACGATCCAGACACGACTCAGTGCATGCTTGATACGACGCCATCATTATTATCTCTGAAGTTGATCGAGTCTAGATAACAATTATTGAACAGTAGGTATCAATAAAGGAAACTTGAAAGGACTTGAACACTATGCGATAGGTGAGCGTGACCTCATATTTCGGGCCCGCCCTGCGCTGAGAATGGGAACAAAGACGTATTTAACCTTGTTGGGATACCTGTGCCCATGCCCAGGCGATTTCCCTCGATGGATTGGGAAATTCATACTGATATGTCGTTCCAAAGTCTAAAGTCTCATACCCATCCGCTGAGAGGTGTAGGATAGAGCAAGTAGAAATGTAGCATACCTTGTTCCATGGGAGCGGTGTGTGACCCCAAAGGTCGCCCCGCGGAAAGACAACCCGTGTCTGTTTTGAGGAGACGTTGCAAACGACCCGCGGAGGTAGAAGAACCTAATTATGGCGAGCCTTACGATGAGAGCGGTTGTTGAGCGCCATGCGAAATTTCAACATCAAGTAGTCGACGTGGGCGTTTTCGGTTGCGAACCAACAACGCAGAAAGCTGGCCAACCAGTTGGTGAGAGTATGGATGGTGATGTGGGACGAAACATCAGGATAAAGGTAGATAAAACGGACACTCAGACGGTTACACTGCTAGTCGTGCCTGCGAAGAAAACAGGAAGAGAACAAGCAAAAGCCTTCCATAAACAGACTCCCCAGCATGTGCTACACGGTCTTTTGATTATTGAAGTTGGAAAAATGGGCATAATTGGACGGCCGCAGTGGTAATCCATTCAAGCAATGTCCAGCGCGTGAGCTAGTTCGACCGGAAGCAAAAGAAAATATACTGCTCTTGATAAAGCATCAGAGATTCACGAGAAGACAGACTGGCATCAATTGGGCACCGGCAAAGAGACAAAAATGAAGCCTATTACATCGGCGCGTAATCGCTAAACATTCCAGTACTGTAGCGGGCATAGAAACTGGAAGGCACCGACGCTGCATGGCATGAGCGCATAGTGAGCGCTTCTCAGAATTGGCCATAGCTACAATCTTGACCAGTCTTTAGAATCGGAGGGAAAGGGACACTCTGAAGGTCGATGAATATCTATCAATTAACGTCAGAAGACACGCAGAATTCGGAAAAAGCATTTACGCACCCGAATACAAAACGAAACCCTGCGGAACTTCATCTATCATTATCCACCGCCATAGCTCCTGTTGTACTGGACCGTTTATTTTCTCTCCCTAGCCCTGCGGCTCGTTCGGCCTCCTCGATAGTATACGCCGGCTCTTTGAGTTGCTTCACTCGTCTTTTGTGGATTTTGCTGCGCCAATGAGAACCAAGTGCTGCATCGGTTTCATAGTATCTAGGAGTTCAGTAAAAAAAAACATTGGTCCATATTTAGCAGGGAAGAAGACGACTGTTTACTTGGCACACTCTACACAGTAATGTTGAGCAAGTCCAGGTTTTTCGAAGTCCAAAGGTTGGGCCTCGAGGGCTGCTCGGTTCTAGGATACATGAGCACGTTTGCATTATCAGAAACTAGTCAAGGTATCACTTACCTTGGGATCAAGATCAATGAGTTGAATCTGATCTAAGTCCTTTGCTCGAGCCTGTATTAATTGAGCTTTAGATGCTAAAGAAGGAAATGGAAAAATCAGTTCACCCTCGTCCTTGTCGCTCGATGGACGTCTCTGCGTGCGTTGTGCACTCTCGAGCGACGGAGACGGCCCATAAGATGGTGATAGAAGTGTTTATTGGGACCCGGGATTGTGGTAGGGTTGCTACGGCAAAATTTTACGCTCCTCACGTGATATGCGTGACTTTAGCGCTTCAGTGCTCAGCTGAGCTATTAGACCACGTCGAAAATTAAAGTTGCACCACGTTGAAAAGATTCTGGGACAAGGTTGCGTTTGTTTGTCTATATTCTATTGTAGCATGGGCCCCGGCTGTTCCTCAATGGGAATGTGTCGGTTTTCCTTTCCTTTCCTATGTATTATATTGCTCATACGCTCTCGTACGACATGATTTTTTGAGGAGAGGGTACACAAATATGACAGACTTTAATGGCCTACATGGATGGATCGTTATAGCGCAACCGGAGGCTGGGCAACTTTGTTGCAAAGGGTAGAGGGTGGAACATTCTTGACTTGTGGTCACAATGTCAGCAGCATGATCAAGCCATGCTTTTTCAAAGCATGACTGTTCACTAGTGGACTCCTGCGGAGCACAATAAACCTTGCTTGATTTCAATTTCCACATGGATACTGTACTGAGACCGACAATGGATGGAAAAACAAGCAAGGATATGGGAGCCAGATTATAGAAACAGAGAATTGAATCTGTTGAAATAGGTCATTGGGAATGTACACTGTACAGTACAAAAGAAACACAGCCGTAATGATCTGAAAATGCAAAAAAAAAAAAAAAGAAAAGAAAAACAACAACGTCAAAGCGCCTAATGTGTGAAAAAAAATGCACGGGCGCTTGGTAAAGACGGGGTGGCAAAGGACCTAGCAAGCAAGGTGATTTTTTGTCTTCAAATTAGTTTTCGGTGTGTTGCTAATAAGCTCTAGTACTAACAACTTCAGCACTTCAATACCTTTTAAAGCTCCATGAGACTCAGGCTGACTCAGTGACAGGAGAAAGTATCAATTCAAATTTCGACGTGAGCCTGAGGCCAGCCCTTCCATTAATCTATCAACCTAAAGAATAAGGAGTATACAAACTAAATATAGGTGGGATCCTCTTAGATAGCCAGAATAATTTGCGTTGAATCGGCGAAGTAAGTAAAGCTTCGATTTTTTCTTAGATTCATTGAATGTATCAATTGAATATCAACGTAGAGACCGGTGTTGCTTTGATTTGTTGAATGGGAATGAACACAGTAGCACCTCAGTACAGACGAATCTGCATGCTCTAGTGCGATCACTGGCACTTCATGCTAGTGGTGGTCGCACTTGTACGCAATATTATCCAAGCCTGCGGTGAAGTTGTACCGGAATTTCAATAAATCGGGCTCCACCCAGTTTCGTCCTCGTTTGCTTCAAGGTGAATTCGATATCATAGCCAGGTAAATCTCCACTGCCTGAAGGGAAATTACTTTGGTGGGTACGTTTTGCATTTGTCATCGATGTGGCGGTCTAAAATCAACGTCTTGCAAAAATACCTCGGTGAAGTTCAATCTATATGTATGAGCTTGCTATTCCTGGTTCCAAACTTCCGCTCGACGTCAGAATGTAGGTCATAGACAGAAGTTGCATTGGTGTTGTGCAAATATAACACATTACTGTGATTTTCGAACTCCTTGAACCGCTGTTGGAGAACCTACGACTAACCGACGAGTTATTTTAGGAACTTCTTTGCGAGGACTTCTTAACATTCCAAAAAGAGAACTTTGGGCGATACTTCTTTGTAAGTATTGAGCCTATATTCACTCCTCGATTTTCTTGCCCACGGGAAACCACGATCTACTGCTCTCAGTTCATGATCTGAATAGTCCCGCGACTTTATACCTGGCTCAAACATCAAGCATTGCAACCTACGGTCTTATCATCAGCCTATCAGGCATAATCAGCTGTATCTTAATATAGATCGTGAAGTAGCGAAACCATTTTCCTTGAAACCAGCGGAATGGGCACGCTATTGCTCCTGTTACCATCTTGGGGCAATTTGTATGGGCCCTTGGTCCTATTGATCGGCTTTCTCATGGTCTTGCTATGTGTGCACTTCTTGCTTGAAAACTCAGCTGTGACAAGCCTGAGGTAGTGCGCGATTATTGATATGCCCGCGCGCAACTCATGGGGTCAGCGGGATATCATTGTTTGTGAACATAATTCTTGACCTATTAGTACGTATTAGGGAATATTTGGTATAAATCTTCAGCGTTTGTAAGTCTCTTTTGCTCGTCATTTGGCCTCACGATATCCAGCGAGTCCAATTCAAGATTTCCCACAAACTGTCAGCTCAGGCCCCTGATCAAGTGCGGCTGCTGCTCATTGAATCTGAAGTCAGGAGCAGGAGGGAGCAGGTCAGGCTTTCTTAAAGCACGTATCTCACCTAGTTCCCCTGGATGATATAATAAGTAGAGCAAGAAATAATCGTCAGCATTGTCTTCCGCTATCTGTGGCTCTCATTCAAGTCAAGTTGAGTTGCAAAAAAGACTGTAGCGGTATCTGGTGGCATTATTTAACGATGAGATCCGTAGACAGCAGTGAGAAATAATAAAGGAGCTAATCCCTACAAATCGAACATGAACTCAGTAACCGACGCATTGGATTTGAGCGTCATATTCTGATTTGAGGCGCCCCGCGTGGGGAAGGGAAGGGAGCGGATTGTCGTAGATTCAGATGAGAGGAGCTCGGGTGTCGCCAGTCGGATGTCGCACGACAAAGGCGCACCACTTGTATTACAAGTGCAAATTGAGTATAATCATACTTCTAGGCAGTCCCCAGTTAGTGGAGACGATACAAAAATGCCGAAAAAATATACTCTGGTCTACGATTCAATGATCGTATCATCATTGATTTTCCTCCTTTTGCATTTTTTTCAGAAACGGATAACTACCTGCATATCAACTCTGCACATTGCCAGCCCTCGCATCTACCTAGCAATTTTAACTTTGAGTCTCAAAAAGGTCGGGTAATGTGAGCGCCGATGCACGAAAGAACTGAAGTCATCGTTGCGGGCTATAGTCAGTGTGCATATAGTCGTTCTGTCGTTCTCCAAATCAAACAAATTCACAGGCAAATCAAGACCCACTCGCTCGGTGAGGCCTGGAATAAATCTATATTATGAACTCCTCATTCTCCCTTCTACCATACTTTCCAGGGGCTTGGAACATCGATTGTATGAACATTCAGTAAATAGCTTTTGAACGTTTGGTGCACATTTACTTAGTCCTTGAGCTTCGATGTATCGATGCAATGTAGAAATAGTAAGTATTTACTATGGGCGCTTGAGCAATAAGAGTTACTGGAAACGGAGAAAGGAATATCGAATCCTGCATGTGTTTCCCAAATGCACTGTGATCGCCCTCCAGAAATGATCGCAGTGACCATGGAAATGGGTTTCTCATTACAGTCAACAAGACACCTGACTAATGCTCAGCTTTGGGATAAACTAGATATGAATCCTACGTCCTTATCTTTGTTGTGAAATCCCTCCTTATCTATTTATTGAAAGTTGAGCGCGAATTTAACGGGTGCCTTTGACCACTGTTCACATCTACCCTCCAAATATTCCGTTCACCTTGAGTCCGGGAAATATTTGCTTGGCTCTCCGTTTGTGCTTCACCTGGTAGCACCTGGTAGTCTCTATCCGATATTCAACTATCTAGGAAGGAAGCAGTCATTTCACTGACATAGCGTCAGTGAGACGTGCCAAACCCTATTACGATAAATCATGGGATCGACAAATCGATCTAACCCCCTAAGCGTGTGAATGTTTGAAGTATAGCACTGTGACAATCGGTAGAATGTCGGTGTCCTGGACCACGTTCTAAGCCCTGCTGGCAAGAATGTCGAACCCGATTGAGTTTCAAACTTGAACTCTAGATTTTACTAATCTGTACCTTGAGAAGACCTGAAATGAGACACGTTAATAACGGGAGGTTGAGCAAACTGAGGTGGAGTACGAGGAAAAGTACCACATAAGTAGTACGTGCATGTGAAGGTTAGTATTCTAGACAGTCCGACATGTACCTTGATCTTAAGCATCTGTCAGGAGGGAGTCCAGAGTCAATCCTTGGCGGTATCTACTCTGTCAATCTAAAGCTAAGAAAATCGTCGTTGCACTTTGAATGAATCCAGAGGAAGATAACATAAATATTCAAAGTCCCAAATGATAACATAAAGCACGTACAAAGATACATTTTATTCACTTTCCACATCCAGAATTTTTTTGGGCTCGCGACTGGGATGTAATCGATAATCAATCCGGTTTCCAGCTTGAAGTTCGACGGAAATTCCGGCTTGAGAACTTGGAGTTAAAATTATGATCATGTAGTCTACCCGCGAGCTGGCGCATCCTCCTGAACCAAACTTATTTAAGGATTCGGCTGAACGGAGCGGTTGACCTGCCCTGTAGATACAGCTATGGTGCAGTTCACTTAAACACTGCAAACTTTTTGCACGCGCCAAATCGGCCGGAGGCCAAAATTTTTTTTGTATGGGGACTGATCCACCCACTGATTTGTGGAACTTTTTGATATGCCAGATAGTGTCAGAGTGCATAGGGACAAAATTGACGATATAGCGCAGTAAATAATTCTATACAAACATTCATGTTCGATTTGGATTCGGAATTCGATGGAGATTTGATTAAAGATGTATCTTTCTGTGTACACGCGCCAAATTGGGAAGGACTTAAAAAAATATCTCACTCAGTTTTGAGGTTATCGAAAATCGGTCTGGGGGATTTGTTCCTATAATGAAAAGGAGTCGATTGGCCAAAGGGATAAGAAAAATCTCTTTTTTTGGGCGTGTAATAAAGTTTGCAAAAAGTTTGCAGTGTTTAAGTGAACTGCACCATAGAAGGAAAGACAATTACAACGCAGTGAATGATTGTCAGTTCGTGCAATTTTTGTGCTAAAAACAATTTCTGGGAAAAACCAAGTCATCGGTATAAGCACATACGAGTAGCAGAGTAGCAATGCAATGGTGGCCGTCCCGGGACGTAATTGGGAGTATGCAGCCATGCATACTAAGACTTGCAGTAAATATCGTGCAGTGCATTGAACCTCATTGAACCTGGAGTCAAGGAAAGCTCAGCGTTGAATTGGGATCTATTTGTAAATTTGATGCTTACACGCAATACGGATCCGAGATCTGGAAAGAGTGAAAAATAGTGCAATTATGACCAGTCTGTGACGGTCATCCAGAAGTTTGAAGAAGTCGAAGGAAACAAAGGGACACCGTCCCGATTGTAGCAAACTACACGGCAGCGAAGTGTGCGCTGAAACACTGTTCCAAGGTCATCAGACACTATACACCATGTCCAAAACACAACTTGAAGCGGTACAAGTCTAGGCGTTGTATCTCCTCGTTGTCAGCGAAAGATCAGAGGCAACAGAAGATAATAATGCACAGGACCTGCGGAATAGCCTTCCTTCTTCAGAAACGCAACTATCAGCTGCACATCCCGATGTGATGGAAGAGGCTACGACAGACAGTGTGAAAACCTGGGAGTTCGGCGATATGTGAGATACTGTGAAATGTGGACTTTGATGTTGTGTTGAGAAGCTGATAATATAAATATGAGGTGCAAGGCATATGCAGCTTCGATCTCGGTAGCGAGAGCGGTAGACTCGTTGCGTTCTATTCCAAATAATGGTAACGAACTTTGGCCAGGGGTCATGACACGACTATGGCTTTGCCTCCTTTGAGAGAATGGCGACTCGGAATAAAGGAATTGGAACGGAAAGCAACGATTCTCATGGCATATACGAGCCCAATGACAACTGCATGTCCGGGAAATTGGATGAATAACTCGTAATATTTGTTCAGTCATGAACTCGGCGAGGGCTGCCAATTGCGGAAGCAGTATATTGATAGGTTGAAACAAGTTTCCGGAAGGCAAACGATGGTCTTGTACTGTACAGAATATTACAGTAGATAGCTGATAGAGTGCTGACAGTGATTCTGAGAGACGAACATTGAGTCTGACAATGAAGTGTTCATTGCTGTGACGCTTACATAATTGCTAAGGTTGTTTGGCAACGTCGTTTAGCTTTCTCACTGCTCAGCTCGTCGACGACCCGTGTTCTTATAGTGGGTTTCGATGCCTATCAAACACCTTGAGAGTACGAAATTCATCTTGTTCAAGCATCCAGATACTCACAAATCAAATTAGACTATTTGTTTGAACGGAAACATCTTCAAACTTTTCAATTATCAGTGCTTTCCGATTCGCGTCTTGGTATAGATGCTTCCTATTACCTCCAGTTGTTGCTTGACTCGCCATCGACCAGAGAGCCTCTTCTCGCTGCGACCGGGGGCTTACCACTGGCTCTAACCCAACGAATTGAATCCGACCTTCGTACACTAGAAAAACTGCGCATAAAACCCGTTTTTGTTTTTCCTGGATTGTCACCTAACAAGAAATGGAAACCGTATTTCTCTCCTGAACAGAATGAAGCCTGCCGCGATCGTCGCGACGCTTGGGAAAAGTACGAGGCTGGCCAGGAGGAGGCTGCCACGAAGTTGTTTGCAGGAAGAAGTGCTTTTTCTCAGTGGGATCTCTGGAGAATGATCCTTAGGATTTTCCGGAACAGAAATGTCGAGTTCATCGTTGCACCGTATGTCGCTTGGCCTCAGGTAAGCACGGCTGGTATTTTTCCGAAAATCATTAACTTCTAAATTCCTTTCCAGTTGATTTATCTTCAACGTCACTCGAAGGCGTACATACACGCTATCTTCGGCCCCACTGATACACTCCTGTATCCCGGTGTCGACAGACTGATCACATCGCTCGATCTGGTTTCCGCGAGCCCAACCTTCACCTTTACTTCCAAACGCACTTTTATCACTGAACTCGGAGTGTCAGAGGATCAGTTTCTTGACATCGGTATTCTTGTCGGCTTCGAGCATTCTCCTCCTTTCCCACCCATCACCCACGACCAAGCCCTTAAACAGACTGTCGATATGGTCAAATATTACAAGACTGGACACGCAGCTGTGTCTGCTTTCGCCGAACATCCCGCGGTTAAAACGATTCAATACACGGATCACTATGCAAGGACACGTTCTATGATCAAATATTCCTTAGTTCTCTCATCCGAAGGTACCGTTGTGCCTCTTCCCATTACTGTTCCGTCTCCGCCAAACCACGGTCATCCAAATCACCATCCCCATCATCCAACTGTGGCAGACATTCCCCAGGACCTTCATGAGATCTTCACTCACCGTCTTCCCGACGAAATCTATTTCTATCTTTCTCGTGGTCTTTTAGGCCCACAAGCCCTCGTATGGCTGACCTCTGGACAAATCGTGGAGAATCCCCCATTGGACAACGGAGAAACCACAGAGTACAAGCGTTTTGTTAAGGAAGTCATCACAGACGGTCAAACCGGCCCTCGAGCTACCGCGTTAGCCCTGATCAGTAGTGTTGCGCATAGTTTCTGGTCAAGCCGAAAAGTGCACGGTTATTTCTGGTTCGAGTCCCAAGCACTCCATAACCAGAAACCAGTTCAGCACAACTCCGCTCAGACTGCGCAGCTAGCCGAAAGAGTATCTGGTTGGAATGTTACCTATTCTGTAGTAGAAGAGGAACTGAGAAGACAGAATGTGAGTTCCCCTTTTTAGGAGCTCTCCTGATCTCTTACCTAAATGACGTCTTTGGTGTAATAGTCTTCAACGATTGATTTTTCGTTGTGCTTGGGTGCGACCGCCATTGAGCGTTTAGCGGGACGTACCAAGGTAAAGAGCAATCCTCAAGCACCGCTGGAGAAAAAGGATGAGATTGTCGCTAATGTGATATGGCGCTTCCTTGAACTACGAGGGTAAATTTTCTGTCATTGAAGCTAATTACATGAATCCTGATCATTTTAGGTTTTTATTAAACACACATACCCACTCGCCCCTGGCTCGAGCAATGTATACAGCTATCAAACAGGCTCGTTTGAACGACAAGTTTCAAGATCCTCTGTACCTGTTCCTCGAATTAGTTAGAGCTGGCGTTATGCATGGTCATCTATGGTCAAATCGTGCCTTCAGTGGAGGACCCAGCTTCGGTACAGGTGTGTAAAGAGGCTTTTAAAAAAATTGGTATAAACACTCGAGCTAAATGTATATCTTAGATGATGAAAAATCCTGTATGCTGCTCGTTATGCGAGTTTTGAGCATCGTTCCACTCAACTTTCAGGTGAGAAATCTGTCAAAGCAAAAGTAACTCGATCTAATACTCCGGAGGCCACAGTCTCAGGCATGGTCAGCTCCACTATCTCGGGAGCTATTAGTGTTCAATTCGTTCGTTCGCTCACTGACCCGGGCTCTCCGAACTTTGCTGGAAGTAACGTCCCTCAACATGCTCCTCCGGGGCGATGCCCGACGTGCTCGTGATGATCTCCTAGATGTCACGCTCTCTCTCCCGTTCCAAACGGAAGTCAATACCGGCTTCGGCGTGTTAGCCAAGGTGTACTTGGATGCACTCACACACATCAATCATGGTGCTAGGGTCCGTGATCCTCTCGCAGAAGGGGTGGCCGAAGCCAAGGCATTGGCTTTGGAAATCTGTGAAGAGACATTCACAGGTGTCAAGTCTCCAAAGCAGGAGGTTGAACGTGGTTTCCGGTTCTGGGACGTGGTATGTGAAATCTCTCCACTTACGATGTCGTAAGGGATATGAAATGAAAGACCCCTCTTCCTTACCTCCCTTCCTTTCTTTCTTTAGACGTTGACAGCTATGCGGCAGCTTCACTCGGAAGGAGCGGTCCTGCAAGAGCTTATTGACCAATTTGAGGCTGCTGAGGCATGGTTGGCACCTATGCGACCATGACTGCTCTTTTCGAAAACCCAGGCTGTATATATGCCGAGAATGGCACAGTCCCTGCCAGATTCCACCCGTTATTTTTATTTAATCACGGTGGCTCGTTTGCTCTCAATCACATAGTTTTCCTGAACCTCACCTGCCAATATGATGGGTTTTAGTGATGCAAGAAACGACATAGCGGGAATGTATTGAGATGATATGTTGATTCCTACAAAGGGTGCACGGAACGCTAAAATTAGGTGGGAAATCGATGAAAGCTTTGCGCTGGGAAAAAATCAGGATAAGAGAAGCACTAAGCGAACTCGACAGCTATAGGCTGGGCGGCGGGCCTCGCCTCCTGGTCTAAATCAAGTATTTTGCGATTGTGCGGATTGTGGTAAATTATCACGCGTGAAACTACTCCCAATGTGGCATGAGAAAATCTATGGTTTCCAGATCTCGGACTGAGCAAAGAAAGGTTGATTGAATCGATCTCACAGTTTCCTTTTGACCAAGTACAAAATGCCACTCCAGCTCTGCCTCCTGTCCCCACCGCTTCGTTTTAAACCCTGCTCAATATGCTTGACTTTCCCCAAAGCGTGGCCATGTTCGCGCCCTCCTCCTTACACACTGTTGACGTTGTCGACGATGTTGACAGAAAATTCAACGCCACTCACCTTTACTATAAGCCACATGCTGTCCAGATAATACAGCTCGTCGAGTGTTCGCCTCCGGCTCGCATCCTTTCACCAGAATCATTTGCCTCCTCCTCTGGTGCCTCTTCCTCGTATTGTTCGGAAGAGGAATCAGAGTGCTCCTCGTACTGCTCGTCGGTAGAACCTTTGGCTGAGAAGAGCTCGCCAGCCTTTGTTCACGACGAACCGTCTTCGCTTTCAGAAACATATAATATTCGAATGAAGCGAATCCTCGCATGGCGAGAAGACTTCTCCTCACATCTCAGTACCACGATGTCTGGTGAGTCAGGGACCGTTCACTCTTGGGTTGAACATGAAGCTCATTATTTCTTCCGCTCGGTAGATCCCACTATTTCATCTTCTCTCAAGAGAAAGATGCCGGTCAATTCAGACGATAACGACGTTGTTAGTAGGGGTTCTTTCTGTTTATGTCTGCGGGCCTGACGTCTATCATGTAGATATCACATACATCCAAGAGATCAAGGTCCCACTCCTCTCGAGGTGAAGGGAGGAACCGTTGCAGCTCGCTTAGTGCTCTTTCGTGCCCCGCGTGTGACGCCTCTTTTGACACCCACAAAGACCTTCGGCAGCATGGGTACGACGCTCGCGTCGGTGCCAACGAGGCTTGCCTCGTCGCTGTCGATTACGCCTTTGAATAATTCTTCGTCAAGGCTCTGTTCATATTGCTTATCCTCCCGTTTTCGTTGTACTAGTTGCTCTAGGGCGCTTCAGCTACCCGTTCTTTGCATTCCTACCTTGCATATTGTTATATCACAATACCCGCATTTGTTCCGTTCGTCGCATCTCTTCTAATCGACTGCCTCATTGCATCTGTATACAGCTGCTCATCATCACATCGAGTTGTAACGAGTAACTTATTAACATCCTCTTTTCCTTAGTATATTTTGCTAAGTATAATGTAATTAGATAGATAATACACCTGTACATAGTTTCAAGAATGAAATTTAAAGAACTTTCTAGGAGTCTTCTGGCTCGTAGACAACGTCAAGATTTAGAGTAAGCGGTACGCCACTGAGCAAGCGCATCTCACATTCGGGCAGTAGGTAGAAGCGATGGGAATTTAGCAGGAGCACCGGAACCCAGAAAGGAAAAGGACCGTCAGATCTCACATGCGTTGTTTTGAAGTTTCTGGATTTTTGAAGCATACGGATCCCAATCATCTCATCAAATGGCTTGCAGTAGCACCTAGGGCCCCATTGAGAACAAGGAAACATATTCGATGAGAGATCCGTCCACAGCTCGCCGACGGGAGCAGGAAGGAATAAAGCCATCATAGAGAGTGGCAGACCATGGGAATGCCTCATCATCCGACGTGAGAATGGCCATTGTTTTGAGCGACTTTCATGGGAAAAGCCTCATTCATCAAGCCCTCTTAACGCTAGCCCTACACTGCTCCAGACTCCTTGCTGTGCGGTAACCTGAACAGTATGATATTCTAGAATTCAATCACCCGTCACCCGTGTTTGAGTTTGACTTGGAAGACAACCATCTACACCGCAAAATAAGATTACTGTAAGAACACCCACTAACTGAGGGGCTCGGGTGTTAGTGTTGAGCTTGGGAGTTGGTCTATTAACTATGAGCCCAGTCCGGGGTGACGAAAGTTCCAGTAATATGAAACGGCACATACGTATTGTAGCTGAAAGTATACGTTCATATATGACAGTTATACGCGCAATACCCACGGCTTCAGCGGCTCAAGCTCAAGCTCACCCATGATACATGATGTAAAATGCAGCCTGCTGTGAGCCTGTGAATGATAGCATTGAGCAGTCGCTAAAGATGTCTCCAGTGACGAGTGCCATGCTGGCAACTCTTCCATTCACTCACCTTATACACATCTGAACTGTTGATTTTGAGCTTCCTAGTCAGCTCCCGCTCGGAGACGATGCCGGTGGGGCCTTGAAAACATGAACACGGAGGGTGGCAATAAGTAAATACAGCAATAATAATAATCAACACCACAGACGGGAACCCACGCTCAGCACGAAACTTGCAGCAGAACAATGTTCAGGTCAAAAGGCCGTCATCAAAAAATTTTGGGTAAAACGGAGACCCCACGAAGGGCAAACTGAAAACCATGATGGCCACGAACAAATCCATTCCGCTAACTCCGGTGCTTTCCCTATGGATCATGATTCGCATTCCATTGCAAGGAATACAATCAATGTCGGGAAGACAGTGCCACTGAGTATTTACCGTAGAATGTCCAAGGTTTTCACGCCAGCTTCCTCGAAGATTCCACGAAGACTGATGATCACGATTTATCCGTCTAGAGGTTTCGGTCCGTGTCCGAGCTAGCTGGTTATTATTCTAAAAATGCTTGCGAGTTGGGAGTGAAGTTCCGGAACGGGATGAAAGGATCTTTCGAGTCTGCATCACTGGTAGATTTCAGAACGCTATTTCACCGTGAAACAGCGAGATACCCACGGCCTGCCCAAGACATTCGTGGAGAGCTACCCACGAAGGGGAGTAAGAGCGTCGGACGTCGAACATTTGTGCCAAAAGAGTTCAGGTCGATCTCTGCAATCCTACCGTATATCGCTGGAAAGAAGAGATCAGATACGTCGTTTCGAAGCTGATTCGCAGGACTGATAAGAGCTACCTGATCTAATAAGGAGTGATTAGTCTCTAGATGCAAAGTATTTCCCAGCTCCAGATGTCATATGAATTGAGGGCTGTGGCGGCCGACTTCGTGCTCATAAAGACCCTGTCTGTCAACAGCAACTTAGCTGGGAGTTCGAATGAGTCGAACCTGGCTCTGGACGTGGCATGAGACTATTGAAGAAATCGAGGCAACCTGAATGTGAATGTCAAATTCAGTCGTCAAAGCGATCCATATGTACAGTATACGAGGAACGTCGTTAAAGCAATCCATGTAAGAGAGAGGAGCTTAGTACCATTAGGTACCATTTGTGGCTGACATATACATGGAATTACGGGAGAATAATCGTTGAAGCCAAAAGCCACTGATGCAGTTTTCTCACGGACCTTCATGCTGTTCTCCTTGACGCTGGTACCCGGGTTCAATGCTTGAGAAAACTAGTACATTCGAACTTTCAGAGATTCTAAGGTCGAAGGCACCAAGAAGACACACCCTATGCAAGCTTCTGCGGCTTTGCTCTAGAACAGACCTCGACTCATGTGCCAGATGACGATATATCAACCCTCTTCTTCCAAATGTAAGCAGCACTTGGAACGATTACAAAACCTAGCCCGATATCCGATGAAAGCAAGGGCAAATGCGAGAGTCTTTTTTAATCACGGACCACTGTCTCATGTTGGTGCCCCGTGTCCCTCTTGTCGTGCTCAATCTTGCTCAATAAGCAGCCCGACGAGCTTCACCGACTACGAATTCACTACAAGCCGAACATCAACTTCCATGGATTCCGTCTCTTCTCATACACCCAAAACAATTCTATGTAGCGCAGAAAGCTAGGAACGAAATTATCACAGGATTGACCGGTTATCCTCGCCAAGCCTTCGATCCGTCTGTCTATGATATTGTCTACTGAGCTCTACTCAAAAAACTCGCAAGAATCACACAAGAAACAAAGCCGTATTTCAGTTAGGCGCCGTAAGTTCGTCTTATCTTTCCTGCTTTTCGTTAACTCGAGCTATACCCTTGGAATCTCGTATTGGACAATTTTCACATTTCATTGGATGTTTAAAAACGCAATCCACACGCAGTTACACAGTTAGTTTGATTTCGCATACTGGAGTCCTCTCTCATCAATGCTATTGCTGGAACCAGACTCTCTATCAATCTGTCCATGTTCGCGAAAGCGCTTTTCAATTTCTGGAATATGCCTGTCTTTCTATGGACGACCTCTTGAAATCTCACACCGCTACTACGGTGTGCGTTCTTCGTAAGTGTGGTTTGCTCCCTCTACGTCTGGATGTCCCAGTGTTTTGGCATTGGGCGCAATCCAACAAATTCAACCCATTTTCAGTATGTGTTTCCCATTCTATCAAGAGAACCGGTCGATAACTACTGCGGTCGTGGGCATGGGTATCCCAACAAGGTCAGAGACATCTTTATTCCCAATGCTGACAGCGCAAGGCGGGCCCGAAATATCTATCCTCGTTCACAATGACCTGATGCTCCAGGATGCCAAGCATCCTCGCAGTAATCACCGTTTTCAATGAAAAATTCAATGGGCACTTTTGTCCTGTTTATACCACGGCCAGTCTACGAGTCCACGCACGACTCCGCGGATGAAGTCGTGGTCTGTATTCTCATCGATACCTATGCTAGAGTTTACCCGGAGGTGATCTAGAAGACCTCGCGGCTGCTACTGTCGCAATCTCGACTCTCTTTCTCCGCCATCGATTGAGGTTGATAAGTGATTCGAATTCCCGAAAAGGTTCAATCCAAGCTTGAAGCTTGAACTTTGATTGCTAGAGTTTGACTTTTGGAGTCGCCTGAGAGTGACATTGAAATAAATGTTTGTTCGTCAATGAACGAACTCATCAATACAATCAGCTTCTTTCGCATCCTCGACCCGGATCATCCTTGTGTCGAGGAGGTCCAAGGCGAGAACATCTTTTCAGTAGTATAATTGAGAACTTGATTTCCTTTTCCAGCTTCATGCTTCTGCCCGCGGAGCCATGATTCTCTGGTAATAAGTCATAGGTGCCGTCTCGGCGTCGAGCTTCAGGGGAAGATCATGGTGAATATGGTGAATATCAAACTTCTCATTGGCAGGATAAAATTGACCCCGTATTTTCCTCGACGTGTAATAGACCTTCCAATGTGCACCTTGAGGCTTGAACGTAGCCCTCATAACTTTCCAATAATCTCCAATAGCTTGAAATCTTCGGATCAAGAAATAGGTGTCTGTTTCCGTTGGCGACACTGGTCTACCAGACTATACTTGAGGAATACTTTGCTCAACTGTAGAGTTCTCTGGGGACTGTCAAATAAGTTTGCACTGAGATAGCATGGCATGTTACGTGTCGAGGGAAACAAGTTTCGCAATTTATGATTGCAATCCTTTGAGGTTAAATTTCGATACACTGTTTCATTTAGACCAGCAGAGCAGAACGTGAGAGTGTACTAAACTGGTACCATCCTTGAGGAACTCATCGTTGGTAACCTCCACCGCTGCTACCACGACCTCTAGAACCCCTACCCCCATCCCTATACTTAGCCTTCGCCTTTCTTGCTTTCTCTTCTTCCTTCGCCCTCGCCCCTCTCTGCCTCGGATCAATAACCTCATAATCTCTCTCGGCCTTCCGACTCTCTTCTCCGTCGTCTTTAGGAAAGTGTAGAGAATGACCGAGAAATCCTCGGTCATTATCGATTTCGATGCCCGGGTCTTCTCCTACCGGGAAGTTCGCGGGCGGTGGTTGAGTTTCTTTGGCCTCTTCATGCTTTAATAAGTTATTTTCCGTTCCGTCGGCTCCTATCTTTCCTTCAGAGTCATCTTCCGGTGCAGCTGGTAAGGCCATCTGAAGTTTTCCTCTGAAAGCATTCAAAACGTTGAGAACATCACGTTCATCCTTCGCTCTTCCTTTGCCTTTGCTGCCCTTCGTTTTAATTCCACGACTAGAAGCATATTTGCCCAGCTCCGCTTCGAGGTAAGATGTCTTCGGCTTCTTTTTCTTTCGCTCGTCGTCACTGTCATCATCGCCTCCATCTCGTCGCTTGGTGAGTTTGCGAATCTCGGCTTCCATTCTGGAAATTTCGGTCTGACGGGCAGTACTAAGTAGATTTCAATATAAAGCCAGTGTAGGGACGGAAGAGAGCAGACAGAGACATAAGAGACATACGTCGAATTCGCTTTTTCAGCAGCATGCGCTTCTCGAATTTTTGATAAATCGATGTCTTTTCTTTCTTTGCTCTTTTTTTCTCGGTCTGCGTCGCCCTTTTCTTTCTCTTGATCTTTTTTCTTCTCTGGGTTATTTGAAGTCGTTCGAGATCCTTGTGTGACAAAATCAGGGAGTACACCACTGACAGTCGGAGCAACCGGTTGGTCAATTACTGATTGGAAAAATGAGTGATAGCAGTAGTGATAACAAACATCAACCTACAATCCGGCCGCACAATCGGCTTTTTCTTGAACACAATTGTTTCTTCTTCGTCACCCTCATCTACGCCAAAGCTTAAAAGTTTGACGTCCCTGGTGTAAGAAACGAAGGGGAATGTCAGTCATCGTTACAATAAAATTATGGAACAATTCGCACTTCTTAGCATTCTTCCGCCGTTCGTACTCTTCCCGCTCCTTCAATGCCTCTTCACGCGCCCGCTGTTGCGCGCGCCTTTCAGCGGCTGTTATACGAGGGATTATATCCGGGAATGGATTGTCAATGATTCGTATCCCTTTGATTTTTGGAGGACTAGAAGTGATCAGTGAATCGTGAAAACGAAGGGTCCGAAACACACTATACGGGTCGCTCGTTGGCATCAAGTTCTGAGTAGGCAGATATTGGTTATCAGCGGTCATTGGAATGAAATCACAACCTACCCAATTCTCCTATCTTCATCACATCTAAAACCAATTCAGCCAGAAATCATCGTTCACAAGTCTAGAACACACTGTATAGCGTGTCACCAATGCACCTTCCAAACAACGTATGTTTACCATGCAGTTCATCGGCTCGGTCTGTAAAATGTAAGCAAAGATGTGATACCATGGAATTATGCGCCAATATACACCTAGTGTGATGATAAACTGTGAATCATTTGAGTTCTTCTGTCCGTTATTCGCCATAGCCACCAGGCCTCGATGAGCGAATCGTAAACGAGGATGGATCTCGTCTTCAAATGGTTCTAAGCAAATGCAAGTATGAACTTAATGTTGATTCTTTGAACTAAAGTATGGCATACCTCCATAGAAAGACTCTCCGCCCATCCCTGTGCCAGTTTTATCCCCAGTCTGAACCAAGAATCCAGGTACGACTCTGTGTTATTTGCCGTGTTATTCGAAACTCGTCTTCGGAAAATTCCAGTCTTCCAAACGACCTTACCGATGAAATATTACACCGTCATAGTACCCTAAATACCGAGTTTATTAACAAGAGTTTTGACAGATGGAACGCGTAACTCACAAGAGACTCACCCTCCATTGCCAATGCAAGAAAGTTCCGACATGTTTTCGGCGTCTCCTGACAAAGTGAAAAAGGTAAACGATAGATCATGTAGGAAAAGCTCATGGACATACTTTGGACCAGAGCTCGATGTCAATTTCTCCAACCGTAGTGTCAATTATGACACGCCCATTAGTAGGTAGAGCCATAGCTAATAGTAAAGATATAGATAGAGGGTGCACAAAACTTTACCTAAGCTTTCAGTATATGCTTATGTAAACCTCTACTACAGTAGTGGACTTCCATCTGATTCCTCTTTAGCAGTGCTTGGCGCCTCCGAGCAACACTATCTCTATGTGCTATAGTAAAACTCTAACAATTCACTTTTACCGAATTCTTCGATAACCAAACAGTGTTCTTTTTTTTTTCTTGCGTGCGCTGCTTCCTCGCCCTGAGGAGCAAGAGATGACGATGACGATGTACGACTCATTGCTGCCCCCAAAAAAAAACTTCAAGTCATTCTCGTGAGTAGAAGGTGTCGGTCAATGGTTTGTGTGTATTGAGGTATCCACCGCTCTCACTGACCCGCACTGAATTCGCCCTGGTGAGTCTGCGTGATCTTCACACTTTGGTCGTGACATTCTATTCACCTCTTTCTCATGAACAGTGCATCGTCTTGAAATACATCCTTTGGTGCAACGAAGCATGTCGACCATTCCTCTGGACAAATGCTCACTCCCACATTCGTGTCAGTTTTTAACGGCACGCGCGATAGTGCTCCCACCGCTGACTACGTGGCCCATTCTGGTGACTTTCTCCACCGTCGCCAGCTGGCTCAACCAGTAGGCCGTGGTTCTGCCGCTCATAATATTTCCATCATGCTAGTTTAATGGACAGCTAGGGAGACCAACTCATCAACTCATGAATCACACGAAACAACCCGGGGCTCGATCCTCTCTTTCCGATACTTTGCGAAGCATGCAAGTCAATAAGGGCGCAAAAATCGTCATGTGCAATAAGCGGACATGGGGTCAAGACGCGACGGGCGAGCGGAGAAGTGAGTCCTCTTGAAAGAGAAGCAACATTTGACATTTGACGAGCTTCTGATTCTTCGTAGTCTTGGAATATGAAGAACAAAATCTGCATTCTGTTACATCTCGTTGATCGTATAACTCATAATATTCCAACGGTATAATTACGCGTCGTCTATGCAGCTACTAAAATGAACGTGAAACCAAGTCCCAAAGAAAGTTATAGAGCCAAGAAGCTCTTTGCGATCTATCAGCTAATTGCAACATCGAATCTATGCCTGAATCAACTCCGTCCAATTTCAGGAAATTGACGTACACAGTGTACGCTGTACAGACACACGAGGTCACATTGTGTGAAGCTTAACTATCACGCGTACGGCTGAAATGTTTCAACCCACACGTGGAGGACGCGATATCGATATGGCAAACAAACCGCCTCTTTCATACAGCGCTCTCGATATTCCACACCACCTTTTACTCCTATTCAATCTCCGCATAGTCTCATGGCCTATGTAGGGCCCATAACCACTTGATGAAATTTCGCCAGCAGAATTGCAGCGAATACGAGCATCTTTTCCCCGACACAAAAAAATCAAATCGTATCAATCAATCAGGCAATACATAGCAAAGTGAAAATCCAAGGAAAAATAAATATTGTATTCTGGTCTTTGAACGGACGTTCAGGATAGGCATGAATAAGCGCTGTCTCTGGACATGCTAAGGTTCAAATTTTGTGACGCCAGTATGTACAATGTCTAGACAACTAGTCAGTTCATATTAACACAGGATGGGTGGAGAAGAACGCAACTGATGGGGGACGTGTACGAATATATGGTAGAATTGACGAAAGTATGATTATTACTACGTCCTGATGGTTCCACATCTGAAAAATTGAGCGTCGTTGACGCAGGAGACAAAATCCCTCCCAACTCGACCTCATCCCCAGTTTTACGATTTGGTTGCATCGACGGAACGTTGGGTATGCCATAGTGCGGTGGTGGCGTCCCAATGCCGCCTAGTTCAACATCCTCCTCACGTAGACGATTGGGTCGTATTGGCGGCGGTCGGGTTATGGTGACACACTTCCCCATAGCTACAGTCTCAGACGACGTGGATATGACATATTGCTTTGAAGAGAGGTCGAGGTCCGGTGATTTTGACTGGCAGCTCTCGCTTTCACGTTGTCTGGCACTTTGCCTTGAGACTTCACTTTCTACAGAGCGAGGGAAAAATATCTAGTATCAAATGTTTCAGGACACCAGCACCGAACAAAAGAGAAGATTATTCACAATGAGAGTGATTCCAGATGATGCAGTACACCCTATAGCTGCGGCGAAAGCGCACAGATCTACGGAGGATGAAAATAAGCCCGGCTTCTAAGGCTTGGTGTCACCAACAAAGATTTACCGGACCAGAAAGTATTTCCTGTGACGTGCTGAGGCGGGTTGAGACCAGAACTGCCGAGGATAAGCAACGGTATAGTGAACAGATACCGAAAAGTGACTCGAATCGTCTATACCATCATAGTGTACCTTGGTGAGATGTGTCTGTGCTATGGATATATCGAATACATACGTTCAGTTCATGAAACTTGGTCAATCTTATGATGGTGCCATCATCGGCTCCTTCCGCTCTCTATGGAGGGGGTGACTCATGTAATGCAAGTAGAGAAAATACAAAAGTGGACTAACCAGATTATCCAAGAGCGCGGGCAATTTTCGCCTGAATCATGACATTAAGTGCATAAGCAAGTGGTTTGTCGGATTCAGGACTCACAGGATGGGCATGAACAAGATAGTGAGGAGAAGGCTTCCAAGACTTCCAGCAAGGAAAGTACATGCTTCAGACTGCAAGCAATACACGGTATTAGATGCCAGGAGAGAGATAATATCAGAGAATAACTCGCCTTCAACGCATTCTCTCGTGTACAAATTGCTATGATGGGCATATAGAGTATGGCGAATATAGAGCCCATTATCCAGGCCTTGAAATAGTGACTACTGAACCAATGGTTCCGATCGGCATCTGCACTGACAAGAAATAACCAGAAGCAAAGCTCTATATCTGGAGGTCAGCATTGCAGGCACATTTTGCAGGTATTACGATACCTTGTAAGTGGGTAACCCTTCAAGATAAGAGATGTTCAGCAAAAGGATTTTAGGAGTTTGTGAATGTCGCGTACATTTCAAGAGACCAAGCTATTGCAAAGCATAGCATTAACGGAAAGTGGAAGGACCTTGCGGTTGGTGACCACGTATCATACGGTGCTGGCACAACTAATGGCCGATCAGCGTTGGAAGGAACAACAGCTAAATTCAACACTCACTTCCCACCGATGGCAAGGCTATATAGCCTTCCTTATACTTTATGACTGAGAATCCCACCGCGTACACCATGAATAACGGGATAGTGAGGAAATATGAATACTACAAAAAGTGGATCGGATGACACGTTGTCAACAGCGAGGTGTGGCAACGCACAGTCATGACTCTCTTGAAAGCTCCAGAATGTGGGCCATCGTTCCATCTGCAAGATGAACATCACGACGGAATGTCATTTTGAGCTACTTTACGGACGTACTTGAGACACTTGAACCTATCAAACGAGTAGAGGTGGTAGATCAGGAATGCAAAGAGCTGTATGTCTCATTAGTCTCGATGTACAATACGGATTGACGAAAACACACCGTGCATGAGAGCAGAGCCCACATGAGATAACAAGACGGGGAAGTATACGACGCTGACATGGATGCAGCGGTTGTGCACCGTCGAGGTAATTTGGGATGGGATTTTATATGATGGCGCACTGAAATAACTCTACGGCTAAAAAATCAAACAGTTGATTCGGCAAAATTCGCTAAGGATAACTGTCCTCAACTTACAACTTGAAGTAGTTCTTGCGTTCCCCTTCAACCTGGCTCGATCTTGGCGGAAAAACAATCGACTGAAATGCAGAGCTTAGTAAGGTGACCTTGCGGGTCCTAGTGGTGGTACACTTTTGACATTTGGTTCGAAGTACATCAAGGGTCCACATATTTTTGATGGTCGTGGAGATGTCCAACCGCCGGACTGTTCAGGTTCTCCGACGGTTGAGAAAATTTCCCTCCAAATTGCAAGAGAGCGTGGTCTTCCCTGGTCTTCCTGACTCTTCCTGCTTTTCTCGAACCAAGCTTGGTTCAAGAGGGCAACGACCATTCTAATTTTGATTGCGTCACGCGGGACCTTTGTAACAATTGAAGGTTACGGAGTAGAAGATTGAATTTCCTTTTTAGCTCGCTATGGCCAGCTTTGACCTTTTCAAGTGCGCGCCGCCGCGCGGGTGCCAAAACGGTTCAAGTTCTGATAGGACACATTAACGGGACTGTGAGAGGTCGAAAGAATGAAATCCTGGGAAAAGTAGTGAACTCTTGCCGTCTAGCGCCTACCAATGCCCTTGCCCTTTTGGACTTCGATTCAAGCGTATCCAAAGTAATTGCTACTTCGAGCGACTCGGCAACAACTTTATCCATGGTAAAGCAGGTACAACTTCGACCACGATGAACATAAAAGGAAGGTGAAATTTGGCTTATTGTTCATTGTGCATTTACAGTGATTACTGAGATCCCAATTTGGCAAATTCTCCTTTGTCCCATTTCCTTGAACCACATTTACCACGATCTGCACGACGAAGATGGTTGAATTTGGTGGTCAATGTAGATCTAAGGTGGATGGCCCTGTCCAGGATAAAATTGGTATAAAAGGCTCTAGCTGGAAATCTTACAGAATCCTCTTATCACGATGGCTTTATTCGAAACCTTTTCTAATACTTCTACTGAGAGCCTCCTTGGCACACAATACCTTTCTGTGTCGAGGAGGGGTTCAGCCCCCGCTTCCCCGATGTCTTCGACTTTCTTCGACTCCGATCTCCTGGCACGCTCGATTTCACCTGTTCCATCGAACTATGCCCTTTATACTCGGTCCAGACCTACCTCCACCGATTCCAGCTTCTTCGATTTTCAATCGTTCGTGCCCGTTACTTCGAACCATCCTCAGGTTTCTGCCGCTGCAAACAATAGCACCGGTTTGATGGACCAACTCGCCGGTGCTCTTCGTCGGGTTGAGGAGAATAACCAGATATCTCCTCTGATCGACGACAAGGCGAGTTTTATGTCAAAGCAAACAACAAGATCGAGGGTTATTAGACGCTCTGACGTGGTCGTTGAGGCGATCACCGATGGTGAACAAGGACTGCTCGACGTAGTTCCTGTTACCGAGGACCAAGCGGAGAACAAGAAAAATAGAAGGTTCCTACCTAAATTCTTGCGGCGGGCAATGTCGACCAGCGGGGCGCTGAACGCTCAGATTCTTGATCGGAAGACCGCCTTCTCCAAACCTGGACACAGTCCCTTAACGCCGTCCAGCCGCGCTAACACTGTTCCAACCTCTGTAAGCAAAGGAAAGGGAAAGGCGCACTCGATGTTCCGGTTCCGAGGGCATCAAGGTGAAAAGCCAGTGCAAGCCCCTCCTCCGCTTGTTTTACCTGACGAAATTGTCCAGAGACGTCGTCAGGTTCGCCGCAGCGGTTCTTTCGCCGGTTTCTCCACCTCCCCCTTCGCTCCTAGCTCTCCTATTGTTTTCCGACATCATGGATTGTTCAGCAACACTTGTGCTGAGCCTGTTGGTGCCGATGGTGATGAAGACGAGTTGGATGCTCTGACTCTTGAGGCAACGGCGCTTTCTGCCCAGATTGGGCAGCGTTGGATGTATGCTGAAGATTAGGTCTCGGCGTAACAGGTTTTCTACTTCCCTTCTGTGCTATGCATGCTACTGTTATTATGCCCACTTTCTTTGCATGCTCTCATTTATGGTCTTCTAATTGCCTGAGTCATTTACGCAGTTCCTGTAGCATCGATGTAGTACTTAGATGGTTCTAGTAGCGTTAATAAATACAACATGGTACGCGTCAGGTTACATAGTTCATATCAATGCAAAAGCAAAACAATGTTCCCTCGCTATGCATAGTTCACTCTGTAGTATCAAGTAGTATCAATAAGGATTATTATCATGTCTCATGGCTCAGAACATTATCAGTGATTCACAACTTCCAAGTACCCTTCTTCTTCGCCTGCATCCCTCTCGAGATGATGATCAACGCAGATCCAAACAGCTGGACCACAGCACTAAACACTACTGGCCTGACCCAGAAATACTGCGGCGAGTGCAGCACTGCGCCAGAAATTGGGCTTCCCGTGAGCATCGCGAAACTCGAGACAAATGTGAGAAAGCCCATCCGAGTTCTTGTGCGATGAGATACATATATGAGAATGACAATGGCATCTGGAGAAATAGAGCGGCTTACCCAACTTCATTTATATTCTTTGCAAACGTTGCTGCGACTGGTCCGATAACCGAGACGACTATAAACAAGTTCGTACGAGATCAGCGCCTTAAACGAGATGCGGGAAGGTCTCGAGACATACATCCACCTGAGGTGAAGCCGTAGAGTACAGCGAACACCACGGTCGCGGCAACTGACTTTGAAGCGAGAAGCATGAAAACTAAAGCTCCGGTAATGACACCCGTTGCGATTGCGACTTTGACATGGGAGTGGTCAGCCCGAAACACTGAATGATAAGGGACAAAGGACCCACTATTAAAAGGCCCAAATACATCCGCCATGAAATTCGGTAACGTCCGTCCAAGCACACCCGTGATATTAAGAATTGTGATCTAGCAGCACAATATTGGGCATTTAGAGCCATGAGTTGCCAAATCATCTCAGTGACACATGCTCACTCCGTAGGTCACAATATTCGCTGGTAGGTCGTGTTTCGAACAGAATAATTGCAAGTAGAAGTCTAAAAATAAAGATGAGAGATGTTAGACAGGTGGCGTGTCGGAGATACATACACGGAACAAACAAGCCCCAGAACACAAAGAATGACCTGAAATGAGGCATCAATCAAACCAACACCAACGAAAATGCTGCATGTATTCCGGTTGAGCTTACCCGGCAGTACATAGCAAGTACGGGACATCTGTCAAGAGGCCCTTCAAATCAATATCCTTCTTGCCACCGGCTGGTAGACGTGTCTTCATGATTAAGTTCGAGATAATCAAGAGTCCCAGATAAAGGAAGGATTGTGCCCGAACTGCCCATGCAAAGCCCACACTCGCAAAGAGATGATTCAGCATGATTGGATAGATAGCAGCGCCCAAGGAACCACCTTCAAAAAAGGAATGTGTAAGAGGAAGCGAGGAGAAAAATGGCAAATGAAGTTCACCAGATAAGACGATTCCCATAGCAAGTGCACGTCTTCGACGGAAATAATGAGAGGCAATGGAGAGCGACGGCATAAACAGCATGCCCATTCCGATGCCCATGCCTAATCCTTGCGCAAGAAAGTTCTGGTAATAATTATGTGGCTTTGCTAGTGAAAGCATGAATGAACTAATCACAGCCAGCGTCAGGTTTCAGCATGAGGCCGATCGAAACACGACTCACCAGAAAACGAACAGCAAACTACCTCCAATCATTAGATGCCTGAAGTACCCTCGGTCAAAGAGTTGTCCACTGAAAAACCCGCCACCGAACAACAGAAATCCTTGGAGAGACCCGATCCAAGCAATATCTGACGGCGGATGGTCGCTCAAAGAATTGAGTGTGTAAAAGTTTTCATAGACACCAAACGATTGCATCGTTCCCGCGGCGCAGAACAGTGTTAAAAATCTTTGGAATAACATGTGAATATAAGGATATGCTAAGGATGAATTGAGATCATACCCGCCAGTTACCGTTAACCAACCTTGTAACCCGCCCTCTGGGAATGTCAACGCGGGAGCTGATGCTGGAGAGGCCTCCACATCAGTTTTGATATTTTCGCTGGAAGACTCTTGACGGTTCAGTGGACTATTCTCTCGAGATTGAAGGTCGTGGCTATGGGAAGTCTTTTCAGAGAGCGACATGGTCGTAAGAGCTTCGGCCACAGCGGTACAGAGCAACCCAAAAGCCTAGATGATGGTAGAGGAGCGAAGGAGCTGAAGCACCGATGAGTAAGGAATATGATTTCTGGTTTTATGCGTGTGTCCATTTGGGAAAAGAAGTCGAAAAAAGATGTGTGACATGACTGGAAGCAACTGAATCTATCAGATCGGTAAGTTATCTCGCCATGGCATGGGAACAAACAGTTTGGGATATTCCGACCTTAGACCTTGTGTATAACGATAAGAAGATAGAGAATGAAGTAGAAAATATGCCATTCGAAAATGACTAAGAGGGAATGGGCTCTCAGTGCAGCCCGAATTCTCTCTGTGTAAAGAGTGTTACGAAGGTGTCACAAACCCAATCGTTCTATTTCCACGTACTTACATACATAGTGAGACTAGTACTGAGATCATTCAGGTGATGATGAGGGAGAAGAAGAATGGGCCGGATGCCGCCACATGCCGTACCTCGGTAAGACAACAGCAACCAATAACTATACGGTATATTATTACCTCTGAAGGTGTCAATGGTAGAGAATATAACCACCAAATAACCACCAAGAGTTCTACTGTATACAGATGGTCGGTGTGTGTGTGCATTGTGCGCTATATTTATCGCGCGCTCTGTCAATCCGGGAAGAAATTTGTTGCTCCATAGATTCGAATATTCTGTGCGTTGATCAGTCGAAACGATCACTTGCCTTTGATAGCCAACGCATAGGATAGCATAGGAACTACATATACATATACATCCTCAATGTTAATCAGCCACTCAAACAAACGATGTCCTGCCCATATGGAGTCGAATCAGCTTCGCAGTAGATCAGTAAAAAAAAGTCGACGATACTTTCCCGCCCACATCAAGAGTTTGAGGACCTGCTGTGCACCAGGTACCTAGAAATTACATGCTGTATCAAATTTTTGAAGTATGACAAAGTCGGAACGGCAGGAATCTTGTTCAAGCACGTTAGTGTCCTTGTACACATCCGGTTCCTGTGTATGAACCAGGAGATAAATACATGCAGCTCGGGAAAGCGGCGGGGTCTGTTAGTACCTGTCAGTACTCGCGGCAGTCCCAAATATTTTCACCGACTCCATAAAACTGTAATCTTTCGTGATGTTTCATTTAATATCGCACTTCCAAAAGGAAACTAGTCGACGACGTGTTTTAAGCAAGTGACCTCGAGGATTTCTGCAATCTTACACTGTACCACTGAGTTAAAAAGACACGACAAGGTTATCTAAGTATTGAGATTGTGCATTGAGATTAACGCTGAGAATATAGTCGTTATACGGTCGCTCACCCTAAATTTCCTCCGTTCAAAATTTCCACTCCCATTCTAATGCCCATCACCCTTTCCTTCAGGTTTTCTAGGCTTGAACACCGCCCGCTCCTTCACATTCCATATGATCTCCTCCGCATTCTTCAGCGCTTCCTCTTGAGGTACAGCCCGAGATCGTTTACGCCCTGTGTAGATACACAATCTTCATAACCCTCTTCCCTAACAATCACACAAATACACATACCTATAATCGCCCAATTTCTCGTACTCGGAATCCTCAATGTCTCGCATTCCACCTCCCATCCAGTATAAACACTCAGCGTCGCCAGCCATATTCTATACATCGAATAACCACTCGTGTTGCTCCCGTCGCCACCGAGGTTCAACGTTTTGATGAAATTATTCATGGAAATTCTCTCTAAATCCGTGTCAGTATCTAAGACTGAGTTCGTTTTGGGAATCGGAAACATTGTCGTAGCAGAGCGTTCATAACGAGCATCAAAATCCCAAGCGCAACAAGGAATTGACAGGTATCCCGAAGCGGAGCAGAGTGTTGAGAGAACCGGCGTCCAGGGCGTCAGCTCGTCAGCATGGTTGGCAATGATGAAAACGCCCGATGGCAAGAAGACTGGATTCTTGTCGAAAGAGAAATCGAGAGGGTTGAAAACGTGAACGTGCAAACGGTTCTGGGTATTTGAAGGATAAGATTTCCAGGACATCCTTTCGCGAAGGTCAATTCCATGACCTTCGTAACCTTCTGAGATTAGGATATGGGTCAAGAGACCGTTTCCGCACCTGTATACGGGATCAAACATAACATAAATATATAGACGAAGAGCACACACACCCGAGGTCGACAAATCCTGCGGGAGGGCGTGGCCATCTCTTCCAAGGCTCCCCAGTCTGAAAGTTGGTCTCTTCAACCTCTTGATTTCCAAAGGTAATCTTCCAGAGAAGCATAAGATAAGTAGCGATCCCAATATCCTGACATAAACGCGGCGTTCAAGAATAGTTCCAGCAGATAGAATCACACAAACGCACATACCTCAAAAACGTGTTTTAGTGGATCTGTAACTTCCTGCCAAGTATCGACCAAGCCTTTATGTCTTTCTCGCATAACAAGATATAAATCCTGATAATGTTCTCGAGGGATTAACATATCATGAATGACCCGCTTCTGATAATTCGTCATAGCACCCCATCCATATCGGTGAAGAGTATCGAGAAGAGCCAAACAGGTACGAAAAAGCCTTGAATTTTGGTCTAGAGGTGTCCCGGGTAGTGGGACCACCTCTATACGAAGGATCCCCGAATCTGTTTTGACATCGTGCGGTAGCGATGGATCCAAATACCTGAACGCCAGATGAAATACCCTTGGATGGTAGTACGGCAAAGGGTTGTTTTCAGAAGTTATTGGAGTCAGAACCAGCACACTATGTGAAGCGCTTGAAGAAGTTTTGTACAAGGTGCAATACTGCTCCAAGCTTGCATCTCGCCCTGGTCGTCGAGGGAGCAGTTTTCGATGAATACACCGATTTTGATGAAGATTGTCTATTGTAGGTATTGATGGAGAGAATCCATGGGGATCGGTGCTATCTGAGACGGTCTCCGAACGTAGAATCAAAGTCGAGTTGTATTCCGGATGGTGGATGAGTTGCGATAGGGCAGTATCAAACTATAATCAAATCAGACCGAGGGTCTCGCTCTATAATATATTTCTGAGCGCCTACTAGTTCCTCGGGAAAATTGGCAGGACAATCGATGAGGGGAGTCCATGTCTCCGATCCAGATAGTGGTAAATGCGTATTAAGGCTAGAAGTACACGCAGAAGGTAAAAATTTTGGACGCGAAGTCATATCCGGGGAGAGCCGGAGAGATCATTTATCCTCATTTATCGCACGCAAAAAGATACCATTTCGCTAAAATGAAGGTGGGTGCACATTTTGGACCAGGACTGCAGACTACAGTAAATACTAATGCAAGCTAAATACAAGAGATATGACTATTAGTAGTGGGCATACTATGTTTGTGATACAGGAGTTAAACGCGACATATATAATAGTAATATGTTTCCTGAAAAGAGGGCATGGAGTTACGAGTAGGTCTGTAACACGTTCGTGACGATATTAAAAAAGAGAAATAATGTAAAATGTGAATTACATATCGGTATTCATGATGTTGGATCATAAGCGTGCATGTAAAGTCAAGGTCAATTCGGTAAAATCACAGTTGAGCTCGTTTCAGAGACGATCTAACTCCAAACCTGAGTTGAAGAACACATCTGGTAACCATTCTCGTTGTTTGGGGCACAGACGTATGGCGGTGGAGGCAAATGTGAGTAGGTCGACTTGGTCATCAGAGTTTCCGGAGCGTATGCGAGTTCGGAGCTCGAGTCACTGCAAGGAGAGTGGGAGACGTTTTCATAAACAACGCACGGGCCTTCGCGCATTTTGCGATCGTCCTGTCTCTGATACAGGTCATTCGCATAGTCCGAATGCGCTGAACCCACAGGAGTCATCATATAATCAGGTTGCGCATAGGCATACGGTTCTTGAGTTTCCTGAGTTTCAGAAGCTGTAGAATTGTAACTCAGGGGATCGGCCTGTCCAAGATATGATGAGATATGAGCGTATGAGATAGGTTGCTCCCAGAAATATGCATATCGCTTGTTGTGAGGGCTCGACATAGTTTCCGGATGCTGCGGTCGGTATCCCTGGGCCGTCCACTGACCCTGTTGTAGCCACTCCGTTGACGAGATTGTCAACGGATGATTACATTGCGGGGTAAAAGTTGTGGCGGTGTACGCAGAGGGGTAAACCAACGCAGGCATGTCGTTCGCAGAGGACGAAGTAATACTGAAATCAAACTCGTATGTCGTAGGTTGTGTGTGATCTGCAAGCTCATAAAGACATTGTGTACTCTGGACTGGAGGTTCGGGCATGCCATTTGATAAATCCTGGGACAAAGGGGAAAACTCAGAGGGAGGCGTATGGGACTCCTCTTTGACTGGAAAATGGGCTCTGCCGTCCCTGGAAGATTCTGCTTTTGGATGAACGGCAGGCGCATCCAGGCCCAGCGCATCCGAAGCATGCGTGACACTTCCGTTCAGAGGAGATTCATACGAAGTTTCTTCCAAAGGTGGTTTCCACAACTCCACAGGCTCGTCGGATGGTGTGGATGGTGGAGTTGATCGAAGGTCAACGAATGTGTATCGCACAGTGTGCACAACTTCGTCTTCGTGATGTTCCTTCAGAGACAAGAAATCCGTATCATTATCGCTGATGAGTCGACGTTTAATTAGACACTGGTGAACTTCACAACACGCCAGGTCTAGAGAGGGGACGTCAATGCTGTCAATTACAATACTTTCAGTTAATTGGTACTGACCAACAGATGAAAAACACTCAGTCCAGTATTTCGGAAGAAATTTCGTCTCGTAAAGATACATCTGCCGGGTGGTCCCGTTCCGAGTTTGTGCTAATGTAGACTGAAGGCCTATCTCAGTTCGGTCCAAATGCACCATCATGCCATCAAGAAACACTTTGAACAGACAGTGATGTTCAGTTACATCAAGAACGCGCGCGCTATGTAGAGAGATCATAGGATTCTTCCACGAAAAAAGGGTGGTGACTAAAGAGGCGAGTTTCAGGTCGACGCAGACGATTGTCGGCCCAATCTCTCGATCAGAAGATATTGTATCGAAGGAAATCGGAGAGCAGATAAAGTGCGAAAGAGGGCTTGTGAGCTCAATACGAACGAGAGTGTGCCTTTTCGCCTCCAGGGCAGACACGTCGTTCGTGTAAACCTCTGTGTCTGTACCAGGAGATGGTACTGATATAGGGCTCGAACTGTGAGGGCTCCCAGTCGACTCCGAGGGCGGGGTTGAACCGAACGAGTCCAAGGATGTCGAACATGATGTAACACTGTCATTGTCGTCATTGTCGTCGTACTGCTTGCGGCTGAGAAGTTGCAAAACTGAGAAATATTCAGGCATCCGACCGTCCCAGCGGGGAAAAATCCACTTACTACGTTCATCACGACACGAGTCTCTGAGTTGCTGAAGCCGGCTGCCAACCTGCTTGGGTGACCTGTCGTGTCCTGTACGTCGCTTGATATATTTCGATATCCAGCAGTTACGCTTGGGAAATCGCTGGAGCAACTGAATATCCGTCACAGACTGCGGTCGATACTTCTGCAGTGCTAAAAATGGTTTAGCTGTGGAATACATCTATTTCTGTGAGAACTAAGTACCTTCGATAAGAGTCGCCTCGATTAAGGGAGGCCAGACCTTCTCCCTCTTCGACCTCATTAACTTCCACGTCTTGCGCGCAGCCAAGACGATTTCTGTTGCCTCTTTAGCGCTTGATTTCGCGTAGCCATCTCGTGGGGATGCCTGTGTACCTCGAGCCATGAACGAAACAGCGGCAGAACGCTAGGCGTGCTGCGAGGCGTGTTGAAAAATTGGAGAAAGAGAAATGTTTTTGCAGTTGTTGGTGGCTTGCTTTTATTTGCTTCAAAATATCGATATCGATTTCAGATCGACTCCCTGCATAAATGTAACATTTGAATGTCCGGCTCCGTAGTATGACACCTCAAATCTCATTTATCAACAAGGAGCAGTAAAAGTCCTTGAGTACTAATTTGGGAACGGCAATCTCGAATCAATTTTTGAAAAAAAAAAAACAACCAAGAGAGATTTCGCTCAATGGTCCGCAAGTGTCAGGCAACCGTCCTTGTTCTCTATACAGATTTGTTCGGCGTGTTAGGTCATTGAAAAAACAGACGAGCTTACGACATTCTTGAGAGGGAGCTTGACCTTTTTGAGGTATATTTATGAAGGATTAGGCCTTGGTAGGAATTAGGACATCTCCACTGTTCCCTAGCTATAGACAGTTTACGCTATTCCAAGTCCTGTTCGCGGCCATGTCCTGACTTCTCTTGATGCCCTAGGGTAGCCTGGAATCTGAATTCTAAATGAAACAGGATGACATATTCCGCTGTTTTGGCCCATGATTTCCGTCTTGGAATGAGGAGGGTTTTTGGATGTCCGAGAGTACCGAAAACGTTGTATTTATTTGCCTTTATTATCATTCCATGCCGATGACAATCAATCCCACCATCAAAAAAAACCCCGAGCGGATAACTCTGGGATAACTTACATATCAGTAGCTCAAAGTGGCTCAGACTTAGCTCTAGTTCCTTCAAGTTTACGATGGATCCCCTTGCTGGAATGGATGACTCCTCCACAGATGATGATAACGCGTCCCAAACTACTGAAGATGACCCGCAAATTCCTGAACACGCTCCTGCACCTCCCCCACCTCCCTTAGCCGTTCCTCCTCCCCAACCTCAGCCCGGTTCTGCTCCAGCTCCTAGAGAAAAACCTCACTATGAATCGCGGCATATCCTGAATGGCCACACCATGTCAATATCAGCGGTTAAGTTCAGTCCAGACGGCACCCTTTTGGCTTCCTGCGGTTTGTTTCGCCGTTAGGTTGAATGAAAACGAATCATCTTTGACATCGTCCTGTAGGCGCCGAAAACATCGTCAAAATCTGGTCGCCCTTCACCGGCGAGCTGATCAGGAATCTTACCGGCCATACAGCCGGACTGTCCGATTTATCCTGGTCCTCTGACAGTGTTTATCTCGCATCTGCTTCTGACGATACAACGATTCGAATATGGGAAGTTGATACAGTATGTAGCCGTTATCCTTCTACAATCTATTTTGAAAAAATGATTCATGGAGTGAAGGGTCTGACGCACAAGCAATTGAAAGGGCACACCAAATGGGTGTTTTGTCTAAACTACAATTCAACTTCGACGCTTCTTGTATCCGGTGCCTGCGACGGCGATATTAAAATATGGGATGCCAGAAAAGGTTAGAAGACAGATCACTGCAAAGTTCACAACGCGCTTTGCTAAAAATCTGAATACCAGGAAGATGCGTGAAGACGCTGCATGCTCACCTCGATTATGTGACAGCAGTTCATTTCAACAGAGAATCAGACCTGATCGTCTCTTGTGCCCTGGATGGACTAATGTCTGTTTCCCCGCATTGCTCTTTCTTTCATGTGGTTTAAAGGTTCTCTCCTAGTCGAATATGGAACACGTCGACTGGGCAATGTCTTAAAACCCTTGCTGAAGATCATAACGCAATTTGGTCAGTTACGAAGACCTTTCTCTTGGATCCAACATCGAGAGCTCACTTCCCATAGCCAACAAGTGCAATTCTCTCCGAACTCGAAGTACATCCTATCAACGGCACACGACAGTGCCATCCGTTTATGGGACTACAAAAATCATCGTTGTCTTAAAACATATACCGGTCATGCAAACGCGAAATATTGTATTTCCGCATGCTTTAGCGTCACCGGAGGCAAGTGGATTGTCGGGGGAAGTGAAGACCACAAGGTATACATCTGGGATTTACAAACTCGTGAGATCGTGCAAGTCCTGGAGGGGCATCATGGTGAGAGTCATTTAGGCCGGCGCTGCTCTTGATGATATTGACTGGCATGACTGCCATTTTTTGACAGATGTCGTCGTCGCAGTTGCAGTACGTATCCTTTTCGCCTCTCTCGCCTAAATAACGCCCCATAACACGATTAACACCTGACTCTTTTTAGACCCATCCTTCACAAAATATGATTGCCACTGGATCGATAGACACCGATCTTTCAATCAGAATCTGGGAGGACCACAATAGACAGGGACATGGACACCATACGCAAGGGACCACTACGAGAAATTGACCCTTCCCCGCCTTACTACTTTCTGTTAGTATTCCAGCCTTCTCCCCTTCGTGACTTGTATTTATTTTGTGACATTGTATCCTTAACAAACTCTCGTTGATTGACTGGTCGAAATTTTACATCCTACTAGTATTGTGCCAGGAAAGGAAGACGATATAGATACAAAACATAAGGAAGAATCTGGGAAGAATTGTGTACCTGAGAGGACTACTTATTTGACGGGCTCTGCATTTATGAGATCTAGGGTACCAGTCAGTAAGCCACCTTTTTAGACTGCGGAGACGCCGACCTTTCGCTACTTCTTTATCAGCATCGGTCAAACCCGAATCATGAGCCTCCAGGAAAGCGTCGACCTATAAACCGCCAGTTAGCAAGGGAAATACTCAATCCGAGGAAAGGCCTACTTCGTCCATGACTTGGTCGTCGTTGTCGCCTGCTTCCAATTCATCTTCAGCATCATCATCGTCGTCTTTTGAGTCGTCTATGGTAAACGCCGGACGCGCTAGAAGTGCAGCATTTGCTGCCTGGACCATTGGAGAATAACCGACAGCACTCGCGGGTTCCTGGAAATCCTTTGACGATGGTACCTTCACAGTAAGACCTTGCGATGGTGATGAAGGACGTAACGATGATGAGCTTGGGGATGAACGAAGACTTGACTTGGATGCAGAGTGCCGCATTCCGGGTGTAAGCAGAGATTCGCGGGCTTTTGGCTCCTCCAAAGTCTTGTATCTGCCAATGGAGGGGCGATGAATGACCTAAGAGATGTCGTTTTTTAAAAGAGGGAGTAGAGTAAAATGGGGTTGTTTGTCACCTGGTGTTTCCCGATAGTTTTGCCAATCTCGTCCGTGAACAAGTTGAACATTTTTTTGTTGCTATCAGTAGCGATACTCGACCAGAATTCACCCAATAGCCCACTACTTGATGGTGGAAGCTCGAGTTCACTAATTGGGTCTAAACGGAACGAAGCTGAAAGATCCGTCTCGAAAAAGGATTCAAGTATCTCATCAGCTAGAACAACCATTCGGAATCTGCAGGAAGGATAAAAATGGACAAACGAGACAAGGAAGGTAAGCATACGTTGCGAGATTGAGGTACGGCTGATTAGAGGGCAACGGCAATGGCGAACGCGGTTCTGTCTCATCATCTTCAACCTCCTTATGTTGATCTACATCGGCCAAAAGAGCATCCCCGTATTCGAACGCGTTGGTCATGAAGCGACTGACAGCGCCAAGATACGCGTCACCAACTTCGAACCTGAAAATAAACTAGCAAGCCATCGACATCGCTTGTGAGTTGAAAGATCGCTATTCCAGAAGTGAAGTAGTAATACCAAAAAAGATTCAGAAACGGTCAACACCTCGTCCTTAGTCAAGAAACCATCTTTGTTTTTGTCATGCAGATTAAAAAACCATTCAATGTTTTCCATCAAATCATTGAACATGACACCGTCTAAGCCAGAGACGAGATCCTAGTATACGAATGGATAAGACTCCAATAAATTATGGGGTAATGAAGGGTAATGATGACTCACTTGGAATGAAAGAGCGCCACAACATGAAGTGTCCCAGAAGAAGAACAGCCGGTCAATAAACTCATGCTCCGCGACATCCCTGTCAACGCGTTGCTGATAATTTAATTGAGTACGTCTCGTTCGCATCAGGCCGTTCTGGAATGAAGGGGATGTATTTACCTGGAATCCATTGCTGACGATCTTCTCATCCCGCGCCCATGTTGCGATTTCACTCAAGAAATACTGGAATGTCTTAAGCTGGATCCTCGTTTCGGGTTTCTCTTCCACGCCATCATTAAGTAATGTGGGAGGAGGTAGCTGAGCCGGAGGAGGAGGAATGACACACATCGCCTGGTACAACGCGTCATATACCAGTCCTGCTTGCTCTTTTGTAAACCTTCCGAGACTACGCAGATTTCGGACGGCTGACCGCTTGGAGAAGGTTTCGATGCTGTGGATGATTTCGTTGCGGAAACGTTTCCGTTCAGAGAGTATGAGATCATCGGTGATTACAGAAAACTCTCGGAAAGAAACAAGAAGAAGCTCTTGGAAACGCGTAATTGCGCGAGCTCGAGGATCGGTAGAGTGTGGGTGTGCAGAATCACCTAAGGAGGCGAAGTAATCACGCATCAAACTGAGAATTGCTTGAGACCATTTCAATGCAAATACGACAGAAGCCACGTACTTCAAGAAACCGCCATCGTCTTGTATCTGTAATAGTTTTTCCCCATTGATCTTGAGGATAGCTGAGTCGGGAATGAATTCATGAACCAAGAATTACAGTACATAGTACTAACCTAAACTAGATGGCACCATGAGCAACGAATCTTTTGGAACGTCAAGAATCCAGGACTTACCCTACTTGGAACAACACTTTTGGGCCCATGCAGAAAAAGCAGTCGACGATTCTAAAAGCGAAGATCATCGGCATACTATTAATGTATCTGGACAGGAACAACAGTAAGCGATATCGCTTCTGTGGCGTAGATGTAGACGAACAAACTGAGAAACCAAGGGAGAGACGCAACAGATAACTGCACATCGACCGCTTGAAAGTGGTCGTGAATAATGGGTAAACATCGTTGCACGAGTGACTCGAAAACACGCTGGTCAAGGAGAGTTCCGTGCATAGAGGGTCTATAACGCGCATGTATTCAGAACAGTGGCATCACGCATCACACGAGGTGATAGACGTACGCGTAATATCCGGGTAATAGACGGTCGCAGAGAACTTCAAGGAGCCAAAACGCCTGCTCTTCAGACATATAACTGTGACGAGCGAATCAGTATTCACGATATAATGTCAGGTATTTGCGAGCATGCATACATTAAGATGGCTGCAGCAAGGATGTTCATGGCCTGTTTTAATAGGGAGGTTTAGCATTTGAGCGCAACAATCCAAAAAATCATGTAGGGACCTGACAATATCCCAACTCTGGATTCTTGAAGGAATACGCTTGAAGAACCCTCCTCAATGCGCTAATGCCCTCTTCCGATTGGTATCCAGCATATTCTGGCAGACTACGATGGAGATCTTTCTCAATATCCTCCGTACTAGTGGTGGTCCTGCCCGTGTTCTGCTCTAGCAACTGCTCATACAGACCTGGATTCGAATAGCGGAGGAATATTGAGCCTGAAAGGGTTTCCCACATCTCCCCTCGAAGTCGATTTGGAAGCCCAACTTGAACAAGACGCGTACATTGCGGATACCGGAGTAGAGTGAGATTCCGCCCGTGAGCTGATGGCAGTCATGTTATATGCCTTCTGAGAGCAGAAGCGAATGTTTATTACCCACTTTTCAGATACGTCATCCATAGTTTGATCTTGGAAGCTTCCCGAAGCCTATACGGAATGTCAAAATGGGTATACTAGATGTCAGAATAGCCACTACGCACTTTTTGGGATCACCGGGAAACTTGAATCGGAGACCGAGCCCGCCGTGGTAAGACGATTCCGAGGCTTCACTGGCAGTGTGTTCGTCTTTTTCATCGCTGGGGGTGAATGCAGATCCTGATACCAGAACTTCTGAATAACAAGTCTTGACGAATCCCTTGACTGACTTCATTCTGCCTCGCTGCAGTTCTATCTTGAGGGCATCACGAAGGAGTGCACAGAAGAGATCCGCAGTTGGTCGGAGCGACGTTAGTTGTACAATCTACAACGAGCTAGGTTTAGTCATGGAGATAATCAATGATAATGAAACACGCACAATCTTTCCTCCGTGCCAAAGAGCCAAACTGAGTGCGTAAATTCCAGCGCGGGCGTTGAGGCGTTCAACGCGCCGTATAGTTGATAGCGGGATTGTGAATCGCACCGATTTCTTATCAAGGGACGAAAAGGCCAGGTAGGGCGCCATTAGGTATAATTTGCCAGCCTATACGGTGGTTATTAGCGCAATATCCAATACGACAAGTGCAGTACAGCCCACATAAGAGTCTTCCTCGCCTTCCACACCCAGGCTCAGCACGGCGTTGATGTCCATCTTCTCAACCTCGTCGTCTGCTTCTCTAGCATCTTTGCCGATTGCCGCAGGGAGGGAGGCTAGCGAGAAGAAGTTTTGGGTAATTTGCTCCTTTGTAGGCTCCTTGAAGTCTCTCAGCGCTGTGGAGATTGTAGACATCGTTCAAAGAACGAGTCAAAGCGGAAATTATTCGAGTATTTCCAGTACAGAGATGAAATTTAGTGTATATCACGGCTGGCCGATGATGAGTTGGAATTCAAGTTAAATAGGCGCTCAAGCGTCCTTTTAGTTCATTCAATCATGTACCAGAATTTCCCTTGAGTTTCCCTACACATTAAAACAACCATATTTACAAAGCGCGATAATGTACAAGTCCATATTTGACAAAGGTTCACAAGGAACCTGTTACCCCCGAATACTTGTCCGAAAGCAAAACACTACATCGACTGCTCCATGATTTTCGGCCCTTATGTAGGACGTGGAGATAATGCTATATAATGCTGCTGCTGCTGCATGTCCAACGACCTAGCAATGGTCTCAAGTGAACGCATCGTCCATAAAGTAGATACGATCCCTGGAAAGGAAGGACGTTCAAGGAGATTACGCCATTTGGTGTTGCGATGTGCTTACCTCGTACGCGGACGTTGCACTTCATAACCAACATGTAATCCATCATCCATTTGTGTCTTACTTATAACAATATTTCGATGCTTTCCCCGTTTTCCATGAACACTCCGATGGTCTAGCTCTCGAAGCTTCATACATCGTTGAACGAGCTTCATGATAGCTATGTGCATCATATTATTGTCGTCTTCTACAGATATCCAGATCCCAGGACCTCTAAAGACCTCTAGGTCAGGGAAGGAAGACAGAAAATCGAGCCAGACATCCTATGAAGCGTGAGAAATTTTCATCAATCGAGTATTCATCAGATATCCAAAGACACGAATTCGCTCACCAGCTCAAACTTGACGCATTCATGAATATGCAACCAAGTAAGTGCAGGACAGCTCGCAGCAATCGCATACAGCTCGTCTTCCGCCTTGACTGTCAACAGGTATAGCTTCTTCAATTTTTCGAAATTACATCGACTAGGAGGGACAACGCCGGTATTGAAGCGGAAGCTGGTATACTGGAGACACTCAATCGACTCAGGAACCTTCTCAGAATCTTGGAATGAATCCAAAAAATTCCGCTCGATTGACAGTCTTTTGAGCTTGGTGAGTCCGTTGCGCGGCAGCACCATAGTAGAGGATGGATTACACCAGAGATCTTCCAGTAGCGGGTGGTTTTCAAGGAAGCCATTCCATTGCTTGATCAAGTTGGAGGTTGTACCAGATTGGAGGAAGAGCGAAAGCTGTCTGAGAGTTGGAATGACAAAGTCACATATCCCTATTGCTTCGATCGGAATCTGAAGACGCTGAATGGAGAAGTAAAAATCCGGGTCAGCGAGATTTCTTTTGAACCCTACCTTGAGCTGGGATGACTGCTTCAATACATATTTGAGAGATGGTAATGCTGCCGGTGAGCTCCATACGTTTCCCATTAGCGTTAGATCCTGTAAATTAGGCATGTTCCAAACCTACAAGAGCCCTCAATTATAGGGACTAGTCATAGATGGGTAAACGCATACCGATTGGAATTGGAGATTCTTCACCAAGGGCGAGAGGCACTGCAAATCTCCTGCCAAAACAAGCCTCTCAATCGACGCAATCTTACTCAAGCTTCCCAAAAGCTGCAGCTCCTGCTCAGAGCTCATATATAGACTCCCAACATCGTACCTGAAGTCCCACTGAAAAGTTTTCAATTGCTCCATGTAACCCATGGCAACGAGGAAATTGGGAACTCGTTCTTTTTCCTCGTTCCAGGGATCAAGCATACCTTCCGGCATAGCAGAGGATACTGACGCTGCAGGATAGTGCTCGATGATAGCCTGGTCATTCTTCTGACAGATGTGGATCTCTCTGATATTGCGACTGAGATCTGCACGCCTAGCTAAGTGGGCCCAAAGACCAGGAAATCGATGTCGTATGCGTAGCACTCGGTATTCACTGTGTCGAGGGACGACGATTCGAAAAAGCTCTTTAGCAGCCAGAGCCAAAGCAATCAGATCAGTGTGTCTATCGAGGTCGGATAGAATGGAGTCCAATATCTCCAGAGGGAGTTTCGAGAGATGCATTCAAGTGGGTTTACCTAGGAGCGATATGGAAATGTGGCTAGATTCGAGGGTTGATGGGGATGAAAGAGACAGTTGGACGTAGAAAGGTGGTTTATCAGACTTCAGGTTCCGCTGGATCGAGTACAATGTACAAAGTACAAGGACCAAGGTGTTGCTGAAATGCTCTGAAATGGTACAAGGACAGAAGCTTCCGCGGAAGGAAACACATTGCCGTTATTGCCATCAAATTTCAATGGCTGTGCCAGTAAATCAGTGCCATCACTGTCAGTGTAACCTCCTCATATTGGGCACGATTTTAGGCAAGTTGTCCCGTATGCTCTTATTCTCTTCATGAACCACAAGATGGCTAGCTAGGCTAGTACTATGTCTTCGAATACACGCCTCACGTAACTACTGATTTCTTGTGCGAAGACTGCTAACTAATATTTCTTCTCTACGTGTTTCTACCAAGGCATTCACCGTCCGGATTATAAAATGATAATAACAGTTGTGGTGAGTATATCATCCTCTTGCCCATGATACAGGGCTCACCGGTCCTCACCTTGACTCCTGCTCCCAGCAATGCGAAAGGCAGCAATACTTTCCCACCATCTTCTGCCATTCTATTACCAAGGAACCCATCGAGTTTGGTTGCTGTTATTCCCGGAGTCACTGCATTCACTTGTATACTCTCTTCCTTCGACTCGTGCCCCAACGCATCTGTGTACGAGTTAAGTGCCACTTTTGATGCGTTGTACGGGGAATATGGGGCTGGATTGTGTATTGTGTATTTGTCTGATTAGCAGTAAGTGACAGACTGGAAGTTACGTTCAAGAAAACGGCGAACCCACGGTGGGTAGAGGTTGGGCGGCAAGTCTTTGTGTTCGAGATGAGCCTGAAGGTATGCGTATTCACTTCGGTACGCAGAGAGATCGGCGGATGATGCCTTCTCTCACATCAATTCGAACATATGCGACATCGAACAATGTTATAATCAGCTTTAGGAAGTTTGAACCATGCTCATTGCGATTCCCTTCCTCTATTTTCATTTGGGGAAAATCAATACTCGATGGCCTTCCTTGCTAAGAGGCGGAGCGGACGAGTTCATATCGATATGCTATCCCACCGCTGGCCCCAGTGGATAGGATAACTCGTAGTTGGGACAAGGAGGACATTTTATCCTGAACTGATTTAGCAGGTCCAAGTTGAAGCTCTATCTTATATATTTGCCTTGATACCTGACTGCTTCGACCGCGATCTGAATACTGATCCCTCGATGTTCAACTCGCGATAGATCTGCTCGGATGTTTAGGAGAAGTTAGTTTATGGGCCAGAAACTGATGACTGCGAGAGCTCCCATTTAGTACTTGACCGCAGCAGCAATACAATCGACTTCGAAAATATGTGGGCAAAACCGGGCCACATAGTAATTCTTTGGACTGTGTAAGTCGTCAAAGCTTAGCAAAGCCTCCTAATCGATCCTGAGTCCTCAGCTGTCCTCAGTTGGAAGTTAGGGTATGATTGTTAGACGACAATGGAGATACTGGCCGCACAGTGCTATCACAGAAGGGGATGAAACGTGCGAGGATCTCAACCCTACAAAGCCTATACACAGTCGGACCTATTCAAATGGTACTCCGGAGATCCTCTCGAATTTTGTGGTCGCGTGGACCATATGAAGTATGTTGACTGAACTCGTGGCTACTCGTGGCCGATGTTGACAACTCACGCTTAGGCTTCTCGTAGCCCCGGTGTCCAACATCGTGACGGTGTATTGAACCATACCCGTACCGGTGAGGATTTGAGGAAGGGAGTGCGGGCTTGGGTATATATATCCCCAAATTGTAGCCGTGTACTTACGGCCGTATATGGCTATCCAGAAGCACCGATCAAGTGCCAAGTTCTTCTCGCTCTTGCAAAATCGTAAGTCTTGCAATTTCTTGTCATAAATAGCTACAAGTACTGTTCTCACTCATTTACTCATTAATACAAGAGTTTCTATATCGACGCTTGGCAGCCCGTGTGGATTGTGTATAGGATATTATACAATCCCGTACCGGCGATAATCTTAAGGATGAACGATATAGGACTATTCCGAATCGACCAAGCACTCTTTCTGAATATAAAAGCAGCAAATATGTTCTCGATTCCGCTATCCGTTCCAAGCTTCTTCCTCAACCCTTCTTCAGGCAACACAGATTCGCAAACTATCAATGGACCCCCGAGCCAACGCACCCTCCTCTATCGTCGAATGGACTGAGGCGGAGAAGTACCAGAATTCATTTCTTATTCACGAACAGGATGACACTTTGGAGTTTATTCTGCAGAACTCCATCAACCACGGTCTTCCTTCTCATATGCCAGTCAGCGCTGGTGAGGGCAAATTCTTGAACCTGTTGATCAAATGTTTGGGGGTGAAACGGGTGCTGGAGGTTGGCACTCTCGGAGGGTCAGTATCGTTTTAAATTTTCAATAATTCCAACAATATACATCGAATTTTTACAAATTGTAGCTACTCCGCAATTTGGATGGCTAGAGCTATACCGGAAGATGGAAAGCTTGTGACTTTGGAGTTGAGTGAAACCTACGCCCAGGTAAATTTATTCACACAGACGACGATGTAATCTCTTTTGAATCTTGGATTGTGTAGGTCGCGAAAGAAAACATTACACAAGCCGGGTTCGGAGACAAGTGCCAAATCATCGTTGGCCCTGCAGATGAGACGATGACGAACCTCCACCCCGACATTCCATTCGATATGGTGTTCATCGACGCCGACAAGAAATCATACCCCAAGTATTTCCGTGAAGCCAAACGTCTCGTAAAAAAGGGGGGTGTGATTGTGAGTTGGAATCTGTACTTTCCGTTCCTTGTATTCTTTCTGATGCAGATGAAATCTGTTTCTGAAATCTTAACGAGTAGATTGTCGACAATGTGATACGTTATGGAAATGTTCATGACAAAAGCGTCAACGACGAGAACACGGTTGGTATCAGGAAGCTTTTGGCAGACTTGAAGGAAGATAGCCGTAAGGGAGAAATTGAAGCCACGACTATCCCTACTGTCGGTGAAAAGGGGTTCGACGGCTTTTTGTACGCTATTAAAAAGTAATAGTGAAGTAGATTGTGTTCTGATCTTACATAGCTATCTGGACTGAGTTTGAATGCCTTTCTGTGTCGAGTAACGCCAGTAATTGATCAGCATTTCAGAAAACTCATATTCTGAAGGTGCCAATAACATAGGTCGAAGTTGGGTGGAATAAAACGTGTAAAGCTACGGAGAGTGACGAGTCTTAATCTAGCTCACGTGATCTGCAACGATACGCGAATGTGACTATCACGTTCCTCACCTCTTTGTGTTGGTTCTGATTCAACCGCCAAACCGCAACGTAAGATGAGGATCGAAGAGTTGGTTATTGAAGGTCAAAGATTTACGATGGTCATGTCAACTCTCCTAATCATATAACTCTTAGGCTTCAAATCCTATCCGGTCAGAACACAGATTACTGGCTGGGACCCCTCTTTCAACGCCATTACTGGTCTCAATGGAACTGGAAAATCCAACATTCTCGATGCCATCTCTTTTGTGCTAGGACTGACCAATATGTCCACGGTGACGAGCTCAACTCTCAATCAGACACTTATCCCACTAACACGACAACTTTACGCTAGATGCGTGCCCAAAATCAAGCAGATTTGGTATACAAACGGGGACAGGCTGGCGTTTCAAAAGCTAGTGTCACTATCGTATTCGACAACTCAGACAAGGAGAAAAGTCCGATTGCCTACGAGACTTGGAAGCAGATCACTGTTACGCGTCAGGTGCGTTGATAGGATTCATTCAGTGTTACATATTTTCACCGTGGGTTCTCTGTAGTTCGGCCTGCCCAATGTCTCAAAATATCTTATCAACGGACACAAACACACTCAGCAGGATGTGCAAAGTTTGTTTCAGTCTGTTCAGCTGAACATCAATAACCCCAACTTCGTCATTATGCAAGGCCGAATCACCAAGGCGCGTACTTTATTATGCCGTCGTACAGGAATTCTTACTCTACCCCAAAGGTTCTAAACATGCGTCCGCAAGAGATCCTTGGAATGGTCGAAGAAGCGGCGGGAACTCGTATGTTCGAAGAACGCAAGGAAGCCGCCCGCAAAAAGATGTCTAAAAAGGATAAACGTATGCAAGAAGTTACTTCCATCCTGAATGAAGAAATCACACCCAAATTGAACAAACTTCGGGAAGAAAAACGTTCTTTCCTCGAATTTCAAAAATCGGAAAAGGAACTGGAGCAACTCAATCGTGTCTTGACTGCATGGGAGTTCCAGACACTTACTCAGGACGTGGAAAATGCAAAGGGTGAGATTGAGCAGGCGAAGGAGAATGCGAAAATGTCGAAGAAGGAGGCGGAGAAGCAAATCAAGGAAGTGGAGAGGGCGGAGCAGGACATGCACAAGGTGCAGAAGCAGCGCGATGCGGAGATGAAGAAAGGGGGTAAGCTAAGTCAGCTAGAAGAAGAAAAGGCTGCAAGCGAAAAGGAGATGGTGAAATTGAGTACTCAGGAGGAGCTCATGCGGGGAACGATACGTGACGAGGAAGCTAAAATTGGAACCTCGGAGGAGGCAGTTAAGAAAGTACGTTTCTAGGACCTTGATCCGACTTAATCGCTGATCGTTCTTGACAGGCTGAGGACTCTTTAAAACTGAAGAAAGCAGAGGCCGACCGTTTAGAAACCTCTTACAATGCCATAAAGTCCGAACATAATGCATCTCAAGCCAAACTCACCTCTGACGAAGAGCTCTTGCAAACCCTTCTTACGGGCCTCTCATCCAAAAGCGCCACTCATCCAGGGAGTGGTGGTGGCTACATGGGTCAGATTGCCGACGCTCGAGCACGTATCGCCCAAGGCGCAGCAGAGGAAGAGCAAGCCCGGATGAATCTGGAGATGAGCAATAATGAGCTGCAAAGTTTGGAGACGCAGTTCAAGAGGGTGGAAAAGGACGCTGGTGACGGCAAGAAACGGATAGAGACGACGCGACGGGCCCTTGCCGATGCGCAAAAACGACTGGCGGCGTGTGGATGGACTGCAGAGACGGAACAAGAGGGCGAATCCCGCGGAGCGCAGTTGAGGTCTCAAATTCGCCACTTAACTGAAGTATTCTCCCCCATTGTTCCTCTCCTACTTGTGACTGATCACTGTGTCTAGCGACGCGACCGAGCTCGACAAAACATCGGAGGCTTGGAGTTTGAATATAACCCACCTTTTGGATTCGACAAGAGTAAAGTTAAAGGACGACTTGGCCGACTAGTTGCTATTCGACCAGGCGAATCCGATAAAGCTACCGCGCTTGAGATCACTGCTGGGACTCGGCTCTACAACGTCGTCATCCAGGACGAGAACGTCGGAAAGGTTTTGCTCTCTCAAGGTGTGGTGAAGAAAAGGATCACTTGTTTGCCTCTGTCAAAAATTAAAGGATATAAAATTCGAGAAGATGTGCGCTCTCGAAATCTTTGATAAATGATGCCTGCAGACCTAACAGTGAACCGCAGAAAGTCAAAGCCGCAACTCAAATCTCCCAGGGAAAAGCTCGCCCTGCACTCGATCTTCTCAAATATGATCCTAGACTTGACAACGCCGTTTCCCATGTCTTCGGCGGGACCTTCATTTGCGATGACACTGAATCTGCCCAACGTGTTACTTTTGATAAAAGTATTGGTCAACGCTCTGTTACTCTCCAAGGAGACGTGTATGATCCCTCCGGAACTTTATCTGGTGGTTCGGCTCCATCTTCCAGCGGCATACTCATTAAAGTCCAGGAATTGCTCGACATCGAGGATAGTTTGGCCACAGTGGAAGCACACTTCAACGAGTTCGAGCGAACGTGGAATGGCGATTCGACAAAAAGGAAGAGGGAGGCGTACAAGAACATATCGAAAGAAGTGCAGATCAAAGAGCATGAACTTAAATTAGCTGAGGAACAAAACGAGGAAAGCAATGCTGAGAGGGTATGAATTGTCTTTTGCCAGCGGAAGTCCCCACTGATGTTCTATGCAGCTTCGTTCTCAGATTGATGCGCTCAAGGAAACGATCACAACCCTGACTGCTTCTGCCCAAGACGCAAAAAAAAAGCAAAAGGACAGCGAGATGGAAGTTAAGAAGCTTCAGAAAGACATGGAAGAGTTCAAGAACAACAAGGACGGGAAGATTGAGGAGCTCAAAGTTTGTGCAATGCAACAATGCCGATTTGCTAGAAATTAACATCTTTTTCGTAGGCAAACATTTCAAAGCAAAAGGCAGCTGCTCAGAAACAAGCCGTCGTCGTAAAGACAAAGCAAAGGGAACATCAAACCGCTACCCTGGAGCTTGGTATGCTTTAAAAACTCAAGTCGAGTCTTAGCTAATGATATCGCATAAGAGCAATGCAATGGGGAGATCAAGTCAGCCGAAGCGACAGTAAAAGATGTTCGGGATCATGTTAACAAGCTGAAGAAGGATTTGGACAAAATACAATCTCAACTTAAGGATAGTGAGGTAGGTGCTTCCCATTGAGGTTGTCCTACACTTCACTCACTATGACCAATCTACGTTTCAGAACGACTTGGCGCGAATCAACAGTAGTCTTGAGGAGGAGCGAGCAACGCTTACTCGCTTTGATAAAGAGCTCAAGACCCTTGACAAATTTGTCAAGGACAAGAAAAAGTCAATCATGGCGCTTGGCGAGAAGGCTTCGGAATACGAATCATCTGTTGAAGATCTTATGAAGAGGAGGAAAGAGTATATCGAGAGAGGGAATGGGCTTGAACAAGAGCATACTTGGATTTCGGAAGAGAAACAGTGAGTCTTACGGATGTGTCAAATTCCAAGGTTAGCTTACTGAAATTTGGGGACATTTCAGCATGTTCGGGAGAGCGAAGACGATTTATCATTTCAGTACCATGAATGGTGTAGAAATGCGACAGCGAGTAGATGAGCTTGTAAAGTCACAAAAAGCGAAAAAGAAGAAGATCAATTCCAAGGTCATCAATATGATTGATGAGTAGGTCTCTTGCTATTTTACGCTCTCTCTATCGGTGATATCGGTTCTACTCCTAGTGTTGAGAAGCGAGAGAAAGAACTGAAGAAAAATCTCGAGACCGTCAACAAGGACAAGCAGAAGATCGAAGTCACTATTGATCAACTAGACCAGTATAAGCGTGACGCTCTGCAGAAAACCTGGAATAAAGTTACGGTGTGAGTTCCGTATTTTTGTCCTAGCTGTTCCCTAGTTTTGATTTCCCAATTGCTAGTGACTTCGGCGAGATCTTTGGCGACCTACTCCCTGGAAATTTTGCTAAATTGGAACCTCCAGAAGGTAAGGACCTCATGGATGGTTTGGAGGTCAAAGTGCGGCTCGGGTCAGTGTGGAAGCACAGTCTGACAGAGCTTAGTGGCGGCCAACGGTGAGTAGCGAAATCTGCTTCCAAATTCGACATCTCAAAAACCCCTTCCAGTTCTCTCATCGCACTTTCGTTGATTATGGCCCTTCTCCAATTTAAACCCGCTCCGCTGTATATTTTGGACGAAATAGATGCCGCCTTGGACGAGTCTCATACTCAAAACATTGGACATCTGTTCCGCACCCGGTTCAAGGGTGCACAGTTCATCGTAGTATCATTGAAGGACGGCTTGTTCTCTAATGCGAATGTGTTGTTCCGAACGAAGTTCGAAGATGGAACGTCTATGGTTGAACGAACAACAAATCGCTCAAGCTCGGCGTTGTATTCAAATCAGAATCAAGAAGACGAAGAGGCTGGAAGGGACAGGAGAAGAACACGGAGATGAACGTGTTCATATACCTATGGTTTGATCTCTAAGATTTTGCTTCTGATCACCATTGCCTTTCTTGACAAATCACATTGTGTGTAGATCTTACCATAGCAGCCTATCTTTATTGCACTTGTAGATGTATTTTTCTTGTATAATTGATGTAAGTACTCACACTTTCAAAGAAGCAAACGTTACTATGTAGAATCACACATGCAGACCTTGAGTCCCAAAGTTAACGAGCAAGGCTTTGATCACTGCGGGATTGTAGCCTACACAAATGTCGACTTTCTTTGTTTACTTGGAGAATCGCGTCGGGAGAGTGAGAAAAAAGTCATATGACGTTCCGCTCCCCGAACATTATAAAATAAGCGCCAACAACTGCCACGCGGGTCCTCCGATTCCGAACTTGAACTAGTTGGGTAATCGGTATCCATTTTTCTTCTCCAGCTTTCAACACCCTTCCACGCACGCATCATGTCCGAATCATCTGTCGCAACTGCTCCTATCGCAGATACTACGATTGCTCCTCCCACTGCTGAAGAAACTGTCAGCGAAGTTGTAGCTGAAGGTGCTTCTGCTGAGCCCCCCACTACTATTGCTGCTGTCGAGGACGAGTTGGAGGCAAAGGACGAACAATCAGCAGAAAAAGAAGCTAAAGAAACCAAAGCGCCTTCTAGAAGGTCGACAAGGATTTCATCCAAGTCTCAACCAGAAACCAAGGAAACTCCCAAGCTCAAAAGGGCTCCCTCGACGAAGAAAAGAGCAGTCGAAGATGGCTCAGAGGGTAGCAAGGCTACAAAGAAGGTATGTTCAAAATTGAAGACTCTTCTTGGTTTTTTTTTTGCCGTAAACCCCTAATCGTAAAAACTTATCTCTTATTGGTTGATTTTTTCTGTTCCTCATTCAACAAACTCATCAACCACCTCTCCTTCATCCAGGTTAAAGCAGATCCCGCAGAAGCTGGTCCGGCGCTCGGCTCTTTCCTTCCCGAGATCACTCTCAAGTCTAACAAGGAGGTCGACGTCGAAGTTGCGTTGCTTGCGAAGGAAAAAGGCGTTGTTCTGTTTTTGGTGCCCAAGGCTGACACCCGTAGGTTAACGTTTCAAGTCATACTCCTTTCCTCTGTGGTATTGTACACCATTCACTTTCCTTGTCCATATAACCGCCCATGTCGTACGCTAATGTCTTGTATTGTATAGCTGGGTGCACAAACCAAGCATGCGGCTTCCGTGACATATATGCCGAATTCACATCGGCCGAGTACGATGTCTATTGTGTCAGCGCTGATCCCCCGGCCGCGCAGAGTAAATGGCAAGAGAAGGTATGTTTCAGGCTATGATTCCTTGTGTTCTACGCAAAAGTTCAAACTCATGTGCCCTGTAGAAATCCCTTCCATACAGCCTCCTCTCTGACCCTGAGCGCAAACTCATCTCGGCATTAGGAGCCAACGACAAAGGCAAGACCAAACGAAGCCATTTCGTTTTTGCTAAAGCCGAAGAAGGTGCAGAGGGCAAAGGCAAGTTAATTGACAAACACATTGGCGTGAAGCCTGTCGATAGGTGAATATCTCCACGGTTCAATTATTTACACTCTGCCCTTTTGGTCCTCCCCTTCTTCTGAACGTAGATTAACCGTCGTTTTATCATCGTCCTTTTCTTCCAGCCCCAAAATCGCGTTGGAGTTCATTCAATCATATGTCCCGATCTCATCCGGTACACCCGTAGAGACTGGCAACGGCGAAGCCAACTCTAACGAACACGCGGGTGTTACAACTTCTAACGGCACCGGATCAAGTACCAAAGAAACTGTATCGATGGAAGAGAGCATCGAAAAGGCCGACGTGGAATCTGCTGCTCCTGCAACTAATGGTAGTGAAGATAAAGATGTGGTTATGGAGGCTGCTGCACCCATTGTGGAAGCTTAAGACACACTACATACCATGCTCCGGGATATGGGCTCAAAACAAGAAACAAAATGTACACGAAGTACCAGGGAACGCTTCTTCCCTCTCTATGTTGTCTTTTACTTACTGCCATGTATCTCTTTCTTCTGTTGTCATCCGAGTCGTCGTTGTCATCGTTTTCGTATCTCTTATCCATATCTATCGTCCCCTACATCAACTTTGCCTCATCCCCCAGTCTCCATCCGCTACTCTTCCTCTTCCCTGGCAGTTTATCTGTTTCTACAGTGTATCATCAACTTCCTCACTTCATCAAATTTCTTCTCAGTATTCAGTATTGTGGCTGTTGACTTTCTTTGCTGTCTACATAAATGTCAAGAAAGACAGTGCACTGCAATCAACACAAGAGATCTACAAGTGTACATTGTATCAATTTCTTTGCTTGCTGTTCTATACTTTTAATAAAGAGTGTATTTGCCAATATGTACTTTGTCGTTTCCTGATATTATAGATGGGACCGGTGTGAAGCAGTTTTCCAACATTTGTAGGGAACTCCAGTACGTACAAATGCGACCGTATGAAGGGAAATTCGACCTAGCTTCGGTCGGTCAGAAAACTGCTCCAGGTGAGTGACGTTTCATCAAGGACATATTGCTCGCATTGCCGTCTTTAAGTACGTAGATAATCCACATCCGGTCATTTGTATGATGAGTACCTCGATACTGGGCTACATCACCCGGCTTCCACCGCATCCTATACCTGCCAGCAGAGCAAGTGGTGCAAACTGAGGAATTTTCCACTGACTCTGAGGCGAATTCTAGAAGACAATGATACTATGAGGATATATAACTTTTAGCAGCCCTCATAACATACATAGACATGAGTGTATCAGTACAAGTACAATTGATTGCTCTTTATGGCGACTCTATTATGGAAATACTATACCATTCTCGGTGGCATAAAATAGCGTGAATAAGTATGTATCCATCGTCAAAATCGTAATGAAATCATTTGTCATCAACCTTTTCAGGCAGCAGTCGAGAAGCAGAAGAAAGAAGAGAGTTGATGAATTTGGGGGAAGGCTACGACTCGATGTCTGTTCTGAAATTCATCGACTTCCTCTGCCTGACTATCGCCCTGGCTCTCTCCATCGTCTCTTTCAATTCCGGACTCTCCCATGATGACTCGAAGGTGGGCAGCGAGGCAGGTGGCGTGGAAGGTGACGAGGAAGGTAATGCAGAAGGTACACCCAGACCCGTGCCATATGGCGGCGGATTGACATTCATACCGGCACCTGTACGTCGACCCAAGTTTACTGTCGCCGAAGAAGCACTGCCCGCAGCGCGTCTCCTCGACACCGAGCCAGATCGCGATAACCTTCCTCTACCACGTTTCCCGAATTCACCTTCACCTTCCTGGTCTTCTTCGATCCACGCTCCAGAGCCATCATCCACAGCATCCTCCTCGACTTCACTCATCACGACGATTTCCCTGCCTAGCGCGCGTTTGCCTTGCTCGATGAGGAAGGACAGCTTACTGCCGAGCGAGTCTATCTGGTCCATCTGGTCGTCTGTATCCGGGTCTATCGCGTCTTGCAGATCCTCTACATGATCTGAACTAACGTTGTTAAACGCCGGACTATGAGTTCGACGCTCTTCCCGGTTCCGTCGTGGGGAAGACTTAACGGAAGAAGAGGAAAAGTCGAACTCCGGTTGGGTTGGTGGGAACAATGCAGACTGGGAACCGGATGTGGAAGGACCGAACGAGGCGATGTTATGTAGGACTTTCCGTGCCGGACGTCTACGAGTGGAATGTGCCTCGTGCGGACGCCGGGACTTGCGTGCAGTACGAGGGGTAGGGGGAATAACATTCACATCCGGTGATGGGGGCGAATACGGTGGTGGTGGAGGAGAAGGGGAAGTTTCTCCTATAGTTCGCTGTTCTGCGTCTTTGCCAGTTCCACGATCTCTCCAGCTATGATTATCATTATGAGCTTCATACTTTTAATGCAACTCTTTTGACTCACAGACGATAGACAGTCAGGCCAACCGCGGTACCCACCAGTGCGGCATTAACGGCAGTCGAGACGATAGAACCTGCTAATGTACGTCGACGTTTGGCAGGAGGATGTTGTAATTGTTCGTCGACTACGGCTTGTTCGCGGACTATGGGAATCCGGTTAGGAACAGGGACAGGAACATGGACACGGTTGCGGTGAAGGTTGAAAAGGATAGAGATTATGAGTTGCATGATAACAGAAGTATAACGAATGAAGATGAACGATAAGCGGATTAAAGGAAGGAGGAAGATGAAGATGAACAGGAGAAGGTCAAAAAAGTCAAAGACAAGGCCGAAACCAAAGTCGAAAGAAGAGGTGAAGGTGAAAGCAAAAGTGAAGGTCAAAAAAGTTATGTGAACGCTGTGAGAAACCAGGATTGCAGGATTGGAGACCGTTTTAAAGAGGCTTATCAGAAATCACATCGTGTAAACGGCCTGGCTTTAATATCAAGTGGGAACCGCGCACAAAATCCATCCGGTAAGCTGACGTTTTGCATGATGAAAGTTAATTGGATGCCTCGCGCCACTGCTAATCGATAACACAGCCGGTGGCATGATCTCTTCAACAGCCAGAAAACAACACGAAAACACGCCTCCGCGTACAGAAGTGGGCAGAAAAACGCGAAGAGAAAGTACATCGAAGGCACCGGAAAGCGCAATGAAATGTCAAAAACTTACCATGGAGCCCATTCTCCTGCTTTGCCATTGCCAATTTGGCTGGTGTATCGAGATATCCATTCGACACAGTGACAAACGTCGGTGCAAGACTCGGTTCAGCAGCAAAGGCAGGTTCCCAACCTCTCTTTCTTGAATTCCCTGCGCCAACTGGACTCGGGGACACTCTTCTTCTCGAGTTCGTGTCCTTTGATGTATTCGATATATTGAGTCCATCTTCCTCTACAAATTTATTGCGACCTCGAACTCTAGTGGTGGACGGTCCAGCTTCGTTCCGTTGATTTTGCTGGTAAGGATAGAGCGGGGGAGCAGAAAAAGGATTTGATAATCCTGGTACGGTTAAGCTAAATGTGAATGTAAATGGGAATGGCATGGGGAAGTTGTCGGGGTGGGACCGTGTTGTATACTGAATGAGTGTTGTCCTGCAGTGCCAGTAGTGGGTTGTTGCGAATTTTCCCAAGTCAGGCGATCCCGGATCGGTCAGGGCCGGATGAGCGCTTATTAGGTTCTTTGTCTTGACCAAGAGGCGAGTGAGATTCAGATCGCGGGTACGATTCTCACGACCCCCCCCCAATTGAATGGAAAGGGCCGTAGAGGCCCGTTGACTACAAGAGCAAATTTCTACAAATCCTTCAATTTGACGACATCTTCCTACATAGGTTCTGCTGGGTTTGTACAAACAGTTTATGAGTATTCAAAAATCAATGACTGAATGAAATTGGCAGAGTTTGTGCCACAAAAAGCCAATGAGAATGGCTGGTGTCGTCATAAAGTTCTAGGCCTTGGGCCTTTCTCGTGGCAACATAAGTACCCGCGATCTGAATCTCACTCGCCTCTTGGTCTTGACAGTACCGTCACGCATCAGCGTAGATCCCAGCCAGGAGTTCCAATTGAATCAATATCTCTCAAGTCTTTTATCGGCCCTCGGTGCTCGCCAATATATGGTATATATCGGCATAACGTTCCCCTATGCACAAATGTAGTTCCTTGGAGCTTTAGGCTACAGCTTTCGCTCTCAGCGCACACCAATGCACACCCTTTCATGGAATTACTTTGCGGTCCTCTTTGGACGACAAATTTCCAGTTGGATCCCTGAAAACTGAGGCTTGTCTGAGGTCGTGCCAGTAATACACAAGGAATTTCGGATGATTCATCGATCGTCAAAGTAAAACAGGGAGCGCAAGTTTCAGAATCATCGCTGTGACTGAGTTGAGTAATGTCTAGCTGTATACTCCTAAACTGCTGGGTATATATTCCATGTGCACACAGTAGTTCTTCATTATTCTAATCCTTACGGAACACTTTCACTCACTTTCTTTATTTCTCTCTACTCAAGGCCTACGCGCCCTCCACCATCTTTCGAAATTTTTGTTCTCCCCGTCAACGGGAAACACTATTCTATCGTTCAATCTAATACACATCTACACTCATTCCAATCCCGCATCATTTCAATCATGTTCTCTTTCGTCGTCTTGATTTCCCTATTCGCTTCGTCCGCACTGGCATTATACATTCCCCCCTCGAACCTCCTACTCGATCAGGACTCTACCGAATACATCGTAGCATCCCTTGCTGCATCCAATAATCACGGCGCTCCTATCCCTCCTGAGTCTGCTGGTTCCACTCCAGGATGGTACTATGGTGACGAACCAGGTTCGGCAGACGGACTTCCGTGGATGAAGGATGTTGTACGTTAACGCCATGTTTTTGATATGTTCGAGTCTCATCAATCTCATTCATTTTTCGCAACAGGATTTATGTGCAGTTCTCGCGCAAACTCCCAATGCTCTTCGCTGTCCTACAGCCACACCAACGCCAACCAAGTCGTTGCCAAAACGCTCTGCAGCTGTCGCCGCTGCCACAGCTTCTGCCTCTGCTACTGCCTCCGCTACTCCTTCTTATTACACCGTATTCAGTGGCCTCACAGGTGCTATCTCAGCTTCAGGTTATCTAACTTATGGCTTAGTTGATACCGTTGCCAGTAAGCTACCTCTCTGCCGATAATTTTTAGCATCTAAGCAAAATTTCAGACTGTGAGGCAATGTGCAACAAAGTTTCCGGTTGTGTTTTCGTCAATTGTACGTTCGTTGTACCAAACCTCTTACTAAATAGCACTTACTCATCTCCTCAGCCTACCACGATGTGAATGGCAAAGTAAGTCTTATTGCAATGTCTCACAACGTAAATAATTCTGATGTTTTATTCTTTTTAGAACGGCAGTCCTTTGCTCACATGCTCGCTATACTCCAAAGTGCACACTGCATTACAAGCCAAGAATTACGGAGGGCAGACTCAGCCCGATGGTTCCGTCGATTACATTACGAACAGTGATGGCTATGCCTTGAGTACCTGATATTTTCTCTTGCAGCTCACTAGTTCAGATCGTGCTCCTTTTACAAAATTCCCCGCACCGTCTTTTATCTCTTTGCCTGCGAATATTTCGCGATTCGTATTGGCCGTTGTGCGATGATCTGACTTGGTATACGCATTATATATTATAGCATATTAATTTCACCTGCCCTAATCGCATATACGTTTGTTACTACTCTACAATCTCAAATTACTGCAACATTACTCCTTACCTATTCAATGTATGCAACAGTTATACAACGTATATTCACATCTATATTATGACAATAACTTTATTCACGATTATGCTCATCAAACAATATGAACATCTCAATCGTCTCCATATCATAACCATAATTGACCATTTTCTCCGCTGGGATTGTCGTTTAGTTCCCCAATACTCAAGGATTTCCTTCAAAACCCTTCAAGGCGTCGACACTTACGCACCCTTTTCAAGGAGATTTCCTGGATTATTCGCCGCTGCTCTCGAAGGCTTTCGATTTAGCAGTTGCAATAGGGTGCTCCGAAGCCTCAAGCCCTTCGAATTAAAATTATCATTGCAAACGGAGCACGCCAATCGAGCACTACTCTTTTGCGGAGAAAATTCGTTATTCTCGATCCTTGACAGCTGGAAAATAAACGTATGATACCCAGACCAGCTGTTGATCATCTTTGGAAAAAAAGACTTCAAGGAGAGTGATCGGAAGGCGCCGAGGCCCGATGAGAGTTGGGCGGCTGGCGGAGACGTGACCGTGTGAACTTTACATCCCGGACCCAAGAGAGTGAATAATTCTCCTGGAGGTTGAGTCGTACCGAGGGCTACTACAGGCTCCTTCTTGCACACTACGCTAGTACTATCACACATATCCGTCATTCAGATCGGCCTCGGCTTTGATTTTTGTAGCTCCCAAACGACTAAACTTTTCGAGCTCGGGAGGAAGGATATCTGTGTACCTGACTGCATCCAAGGTCCAGTAATCGGAACTGTGTATTTTTTCTTCTCTATGATCAGTTATGTTTTCTAAAGGTCTAGATCCGATTAGCCATTCACCAATGAATGATGCCTTATACGAAAAAAACTCAACTTTTATCGGGATCCGATTGTTCAAAGCGGCTGTGATCAAGTTTTTTCGTTCGTTCAACTGTCAGCATCTGCTCAAGCGCTCAATCCCGGGACTGTTCTCCGCCCTGCGATCGTCTTATGGCCCTGAGCGGGCGAGGGATTTACTCCTGGCCGCAAACCCGCCTTAGTACTCGTCAAATTTTCCCCGGACCAAGGCTTGGACTTCTTTCTACCCGAGATGCTTCACATAGCAAGGTCATTTTCTTGGACTAGTGCTCTCAAGTTGCTTTGAGCTGGATTGTTCATGCGACGCTCGTACTTACTTGTAATCGGCGTCGTTGTTTGTTTGTTCGTTTTCAAGGGGCGTCCTGCGCATGTGGCCTGACCGAGGCCCGATCACCAACGATCTTGTCCGCCGCCGGACAGTCCACTCTCGATTTTGTTGTTCGCGTTTCCAATACTTACTCTTCTTGCCCTATCACCTTTACCTGAATACCCCTGGAGTTTTGCATATAAAGACCATGGACTTCCTCGTCCAATTTCTCATTCTCCCCGAGTCCTACAACCCGAGCTACCACAGAAAAGGCGTCTCCCTCCTCTTTCGCTCCTCCCGAAATGCGATCTTCTCTGGTTTTTGTAGCGCTCGCATCCACCTCTCTGGCAAGATACCACGCTCCTTTGGACATTCATCAGGACCCTGAGTCCACTGAGGCTATTGTCTTCTCTCTTTCTGCGTTGAACAATCACGGCGCGCCTATACCACCTAAATCTTTCGGTTCTCGTCCTGGGTGGTACCTTGGCGACGATCCAGCTTCGGCAGACGGTCTTCCGTGGCTGAGGGACATGGTGAGCCGTCTACTGACTGTTCATTAGATGACATACTAATATTCTATTTTTTTTTCCGTTTGAAGGACTTGTGTGCAAGCCTTGCTCAAAGTGCGAATGCTATCAAATGTCCACCCATTAAAAAGAGTGCGACAAAAACACTTCCCAAACGTTCTGTTTCCGCCGCTCCCACCACAACAGCGGCGACGACGCAATCTACATCTACACCTTCATATTACACAATTTTTAGCGGCCTTGATGGAGCTATTGAAGGCTCAGGCTATCTAACGTACGGACTCGTTGATACCATTAGCGGTAGGCGTCATCCGTCGTCTTCTTCACCTGCAAAGGCTAAACATCCTTTCCAGATTGTGAATCAATGTGCAACAGAGTTACCGGTTGTATTTTCATCAACAGTGCGTTCCATCGTTACCCTCTGCTCTGATTCTATATGCTGATATATTGAATGTCATTTTAGCGTACCATGACGTGAATGGAAAGGTTAGCTCGGTCATTTGAACTCACAAGAATAAAGCTAACTTTTTTTCTTCTTGATGTAGAACGGAAGTCCTGAACTGACTTGTTCGTTATACTCGGAACTTCATACTTCGGCGGAGGCTATTAACAAGGGAGGACAGACGCAACCCGACGGTTCAATTGACTATGTCACGGACAGTGATGGCTACGGTTTAAGCTCTTAATCTTCACTTCTTCAAGGGACATACATAGTATAGAACTTTTAGGTATTCATTTTTGTTTTCGCGGATACATATCGGTACCTGCATCTCTTCAGCGCAAAGCGACTTGTGTACTTCTTAATAGGTTTTCGTGACTTCTTGCATCTGGATATCAATTTTCTGTACTGTACAGACTGTCTTTACTGGATAATATGTTATTAATACGACTGCATTCTCGAAGTGAGACCTCGAGAAACTGTCCCATTTTTATGTAATTGATGATACGCCACAGCTTGACTTTCCTCCTCGCGCTTTCAGGGATCTCTTCTTTCACCATACGCGAAGGTTATAATCTCTACCCGAAGGATGAAATCACTAGAAGTTGAAACTCACGTCAGTCTCAGTCAGGAGCAAGGATTGATATCAGCTTGGAGCTCTTCCTCGTCAGTGCGTGTTTCATTTTTGAAGCCAAGCTCTTTTTAACGTACTCACTACGAAAAAAATAGTGGCGTTTTACGCTAAATCCAACCTCAACCTCCAAAGAGCGTTCAAAGGCTTAACTCTCAATTTCTATGCATGCATTATATAGAAGGAGGTCAAAGTTCGAAACTAATCTCGAATGCTTGAGCAGTACTCCTTTTTACCTTGCACCTCAAATAAGACAAGGATATACATTGCCAAGATTACGACTATGAGCTAATTATGAATCGGGAGGTCTAATCCTCTGACTATATAAGCGTTGTATTTTCTTGTTCCTCTCAATCTCATATCCTCCGTACTTGTGTCCGACACAATTCCACGTTCATCTTGTCAGATATGGCTCGGACTTGCGTTCTACTCGCGCTGCTCTTCACATCGACGCTTTCTAGATATTTACCTCTTTTCGATGATTCTGAATCTACAGAGGCTATCGTCGCTTCACTTTCTGCTCCCAACCACCACGGGGCGCCTTTTCCGCCTGGTTCCTTTGGCTCAAGTGCTGGGTGGTATTATGGTGACGACCCCTCCTCAACTTTAGTTGATGGTCTTCCGTGGTTAAAAGATAAGGTATATCAGCATCCTGATATTTTCACTACTCATTTCATCGTCTGATATGTTTGTCTTTACAGGACTTGTGCGCGGTCCTCAAGCAAAGTCCTGACGCTATCCAATGCCCCATCGTTAAAGCAAAACCGACCAAAACCTATGGTAGACGATCAGCTGACGCAACCGACTCTACGGCTACCGCTACAACAACTCCTACACCGTCATATACCGCGGTGTTCACAGACCTTGATGCATCCATCGAGGGCTCCGGCTATATAACATATGGCCTAGTTGATACCAATTCTGGTATGTTGGGACTGCTCAATTAGTATATTGTGGCTTATCGCTAATGTATACTTGAATCCTCTAGATTGTGAGACATTTTGTAATACCGTCTCGAATTGTATTTTCCTCAATTGTACGTTTTCTTGTGTTGTAACATTGCTCGCTATATTCACTCGTACTATTTAGCGTACTACGATGTGAATGGCAAGGTAATGTGCTACGTTCATTTGAGAGCTTACACGAACACTAACTTTTTCTTTTTCAGGACGAAAGTCCCAAGCTCACCTGTTCCCTGTATTCGGTAGTACACACTGCGGCAGAAGCAACAAATAAAGGCGGTCAGACAGAGCCTGATGGATTCATGGACTATATCGCGAATAGCTCAGGATATGCCCTCGTCACATCATGATTATATATGAGCAATTTTCGCATAGTACGGACATGAAGAGTTGTGTTTCAGAACATGCTATGGACTTCTTCTGTACGAATTACGTACTAAGGACATTCTTAATGCTCATTATCTGTTATGATTTTGTGTATTGCAATTTGTCCACCTGCTTGTCACGCATCTATTTTGGTTTTTTTCTTGTCGTCCGTTTGGTGTTTTATATCTTCCTAACATTACCTTACATTTACTCGGTTTTCTATCGATTACTCCATCATCGGACTCCACGACTTGCCCTTGTCCTTATCCCACAGTTTCTTTGCATCCTTAATGACCGTCAGTAAGACATCAATTTCATCAATTTCACTGCCTTCTCCATTTTGGTCTGAGGAAATCTGACCCTCTCTTCTCCCCCTTGCTTCATGTACGTCGGCAATCTTCTGAAAGATATGCGCTGCTCCTTCGTATATACAACTAATCTCATCTAAACCCTCATCCTCGGTGAACCTTGCGACCTCTTTCATCTCTCCCACAAATCGATATGCTTTCGGTGTCATTTGCGGAACAAGGCGTATCATCTGGTCGATGAAGGTCGATTGGGAGATGTGTAGGGAGTGCAGAAGGCCTTGCGATGTTGATGGCGACGAATTATAGGAAGCTGGTATTGCGAGTCATAATTAGCTGTCTTTTTGTGGAACGAGAGATAACCCTACCAAGAATCATGGAAGTGAACAATGCAATAGCACCCTTGACGATTCCCTATGATAAACACATTAGCAAGGAAATCAGACACTAACGTAGATTGAGTCGAACGTACAGAATTTGCCATCTTCACTGCGCTCGCGTCGCCTATCCCAGTTCCTTCGCCTTTCAGACTAAACGGTTGCAGTCCGTATTTTTTCAATGTCACTTCTACCTCGTCGAGAACTGCTTCATCATTTGGATTCGCGCAGATATACAATCCCGGATTGTACACTTCTGAAGGGGGACCTCCCACGATAGCACCGTCGATGAACGTCGCGCTAGTATTGACAAACAATTTTGCCATCTGCTTCGCACTTGAAGGGTTTACCGCATTACAGTCAATGAATACAAGTTTCGTTCGAGCCTGAGATGAAGTGGTTTCTTCAGCATTGGAAATTTTCACTGTATCAGCGATGATCTCCGCGATCGCAAAAGCGTCTTTAGGGGGGACTACACTAAGGATGTAAGTTGTTCGAGAGACGATATCGGCGTAAGACGTGTCCTTCATCCCGCATTCTATAGCGCGCTTGCAGGTTTCTGGAGATCTGCCGTCTAGGTTGGTTAGAATTGGTCCAGCTCCAGCTTGGAATAGACGATGTGCAATTTGGGAGCCCATCGCGCCAGCGCCAATGACGGATATGATAGGATTAGCACTTTTGAGGATGTCGGATCCGAGGTGGTTGGGAGTGTCCATGATAAGGTATAGGTAATGAGCAAGGTCAGTCACCGAGCTCGGATCAGAACCTCGGAGCACCGCTACTTGGAAATGGTAAAAGTACCATTCATAAACAATGAAAGCCAATGAATTACAGACAACATTTGAGACGTGATACGATGCGAATGTCCAATGTATGTTACAAGACAAACAGTGCATAGAAGGATGTATTGACAATTGGAACTCCATTATCACCATTGAGCCCCTTCGAGAGCTACTTCAACTTCATAGTCCCGAACAGATGATTGAGATCAACCCATCTCCATGCATATTCATCCAGGTATTTCCTAGCACATATGGACAGATGCCGCAGTAGCTCGGAGTGTCTAGCCGCTAAAGCTCCGACACTTTCTAGTTCGGCTGTCCCAGCAGCGTTCTTGACCGCTCGCTCTCCGTCAACAAGGTAGGTGTAATAGCGAAGCTGAGTGTACATCTTCTCATCTGAATACTAGAAGGAATCACTATGTATAGCAACAACACTATGAGAGAGTATTCAACATACCTCAAATACAACTTTGTTAAAACATCCGGGGCGTAGACATGTTCGACCATAAATACCCATCATTCGCGTTCTGTAGCCACAGGTTTGGTCAGAGCACACGACCCACCGCTGGTAGAACAGCGAAATCTGCTTTCTGATTTGCGTCTCCATCTGTGCCTGCAGACTAGGCAGAGAAAGGGGAACATTGCATGACGGGCATAACGGACCCTCAGGGCGGAGACAGCAATCCTTTAGGAAGAAGGTTAGCCGTTCAGTTGGAAAGTGTCATAAGAAATAGGACACACAGGATCATTGAGCGGTCTAAACTCGAAAGATCCTTTGCAATTCTTGCAAGTCACGGCAAACGGATACACCTCCTTGTATCGCTCCTTGTCGGATTTCAACGAGTCGAGCGATGTAAATGAATTATCTTCCGACGACCCGGTAGCAGCATAGCCGCGATATTTGCTCACGTCCAGGCCTAGATTGAGATGAACACTGCTGTAAGTAAACAAGTATGGACCAAACACTCACCAAGGCATTCTGCGAGATGCGCCCGATCAATCCCTTCAATCTCCTCGCAGAGTCGCTGGACAGGTGGAAGAATTTGCTGGGACAGATAATAATCCGCATCTGAGAGCAAAAAGCGGTGAATACGCGTTCAAGAACAAAACAAAAAGGTAAAGACCAATTGTTAAACCGGACCCAACTCTGCGAACCTCATCCCGATGTCGAGCCCTATCAGACTGACTGGTCTTTGTAGATTGTTCACCTTCGGCCAAACAAAACACATATGGAATAACATCCCCTGCACGAGCATTGCCACCCTTAGCCTTCATCTTCAAAGCTACCTGGACATGGGGCTGCCCCTCTGCCTTCGGATAGTCTTCTGGGTTTTTACCGAGTCGCTGTGGTATTCCATGCCATTTGAGTGACCGGACGACACATTCCAATTATCGACATACCTTGTTAATCACATATGCATCCAATTGGTATGTTCCTCCGCGTACGTTTTCCCCAACACTAGTCAGATAATCATGAATTTGTTCGACTACTATTTCGGTAGCTTCTCCAGATAGAATTCGTTCTAGCACGAATCTGAGTCATACACAAATAAGTTAAATTAAGTTTGATAAGAACGAGAATTCACGCACTGAGACACGTTCTTCGACAATGTACAATACTCTCGACGCTTCATATCCAAGCCCTTCACTTCAATCGAGGTTTCAGCTCCATTCTCCACCTTTACTGCTGCATATTTCTTCTTCTGCAGCAGCAGCAAACGTTGGAAAATCGCGTCAAGATCGATTTCAAGTTTTCTGTAACGCTCGTTGACCACCTTCTTGAATTCATTCGAAATCCGAAGGGCCTCAGAAAGCTCGGAAGCGTTAGAGTTGACGAAAAGAGAATCGGTATCACCATACAGAACCTGAATGTAAAGTATTGTGAACAAATGTGGGGAACGGCCAATGACAGCAACTGAACTTACATCGAGGTGCATGGTTTCCGCGAGTTCCTTAGTATGCTGGAGAATCTCTCTACCCATATGTGTAGTTAATGCAGCAAGCGGGCGGGCGTAGAATCGAGAGTATTCGAATCCCAGGCATCCGTACATACTGTTTGCTGTGAGCTTCAATGCCTTCTGTTTAATATCCCACTATAATGCGAATTGTGAAGAGGGTGTCACTGGAATCACAAAAAGGTTTGCATACCTGAGCTAGTTGGGCATCCGTCGCAGTTCGATCTTTCATTAGCGATTTGACCTGCTTACGCCGATTGACCAACGTGGCAATGATTCGAGGTAGAACGCCCTGAGGCACATCACTCCCTGGTAGATCTAGTTGTCCCTCTTCACCTGCCTGGAAAAGAATCGCATGATCAGGACACGTCCGGCAGGTAAAAACGAAAGAAACAAACATCAATTTCCTCAACATCTGTCTTGTCTATCGTTGTAAAGTCGATGTTATATTCTTGTATGATACTGGGGTATAGGGAATTGAAGTCCATGACCAACACATAACTATTCCATAGGCCTTTCCGTGGGTCTAGAACCAAGCCGCCCTTGTACTTGTCCTTCTTGCCGTTCTTTCCCTTTGGTGCATCTTTCTGTGCTTCTGGGTCGTCTTCCACGGGTTCCACCTTGACTGGCGCCGCCTTTTTACCCCAAGACTTGTCGGGGCAAATAAATTTGAGTCGATGGAACTCGTGTAAAAGAATGTACTCATTTCGCTCTGCCCGACCACCGTTGAGTGTCTTGTTCCTACAAATAAGGTTTCTTGAGTGCTCTGAGTGAACAAGCGAGATGAGAAGCCTTACCATGAGTTCCCAGCGAGGTTTGTCAATTGTTTCGTGAGAGGCAGAATCTGGACTTTGGCAGCGATAGCCATGTGGTAGTGAGCATCGAGTTCGCAGTGGCGGACGAATGTCATGAGCCGATCGGGATTACGGATGCTACCATCAAAGTAGCTAGCCGTGTCATCCGGATCGATCTCCTCTCTGTCGCTCTTCAACTGAGATTTGCACATCTCCGTCAGGGACCAGGTGGTGGAAGTAATCATACTCTGCATGATGCATGAACAAACGGGGTGAAAATTCGAGAGAAATGAACCCACCTTAGCTGCATCACTACTTAGATCACACAACATCCTGCCAGTGAGAAATTTAATATTCGTCCCCTGTTTTCCTATGCGAGGCCAAGCCGAGCGCCTAAACCGACCGATGCGAGACCAGTGGTCGGCTTTCAAATCTCGCATGCGATGTAGCAGGACGTCCAGCGAGACACCGAGGAAATCATGGCCAACGATGATATCAGGATCGTTTTTTTGAATGGAAACTAGGATGGGAAACTAGGATGAGAAAACACTCCGGAGATATTAGTGAAGGAAGCTACCAAGTAGAGCGTTAAGCAGCATGCGTTCATTCTTCATCGGTGAGATAAATCCTTTACCATTAGCCCTGGCGGAAGCTTCAAACCCGGATGGGAAATTGTCCAATGGGCGGACAAAAGTCTGAACGGTGCAAGGAAGATGCTCAGGGGGTGTGGTACCATCGATGATCACTAAAAAGCAATTAGAATGAAGACATCATAGATTCATCTGATGTCTTACTATCACGCCATGTCCGAGCAGCTACACAAACGACTTCCCGTTTATTTTCTCGATGGTTGACAATAGTACGCACGCTGAGACTCATAACGTTCAACGGTGGTGTTTCTTTCGGTACATTGTCATCGGAGTCTGATACGGGGTTGAAATCCTTTGGGTCGTCCACAACGACCTCAAGCTTGCACCACGACACCTATGAAGAAACAATCAGTACCGGAAGATGTTACATTTGGGAAGAGAGCGTACTCCAGCGTTGTCGATCTGTGGATTCCGAATCTGAATCCAGCAAGGACCCATAATCTTCCTCTTGAGAACAAGTAGTTCAAAGGCGGAGGTGTTGGTCCCAAATATCTTGGCAATATTAGGGCTTTGAGCGTCGCTAGGTATTTCCTTGTCTATAAATCAAATTCAGGATCAGCACTGAAGAGGCAAAAACCAAATAGTTTTACCAGTGAAGTGGTATGCGACTTTCATCCATGTAGTCTTCTTCCTCGGAATGTTTGGATCCCCGAACGCGTACTGGCGTTCGACAAATTTGCCTTTGAACTTCTTAATGTCCCGTTTGGACCGTATAGCATCAAAGTCCTTGTATACGTCTGTCAGCTCAGGCACCTCATCCGTGTCATACCACTCGTCGTCTTCCCCCTGCTCCGCGCGTTTTTCGCGCGGAAGAATGAAAAGGTTTCGTTCCAAGTTCTTCACAGCAACACAACATGAAACCCAGGCACCAGATTTTTTATCCTTGAGCTTTCCTATGAAGAAAAGCTCACCTTGATGCTCGAGATAATCGACCCAGAAGAACCGCAACGAGCCGTCAGGCTCGAGCGCAGATACGTCGGAAGACTTTATTGAGGAAGTATTAGTGGCCAGAGGTCCAAGAGGGTCTTCGGAAGACACGGTAAGTGAATCGTATACCGCGAGCCACGACGCGGGTTTCTTTTCGTCCAGGTGTTCCATTCCGGGGGTTTCCACAGGAACAGACGCGACCGGTTTCATATCAACATCATCTTCTACCGCCATGAACGCGTCCATATCGATATCGTCGAACGACTCATCACCTGGAAAGTCGTCTTCGTCTGTCTTCACATCGATCTGAGCCAGGCGCTCTGTCGCGGGAAGGAGGCCTTCGGGTTCTGTCTTAACGCGTTTCCGCGGACTTGAGAGGAAGTCGTCGCTAGAAGGAGCTCCATAAAAGTCGTCTGGCCCATCAGATGAGGCGTCTGTGTATGATGGTCTTTTCCGGTATGGTGCTGGGGATGAATTTCCGGAAGTGTCGTAATCCGGAGATGTCTTCCGTTTGCGCGACTTGGTAAGAGATGGAGCATTAGTTGGCAGGGCGTCGAGTTCTCCAAAGAGATTCAACATAAAATCGTTCTCTTGATCAGCTGTGACCTTCTTTCGATAGTCATTGAAGGATGGCGCTACTGGTGGTGGAGCAGGAGCTTTGGCCTTGGTTTTTGATTTCTCTTTCGAATTCTTCTTGGCTATAGTAGAATTAAGTCGAGCTATTAAGTAGTAAGCAGGAGTATAACATACATTTCTTCTTCTTAGTTTCTTCCATTTCCACGTCCGAATCGCGATATCCCTCATCTTCGTCAGACCAGTCGTCCATTCCATTATCCGCATAACCATCTACACCATCATCTTCGACAAAGTCGTCTCGTTGAAGCCTCCCTTTTACAATCCTCTTATACGCCTCCTCCGAAACTTCGTCGTATATTGTTACATCTTCTTCCTCCTGCGAAGAAAGTCAGCTAGAGCTTGATAACTCGACAAAACGCGTCTTACCTTGTATTCACGGCGCCCTCCTTGCCTAGCGAGCTTGAGCGCTTCAAGAGCTGCAAGTTTTCCGTTCTTGTGGCTCATAAGTATTGGCGCAGATGTGGTACGCTGGTAATGGGAGGAAAGTCTGAAGTCACAACTCGGTAACAGCACGTGCATCTCAGGTGCGCGAGCTACGGCCCCCGTTACTCCGAGCCAAGCCACAGCCCGTCAACGACTACAACTATACGCAAGAACATTGCAGACTCTGACTATAATATGCAAACTCGAGGCTTTTTGCGGCCTTATATGTCCAACAGTGTACCATTCTACATCTTCCATCGAAAAATCCTCGTTCGAAATATTTCAAAAGAAGGCTTCGTACGTAACTGGACAATGAATCCCTCGGATTCTGGGCAGCGATTCAGTATAAGAACTCTGCCTAGATCAACTAATTTTCAAATCCCAGGCTTGGATTTACTGTAGCCATGGTCCCCTCTACGTCTTCACCGACGGCTTCACTAGCACCCTCTGTACCCGGATTGGGGAGAGTAAAATCTCTTGTACGGGCCAATTCGATATACCAGAACATGATTGGAAGAATCCAGAGGCAACGATCTTCGGACAACAACAGCCTTCTTTCATTCCAAACCCCACATCTCCAAGAACGATCGACCCAAATCTTGTCTCTTGAAAACCTCATGTCTTTTGGACTCGGTTCAGGTCCATATGGCGAACCAATACGACACATCATGTGCGCCAACCAATCTACGCGTGTTCGAGCGCAAAGGAGATGTACAGAGCAAGGCTTCATATCGTGTCCTCGAGTGAGTATGATTAGATACCTCGTGATGAATGGAACTCATCCATCAATAACCGTTGCTACTACAGTGTCAATTAGTGAAAGTCAGTTCTAAAGTCTATGTGTCTGATCTCATTCGAATTATCTATTTTCAGTATTGCTCGGAAAGGTGCCAGAAACAGCACTGGCCTCGACATAGTTCAATTTGTGCGCATCCCTATCTTGAAGGGAATTGGCAACCAGAATGGGTTTTACAGGAACGGCCACCCTCATTCGCATGTTCCTCTGCCACTTTCTCTCCCTCTTCATTCATATTTCCCGCATTCGATGCTCTGAACCTGACCCAGAACGAAGGTATAGAGTCCACAGATAAGAATTATAAGCTCTGCTTCGCAGGTCAGTCTCCTTCCTTTGGAGGATCTCTTGCACTTTTAATGCTTACTCTGCGGTCCATAAGCCTGTGCGGACATTAGGAACCTAATCGAAACAGTCAACAACCTCCCCTCAAACTACCAAGGAAGATTCGATGTTCTCATAAACAACTCTGATCCGATTATCATAAACCGCGACCTTGTCATCCTCTACGCTCTTCTCAACCCAGAACCTTCCATCGACGAAGCAGCAGAGCTCGCAGTTCACCTGATGTACTCCGCCGCCCTATCCGCCCCTAGCGCCGCCTACCTTCAACGTTGTCTTGACGATGTTTACGGAAGCCAGTACGATGGTCACACCGGCGACTTTTCCTTTCGAACATGCTTGAGTACACGCGGTGAAGGAAAAATTTGTTCATTGCAGACTGTCGCCGGGGTTAGATCGCCACTAGAGATGTTTATGTCGACGTATAATTTGGCTGTAGCGCTCAAGAATCGTTGGAAGGTGCTTGCTGCTCCTGAGAACGTGGACACCTGGGATCGATTCCTTTCGAGACTGAGGCCCAACCATCGGATGGCCTTCAAACGGTTTCGAGAGACTGGTGTACTGGCTCCGTTTGCAGTTGATACGAGCAGGTTCACGCATCCAAATCGGTATGTTGATATTTCGCGCTCAAGTGATAGTATTTGACATTGAACTCCTTATTCTAGTCTCATGTTTTCGTCCCAAGGCACCTGGCTGGGCAAAGGTGACTTCAACCCTCTCCAAGGCTGGAATGCCACCTTGATCCAAGTATCTGGAGGTAAAATCGCCATGATAGAATCCGCCGACATCTTTGGATGTCTCTTCTTTTATCTCAAAGACCAATTTCGCCGTTTCGCATACCAAGTCAAGAATCTTAACGTCAACTTCGTCCTGACCCAATTTGACCCCCAGATCCTTGCCAGGGGCATTTCGACGGGCGTTATACCGATTTTCGAGGGTGCATGTTTCGATAGGGTCGATACGAAGGATATGATGGATGATGTTGGAATTGAAGCATGTTTGGCCGATTGGGGTCCTCTGTTGAATCGTGAAAACCGGTTTGCTTCCCTGTTGATGCATTCGAGAGCCTGGCACTCTGAACGACCGTATGCTCTGGCGCGGTGTAATCCCCGTGCAGCACTGATGTTATTCATGCACAAATGCTTCAAAATTCCTACACTAGTGAGTGTCAAACCATGTACGTTTGACGATAAGTTAATAAACTTATCTTGACATGACAGAACAGCAAATTGAAAGATGTCTTTGCGCAAGGTCTGCGTTCTCCTGCTCTACTTCGACTCATAGAGTCATTGGACGCGTTTTACGACCACGACGATATCTTTCAAGAGTTCCTTGATGCTGGAAACACCGGACCTATCGCTGCCGCGTTTGATCTCGGGCTCCGACCTCATCACAAAGTGCATCCCAAAGTAAGTGTCCTCATCGTATTCCAAGATTTCAACTCATGACCTCCCTTTCTTCGAAGCGTTTCGGTGTCCCGCTGGACGCTTGCGCCCACCAAATGCCTGATGTCTCCAAAAGCCAGTTCTATGATTTGGGTGAGTGTAGCATGTTTCGATATCGTGTTTCGCTGACCTTTTGTTCAGCGTCACTCTGTGAAGTTGATTTTTCAGCACGTTTCTTGGAGTTTGGTTGGTCTCCCACTTCAACAACTTCTCAGTATGTCAAAGGTGTAAACCAACAATAACAGCCTGTTCTCGACGCACACGGGCTACTGAAGATTGCAGCCCAGTGTTCCATGTTGTTTTCGCCTTCAACAAATTATGAACGACTGAAGAGATCGAATAACTTGAACTGATAGAAGCAAAAGTCACATTCGACTTGGGGGATAGTACAATGTGGGCGATATGGAAAATAATCTATTGTTTCTCAGCGTTTGCCTTGGTAATCAACCAGGGAGGTTGTACCTCAAAGAAATAGATTCAGACCGTGATGGACGCGCGAGATATAAAGATAATGAATACGACAAACCTTGCAAACTTCCAAGTTCCGACGGCTTTGAACATCCGAGCTCAGTAAGAACATGATTGCCTTCTCCTAGGCCAAGCTCTAGCTGGGAAAAGAACGCCCTTTCTGTTTATCGAACATAGGGATACCGTCTCCTGCCTAACGGTGTTGAGAGAGCAGAGTTAGAATCAAATGACTACCTTCGAAATAAGTCTAAAATCACATGCTGTAGTTGAACATCAAACTCTAGCAACCTCTTCTACACCCCTCGCATTGGGATAGGTCCAAACTGCTTGAATGCGACCAAGTGTGGGGCATGAAAAAATCTGCTTGGCCTAAAGCTGATAAAAGCCTACCTCACGGCTTTATGTAATTGTCTGTGGTGCTTACAAATCCCGTTTCAACGCGTCTGCACAGTGCAAATTGACCTTAATGTTGGCGCGAGACCTGCAGCGCCACATCGTACAGCGTGCACACTTCTCTACTACTACCAATAATGAAGTTAAAAAGAGACTTCGATCTCTGCTGAGAGAATCAGCTCAACCAGTAGCTGTTGTAACGTCTCTCTTACATTATAACGATACATCTCCCAACGACTACCACGGCGCTACCTTATCATCATTCTCCTCTATCGCCTTGGACCCATATCCTTTGGTCGCGTTTTCGCTCAGAATACCTTCGCGTATGGCCACTTCCCTACGTAGCGCTCATCCGGATCCTCCGTCCGACATGGTTGTCAATATCCTCTCTGCAACCCAGGCACCGACAGCTGTTCTGTTTTCTAGGCCGGACTTGCATCCGAACCCTTTTCAGGAAGTCGAGTTTACACTAAATCGCGAAGGGATACCGGTCCTAGAAGGCTGTCTAGGTGCACTATCGTGTAAATTGGCAACAAATCCAATATTGTTGGATGATCCGGGGTTTTCAGGAAGAGATTTCGAGAATGACTCGCGGTCGGGGTCGGGAGATGCTGAAAGCGAGAACGAGATTTCCCCTCCCTCTATTACGTCCGAGCTTTTCATCGCCCGAGTAACTAACATCGAGAGATTGGCCTTGGACGAAGCAGACACCAACGATCCACAAACCATGCCTCTTCTATATCATCGTCGCAACTACTTGACTTGCTCTTCTAAATACCTTTTGGATTACCAGAAGCCTTGAAGGTGTCACGCAAGCACCCAAAGTCCAGACCAATGATTAATATAGCTGCAGCACTGAACCAGGTGTGTGTCCATGCAATATACATATCTGCATATCTCCCAAAGTCTCATAGATTTGCCCTTCTCATCCATCTCGACGTGGGACGGATGACGCGAATGTTCTTGTACAAGTCGCCATTATTTTTTGATCGGAAAGCGATGCACAAGGATTTCAGACCTGGATTCGTCGTTGTTTGCAAAATTGCAGTGGGCGTATACCCATTTTATTTCCCTTGTATGCTCGTATCGATTAAAGGTGGTTTATACTAATTGTAAGCTTCGTCCGTGTCTTTCGTACGTCCGTGTCCGATTTCCGGATTTGAACCCAGTACGGCTCATAGTTGTACCCCCGGTTAAGCTAATAATGGCCAACTTTACTCCGGCATTTTTCGTTTTCTTTCCCTCTTTGACCGCTCATCATTCTCCTGGGTTCGACATAAATAAAAGTCTAAGATAGACGTCGACCTCATGAAGAATGACCAAGAGAATAAGACTACTGTTGCGTCTCTTTCACCCGGTGCCAGCACGATCTTCGTTGAACCCGAAGTCGAAGATGTCATACTGAAACCGGCCGAGGGGGTTCGAGAATCCAACATCGATCCGATGCTCCTCAGTTCTTCGAAACGGCCGAATTCGAAAGAGTATAATGTGAAAGAAGGTGTAGCTGAGATTGAAATCGAGTCCACTGAGCAACATGACCCTCTGTATGTGAGTCAAAGCGCTTTGTGGAATTCTGCCTTTCAGCTCTTGCGCTAATCTCGTCCTGGGTCCGGCGTTCTTGTTGAAGATCGAATTTGAACAAGGAGATCTTCGCAATCCAATTAATTTTTCGCGTTCGAAAAAATGGGCAATCACCGCCCTAGCGTGTTTCTCGACTCTCTTGGCTTGTAAGTCTCATTGCTCTCGCTCTCGATCCTTTGTGCTAGATAATATATACTGATCATATATTCCATGACATTCCTCCTCATGATCATCCAGCCTCGAACGCAAGCACTTACAACCTAGGTTTCGATTCAATGATGGTCGACTTGAACTGTACCGAGTTTCAGGCAACAGTAGGCCTCAGTCTTTACGCGTTAGGATTTGGTATAGTTCCTCTTGTGACGGCTTCTTTCAGCGAGGAAGTCGGAAGGCAACCGTTGTATTATATCTCAGCTACTGGGGTTTTGTTAATGTACATTGCAATTGCATTGTGAGTACCGCCGCCTGCCACATCCTGTGAACGATGTGTTGAAACCAGCCATTCATAACCTGACTTTTCTATACTTTTCCTTAGGGCTCACAACATTCAAACGGTCCTTATAGCCAGATTCATTCAAGGAGCATTTGGCTCCACCTGGGCAACTATGGTTGGTGGCACCATCGCGGATATATGGCAGTCGTATGAGTATGTCATTTCATTTGTTGACCCTACGATTATTTATACTCTTATCTCTGGTACGTCCTCTATTAACCAGACGGGGTCTTCCCATGTCATTTTTTGCCGTCGCAGCCGTAGGTGGTACTGGCTTTGGACCCATCTACGCTGGATGGGTAGAGATGAATCCTCGACTACAATGGCGATGGATACAGTGGATACAGATGATGTATGTCACATCTCTACGTACTTACTTCGACCTTGGATCTCCACCCTCACACAGTTTTAGCGTAACCGGCTTCTACTTAGTCCTTGTCCCACTCATTATGAAAGAGACGCGTTCGTCTATAATTCTAATGCGTATAGCCAAAAGAATGAGGAAGGAGACTGGAAACCCAAGATATCGTGCTAGAATCGAGGACGAACGTGTCAAGCTTAGTACACTCATTTGGGTGTCTTGTACGAGACCAATACGTGAGTCAACTCTCAAACAATGCAGGCGGCACTCTGATTTTGCTTCAGATCTGCTTACAACAGAGCCAGTTGTTGCGAGCTTCAGTGTAGGGATTCATTATAATGTTCTTGTATCCAGCCATTCATCGTGACACATTTTCTCTTTCCTGCAGATCTGGATAGGTTTTATATGGGGTGTTTTTTTTTGTTTGATCGAGTACGTATTCGGCCTGGTCCTATATTATATTGATTTGATATCCCTTTATAGGTCGGTCGGCTCAGTTTTCAGGACCGTACACGGGTTTAACACAGGACAAGTGGGAACTATCTTCGTTACATTCGTGTAGGTTTACACACTGGTGATCAAAATCTCACACAGCTGAGTATCGAATTCATTGCAGAATCGGCTCACTTCTCGGATTTTCGACAAATTTCTTTCAAGAACATCTATATCGGTGCGTACTTGATCTTGATCGATAAGTAGATATTTTATGCCCTTGTTCATCTTTCAGTCAAAATTACCCAACTCGGGGACCCGAAGCTAGGCTATATCTGACTTGTTGTGCTGCGATACTTGTTCCCTGTGGGATGTTCATTTACGCTTGGTCGACGTTCACATATGTTCCTTGGATTGCCTTAACAATCGGAATGACCGTAAGTTCCGAGTCTTGCTTCTTTTCATAGGATTTGAACAATAACACCTTGAAGGTCTTCCTCTATGGCACCTTCATAATTTACCTTGCTGTATTCACGTATCTGGCCGATTGGTATCTACCACCGTCATTCTTTCACGGCTTTCTTTTCTCATGCTTATCTCTAGCTATGGCCCATTCGCCTCTTCCGCTCTCGCGGGACAAAGCCTGTGTCGAAATTTGGCAGCGACAGTCTTTCCGCTATTTACACAACAAATGTACGCGAAATTGAGCTACAAATGGGCCAATACGCTGTTTGGTTGTATCGCATGTGTTTTGATGCCCATACCTTTCGTGAGTATTTTATCCAAACGTCTGTAGATTGTGGAACACATGAGACTGATTGTTCTTTTCTAACCATTCAGATCCTCTTCTTCAACGGTCCACGGATACGAAGTCGGAGCAAGTTTTCTCGGGCAGTGATGCAATCCCTTCAGATCGATGGAAAATAGGGGTGTATGTACACGAATATGACTTAGGCATAAGTTCAGTAGCAATTGGTTGAAGTTGAATACCTTACACACTGATAGAATATAAATTGCTACCCAGTCAAAACCTTTCAAAACCATTAATCAAGGTAACTGGCAGTGGGAGTCACAATAGCTGAGTGTATTGTCGCGCGCTTGTTTACTTGACGACCGGCGCTCATGGACTTCGCATATCTCCAATGTTTTTTATCTCTTTGCCCATTGAAGTTATTCTAGAGGTTTTGAAATACTTGAGCACTTCGGATATCCTTTCATTACGACAGGTGCTGCCAATTAACTATGGATCGTAGAACCTTCTTTTGAATATTCCTAGAGACTTGCACTTATCTGGCCGAACTTAGCAAAGACAGACTGATATGGCATGATCTTATACAAGAACAACGTACAAGACTACCTCTCCCACCAAATGCTCGTGGTAATCTCGAAGCCTGGTCAACGGATGCTTTAGAGTCTCTAGTCATTTCCAATGAACTTATTGATGATCTATGGCTCATCCCAAGAGAAACCCCGCCAGTGAAGTTACAGAACAGGCGCGGAGAGCTTTTGCTTGGCTTGGAAATATTCGCGGATCGATGGATTCTTGCTGTTTATATGGATGGGTACATGGATTTATGGGATGCGGAAAGTCCTAATGAGGATCGACGATGGTGTTTTGTCTATACGGGGAATGACAAGACTACGTCTTTCAAAGTCGCCCACACGGAGGACAAGCTACTGGTTGTGATTACGAGGGCGCATCTGTAGGTTTCCAGAGCGATGAAACATCTCAATAGACTTACAGATATCTCTAGACCTGGAACATGGGTGGCCGTTCTCTACCAAATTCTACTATCAGAGTCTCCTTCAAAATTGCAATTCATACCCCTTCGTACCTTTTCTATTTCATCGTCTCGGGTTGCTAGGCAAATATTCATTCGTGAACGAATCATAGCGTTTTCTCAATTGGGTTTGATCGAACTCGCCCAGTGGTCCGAGGATGCAAAGGATGTTATCAGGTCAACGGTATTGGCTTCGAATATTCAGTCAGATGAGTTGGAGGAGATGGTGGGTGTCATTAAAATCTCTGATCATATCAACTCATTTAAACGATGTCCAGTTTACCACCATATTATCCCTACGAATACTAAACGATCATTATATCTTCGTTTTCAAGACTCGGTCTATCGAGTTGTATCCCACTACCCATTCAGCATCGCCATCAGTTCCTCCGCCGTTTTTGCCTTCGCTCAGACACGTCTTCCCAAGTTACAGTTTTCGTGATGTTCAGATAGCGGAAGTTGAATCAGAAACACTGACTGAAGAAGAATCATCCTCTTCTGGATATGACGGAACTCGTTACACTTTGAAGATGTTGGCCTCGGATGTTATACAAGGATTATTCTACTTTGTCGCCAACATCACTATACCCTCAGCGCGGCACGAGCAATCCCAGCCACCAATACTAGATGTTCATCTAGCAGCAGTATACGCTATGGCTAATCATATCCCGCTCTATTCTAGAGCTCATCAGCGGCAGCGGAACACTCTGCAAACGTCGCGTTCTTCGCATGCGGCAGTCCATGATCGAGCCGTTCAGAAGCGTCTCTCAACGCCTCGGTCTGACTCGGTAAACTCTGTGCGCTCCTCGTCATTCGTGAGCACATACGCTCTGGGTCCTCAGGGCATGAGGGCGGTATGGATCGAACGAAGACGTGGCTCTACGTGGAAGCAAATCGTTTCATGTCGACTGAATCCGTCATCGTCGAATGGTCAAGAGATGATATCGGATTTAGATTTGGAGATGTGGAATTCGGATAGTTCAGAAGAGGAGGGTTCGATCAGTCAGGATGACAATCTTGACTTTATTACACAGGCTCTCGATGGCCATATCATTTACTCCGTTCAATCTTACGACCTGAGAGGCAAGTTTCCATTTATGGCTGAGATCTGTGGTCTTTAACTTCCATGGCACACTTCATTCTCTAGAGGATATAACCTTCTGCGCTTTGGGCGAAGTAAGCGGGAAGATTGTTCTGGGGAATCGCTCAGGGGACGTTTTCATTCTGGATACGGGTGTCTGAGTGTGTTCAGCTTCGCTGCGGCATCGCGTGCGCCCTGGAAATAATCTGTGGTCAACGTCGCTGTTCAAGCCAGAAAGTCTGTAAACATTTTCACTGGCCAGTCTCCAGTAACTAGATTTATTCCCATGTGCACCCGCGCGCGACTCTGGAAGGAGAAGATAGCTCCTGTCGAAATCCGGCGTTGCAGTCGTGCTTATGGTACGTTGGAACTTGGCGCTCGATTTTTCTACTCCGGTCTCTCAGATAATTTCAAGTTCTTGTAAATCTTCTAAATAAGGGACTGCTACATACACGAATAATACATATATGATAGGAAAACGCAGTCGCATTTGTTATAGATTCAGCAGAATGAGGCAGAGCTTGGAGGCAGAGCTAGGCAGAGCTTGAAGGCAGAGCAAAGGCTGCCCGGCTTGATTGGTAATCAGGTCCAGATTCACGTAATCGCCTTAACTTGCGAATTTTCTTCGCTCCAATTTCTTCAGCGACCGTCATCTAGACTGGTTAAATACTGACTTTTTCTTCCCCACTGCCCTCAAAAAACGCTCTTCTGTCTTATTATTTTTCCTTATAATATGACCAATGCACTTGTAAATGACAACACAGGTCTTGAGAGTCATTTTGGTGCGCTGGATGCTACTCTGTCTCTTTTTCCGACAGCTCATGACGGCTACCTTTTTCTCCTAGACTCTATGAACCTGTCTCGATCCGCTTATGTTCCTCCTCACATGAGAAGTCAGCAGCGGGCTGTTTCTTCTCCTTCTCCTTCTCCTTCTCCAGCTCCCAGGTGCGTGCCTTCGACCCTCTGCTCAGCCTTTTATTAATGATTTGCTTACAGTAGAAATGGCTGGAATGATTCTCGTGGAGGAACTCCTCTTTCAAGAGGTGGACCTGCCGATAGAGGTAGAGGCGGTGGATCTTTCTCGACTAATCGCGGTGGAGGGGGAGGACAAGGCTGGGGTGAACGTACTCCCTCCCAAAATTGGAGCAGCACTCCCCGTGACCAACCCAAAGAAAACCAAATGTTCGGCTATGGCGCTTGGAAAGACGGCAAACACATTGTCGGCGGTCGTAATATGCGCATGGAGAAGGAGATTTACGGCGAAGCTGATGATCCCTCCAAGCAACATACCGGTATCAACTTTGAAAAATACGACGATATTCCCGTCGAAGCTACCGGTGCTGACGTCCCAGAGCCTGTCACATCTTTCACTAGTCCTCCTCTTGATCCAGTCTTGTTGGAAAATATTACTTATGCTCGTTACACAACCCCCACTCCCGTTCAAAAGTATTCTATTCCCATCGTTGCAAACGGGAGAGATCTGATGGCTTGTGCGCAAGTAAGTAGCGTCTTTCATGATTTTTTGTTTATCATATTGATTGACACTCCATCATTGCATAGACTGGTTCGGGAAAAACTGGAGGTTTTCTTTTCCCTATACTCTCGGCTTCTTTCACTATGGGACCGCGCGCTGTCATCGGCGAGCCTACGGGCTACGGTGGACGTCGTAGGGCTACTCCCACGGCCCTCATTCTTGCTCCCACTCGTGAACTGGTCTCCCAGATTCATGACGAGGCTCGTAAATTTGCTTACCGATCCTGGGTTCGTCCGGCTGTTGTTTATGGTGGTGCCGATATCTCTCAGCAAATCCGCCTAATCGAGCGAGGCTGTGATCTCCTCACTGCCACACCTGGACGTCTTGTGGATCTTATTGAGCGCGGCAAGATCAGTTTGGCCAATGTCAAGTACTTGGTTCTTGACGAGGCTGACCGTATGCTTGATATGGGTTTCGAGCCCCAGATTCGCAGAATCGTTCAGGGTGAAGATATGCCCGGTGTTCACGACCGTCAAACCCTCATGTTCAGTGCTACTTTCCCTCGTGATATCCAAATTCTCGCCAAAGACTTCCTCAAAGACTACGTTTTCTTAAGTGTTGGTCGTGTCGGAAGTACTTCCGAGAACATCACCCAGAAGTTCGAGTATGTCGAGGACAACGACAAGAGGAGTGTTCTATTGGACATCCTTAACTCTCACTCCAACGAAAGCGCTGGTCTTACTTTAATCTTTGTGGAGACGAAGCGCATGGCGGATATGCTAAGCGACTTCCTGATCCACAATCAATGGCATGCTACCTCCATTCACGGAGACCGTACTCAGCGGGAACGTGAGATGGCCCTTCAAACTTTCCGTAACGGACAGACCCCAATCATGGTTGCTACCGCCGTCGCTGCTCGTGGATTGGACATACCCAACGTGACACATGTTGTCAACTATGACCTGCCTTCTGATATCGACGATTATGTTCACCGTATTGGCCGTACTGGACGTGCTGGTAACACTGGTGTCAGCACTGCCTTCTACAACAAGGGTAATAAAAACATCGTGAAGGAAATGGTTGAACTCCTCCGAGAAGCCAATCAAGAGATTCCTGGCTGGCTTGAGGTGAGCGCTCATGAGGCTTCGTTCGGTGGCTCCTTCCGTGGCCGTGGCCGTGGACGTGGCCGTAGTGGTGGTCGTGACTACCGTGCTGGTGGTGGCAGCAGCTACGGTGGAGGTGGAGGTGGATATGGTAACCACACTAGTCATAGCACCTCTGGTGGGGGCTATGGTGGCCGCGCAGGAGGACCTCCTTCCTACGGCAGTGGAGGTGGGTACGGTGGAGGATACGGTGGAAGCTCTGGTGGTGGAGGTGGAGGCTGGTGGTAAATTTTCTCCTAATATTTCGTAGAGCCGTTGGACAGGTTGCCTGGCTTTCGAAATACCCTCTATGCTCCCTGTCAACCACTGCCTTTTACGTCCCATGCCCCACGGAACCTCATCAGAAGCAAGCAAACAAAATCCACATATTACATGTTTGAGTCGTCGACTTAATGCCCTAGAAACACCTCGTCGTCGACTCTCACCTCGGTTTTCTATTTTCTCATCACTACTATTATTATCTCGATTTCGACTCTCATGCGCTGCTCTCCACTAAATTGTCTCGTCGAATTGCTGCTCGCTTCTCTAATCTGTATCCCCAATAATCATCCCATACGGCGTTGTATGCTCACTTGCAAAAGGTGTACAACATCTCTCTAATTTCCTTGATTCGTGATTGCATATATAATGTACTCACAGCATTCAAGCATTAGATGTGGGACGAACCACGACACGAGCATCTTCCATCATGCGGTTTTTCTTTATTTGCCTCTGCAATATCAGTCTTCATTCGTTTCGCGATACATCTTTTCCATTATACCCCACCCCATTCCTTCAGCATTCATCTTCCACATTTGTGCATTTCCTCCTCTTCCTCAAGCGTTCCATGTATTGCGACACGATAGAACGATGAACGGATATATCTTCCTTTCCTCCAATCTGGACTGGTATTGGTATACCCACATATAGATACGTACGAGACAATTTCTGCATCTTACTGTAATGTTAGAGTATCGCATTTGTATCAGTACACATACAAGGGTCTGTCGAGAGATTTTTTTACCTTTCACATTTGTTTTGCCTTCGCTCTGCACTTACTATACTCGCACTGCTTCTGTTTCCGTAGGCTATTATCGTAGTTTATACAATATACATCTTGAAATAAAAGCAGACGCAAGAACACATATTCGGGGTGATGTACAGAAGTGTACAGATTGCCCGGCTTCGGCATCATCCATTGATTCAATTCTCGGGGAGGACCGTTTCCAGCTTGTCTCTGCCTTGCCTATACTTTCTTCTTTCTTTTCCTTCAAGTCTCGTTTCTTCACGAAGGATTGCTTGTTGAGAAGGATCGCGCTTATATAGACGTCGAGGTCATTGCATCCTCGAATCTTACGCTCCGATTCTTTCAGTTTACATACAACTAGGTGCAGCGGTAAGTCCACGTCACTCATTTTCTATGCAATTTCTTTGTGCAGTTTCCCAATTTGTACTGTTTCTTCGGTATATGTTGTACTGTGGGGTATAATTGCCGCTCTGGATCCCAAACACTTTGTTGGGGCCTCCATAATACTATCAGCACTCCACCATTGACCAACACCTTTCATAGCTCCATCGAAATCATCTATTCGCCCTCTTCCGAGTCTACTTCACAGCTTGTAATCCTGGAAATATACATCAAAAGGACCGCTGTCGTGTCTTTAGAAGCGGACGACAATCTATCATCGATTTCGACAATCGATTATTTGGCTTATAATAACACCCGTACTATATCCAACATACCCAAAACTCTTTGAACATTCTCCGAAAATGTGCCGCAACGTATCTTCGCCAATCTTTGACGTTCCGGAATTTCCTACTCTACGTCGGGTAAAGCCACTGCCTAAACGGCGACGGACTTCTTCCACCCACTTCTCCGTCCTCGATTCCAGTACAACCAATAACATTGACTCTGGTTCAAGGAACACGCCGAGGATGCTTGTTGCTGAAACTAATGGCGTGCCACACTCGTTGCATATGCCAGGTTTACCACCTATCCCTTTGTCGCTTCCGGGTCCCGACGCTACAGCGGAAGAGCTACTCGCACATGCTGACGCTCTACAGTCATATTATTTTCCGATCCTAGATGCTGCTGCTGCTAATATTAATGCCGTTGCAGACGGGTTCGCAAACGCCGTCGAGCCCGGTTACATTCATCCTGGCTCAGATATTCTATCCGACCTCGAACCAGGCAATCTCGCATCATCGCCTGGTGTTGGTTTAGCTGGACTTGGAATCCACAATCTCAGTCTTCGAGACCGAGACGAACATTCTGATCGTGGCGATGGTGATTACATCGACCAACCAGGGAATGCCAAAAAACGAAAAGTACCAGCGAACACGTCGCATCTTCAAGGTGCGCGTGACGCTACTTCCGGTGAGGAAGATGCGGAGGATCCCGACGGACCGTTGATGATAGGTATTCCTACGGGTACGTTGGAGGCCGGAGCGAACGACAGTAATACGGGCCAAGGTGATGGTGGAGGGGAAGGAGCAGGGGAAGGAGGAAAATCGTCAATGTCAACTTTCCGTCGTCTACTAGGTCGTAGAAAGACTCGACTTTCTGCTGTCACCCTTGCCGGATTGCAACACAAAGAGACTCTGAAAGTTCGGAAACGACAACTTGCAGCGGTGTTGGGCGCGTTGTCTCTCGGGGACACGCTGGCATTGGATCAAGCTCTCTCAAGTAACAGTGCTTATCCATTTTCGAGTTCTTCCAGCGCGCCAGATGATGCGCTGGTTCCATTACCTGTAGGTGGAAAGCCTTCTCTCAAAATCAAGCTTTCCAAGCGAGCGGGACCGAGAATGGCGAGAAGTGTCTCGTCAAGATTGAAAGATGATGAGGAGTCTCATGTGCAGGTTCCTGGAAGCGACTTCACTTTTGTGTGTTATAGCGCTAGTGAGTTCCTGGGCCCGATAATCTCTCTTCATCCACTCATAAATTCTATTTCTACTATACAATTGATTCTCCTTCGGTTATCAACATCATCTGGGGTGTATCTTCTCGTTCACCACGTGGGGGAACTTCGTCACCGGTCGTTCATGTAATGCTTCCTCTAGCCGCTGACCGACTTTCTGCGACTAAGAAGGAGGTGGCCACTCTCCGTCGCCGGTTTGAGGATGAATTGGCACGGCAGGCGTCTAACGCAGCCAGTTTAGCTGCTGCCACTCGCGCTGTGGCGTCTCCTCTTAGCAGCAGATCGTCCCGACAGAAACGGAGTGGTAAAGCACGTACAGATAAGAAGCTTCGAAACCAACCACCTGAGTTCCTAGATCCTGCCTTGGATGGTCAGACATATGGAGCCGGCGGTATGCAGAACAACCCGGATAACATTCCCAGTTTCAATGCCAAGTCATCTCGGAACGGGAAGAAAAAAAAGCGTTCTGCGCTTGCGAACGCCTCGAATCCACATCATCTGCGTAACTATGTCCCTTCCAGATTACCTTACACTGCTGGAGGTTGTCCGTCTAATGCGAACGGTATGAATCAAGCGAACGGGAATGATCTTGGTCCGTTCCCGATACGGTTTTTATCAGCTGAGATACCGCCCCGGCGAAGCAGTCGTAGCAAACGATCACAGGCTCAGGAACAACAACAATTATCGACATCTCTGACTAATCCCGCAGATGAATGGCTGTGTGTATTCTGCGAGTATGAACTGTTTTTCGGGGACGAAGGAGAGTATCGAAAAGCTCTCAGGAGGAGGAAGACTGTTTTGAAGAGAAGGAGGAGAGCGAGGGAACGTGCTGCTGCTGCTGCTAGCGGACAAAGTAAATTGTCCACTGCGAAGAAATCGCAACAGCCAGCGCCGGTGGCGGCGACGCATGATTCTGAGGAAGAAGGGGACGATGAAGACAATTATGAGGACGATGCGGGGTACGAGCCGATGGGCACCGGTGGCCAAACTGTTGGAAATGGGGTGAACGGAATGCTACCGAAGCAGACCAAATGGAGAGGAGATAACAGGGAAAAGGGAGCTGGGGAGGCAAAAAGCTCGTATGTATGATGGAGGAAACGCGATACTGTTCGACTTCCATTCAGTCGAAGATCAAACCCGGAATAACTGGTCAGTGTTCCGAGCTCATAGTGTCGGATGACTATTTGTTCCATAGAATCCATTGCAACCATGCATCGAACCATTCATTTAGCATCAAGACTGTTCTTTTTAGCCATTCACCGTACTATGTCACTGCTTTTCATCTTTACCTTTTCCCTATCTTCCCGTTCTTTTTTTCAGTTTGACGTTCTTCATACAACTTCGCAATACGCATTTCGTACACCTGTTTTACACATCACACGTCCACACACAATACATTATACAGCTTGAACAATCGCATCTTTTATGGATGGGAATACGCTTCGGATTCGGATACCGTTAAATTGTTATCACTGAAGTAAGAAGCAAATGAGAAGCAGATGAGAGGAACTAAGACTTTCAGGCTTCTCAACAACAATAGTGATGACATACCGGGCCGGTTGGGGTAAATTGCTAAAGTTTGCCTCTGTCCATGTTACCACTCTTAGCGGTCGACTGCGAAAGGTTAGCCTCAGCAGGCCCTCAAACTGACCGTTCTTCTAGGGTCAATTTGACAGGGAACAGCAGTTCTAATATCGACAGTATTTTACTCTATCAACTTCTCGGGCAACAACTAAGTTAGCAGGGGAAATTTAACCTTATTTTTTTTCTGTTGTGCTGGACCAAGCGACGAGATAATACCTCTGTGAGTCTTTCCTTTCCTGCTTTTTTTCTCGAATATTGTCTTTATAAAGGGCTACCAGCGATCTGTATACGATTTGTCATAATGATTTTCTTCCAACTAACTATCGTTTTATAGCAATTTGTTGTGCCGTTGGAACCCGGGGCAAAATCGTGACTTAATCCGGCTTCATCCCAAATTGTCTGTTTCCGAACAGGTCTCTGTACTCTTCTGCGACGTTTTGGTTAGTCGAGACGCGTCTGGACATCACAATGGCCGCAGATAGTCGTTATCTTTATCACCCAACTCACCAAGGACTCGCACCTCAGTACAATTATCAGTACCAGAATCCTCCTCCACCGACCAACTATGAACCATCTCCAGTACAGCATCCGCCGCCGTTGAGGAATCCGCGTACGTCCCAACCGCCTCCGCATTCGCCGCATGCACAGTACCACCCGCAGCCTCCACTACCACCACCAAGCCAGTCAGCGGCTTACACATCAGCGCATCCATCTTATGGCTCACAAGGCCATTATATAACTCATGGTCAGCCCGCTCCTCCACAGTCTGCACCGGCTCAGCACACACCTCCACCTCCACCGCAGCCTCAACAACAATGGTCGAACGAAAGCTGGACAAATCAATACTCTCACTATCCTAGTCATGTGCCTCAGCACCATCACCAGCAGCAACAGCAGCTCTCTCCTCCGTTAACATCGACCGTGGCACCAGAGAACACATACAACTCTGCTCCAGGTCGGCTAGAGGATTCTCCAGCGTTGTCTTCGAATGATGGCTCAATTAGAGGATACGATGACCGCACGGCTTCGATGCATAGTCATCATCAGCCTTCTCCTCCGCAGTCGTCTTTCAATGGACCCCCGACGATTAAATATCGGCCACGAGAAGAAGAGTCTCCGTCAAGCTACACAAATTCTCAACCCGCATCACCCAATCTTTTTACTGGGTTAGATTATGATCAGGTAAACAGGCGCATGCCTCAACTTCGTAAAGCTGTTTTTTAAACTCATTCTTCTTTACTTTTTCCTTTCTTGTCCTTGTCAACAGCTCATGAAGCAAATAAAATTCGTCGAATCACCGTTACGCGAAACTCTGTCAACATTCCGGTCGCCCCATCGAAACACTTTGGAACAAATGATGCAAGCTGCCACGTATGCCGCTCAAGTGCTTAACTCTGCTGCTGGCATTATTACTCCTACTGCCACCACCACCATCTCGCCTCCACCATCGGTCACCTACCATCAGAGTCATACGATGCCGCCCTCTCAAGGATATGGTATTAACCGCCTCTCGTCGCCCACATCGAGAAATCGTATAGAAAACAACACTCAAAGCCCGCACACCCACACGTTTGCCAACGAAAACTCACCGCCGCTTTCGGCTTCTACGCCAGGATCACTGAAGCGGGTACGTTGCCAATTCTTCTCCGGCGTCCCCGCGATTTCTATGTGCTCTGTAGTTTTTGTTTTTGAATTTTCATCATTTATTGTGTTGATTGCATCGTCTCAGCATATGGTGCTGCTATGGAGGGCATTGTGTTCAGATCTGTTTTACTGTTCCGCTTTCGCCCACCTTGCCTTCTATTTCTGAAAACTTTATTTTGATAATAATCTCGGCATTTGATCATCAAAAGCGCGCGCCCGTCTCCCATCTCCCATCCCGAACCCGATGTGTAGAACGCATTTTCCAGCATGGTTCTCATATCCTCCTTCTACTTTCCGTTTTGCCGACGTTCATTTCTTTTACTTTCGTATCTCCTTCTGCTACTTCAACAGCTTCTTAATCTGCTCTTCTACATCTCATCTTCAATCTTCCCTGATCTTCATATCATATCTCCATCAAATCCCGTAATTTCTTCATTTTTCTCTTCCCTCACATACTCTACACACTCTATCTCGCTTTCTCGATCTTCTCTTTCTTCTCTTGCTCACTAAACATGTTGGATTGCGAATTCATCAATCTGAAATTCTCATTTGTATACAAACTTACCTTTTTTGTCTGTTTGTCTCTCACAGAGGCACACAAACGACTATCCGGAAAACTCACAACAGTCACCTCCACTCGGCGGGTCGAACTTGGGATTGTCTACGGTTCCACAGGCTTTGAACCAACAACATCCAGTGCCATCATCTTCACTGGCACAACCGCCGTCGGGACAGCAGCAGCATTCGTTCTCGCCCTCGCAACCACTCTCTCAGCCGCCATCGCAACCGCAACCTGGTGTTGTAGGTGGGATGACCTCTTCTAACCCACCCCCGGCACAACAGGATGGACAAACCTGTTTAGGCTGTGGTGCTACGTCAACTCCCGAGTGGAGGCGGGGACCTATGGGTAAGTTCAAAGCCTTTCCGGTTCCTCTCGCTTCACCCTTAGGGTTTTGGATTGTGATTCGTTCTCTTTCGTTCTATGTCTTGAGGTACTCGCTTCTCGAATCTTTGACATTCTATGTCACAGTGAATTCTCCCTTCGAGATCACTAGCGCTGTCACAAACCGTGCAAGCTGTCTACTGTTCGAACAGCCTTTCGTATCTGTCACTCATCGTCTTTATTGTCACTCATAGGTCCACGAACACTGTGTAATGCATGTGGGTTAGTCTATGCAAAACTGGTGCGTAGCATAATCATTCAACCTTTCCTCTTACTCATCTTGTTTTTATTTCGCTCCCCTTTCCAAAACTTCTGTTGTTTTCTTGCTGCTACTTTCTACATTAGATCAAAAAACGGGATCGAGAACGTGCGCGAGGAAACGGGAGTAGCAAGACTAATGGAAACAGTCGCCCTGCGAGTGCTGCTGGTGAAGGACACCGCAGTGGTAGCGGTGGTGGTGATTCTGGGTCGGGAGAGAGCGATGAGGATGAGCCAGAGGATGATTATGGCTCTGGAACGTCTGGCCAACGCAGTGAATTTGGGTGATTTATCGAGGACAAAAGTGATGAGTCAAGAATAGTGCCCACTACCCTTCATTATCTCTCTTCTCTCCTACTCGGTGCTGTCTTGATTTCTCGTATCTCCTGCTTGCGTTCCTTTATTTCATCTTCAGGGATAGAATTTGCTGGGCACATTCTCAATATGTTTTTCCATTCCTATATTTTGATTTTTACTTTTGTGTTCATGGCCGTACATTGTGTCTAACTTACTTGTCATATGTTTATACTCTGTTCGTTCTCGTCGGTATGTCTATTTTATTCTTTTTCACTCTTTACACTCATTACTCTAATGCGCTCAATTACCCAGAGCTGGCAAGCTTCTCGCTGCAGCATTATTTTACCCTAAACTCCTGGTTACTTAGTGCAATACTTCGCAGCATACCTTCGTCTTCTATTTCTATTCTTCTATTCACATATTCTATTATCAATTTTGTATAGCACCCTCCATATCCCATACTCCTTCAACTACAGTAGTAATCATATGCTTTAACTACCTTTGTCAGAATTATTCATGGCAGTAGCGTAACCTTTGCGGGCTCATTGTTAATGTTACCCTCCCCAAAACCCCCTAAGACTTGCTTATCTTCCCGCGCTGGGACCCATTTCCGTGAGTACTTAGTGCTTATTGGCTCCAAATCAAGAAGTTATTTGCTAAAATTTAATTCGGGCTCCCTTGCATGGTGTAGCGTCTCACGTTTTCTAGACCCTCTATTGGGCTGACCGTGATCGTTTGGGATGAATTTGCTACTGGTACTTGAAGTTGATTTATTCTTAGCCTGAAACGGATGCCAAGGGGGAGGGTAGCCCATGGGTAAACGACTGTTCTTCACTCTTGTAAAATCTTGCTTGCGAGACTTAAATATTCTTACCGATCAGAGTATCGTCGTTAAATTTACTGTAGCTCCGGAATACAACGGTAGTATATGTACGTAGTCCTATCATTGTCTTAAATCGAAGTTTCTGAACATCTTGAAGTTAGACCGTTTTGGTTGCCTCTCTCCCGCCGCTCAACTTGTGTGGGTATTGTTTCCGCTAGTGCCTTACAAATGCTTTCAGAGATTATAGATATTCACGGAAGACAATATAACTACATCGATGTATAATCAAATGCACCATCCGTACAAAGCGCAAGATTTTCTCAGTCCTGCCAGAACCTCTCGTATACGTACGTATCGTCAATAGCGGCAAACCCGTGAACCTTCTGAACACTCTAAGATAGCTGATATGAACATGGTCATGGAATAAAGGATTGGTTCCAACTACTCTCGAGTTTGCTGTGTTCCTTCTTTATTTGTTTATGATTTGGTGATTGAGAAGTACGAAACTTGTAACTGACTACTGAATGTACTGAACTCGTAGCAGTTAGCAAACAGGTCAGTCTGGGGTTGGCGTCTCAACAGCTTTTGACATTTATGATTTAGTGTGTCGAACTAAAGTAGTACTGAGTATATCCTAGCCCACTATCGTATACTTTCCATACGCAGCTGCTAAAATGTTCCCGCGAACGTCGTGATTGTATAGGGCTAGAGCACTGCTCAGCGAGTATTATCTTACGTCTGATAAAACAAATTGTTGGCTTTTGATCTCATCTCTTCTCAATAGATTTGGCCTCGGCCACTGTTAACAGATGCAAACGATGACAATGTCAAATTTGCGACCAGGCAGTGAGTACTTAGGAAATGACAAAGCCTTGTATATTATTACACCTACAGCTCAACTTCAAATTAGTGGCAGGTGTTCATACTTTGCGAGTTGAAGCGAGTTGGAACGGCCTGTACTAGTTTTCCTGAAAAATCATTTCCTTCCTGCTCATATTGTTTGTTTCCCAATGATATAGGACAGAAGGACAGAAGAAAATATTTTCACCTCAATAAGCAGTTCGGTAACAATCGCTTTGCCATTTCCATAAATATCAGGTGCGGCAACGTCGGACTTTCAATTCATGGGCGCTTATATAACTTTCGAACAGGGCGGCGGGCGGAAAGGGGCTCATGTCAGACTACTATATGTAGGGTGTTGCGTTTGCATTTGTGTATTCGCACCTCCTTTGGCAATGTCGACTGCATCTGAACTGGAATACATGTAAGGTTCCCAGTTCTTACTTTGGATCTAAACCTAAGCACTACATACGTAGCCAATTTGGGGATATCTTATTCAGCTCTGCTCTAGGTGAGTACTAGAGCAATCCGTACATTGGCGTCCCTCTGATCCATTGATTTGTTTGCTCCTTAGCGCTCCTTTATTACGACCATTTATTAACATTAGGTGCGTTCAATCTCCTCTCGCAATTTATTATACACAACCTCGAACCTGTAGACGCCGAAATCAAGTTGATATGGAAGCGGTCTAGAAACTCTAGTCGATATCTATTCCTCTTCAATCGCTATCTTGCGTTCTTCGGGAACATCGCGGCCGCATATCCTGTATACTCGTCTTCGTTAACATTATCGGTGAGAATATGGAACTGTATGATCTTATTGGAATGCAACTTAGGCCGCGAATGGTTTTTTGTTCTGCTAGAGGTCTGTAACGCCTAGTACATGTCAATATCACCGCTGAATCATTAGTTTCAAATCATAGTTGCCGCTATTTGGTGCTCTACCACAGAATATTCATAGCGCTGACGCAAGCTATAGTCACTGGTGAGTGGTTCGTTCTGAGTACCTTGGACAGGCGCTCATTCTATTTCTCACCAAAAAATTGATGATTTACCTTTCTGATAGGCATACTCATTCTAAGAGTGTACGCACTCTATGGCTGTCGTAGATGGTTCCTCGTCTGCTTTTTGGGCGTGCTCGCGCTAGGAACCGCTACAAGCATTATTGTAAGCGTTGTCACGTTTTTCAGTCTCAAAATTCACACTCCGTATTTAGTTAGTTACCGTTAATGGGTTAAATACTTCAAACCTAACGTCCTTAAGCCAGGGCTGTCGCAATGTCTCGTCAAAGCGAGTTCTTTTGCTGTTCAATCCTTTCAATTTACCTAACCTGAATTTTTAGTGGTGGTCCCAGTAAGTTGTCTAACGAAGTTTATCGAGTTTACCTTAAACTAATACCCCGCGTGTTCTCAAGAAATGGCAATAGGATGGGAGGGCATACTTCTTTTAGATACGATTCTCTTTGCCTTGACGCTGTGGAAAGGATATCACCACCGTCTTCCGATAGGCACGAATAGACTAGGGGTCTCACTTTTTGCCGTCGTAGTTAGAGACGGTCAGTGGTGCATCTGTGATTTTTCTAAGTCCAATCGTTAACGATGAACCATTGAAAAGGATCCATCTACTTTTTGTAAGCGAACGGAAATTCTCAACATTCTATTCTCAATACCACTTCTATAGCATTGTGGCATCCCTCAATCTTGCAAACATCATTTCGTTCTACGTACGTCAAGTGAATGTAATCCTTATTCCGCTTTCCTTCACATTGACCCTTCCCCTAGACACCTGGAGTATGTTAATCAACCAAGAATTCATGAAAACGTCTGACACCAATACCCTTTTTTACCCAGCGGTTACAAGGCAACTTCTCTAATTTTGTTGGATGGTGAGCCACATACTCTGATTGATATTGTGCCGATTCGATGATTCGCACTTGGTAGTATATCAGTAACGCTCATGTCACGCATGATGCTCGATTTACATGAAGCTGCCGAAATGGGGATCTACACAACCAACGCTCATGCTTTAACCCAAGATATCTGGGTCGACAGAGGTTATGGCCGCTAACACAGTCCTTCACGCCACACACAAGGGATTTGCTGCTCAGTTGTCATAAAGCAAACCGACAGAAAAACAAACATGTTATCATTATTATTAAGTTATGGAAATAAAAGGCTGGATACGCAGGTATTCTTAGCGTATACGCACCAGATTCGGACTTCGTAGAAATCGCTTTGTTCCCGCTTCCAAGCCTAGTTATGTAGTGATAGGAATTGGTCGTGGCCACCCGCCGGGCTTTCATTCCAGGCATTTAGTATATTAAAGAGACTTCAACTTATCACAGTCTTGACTTGGAGGTTCTGTCACTTTCTGTTGCCGTTGATGCAGTATAGTAAGGAATCTAAAGCTGAGAGTGCCTCGCTCATATAATTGGCGCCAGACCTCTCCTCACCCCACTTTACCATTGCTCCGTTGTGATCGATGCAATCCTCTTCTCCTCAGCCATCTCTAGAATCCAGATCTAACGGTTTCCCACCTGGCTATTTCACCATCCGTTCACTAGCAACAGGACGAAGTTTTCTTTAATCGATATATCCGGTGCTTTGTGTTTCAGAGATTCAGGGAGTGCTATCGGTATTGAAGGTGCGAATACCTCCTACTTAATTCAACGAGTATTTTCCAAATCTTCACAGATAACCACCTTGTCCTCCGACACTGTCGCCCAATCTCACTCCCATTTCCCACCCATTACGCTCATCCTCTGCCGAAGTTCACGTCGAGTTTGCCTGTGATCCAACCTATCCGCTTTTCTCCGCCAACACTTCCTGGAAATTATACCCACTCCATTCCTCTACGAAAATCGAAAACCCTGTATTGACGATGCTTCGGAATTCGTAGTAAGGTCCAAGTTCTTCCAAGGCGGCGCAGTCGCGCAGACAAACATGCAACGCCGGGGCAAGTAGCTAGCAGCGGCGCTGAATCAACAGAAGACGAATGTTTGAAGAAAGACAGAGGAGATGAAGCAGATGTAGATGATTCACTTGATTTGAAGAGGGATGTGAAGATATTGACGATAGCGAAACATTCAGCGGAAGATCCTAGTGGGTGGAATCTCACGGAGCAAGCCAAAATGAGGAGGAAGTTTGAGATTATTTCTCGAGAGCGGTCAACAGACGTACAGGTGGTACCTAATCAAAATTGGTGGTAGGTTGGTGACTGGAATTATGGAAGGCTGTAAACATATACTCATCCCAAGGACGCCAGAAGATTTCACATGACGACGGACAGAAACCTGGCACGGGTACCTCTTAATGCTCTTCGTACATTGCTTCGGTACAGAGGACCTTCTGTTAACTGGAAATCGCAGTCCAACAGGAATTGGGAGAGCGAGACACTCAGTAAGTCACAAGACTGAAATGCTAAATCATAACTCGATGATTTGTTTTATGAGAATTCAGGCAATAAGCTGCAATAAGTATTGATCGATGAATAGAGCGCGGTCCCAGAATCTCGCTGCGGGGCTGCCGGAAACGAGTCGGACTTTCAAACAATGACAGTGTTACTGCATTACTTTCTCCCTGCACGTCGTTGCAGTGAGCATTCGCTGCAGTAGAGATGGTTAGGCCCAGTTGCCTGTGTCACTCCGTTTCTGGATCAAGCCGTGTATCAATCAATCAATCAGATCCATATTCTAGCATGTCATATGTACAAGGTTATATGGTGATGTGGTCGCCACCTCCAAAATACTTAGAGGAAGTGAGCATGAATTGTGAGGAAAACCTTACTCTTCTCCCTCATTATTCTTTGGATGGGTACTTTTCCTTCCTCTCCTACTATCCTTCATTGCAGTCATTTTGTTCTGACCTTCATTCAAGTCATCACCATCTTCCTTGTACGGTTCATTGATCATCCTACTTGCCTAATGGTAGAGACAGCCACCACCACTACTACTCTTGATGATGCAGACTCCAGTGTTTTCACGTTTGCTTCGGCTTGGAACAGTATAACCCCCTCAGACCCATGTCATGGGTGCACTGTGAAACTAGATTCAGGCCAAGTTCTGGATGGGACTTGGCATGATGGATCGGTAGGTGGGAGTACAGCGTTACTTGAGTTTGAAGGTACGATTGTCGACGAGTTCTTCTTCTCTCGTGGACAGTTCAGGGACTCACTCGGGATACAAATCCAACTCGTCACCTATCAGGTTCCGGTGTAACACTCTATGGTGTGACCAATGCCGACCACACGAGCGCATTAAGATTCATTCTAGACGGTGGCTCTCCAGTCAATCTCGACCTCTCGTCAATCCCTCAATCCCCCACCGCAGTATACAACTACCAATTTTTCAGTGCATCAGGGCTTTCGAGTGGTTTTCATATTCTTTCGTGGACCATCGAAAGTAATGTTTCGAGTGCTGTTGCGTTGATTGACTACGCGATAGTAACTTCCGATGGCGCCTCGTCGCCCTCTACGTAAATTAGTCTGTTTCCGACCCGTCGTTTCTCTCACTTATGTGTTTCCCAGGTCTCAAGTATCCTCTTCCCCCTCTTCCACGTCTTCTTCCTCTCCCACCCAGAAATCTAAACCCACAGCTACGACGATTGTTGATGCGGTTCTAGGGAGTGTTGCTGGTGTGGCGTTGGTTGCTGTTATAGTTTTCTTACTTGTGCGACGACGGAGGAAGTCAACTCCGAGTTCGATTCCAGGGCTCGAGAATTTTCGCTTCGATAATAGTAACCAATATTTCTTTTCCATCGTGATTTGGTTTCACCTTGAAATCTTAGATCTGGACAGTCAACTGACGCTAGAAAACGATGCACGACGGGAAAATATTCAAAATACGCCTGCGCTACACTTACCTGTTCGAGGTCGAGTCCGAGACACTGGTGAGTCTTCACAGACTCGTTAAAATTTAGTCCAGCATGATGCTTATTTATCTTGTATATTTATTAGAGGAATCTCCATCCCAATCTAGGTCGCCCCATCAGGCTGAACCTCGACCTGAAGTTCATAATACCAACACCGCCAACACTGCCAATACTACGGACTCAACCAATAGTCCTAGCGAATCTCTACCTCCCAGTGAACCTATTCGACAACTGGAACAGAGGATTCACATGCTCGAACAAATGCTCAGACAGGCAGATCATGCAGAACTGGCACTTTACGCGGGTTCTCCTCCGCCATATTTATTGATCTAGTAAAAGACTAGTGTACCCCTGCGGGGCTCATATATTCTTGCTTATAGCATTTTTATCATGCACTGGCATAACCCAATACATATTTTAGCACCAATCCCCATGACCCATTTTCAAGTTCAAACTATAATTGCAATTATGATTAGTTTGTAATCATTCTGAATACTAACCAGGCCACTATTTGTTGTATTCTTAAAAATTGCTGCATATGAGCCTCATATTCTGCTCTAATTATAATAAGGGGACTATTTGGAATATCATGCAGGCACATATTGGAAGAATTTTGGACAAAACACCCCACAATAATCTCAGCCTTTTCAGGGTGAGGAAATGGGCTCATCCTTGCAGTGTTATGGAAACTATGCACTTTGTAGAAATCACTTTGTCATTTTTGAATAAATGCCAAATGTAGGTGTGTCGGAAGTCCACGCCGAACTCTTCAGTGTTCGATTCTCATATTCGACCTCCAAATTCAAAAAAGAATGTTGAAATCGGTAGTGAAGGATTAGGAGATCCCTGTTAGTCTCTGTATCGATTAAACAAATTTAAGGTTGTCGCAAAATTTAGAAAGGCGCCGAGTCAAAGCTCGTTTGAAAAACTGATTCAAGATGTTCAAGAATTAGGATCCAATAAGAAACTTGGAGGAAAAATCGCAGCATGTGGAGGTCGCGAAGTGAGCGGCTACGAGTCATAATTATGGATAGAGTGATCGAAAAGTTTGATGATACACCAGTTCTACCAAGTCGTAAATACTATATACTCTATCCTCATATCCTGCCATGAGTTCGATATACACTTAAAGCTACGTCTCGACATGTAAGTACATCCATTTCAACCCAACTTTAGCGCCCTGGCGCCTTATGTTGAGCCTGTTGTTGGGCTTGTTGAGCCTGTTGTTGGGCTTGTTGAGCCTGTTGTTGAGCCTGTTGAGCCTGTGCCATAGCATACTGCTGCTGCTGTTGCACAAAATGCTGCTGCATTGCTCGCATTTGCTGTTGTGTCATCTGCACGCTCTGCAACCCCTTCATCGCGGGTATTGCCTGAACACCCGGGACGTGCATACCTTGCTGATGGGGAATCCTCATCGCGGACATCGCAGCAAAGTACTGTTGTGGAAGCTGGCCTGCTGGATAACCAGCTGCTTGGGCAGGAACCCCGTACGCATACATGGGATACTGAGCTGCGCCATGCTGTTGGGATTGTTGTTGTTGTTGAGCAGCCTGGACAACGTTCGACGTAGCTTGTGAAGGCGTTGTTCGTCTCTGCTGCTGCTGGGCTTGGAAATTCGCATGAAGCTGTTGCTGAGCTTGAAGGTTCGGATGGAGCTGCGAGTGCTGCATTTTAGGCGTCTGAATAGGCTGTACTGGCCGTGGTTGGGCCTGGTTCGCTATCCGTGGCGAATTCACACCCACGGCAGGGGGTCCTGTTGCTCGAGACCGAGGTCGAGGGGAATTAGTAGCACTGGCAGCCGCGGGAGGGGAAAGGTGCGAGGTATGCGGAGATGCACTACCACCACTGTTTTGGTTTTGGTTTTGATTCGGATTCGAGCTATGTATGCCGTTCGGCGTCGTCAGAGAGGAAGGTATAGGCGACCGCGTGGCTATGGCATTCGGTATCATAGGACTAGCTCTTGGTATGGCACCCTGCTGCATCGGTTGAATTGGCGCTGAAAGACCCGCGACCTGTTGTTGGCCCTGGGGAGAGTGCGCCTGAGCCTGAGATTGAGCTTGATGCGCCGCCGCTAAACCTATCCTCTGCTGCTGCATCATCATCATCTGAGCTGCTGAATGCTGAATTTGATTCGTATGATTTGCATGAGGCGGGTAGGCTGAATTGTAAGCTTGAGTTTGGGCCTGTGCACTATTGGGGACTTTCGTTTGGCCATTCCGAGAAGGTGGAGGTTGCTGAAGAAAGTTAGCACCTGGGGCGGATGGTTGGAATGATTGTTGAATGGGTTGTTGCGGAAGATGCGGCTGCAGTGGCTGTTGAGGAACCTGAACGGAATGAGCAGGTTGGGGATGTGAGGGAGGCGGTAGTGGTTGTTGGGGATGAGTTGAAGGAGGTCTTGGAGAGGCTCGTGCGGCAGAAGGTAGTGGCTGAGGCTGCACACGCGGTGTCCCGTGCTGCGGAAGATTAACGTGTGGGTGATGATTTTGTGGTGCGACCGGATGAGGTTGCATGTGTGACACGTGCGGCGACGGCGAAAAACGCTGAGCTGGAGTAGGAGTGCGTTTCAATTGAGAGTCTACCGAAGCAGAGGCCTGTGGATTGGGGTAAGCCGTGACGTGTGGTTGAGGAGAAGGAGAATGATGAGGTTGTGTGTTTAAGATCACTGGTGTTTGGGCACCATTTCCGCGATTACCGGTAACATATTGCATTCCTCGTCTCGTAGCCTCAGTATTAGTCGGAGAATGTACTTGGATGTATTGCGACGTCGCGGAAGACGGTGCAGGAGAAGAATGGTGAGAAGATTGATTGGAGGAGATGAAGACCGCCACATCATGGGTTGGAGGGACGGGTGTATGAATTGGTGCACGAGGCAGTATTGGTTGTTGAGTTTGGAGTGGAACGGATCCTGACCTGCGCTGTTCGTCTCGTATTCGCTGTCGTAGTTCCAACTGACGGAATCTACAACGAGGAGACAGTCGACATCAGAACTGGGATATCGACAGATAGAAATACAAACTCACTGTCTGGAAGCCCGTGGACTATCAGGAGCCAAAAACCCTATAATCTTTTCTTTGCGAGCTTTCTCCGCTTCGGCCTTTTCTGCATCGAGAGCGGAGGCCTTTCGTTTAAGCGAAACAGGTGTAGAGGGAGTCGTGACTCTCAGCACATTATTTGCAATTCGAGAGAGGTGAGGGTTTGGATCCAGACACAAGGGGGCTGAGGTAGCCAGCTGACGGAACATTAGATTTTACGAGTGTGAAGAAATACGCTAACACTTACCAGGATACGAGCTTCAATTTCAATAGCCTGAAGATCAGTGAGATTACCGCCTGAATTTGAGTTTATAACACAGAGGTCAGCCCAGAGTGTTTCTGAAGTCGAATGCAAGACTTCTCGTGTCTTTTCCGGGATTTCAAGTGGAGGATCAGTTGGTTTGGTGGGACGGTAGTCTAGGAGGTCCACAATTAAGCAGCCTGTAGCAGGATGATTAGCACAAAATTGTCCATGTATATTACAAGGTTGGTACCTTCGAAATATCGGACTCCAGACTCATGAAATATCTCTACAAAGTCAACAGGTATCCGGTGAGCGCGAACATCGTCGAGGAAGCCCTACATCCGAAGTTTGGTTAGTAGAGCGCAATTTCACTCCTTGGAAGCCGATGCCGACCACATATTGGTTATCATAACGAAATCTTGAGCCAGAATTAAGAGTCCAAGCGTCGGGATGAAGATGGATAGTAAACGACGGCAGTTCTGCCTTGTAACGCTCTAGCAGGCCCTGGGCAGTGTGAGTCACAGGTTTTGACCAATAGACAGTAATTACCTCGACGAAACGCGTCCGATTGTATCCATCCATAATGATACAGGCATTAACAAGAGGTAACAGTAGCGGTTAAAGTAGACGTGGGAATATTTTATCAAGGTCTCTGTCACGCGACTATATTTCTCTATAATTCTGACCGTGACGAATCGATTTGCGTGACGAGATTTGACCAGGCGAAAAATGTCTTATCCTATCAACCACTTGTACACCAATGGAGGGGCAGTTAAAAGAGGTGCTTATGGCTTAATAATCTTATCCGAAAACCATCTGACATTATCATCAGCTTTTATCCTTTCTCCGGGATAAAAACCCCCAAGTCCGACAGATTGCTCTTGACAATCTTTTACCACAAACACCCAAGGATGCTCCCCACAGAGAGATATTTTTCGAGTCAAGATCTAGCGCTTTCAAAAAGACCGACGAGCCTCCAGTCATCCGAGATTTGAAGCTGCTATGCAGGGATCAGTTAGTGAGTTACTGATAGGTAATACACATATGGCTTTCATCTCATTGTGGTCGAGGCTATAGCTCATGATGCGTTCAAAGCCCTGATTAACCTGTCGGATTCGCCTTTGCTAGTATCTACCCTCTCCGAACCATCGTTTCTCAATTTTCTGGTATCCTATATAATTGTTGGTACCCTTCTTCGTCGATACTCTCTCACCTAACCTGACTGTTATCTAGAATCCCCAATCTACACTCGCAGACCTCGCTTCAATGCTGCTCTCAAACCTTACCGCGTCAGCTAGTGCATGCTCTATAGTTATCTCGATGAAAGTCAAGATAGTTACTTCCGCAAATGTACCAAATGGTTTCTTTGCGGTGGATTCTAGAAGCGGTTCATGCCCGGCACCTGTACCGTATCCACAGGGTGAAGAACGAGAGGTCTTGGCACTACCTCTTCTTCTGGATGCATTCGTCCAAGGCGCCAATGTAGAAGACATTCCTGACTTGGCGAAACGCCCGAGGAAAGGAAGCTTGCATTTTCTGGCCAGTGTATTTGCGAATCTCACTTCGGTATATCACTTTCCTTCATTTCCTTGTCTTCAATGATTTTATCTGACATCGTTTCTAGTCTTCATCAGGGCGTGAATTTTTCGCCACACCACGTCCGTCGAACCCTCTGAAACCGGACGTGGATGTTGAATACCCGTTATCCAAGATCATTTCGTTCACTGAACATCGAGACACCATACGTCGAGGTGGCGTGGCGTCTACAATCAAGTACGTCGATATACAATTTCACATCCTCAAAATCGATTGACTTTGATGTGCGCAGAAACTTTGCATTCAATGCACGCGCACACCGCGCCCTCCTCACACCATCAACAGTCCTTGTCACTGTCCCTTCTGAATCATCCAAAGTTTCCACAATAGCCGCGCCAGGCATCGACGCCCTCCCGTACCTCCTCCTGCCACTCGCTGGCCCAGAAGATTTCGATTTCGACGTACAGGAGAAGCTTCCGGAAGCTCTACAATTTCTACCTCCTGATAAAATTCGGGAACCAGACGAAGCCATTCGTTTGATCCTAGTCGAGGTGTTGCTATTGTTATGCCATACTAGATGGGGAAGAGATCACCTAAGGGGTACAGGCGTGTATGAGATTGTGAGGGCTGCGCATGAAGCCGAGAGTGTTGAGAAGGTATTGACTGATGCTCTCACTTGATCAGTCTGCTCAATAACTACCTTATTTATACACTTAGATCTCCTCCCATATTGAACGCCTGGTACAACTGATTAAATGCGAAGAACCTCCCTTATCCGAGGCGCTAAACGAAGAAGACGAATATGATGCACTTCCTGGGGACGGTGAACTTCCTCCTGAAACGAGGCTTATACAAGGATTAGGTGGATTTGGAAATATGCGTTTATCGAACGAAGATACGAGTGGGAAAAAACACAAAGTTAAAGAGCAAGTGAAAGAGGATGATGATAACGATGAGGAGGAATTGGTGATAGAACCGCTTGGTGCGGATTCAGATAGTGATGATGATAGGATTGTTGAAGTATAGAGTCGTGTTGTTTCGATCTCATATACTCTTCTTGACTTTTGAGAAAAGTCATGCTCAGCATCAAATACATAGTACTTCATAGTACATATGTACTAAAGATCTGCGTGAAGTCTCAAGTATCCAGCTGGTCGTCATCGAAACTTGATGCTATCTACGTCTACCATGCTGATACAAGGAATGCTCTCAACATCGCTTGCTAAAGCATATTCCCGCTACCTCTTTAGAGGTTGAAGGGTTTAGTAGAGCGAACTATTCGATCATTTTTGGCAGTAAAAAGCGATCCTGTCATACTTTTTTAGTCATACACACAGCCTTTTCTCCTTATATGCCAATTCATGCACAGTTTCACCGTTGTTTCTGTGTGCAATGCTTGTCCTAACACTTGTCATGTTATTCTACAATCACAACAAAGTAGCTCCCAAAGTAACCTCTTCCAATAAGCTCCTTAGTAGACCGATCCTTACATTAATTTTGGCCATAAATGGCGAAGCTGTCATACAATTTTTGTCATACACACAGCCTTTTCCCCTTCTATGCTGAATCATGCACGCTTGCCTAACGCTTTCATTCTATGAGCGAAACAATCTAGTTCCCATAGTAAACTAATTGGCATATAAGGAGAAAAGGCTGTGTGTATGACTAAAAAAGTATGACAGGATCGCTTTTTACTGCCAAAAATGATCGAATAGTTCGCTCTACTAAACCCTTCAACCTCTAAAGAGGTAGCGGGAATTTTGGCGGTAAATGTCATGTGTTTTCAGTCATGCATAGCCTCTTTCCTTTTTACCATACACCACTTCCCTTTTGCTTAACGGTGCTCAACACTACTAGTGCAACCATCTAGCTTCGGAATTTACCCCTCCAAAATATCTGGAGATTTGTGTGGGATGATCTGTCGAAAGGACACGTATTGGTTCAAGAACCTAAATGGTACGAGCTGGTATGAGTATGAATGGCGAAGTGATTCCATCATACTCAACCTTTGAACGGTAGCGGGCCCTGCCGCTCGCCGGCGCTACTTCGTTATGTAGATAGCACCATTGGCATCTGCCAGCAGATTGAGGGTGATATTCGTCAGCAATTATCCACTCCACTACCAAGCATCTGCACGCCCGTTGTCTGTATCCAAGCTGAAGACCTTGAAGGACCCTGGGCTAATATTGATTTCAAAGGTTGACATTGTACCGCGAATTATACTGGTGGAAGGCGCGCAAAGAAGGTCGTGACTGTAGAGAAAAAAGGGAATTCGGAAGGAGAATTGAGGATGAGAACCCACAAAGACTCAAAACACTTATGTAGGTCTTAGACTGAGCCTGTGCCATGTAGACTCTTGGAGGGCCTAGTGCTGACGGGTATCGATGCAAGGTACGTGTCTTTGTATGAGAAATAATCTTTGACCAATATTTCCCTTTAGTTTTTGCCGCCTCCCCCGCGGCCTGTTCCTTTTTTTCGTCCTCCAAACACATAATATCTCGTTCTGTGCCGTCTCACTGTTGAGAACAATGAAGGCCTCCTGAAATGGGACTGAAAGATTGGGATGGGTTCAAATCAAATTTGAACTGGAGCGGGCAGAAGATGAAAAATAAAAGGACTCGGAGAGTCGACGGGGTAGTGTACTGTACATCGGTTTGATCTGTTTATTCCGATTAGCTCTACTACATTACTAATCGTGGCATACAGCCGTAGATGCACATCTTGCTTGTGGTATTCCATGGACCAAACGTATTTGCACTCGATACTGTATCCTCGTCGGTCCGACTCGGCGCGCTCTACTTACAGTACTGGTCATTGTCGGCCTTACCAACAAACGTTCAAGGACTTGGGTATTTTCTCTTCCCACCAGAATATGTCCCATCTATTTAGGTTTCACCCAAATCTCAACTCGGAATGCTCTCAAATTTCTCGGGGAGCAGGAAATTAATTGAGTTTTATACCGCCGCCTCAAAATCACAAAAATCAATCATGCGAGGTTATCGAGTGATTCGGTTGTCTTTATACTTGATCTTGGCTTGATCAACTGAAAAGTATACCATTGCATTTTGGACGGAACCTGGGATTGGTTCTACATCCAAAGCCAGGAGGCTGGAGTGCATTGCTGGACTCTACTGGAGCTCACTCGACGGGGATCAGCATCCAGCGCTCAGCAGTGGGGACCCTTCACACGTCAGTCATTATATGAAGTCAATTCAAAAGATCCACCCTCAAAGTTTTGAATCTTTCTGATACTCCAACTCCAAGGAACTCCAAATTCGCGAAAAGATACAAACACCCGTTGCGAAGGTATATATGGTTTTGTTTGTGGAAGATCGACCTGCAACTGATGAGTACATATGACTTTTCAGTTTACCCGCAACGAATGTTGATCTCCCTTGATCTTACCTTATATTTTGCTCCACCTTTTGGAGACTTGGAGCGAATTCTATGCGAATTCTCGTAACTAAAGAATCAAGGGTTTCGTTTGGTCGTTGACCTCGTTGCGGTATCGACAAAGTAGCGGTACCTCGGGCGTATAAAAAGCCTCACTAAGATGATTTGTGTCTTCCCATTCGTGCCAACCACTCCCTTTTCTCATCTTTCCCCTTTTTTTGCTGAGTTTCACCGCCAGTTCGGTTGAACTTGTTCATTCTCTTCACAACTACTTACTTGCACTTCAGCTTTGTTTAGAGCATCGTCGTACTATTTCCTTCCCTCACACCAGTCCTCGATTACGGTTCCTATTCTTTCATTGATTTTCGTCTTTTTGAGTGCCGAGCACCAATTCTACTCTACGACACGATGTTGTTCAAATACTCTCTGTTGGCTCTTTTCGCATGCGCAACGACCTCGGTCGTAGCAGCGCCTGTTGCTGCCGATGCTTCCTTGGAGGTATGTTTTATCTCGGTTGTCCCTCCAGCCCGATTTCTAATCCCTTTATTGATAGGCTCGTCACCACAAAAATGCAAATGCCAATGATGCTGCAGGAGCTAATGCTGGTACCGGTACTACTGCTGCAGGTGAGTTCAGAAGCTCATCGTGTTCTCTCCTCCTCAAACCTCATAGGGACTACTGTTGCTGGTACGATTGGTACCAACACTACCACCGCAGGGACAACAAGCACGGGTGCGACTGGTGCAACTACTAACTCCACTACCGCCGGAACAACGACTAGTGATACCGGTGTCGGTGCTACCACTAACTCCACTGCCGCAGGCACTACTGCTGCGAATTCAACTGCTGGATGTACTACAGCAGCGGGCACGGATACGAATTCCACCGCCGTAGGCACTACAACGACGGGCACGGCTGCGAATGTTACTGACGCAGGTACCACCACCGGCGCTACTGCTGGTACCACGGGCAATTCGACTACGGCGGACTCTACGGGTGCCACAGCTAACTCGACCACTGCCGCTTGCACAACTGCGAATTCGACTACAGCAGACGCGACGGGCGCTACAACAAACTCGACCACTGCCGCTACTGGCAATGTAGCGAAGGCTAAGCATCATCATAAGGGTCAGTGTTTATTTCTTCTATCCATATCGATTTCGTTAGGAACTCAATTAAATTCTTTCTTTTTCTTTTTTCCCCTCGTCGCTGTTAATGCCTGCTAACTTGCTCTCTGCCACCGACAGGAGCTGCCGCCGCCGCCGCCGCCGGAACCGGTACAGGTAGATATTTTGTTTCTTTACATTGACCTTGACCTTGAACTTATTTTGCTTTCTATCAAGCCGCTGGAGCTGCAGGAGCCGCTGCCGCAGGTACTACAGGCACGACTAACTCAACCACCACCACCGGGACAGCTAGTACCACAGGCACGACCACCAACACCACGACTGGTACCACTGGAGCAGACTCCACTTCGGCTGGCACTAGCGCGTCGGGGACTACTGTTAACGCTACCACTGCCGGCACCACCGACACGAGTGCAAACTCGACTGCTGCTGGAACAGGGACGACCGGTGCCGACACTACGGCTGTTGGCTCCACTACTGCCGATTCAACAACGGCACTCAAAATCCGTGCGCTCAAGTGGGTATTCATTTGCTACGATGACTTTTGTTTTTGCTCATTTTTCCTTCCCTTCCCTTCCTACCCTACTACCCACAGGGATCTGAACGCTCGTCGTGCCTTGGCCTTGCTCGAGTTCAATAAAATCTATTAAATGCTTGTCAGCAACTGGTAAAATCTCACCAAAGGACTTTGATTAGTACGACGGACTGCTTTATAGCCCATAAGCCTGCTAGTATCTTTATAAATCTGTTCTTCACCTTCCCTTCTTCCGAGCGAGTGGAGGCGAGTGGGCGATGTTACTTACTCGACCAGAAGTTTGGTGGGCACGCGAATACAATGTTCTGCGACTTGATTTGATACGAGAACGTTCATTAAGTTCCAAGCACTATCTGCCAACGGTACTGTATGAGCATGCATTGTATCCATTGTGAGACGAGAACGCAAGGATCGACCACATCGTTCAGATGTTTTGAAACTTCCAGCAAACACGGAAGGAGTTGTAAATGCAATCTCGGGAGTGCAGTCACTGAGTTTGTTGAAGCCACTACGAGCCACTACAGTGGGAAGGAGTTCAGCCGGTTTCCAACGATACATACTATAGAAGATCAGAAGGGTTTATTAATGTGACGCTAAAATGCCTCGCCAATATATTTAAATATTTGCACCAGTCTCCAGTTCTTTTAATTTCTTTACCCTTTCTTCCCCTACGGTTACCTTCTTTTCTACTCGTAGACGCGCAAGCTCGTCAACTTCTTTCTTCATCACTAGGTCTCCCAAGTTCTAGGAGCTCTTTCAACTTCATCTTCACAGAAGCAGCTGTGCTTGTTTCTTTCGTGGTCCTTTCTCATAATTCAGAAGGCTATCACAGTTCCTCACTGCCCATAACTGTGTCTGGAGCACAGTAGATAGTGGACGTGGTATCAGCACCAGGGCAATCGCTAAAAATTTCGCTACTACTTTCTTTACATTTTACGCCCTCTCAATACTATTCATCATCGGCATGTCGTTGACTGTCCAGTCCTGGCCCGGAATTGCCCTTATTTTATGGGCTTACCTCATAAGGATAACCATAGGTGCACCAATTCCTGTAACATCCGAGGTAAGCTATTCACGTTACAATCTATCCCTGAAAACTGACTTTTTTTATCTTTCTATCAACCAGGGTCTTGGTGAAATAGGATCCTTGAGCAGTATCGCTCCAATGGCATTCGCGTTTGCTGTCGAAGCATCCGGGGATTTTATGGATTTCGTGTTGGAGTCTGAGTCGGGACTAGGCCTTGAAAGTCTCGAAAACTCGCGCGAAGATATCTTGGATGCTTTTGATGTGCAGATGAATATTAATGATGCGGAGCGGATTTTAGCACTCGGGGAGCCTGAGCCATTTTACCTGGATTTTGACCTTGATTGCGATTCCGATACGGATGCTTTCGAGGACGAAGACTATGTTGTCATTGATTTCGATGACTATATTGACGTTGATAGAGATGAGGTCTATGATAGAGACGAGGACTACGTCGACATTCGTGAGAACGAAAGCTATGTTGCCACCGATTCCAGCGACAATGATCTGCTTAAGCTAGGCGACGAGGACAATATTGTCGCAGACCTCGATTGGGATAAGGTTCGAACGGAGACGCTCAAGTTCAACCAAGTTAACAGGTGAGTCTTGCGCCGTTCAAGTTACCAGAAGTTTTATTCCGTGAACTGATGACGGTACTATTGTCACGACAGGAAAAGGTCGCGGAGACAGCTGATGAACCCGTATATACCTCCTTACAAGATTGTTTAGGGTCGTATTGCGATTTTCCAGCTTGGTTTTGCTATCAAAGAACTTGAACAAAGAACACTTTCTGATTTGTCAATTCTAGACGCCTGAAAATATCTATGGCTAAGCGCCGAGCAAGACCAATCAACAATTTATGTGACCTCTACGATTGATTAAACTCCTCTCTGTAATTTCTATCTCACTGAGGGACGCTTGTGATAAGACGCAGCGGACAAGATTCACAGACGCAGTGGCGAAGTATCTGTTTATCCACAGAAATTACCTAATTCAAGTTGTGCTTGAAACGAAAACAGACGAAAACCGAAAACAAACCTTTGAGTTGCCCACAAAATTTGTTGCGCAACAATGCACTGGGTCAAGGTCTGATTCAACTAGCTTTCCTGTAACACGCTTGTTCACTAGATCACCATAAAAAGCATATTAGGTACTCCCTTCCAATGAATATCAACTTGTTGACTGACTTAACTAGCCTTGAACGGTGCTGTTTGAGACTCTCAGTTCCTACTCTGTTAATCCATTCTGTTATCAGTATACGTAGTACTTACAACGAAAAGATTGCTGAAATCATGAGCGCGCAGTTACACACGTAGTGTCTCTCGAGCGAGAATTTTGGCGACCAGATTCCGACGTTACGAGAGGTTACGAGAGAGCAACATTCACTCTTCTCAAAAACAGGGTTGGACCCGGTAGAGCCCAGGTAGAGTCGATTTCATGATTATCCAATTATTATGAGTTTGTCGAGCCGTAACAAAACATAGCAAAAGAGGGTATAGATATAAGAATCAAGTCGAAGTCGAGACAAAAACACTACCAGTCAACATTAATTTTTTCCAGCAGCAGTACGCTGTAATAAATATTTATCTAGCATCTGTCAAAGACATGTTAAGCAAGGAACAGAACAGAACATATAAAACGGACAGTAATTCACCTCGTCCATTTCAGCCATTCGTTTGAACGAATCAGCATAAAGTTCTCTTATCTTAGGATGGAGACTATCCAGATCGATCGGTCGACCAAAGAGCATATCGTTCACAGAATCAACATCGCTGTCATTTCGCCCTCCTGGCTTGTTCAGCGTCTTGGGTTTCATCGCCCGAAACTCAATCACCGAGAGCATATGTGATACGCCGAAATCTTCTTTGGTATGGATGGGAGGAGGGCGTTTTGTTGTAGGCGTTGGAGTTTTTCGTTGTTGGTGGGGAAGAGTAGGGACTGGTGCTGAGGTTGAAGGTGAAGTTAGCGGAGTCAGCGGAGGCGCAGATATCAGGGCAGATGTCGGGGTAGGCGTAGATCGTTCTCGTTCGATAGGTGAAGTGATCCCATGGGAATTGGCAGTGATATATCCGGAGCCATCCGACAAGACAGACGCTACCGAGGGATTTCGCCTGTTGCTTGGTATGTTTGTTGGTGTTGTTGTGCCAGGCCGAGCTGCAGATACCGGAGTTGCAGACTGGGAACGCACTTGAGCATGTGCGTCAACCGTAACCGAATCGTCGTACGAATATCGCGAAGACACTGAATCTGACCGTAAAGAAGGAGACTGGACCCGTTTCTGAAGCAATAAATTTCCTTGCCCCTTTCCAACCTTGATCTTGTTCAGAACGCGGTCGAGTTTTTCGTTAACTCCTCCTCGACCTACGACACCTTCCAGGAGATCTCGCTTGTGGCCAGTTCCATCTTTCCATTCCTCTTCTACAATATCGCTGATATCATAAGCAGCACCGTCGGGGAGAACGTACGAATACCGCAATCGGTCGTCAGTATCGTACCTCGAACTTCGTAGACGCACATTTCCAGGTAAAAGGATATCCACTCCCCGCACAGAGTTTGTTTGGGTAGAAAGCATCGCACGTTGGTTAGCCCGGGACGCTTCACGTTGGGCGGCGATGATCTCCTTCCGTGAAGGTTGAAACTGCGACTGCTGCTGTAGTTGCATCTCCGAAGTCCTTGGGCTCAACTGATCTGAGCTCGCATTCGAAGACTGAGATTCTCGATGAAGATTCCGCAGCGCTAACTCGTCCAGCGGAGCAGACATACGGTGGCGGGAGGTGGAATTACGATACGATGTCGCCCGTCGGAGAACGAAGACCGGATCATCAGAGGAAACGTCCTCAAGGGTACCCAGAAGCTGGGCAGAGTCCACGGAACGCCTTTTAGAGTCTTGAAATCGACGGTCAACAGCCTTGTAAGTCGGTGGCCGGCTGTATGCATCGATGACTTTGCTGGATGGAGCCAACTCTTTCTCTGTGCAGACAGACAATTAATCAGTAGTGTGGAAAGAAAACTTTGATCGAGGGGAAGGAAAGCACACCTTGGCCTCCCATATCGACACTCAACCCATACCTCACCCTCGATGAGCTTCTTCTCTTCGCAAGTTTATCTTCGACCTCGTCACCACCATCAACCACACCCTCCAATATTCCGAACCGTTCGAGCCCAATCTCGATGACTTCGGCAACTGTGACATTTTTGGGGAAAACGAAAACCTTGCGACGCAGGTTCATCAGGATCCCAGACGACTGTGACTGTGACGACTGTTGTCTATCCCTCAATGTATGCTTGAACACAATCGCTTCTGTGAGCGGATCAAACACCATGTCGTCAGGAAGATCCTCGGGGTATATGATGACCTGCATCGCAAATCGGAAGGAAGGAGAACTGAATCTTTCTACAGAAACGTTGCCTTGAGTAGAAACAGTGAGATGCCTTGGTGAAGCTCCAACCTCCAGCTCTGAAATGGTAGAAGTATCGGCAGCAATCAAAGTTGTGTCTTCTTCAGCTCCGTTATGCCCAACATCGCTGTCACCATCTGGATCACCCCTTCGGTTCAGATAAAACTTGACCACTGAATCATCCGAAAAGTCATTCATAGGCAACTTTTTGATCGCCGGATGCATCGAGAGATTACTTGAGATCGAGCTGATACTACCCATACTGCTTCTCTTGACTTTGGGTACCTCCATCGCCGCCTCGACGAGACTTTCGAAAACCACAAGGGGTTTCTCCGTGTCGTGAAGGATAGCGGAGGACCCTTCGACCTGCTTGACTGTGAGATAGTAGTCATTGGAATCCTCAGCAGCAGGGAGCCTGAACCGCTGTAAAGCCTGCTTGACAAGTTCAGAAGAGGTAGTCGAGGACGCGAGAAGAACAGTTTTGAAGGTCGCCTCCGTCTGGAGATTTTTTCCTGCAAAAACACGAATGACGCTAAGCTCAGGGATATGGCCGTCGGTAATGCCTTGGTTGAGGATTAAAGATCCTGGTCGGGTACGTTGGGTGGGTGGACCAAGCCCGCTGGAAGAGCTCGAATACGAGTTCAAGGCAGAGACTGACTGTAAGCCATACGAAGGTTGAAGCTCGGGAGGGGAAGACGGAGAGCGGTTCAGGTACTGCTGATACAGTAACTGTTGCTGTTGGTCCCTCTGTCGCAATTGTTGTGATACCTCCGGAGGGATAGTTGACTTCCCTGGTGGTGTCTGTGGGGGTTGGTTATTAAGCCGTCGGGGATCCATCGAGTTTCTAAGAGCGGCTACTTGCTGTTGTTGTTGCTGCTGCATAGCGGTTTGTGTGGTCGGAGAAGAAGCTAGGGTATCGGTGCCAGACACTCTTCCAGAGGACTCATCAGAAGTTTGACTAGGTCGTCCACTGTCTGACACATCAAACGAGGATACAGAGCCGTTTTTGTCCTTCTTGTCTTTATCCTTCTTACGACCAAATATCCCTCCAAATACTGAGCTCTTCTTTTTCTTCCCGTCGTCTCCTTCTGTGTCGCGCTCTTTTCGAAGTTTGGAGCCTGAACCCCCTGCTGAAACGGACTTCGCATAACTCGCAGAACTGACTGGAGGAGCCATCTTCTGAGGTTCCTTCCCTTTGGCTCTTTTTCTGAGCGAGTCTTCCGATTCCTCTTCCCGGAGGCGTTTCCGCTCTTCTTCCTGTTTTTGGAGAGGAACAGGAGTAGAAGTACCTTCGGGATCGCGAACGATACTGGGTGTCATCGTCATGCGAACGGTATCCTGCTGCTCGAGGGGATCCCGACGATGAGCGGAGTTGGATGAAGTAGGACTGTCTTGAGGCTGAGCAAGTCTCTCGCGGGAACCAGATGTACGTAAAATTTGTGGTTCAGGCGACGCCACAAGAACTTGGGGCTGCTGCTGGGCTAGCGCCTGTTGTCGTTGTTGTTGGACTTGCTGTTGCTGGGGCAATTGCTGCTGATGTTGTAGAGCATCTGAAGGAATAGGCCGTATGTTTGAGGGGGGTTCAGCTACAGATCTCGGAGCCATTTGTCTCGCGCGCATTCCTTCAACAGCCGAATCATCCCAGCGCATCCCATCGTCAGGCTCCATAGTCATAGGTATTCCAATTGTGCCAAGTTTTTTCCTCTCTTCGGCAAGTCTGAGCTCCTCCTGCTCCTCTTCAGCGGCAAGTGCCGCATCTTCGCCTTCGTATGATTCATCGTCCCATTCCACGTCCACGTCTTCGTCTTCATCTTCTGAATGCCAAACAGCAGGAAGATATTTATGGACGCGTAAAGAAGCAATGAGTTTAACGCTCTTAGTCGGTTGGGACTGCATGTGCATGTTAGGAGATGGAGACTGATTATGACCTTGGCGAGAGTTGAGATTGTTACGAAGGCGAACCTGCGACAATGCAAGACCATCTTGAAGCTCGGCTTGTGTAGCAGATGCAAGCTGTGAGTTGATATTTAGTTGTTGATCAATGTCAGAATATGCGCGCTTACATCGACATTACGATGCTTGTTAAGCCTTGCCAGACGTTCGAACGGCGTCTCGATGTTTTCGGCAGGAATATAACCGACTTCTTGCGTTTTGAGAACACGAACGAGCCACCAGTAGCTGTTGCTATCGTCCATCAAGAACAAGCTGTCGCCCTTAACAACATTCGCCTGACCTTCAACGGTAGCCGCGAAACTGTGAAGGGAGTATACCAAGTCAAAGTCTATAGACTCGTTTGGTATTGACAAGGAAGACGACCCGTCGTCAACTTCGTCGATATAGTCCTCTCTTTCTTCACCTTCAGAGTCATCCTCCAGTACAGAATGTTCTTCGTCGTCTGTGCCAACGAAGTTCGCAGCATCTGCATGAGCATCTAATTCCATCTGGTCGTCGGCATGAATTTGTCCTCGTAGATCGAATGTGTCGTTGCGGCTTGGCCGCCGCGCATCGATGTTTTGCATTAAGGACTGGGGAAAGACTCGTTGAGGTTGTAAAGACGAAGATAGAAGTAGAAGGAAGAAGGAATGTGGACAGGGCAGTCGACGTGCTAGACGCTCAGGCTGTACGGACGCTGTACTGGAACCTGACTGGAACAAACAAAATGATGCTATTGTAGGATTTAGGTTAGGGTTGACGTTGACAATTCTATCCTTTTCTCGCGGTTCGCTAGGCCAGAAGAACACACAAGAGTCTGAAATAACGTACCTCTGTATACTTTAAGGAACTTATGGTTAACAAGCACTTGGGAACTTGGTCCTCTGATCTTGTAGCATCTCTGTTCGTGCTAGCTTGATAGCCATACTAGGGGACGAAACTACTAGACTACATGCGCTCCGAAGTTGTCCTGTCATTTGCAACATCACTTGTGTTAACAACACTTGAGCCTGTTTGATGCAAATGCAACTGCGTCTTCGACCAGTATTCGACACACGCGTACTTTGCATGAAATTTAATGTAAATGACCTCCAAGTCGAACGGTATCTAACTTGAAGTAGGAGAAAAAGCATTGCAGAAAATTGGATTTAGCAAAATTATTATCCTGTGATTGCCTGTAGAATAAGATCGAGCCACAGGTGGCTCATTGTTCAACGAGTGGAGTTGAAAAAAAAAGATACTAAAGGTACAAGGGGTTTGGTATAAACTAATAATGTGCGGTTTAAGCACAGAGAGCTATCTATATGGAGAAGACCTACTCACCAAAATCATAACTGTTGTCCTTCCTTCATCATCTTTTGTATGTCCTCCAAATAGACCCCAAGCTCCTATACGATGACATTCAGCTCCAGCGGAAATGTGAACAAAACCCTTCGACGTACAGCATTATTAGGTTCGAATGCCAGACCGACCTGCAAAGCTTCTACTGCTTCATCCAGCTTGCCTAAACCAACAAGGGACCTGGCCTTTCTAAAATGACCCTTGCTCCAATTCCGACGGATAGCAATGACAGTTTCCGCGTCTGCCAAAGCAGAAATATAGTCTTCAGATTCAAAGTAAGAAGCGGAGCGGTTCGACAGAACTGTTGATAGTTCCTCCCGCATTAGTTGATTGGATTCCCAAGGAGGTCTTTGCACTGCTATCGAAGCGGCCATGGTATAACGACCGAGAGCTTCTTTATGTTTATGCATTTTATAGAAAGCCTATGTGTCTATGAGTCGGTGTAGTTCGCCGCAAATGGCGTAAGAACATACGTTTCCCTCCTCCTTTGTGTTATTTACTGCCTGAGAGAGGTTTTTAGAAATAACATTGCCAGGTGGCGGCGCTTTCAGATTTGGATTCTGGGCGAGTATTTTCGAAAGCCGATTCAAATGTACATAGTCCAAATTGCATGTAGAGCATTTTTCCTGTTTGTGTGGCTCGCAAAGGAGAGTTGTATTATCTGCCGCAACGATTACTGAGATTGGTCGAAAGTCTGCTTCTATGACTGCCAGGAGAGCTGGATCCGCCGTAGGTAGAGGTTGAGGCTGGGGTGGTCCATGAGAGTGAGATTCGCCAGGAGCATGTGAATGCGAATGCGACATGGTAGCAGATAATTAGAGGGGAGGAGACTCGGGAACAGTACCGAAAAAGTACGTGGCGTGGCAAATGCAATACGATATTAGCGCCAATAGGCGCCTATCTAATCAATAAAGCGATAAGATTCCTCACTGATTTGGATCCATCCTCGCAAATTTAGTTGTACTACATACTGTTCTACTGATGGTCTTGAAAAAAGCACATTCTCCCTTTACCTCGAAACGTGAACAACCTATCAGTAGAAAGGTTCGGTCAACTGAAGGCTTTCCTTATTGGCCTAACTGCCTGCGTTTTCAGCTTAGGAGTCTCCCTTGTTGACCCTTTTAAGTTTGAACAGAATGTTGACGAAATTGCTGCTTGGTGGGGCCCACTGACATCCCCAGACACTGGATCTCCACACAACGAAGTCTGCAAGCTAGAACTGCAATCAGCCGAAACCTAAGCGGCAGCAGATTCCGAACCACCCACCTTCGAGAGAAGTAACACGAATCGAGATTATTGAATAGAGGTACTTCAATCTCAATCCGCGATAAAGAACGTCCCAAAAGCAGGAGATAGAAAGGGCAGTAACTTGAACTGACAGTTGGGATGGTGAAAATTTTGGAAAGCACTGCTCACCAAGGACGTCTCTTGCTTATCGTCCAATGACACAGGTAATATCAACGTCCAACACGGTGATGTATGCTCCACCAGGAATTTGGGAGTATTCTTGAATAGAAGTGAGAACGACATGTGTAGTCGCACCCAGCGATGAATAGAGATTCGGTTTCTGACCTGATGGGAGTACAGCGCAATTCACAGAAAAAAACATCAAGCAGGCCGTGACGCTGATGGTGTTGGAGGAGTCGGAGTTCCCCATGATAGATGTACCGTAACATGTACCGCGCATCGTATGAATAGGGTCTGCCTGGTCTAAGGGTGTCGATTCGATGCATGAAAGAGTGTACATACGAGAAAGAAGGAAGTTACCGTGAATTCTTAATATACCTATCTTTCATTTCCGCTGCTTCTATGTACAACGCGATCTCTGGAGCCAGCCCATTGTAGTATCCCAGAGAGAATCGGCACCGTTCACCCACGGGTGGAACTTGGAAGACCGCCGGCACATCGTCTAACAAATTATTCACTCCCGTCTGCGACTCTGTCCTTGGGCAGACCAGTCGTGCAGCTGGCGCCGATATCGACAGCACTTAACATCAACGATCCGGCGTGGAAGTTTACTAGATGGCCTTGTTTGTGTTGAAAGATATATTCATGGTCCCAGAGAAATAATTACTTGGAACAAGCTCAGCAATTATCGTAGGCATTGGTTCAACGCCCTACATGTGAAAGAGCTTGGATTAGTGCATATATAAATCGCGAGAAGGAAGACGCCCTTTGCCCATAGATCGACGTCAGTTCTAGTCTAATACAACGTCAATACGAGTTTCCGAAAAGAAGTGGATTCATTTCACCCTTTGCAAATCCTGGTTCACATCGTGAACGACGATGAGTATGGGAATGAGAGATAGTTTGGGAAATCACAAGTACACAATGTTTCTTGCTACTAGGATGAAGTAGGTGATCTTCGTCGCATCTCGTTTTGAGAGTATATTGAGTAAGTTCCGGGGTGCTGGACGTCCACTAAGTCCATATGTCGTCCATGTATGCTGCACAGTTGTCTGAATACTAGCGGATAAACCTTCCTCTTACCATTTCTCTAAATCTGCAGCATCATGAAAATAACCTGGTAGTGAGCTCTTTTCTTGATCATACCAATCTGTACTAATGCGGAGCAGGCGGGGGCCAAAGCTACTACGTATCCACGTCAGCTGTAAGAGTTGAAGAGCTGAAAAGTCAAGCCTAGGAGGGACGCCCTATATATGCACGAGCCAAGCTGAAGAGACCGATAGACCGATACTAGTTCGATGTCTTGTGAAAATCATGTTCTCGTTAAGGTTGTGGCCAGATACTGGAAATCAAACCGACGCGGCGACGCCTGTATTGTACAGTAGTACCAGTGGTACTATAGGCCGTGTGTTGAACGTTGAACGTTTACAGGTTTGTTAGTGAAGAGCTAGATCCTGGCTAGATCAGGTTTTGTGTGTTTCCAAGAATTTTCCCACAATAGTTCCTCTCGTTACTCGTACCACAATGAGCTCTGCTGGAACAGACAGCAAACCAATACATGTGCCAATTGATCCTAGCTCCAGAAGATGGTCAGAGGGATACAAAGAAAAAGCGATACGAAAGACCAAGGAGAATCCCTGGGTTCCATTAGGTATGTGATCATACAAAGCGTCCGTTTGTAACATTTGCCGTCAACTCGATATACAGGTACTCTTGTAACGACCGGCGCACTAACTATGGCTGCTATTAGGTTGCGTCAGGGAAATTCGAGGAAGTTTCAAGTATGGCTTCGTTTCCGAGTTGCTTTCCAGGCGTTAACAATCTTCGCCATCCTTGGAGGCCTGTACAAATACGGACAAGCCAATCTGGAGGAGAACCAAAGGATCATGGAACAGATAAACCAGCAGAGAGGAGAAAAACATCTGGCAATGGAGCGGGCTGAACTAGAGCAGAGGATTGCGGATGCAACGAAGGCGCACGAGGAGCAGCAGTTGTTGAAGAAAGAGATTGAGAAAAACACGAAGGTTACTCCGGCGCCAGGTGGAATCTTAAGTATGGTGTCATGGGGGAAACGACCTGCTGTGTCGGAGCCGCCTGAACAGGCTGAAACAGCTCAGCTTCCATCGCTGCTGCCACCACTATCGCCGATATCGTCTGGATCTCAGCCTTCTCCCTCATCTAACGCAGGTGGAAGCTGGTGGAATGTTTTCGGTTGGGGAAGTTCAAACACAAAATCGGATTCAGATTCTCCGAAGAAGGATTCATAGGATTTTTAAAGCATTATTTCAGCCACAACTATATTACAAGAATCTATATCCAACCACTCCCATCTCCTTCAGTCACCTCCTCAGTCACTAGTGCCTATTGCAATGAAAAAATTGTTGGTTAAGCCTCCTTGCACCTTTGAACAAGGGCCCTATATCATCGCTGGGCCCAAGATTTCAGTCTTTCTTCAGTTGGTTCCATACTCGAAGTCTGCGCTTTGACCTGCGTTTCGATCTGCTCTTTCCATCCTTCTATAGGTTTTAATGTTTTTGCTACTTTCTCCACTCGTTCAAAGTATTTCGGTTCCAGAAATCCAAATTCATTCCCCGGACACAGGACTACACCGTTAGCAGAGAGATAAAACTTAAGTCCATCGGCGAGGGCCTTTTTGACGTCAATGTAGATCAATATGCCAGATGATTTGCGTATTCCTGAAATATTGTCACGACGCGACGTGAACTATTATAGTTGATTCAGGTATTTTGGGATGCTTCACTTACCGCTGAACACCTTATGATCAGTCCCTGCGAATCCTTGAGCAAGATGTATGTGATTGCGCGACATCCGCGATATTCCCTGCTTAGCTATAATCACAGAATGTATCAAAATCGAATCGCTGAAGGCTGAAGTAGTAGAGAGACTATGTCGTACATATAGTCTTCCACGCCTCTTCCGTGGTTCCATGCAACGCTATGGGTATTCTCTCTGCAGAACTGATGCGTTCCAACTCAAGATCAGTTGTCTGCGAAAGCAAAAGGATTGACAATGTTTATGGTATTTTGCCGAAGGACAATTGACGCACCTCAATCGAATGTCCTTGATTTGCTCGAATCCACCAATGATCACCTTCAGTCCTTTCGCTCTCGTATGTCAAGGTGAACCTTCCCTTGCTATCCTTTTTGACGACGTTTTCAATTTCCATAAATTCCACATTGCTCAGCGATTCATGCTTCAGCTACTCCACAAACAAAAAACCCTTGCATTATTATAACAGAGGGAGAAAGCAATTTACTCACCACATCCCGAACACGCGCATACCCATCAGACCGTATCGGAATACCCTCAAACCGACCCTGGTGACGCAAAAGCCACGAAAGACTCTTGGATATTTTCAGGCGTCGGCCGGTCTCAACTGAATGTTTGCGAATCTTGGGTCTACGGACGGAGCCTGATATGATTGTACCGCTTCCGTACTCTCTGCATGATTGGCTAACCACCGAGAAAAATACACTGCGAGGACCAAGCAGTCCTGACCTGAAGGAGTTTAAGGTCATTTTAAGCGCCTTGCTGCATGATGGCGGCATAGCTTATCCGCATTCCGGGGCCACATAGTAATAGTGGACGTATATTACCGCACCACACAGTACGATGTTTTAAATTTCTGCCGTCATAATTCCAAGTCTTCGTATTTATCATTATTCCATATGCATATCCAGGCCTGTGTGCTATAGTATGATAGGAGAGCTAAGAATTGAGAAGATATTTTTAATATTGAATTATGCTCATGACAAACATGACATGCAGTAGTCAGCACTTCCAGTGACTAGAACTTGAAGCAATGTAAGGAGTAGGCTGAGTATTATTCCGTACACGTGAATACCGAGTTCTGTCTAGGAGAGACTAGAGCTAAAACATTGCAAAAGGTATCCAGTGTTCACTGTTCACTAGTGAATCATAAGGAATCATACTCATGACAGGCACGAGACACTGACAGAGATGTTTGTCACTGCTCTCAAGCTCTCAATGCTCTGTTACACTTTAGGCTCACTGCATGCAGCCGGCACCGGTGCATGCAAAAAATACGCATTGTTGCACGTTATATAAAAATCACTTATTGCAGAAGAATGCTTGATTATCCGGGCGGAAACGATACACATGAAGAGCTTCTCGTGGAAAGAAGGAGTGAATGAAGAAGCGTCAGCTGCATGTACAAAACAGTACAAGATTTTACATACTCAACGTTGACTCAAAGAGGATGACATTCGGCGCCCTTCCTTGGCTTGATACATGTACATGTTTGTTGCTCGAGATTCGAGGCTAGCTCGGAATTCAACATAAGAGACAACCGCCAATTCAACTCACCTTCCAAGACACTGTTGCGAATTTATCGACGTAATAGACCCTAATTGTTCAACTTTGAACGTTGAGAAACCGAAACCGTTGTGTCAATAACAGTTCCCATCTCTTTCATCTTCATTTTTAATTGATTGAGGAGGTACTCGACGACAGGAATCTGTTAAAAAAGACCTGTAGATGGAACCATTCATGCATCGTCACAAGCAGCCTCTAGGATTCCGAGATCACCGAAGAGTTGGAGTGCCAGATATGTATGACAATGCCAAAATTCAATGGTGGCTCGACAGCTGAGAGGCTTTACATCGCAAGATGGGATGATGGGAGAGGTAAGAGGATAAATCAATGTGCAGTCCCGAGCAGTTTCAAGCTTGAAGCTCCAAGACCTTCCAAGAGCCGGACACGGCCGAAGATGGAAAGTTCGTACTAGAGATGTTCGGGAAAAAAGTCCGAACTTTCACAGTGGGTGCGGGCCGGCAGGTCTGCTAGAGATATCTCTGGAAACCCTCCAAATTGCGTCCTGGAAAATAGAAACTTTGAAAAGGCATTCGTGTATTGAGCGCAACGAAGAGGTGCGGTAGACGCGTAACACCCAATAGCGTGACACGTGGCGCATCTTTTCCTAATCTGGGATTTGTGCCTTACGTCCACTACGAAGCTTGTGCCTGTCGCGTTTTGTGATTGCGTTCTCATGTATCCACTCATGACCGATTCGGCTTCGGATTCTTACTCTCAGACTCTGGTTCTCATAGCTGATACGTTCTATATCCGTAATATCGTTGTTCTCCACTTCATCGACCTCTGTGAATCTTCGTAGTTGATCAAAGCTTGGTCTTTACTTGCTGAAATCACATAACTGGATCAAAGACATAAGCCAACGTCCGGCTGAAGGCTTATCATTACATTTCCTTGCCTCGTGTGCGCCCTTTTATCTCATGATTGCCATTGATTTCTCAAAAGGTTGACCACTGTGACGAAAAGGCTTCAATCTTCAAGCTCTGCCAATCTGGACCGTCCACTTTCGCCGTTTAGTTCTCTTGCAACAGTGATTAAGAATCATGAAATGAACCATTCAGCTCCTTTGGAAGAACTAAACCTCAGAGTTCACCGGACTTATACGTCCTCAGATGAGGACAAGTCAGAACGTACGTCGAGGTTACACCTCTATTTCTCTACATACTGATGAATGGGATCAGACTCGGTGTTAGCAGACGATAGAAGTGATCTATTCGATCCCAACTTTGACTTTGACGCTGGTACTTTGGGTAATTGACTGAAATTTGCATATTCAAGCAAGGACTCACAATATTATCTGTAGAGGAAGATTCTCCTTACGCCGAAGTACGCTCGGCTGTAGCTAACTTTGATGACCCGGATATGCCCGTCTCTACCATTCGCGCTTGGGTTTTGGGAATCATTTGGACCGTTCTGCTAGCGGGGATTAATCAAGTTATTGTTTACCGTTTTCCTTCCATCCTCATCACAAATGTAAGATCCGCCTCAATTGCTCAATCCCTAGAACTCATATTTCTTATGTAGTTTGTTGCGCTGCTGGTGATTTTCCCTTGCGGGCAAGCTTGGGCTCGAGTCTGCCCGTCGATATCTGTGTTGAAAATGCCTTTGAACCCCGGTCCATTCTCAATAAAGGAACATGTGTGTTCCTTCTTTTCCATATTGCTCATCTATATGGTTCATGACTGTGATTATTTCTCAGGTTCTGAGCTCTATTATGGCCAGTGTGGCTGCTCAAAGCGCATATTCTACCGACATTATTGCGGTCCAACGAGTATTTTACGGTGAAATATATTCTTTCCTTTGTAATTAGCAGCCGTTTTTTCTTGAACGTCTCTTGCTAACTCGATGACGCGATAGTCCAGTGGATGCTCACTGTGTCTACTCAGCTTATCGGTCTTTCTCTCGGTGGTGTAATGCACAGATTCCTAGTCGCCCCGCCGTCAATGAGTACTTGTCCATGTGTGCATTTTTCGGACTCTATTGACAATCTCCACACTAGTATGGCCGAATACGCTTGTCCAATGCGCTCTTTTGAACACACTGCATTCCCAGCAATACGCCGGAATCGGTAGACATAAAGGCCCGAGTCGAGAAAGGTTTTTCCTGATGGCCTTCATTGGTGCCGTCCTTTGGAGTACGTCTCCACAGGTCCTTCCAACCCATATCCGAAAATAATGACTGATATTACAGCTTTCCTGCCGAGCTATCTATTCACAGCTCTAAGGTGAGATCTCAAAGCCTGACCAATGTGAACAAGTAGTGACCGTTTGAGCCTGCCCTGATTCAGCATATTCTCTTGGGTAAGTTCAACGGCGTTCAGTACAGATCGTCTCTCAACTGATTTGCAGCCATGCTGGATCGCACCCAATAACCTAGCGAGTTCGCATCTTTTCTGAGTAGTCTCAGCACTAACTTCCAACCAGAAAGTGAACCAATTGTTCGGGTAAATTTTGCGTCCCAGGTCTGAATCCCATCGACACTAATACAAGACTATCAGATTTCAAAGCGGCTTGGCATTATCCATGATAACATTCGATTGGAATCAGATAGCATATATCGGTAGTCCGTATGTCCCTCAGCATACCATAATCAGCCTTCGGTTTGACTGAATTATTCCTGCAGTCTGGCTACACCTTGTGAGTATCCGTGATATCGATGTTCAGTTCCAGTTGAATGAGCGTTGTAGGGTGGTCAGAAGCCAACGTGGTTGTTGGTTTCATCTTGTTCTATGGTACGGCCTTTCAATGAAATATGATGATAATTTCTGAGATGCATTTCCGTAGTCATCATCACACCTATCTTCTACGTGCGTCTCCTTTCATTTTTTCTTCGAGTCTATATGTCTCATGCAATGTATTTGGGCTATAGTATACCAATGTATGGTACAGCCAATACCTTCCGTAGGCGAAGCTTCCCTGGTGGTACACCAGACATTTTCACTGAACCAATTTGATAGGATGGTAGCGAGTCATGCATTCGACAATACGGGCAATTCTTACAACCTAACCCGAGTCCTCACCAACGGCGCATTCAACTTGCAAGCTTATAAGGACTATAGCCCATTATACCTTCCGTGCGTAGTATCTTCGCTCTCTTTCCAGACATGTCAAACCCCTTGAGTATAGGATGAATTTCGTCATTGCATACGGGCTTTCTTTTATCGCAATAGGCTCCACCGTTACGCATGGGATTATCTACCTGCGCAAACCGACCTTAATGCATTTCAGACGGTCTCTGCAAGAGCAGCCTGATATTCATGCCCGCCTGATGACCAAGTATCCACAAGGTACATCCGAACGCTTTGTACCATTGAGGGTGCTAATTGTAATGGGTAGTTCGGGGCTGGTATTACGCTTGCGTGTTCGGTGTGACATTGTCCTTCCGAGCTCCTAAAGAAAAAACTGATCCTCCTGAATTTGAAAGTGGTAACTTTTGCTATGGCCTGCCTCTGCATCGAGTTATGGCCTACTGGTATGTCAATCTGGGAATTGCTAGTCGCATTAGGGATAGGTATTTCTCACATGAATATATCAACCGTCGATTTTCCTGACAAAAATTCGATCATTCAGCTGGTGTTCTCGTCTTGCCCATTGGTACGTTTATTTGATAGCTCTAAATTCAACCTTTGTCTCAACTTGCTTCGCTGTCGAATAGCAATGATACAAGCTGTCACGAATCGACAAATCCCGATGAAGTAAGAAATCGCTTGTCATTCTAGATTGCTCGTTTGTCTGACAATATCTGATAGTGTCTTCACTGAGCTGATTTCTGGCTTTCTTTTACCTGGTACAGTTACTTTTTCAGTGCCAGTCAATTGCTTCGAGCTGACCTTCAACATTCAGGGCAACCTGTAGCCATGATGCTGTATGTACTGATCTATGTGGAAAACTAATCATCATAATCCAACGCCCATTAGTTTCAAGGTGCATATTGGGGCTTCCTCATAATTGAAGAAGTATATTAAGAGCAGTTGCACATAACAGACTTTTGGTTACATCACAACATTTCAAGGTATGCACTTTTTGGGTTTAGTTTCAACAATGTCTCGTTCTCAAAACCAAACGTTAGCAATTGCCTTCACGCAAGATTTTAAACTCGGACACTACATGAAGATCCCTCCCCTTGTGATGTTTTGGGCTCAGATAGCTTCAACTCTAATCGCTGGGTCCGTCCAGCTAGGTGTACAAATGTGGTGCGTTGATCATTGGATTTATCGTCGAAAGACCCGACTGTCCACACATGATGCTGATTCCTTACCCTTAAAGGCTTTTTGCAAACGTACCGTAAGTAACTAGCGTCCGAGTATACTGCTGTGCCGTTGAATATGATTATAATCTCCAACGTAGGGATATGTGCAGCAAAACTCAGAAAGACCAGTATGATTACCTGTTTCTTTTTTCGCGTTGAACTTGGAACTAATACTTACGGAAGATTCACCTGTCAGAATGTGCAAGTCTTTGGTACCGCCTCCATAATCGTAAGTCCCCGACCTCGGATCCCACTCCGTGATTCCGTTGGAAGCATTAATATCGTTATCTAGTGGGGAGCTATAGGATCGAGGTTGCAATTCACGGAGGGTCATTTATACTAGTGCGTCTTCGATTGAATCCCCTAAATGAGTACTCGCTTACCTCTATTCTCCAGCCGTAAATCCTCACTTCTTCCGCATCTCCTATGTCAATTGTATTGGTTTATTTTGATCTGACTCGTATATATAGCCTTAATGTTCTGCTTTCTCATTGGCGCAGCGTGTCCCGCTATCTTATGGGTTCTCACCAAGAAATTTCCTCGTTCAAAGCTGGGATATATCAAGTGCGTCTCCGTTTTCGCTTTTGAATATTAGGCTGAATCCATTTATCACTAGCTTTCCGTACGAGACTTAGCCCCGTCTTGAATTCAGTCGAAGCTAAATGTTTCCCTTTACAGTGTCATATTCGGTGGTCCGGCCTATGTTCCTCCAGCTAACAGTGTCAACTACTTGACCTGGGCGTTCGTTGGTTTTATATTCCAGCACTTGGTACGGCGAAGACGGTTTTTGTGGTGGGCAAAATACAACTGTAAGCCACCTTTGTCGCGTTCGAGATGACTGGCCAATTCGGTGCTACAGACGTTCTATCTGCGGCGCTAGATGGAGGTACAGCAGTTGGAGTTATCCTTATATATTTCTGGTGAGTTCCCGGACCTTGTTCATTCATCTGACTCACGCTAAACGTACGCCACATTTATGTACAATTTACAGCTTGCAGTACCCTTTGAACGGCACAATTGGGATAAATACTATTCAGAAATGGTGGGGTAATACAGTATATACGAGGACGTTGGATTGGAAATCTCCACCTCTAAGGACATTGGCTCCAGGCGAGACGTTCGGGTATGATTTCAATTTCCAGAGGGAAATATGACCAACTGATTCTAGACCCAACACCACAGGCCCCCGCCGTGATCTTGTAGCTGCTTTGGAGGGTTTTTGTGGTTGATCTACTAGTTGGGGTACTTTTATTTTTGCTTCGTTGTGCTTTCAGTTAGACTATCTGAAGTTGTATCTTCCATGGAACTATATGTACTATATGCTATGAAATCGGATTCCAGTGTTCATTTTACATACATAGAAATATTTTCTACTCTATAGTAGATAAATGAGCGTCAAATGTACGCGCCCAATTTCTTCAACCAATGGCAGGACGCACATGCGTCATTCCTCTATACTTAACCTGCATCGCGCGTCGAACAAATTTCGTCAAAAGTATAAAGGTGTATATAATCCTCAACACGCCTTGCAAACACGCCCTTCATTACTTACAGAACCAGCTCAACGGTCAACCGCAATTTAACCAGTCCTAAATACGATCAACATTTTTCAATCTTAGAATGGCCTCGTCGCCATATCCCACAAGGACCTATCTTCCTGGCCAATTTGTCGTCTCTGCTGGCTCTATCCTCTTCCGCCGAGCACCGGAAAATGGGGAATTGCAGATGTGCCTCTTATACCACACGATCAAGAACGAATGGCTTCTTCCAAAGGGCAGGAAAGATTGTGGAGAATCGATGGAGACGACCGCAGTGAGAGAAACGTATGAAGAGACAGGTAATTCTGTTGTCCATGTGCTTTCTCTATTCTTTCCATCGTCTTACGACAATTTGAAAAGGATACAAATGCAAGCTTTCACCATGCAACATGTCCACAAGAGCCCCTGCACATGGTGTGCACACGAAAGACATGATCAGAGAAGCAGAACAAATCACAGAGCCTATTGCAATCACGGTGCGGGATCAAGGGCTAGATGGAGTAAAAATCATCTGGTGGTATATCAGCGAGCTGGACGGAGATGGGCAGAAGGTCGAGGGCACGCAAATGGACACGGAGAGCTTTGCTTCACAGTTTATAGATGCGGAGGAGGCTCTACGGACATTGACGTTCAAGGGCGACCAGGATATCGCTGCAAAGGCCTTAGAGATCGTAAGGCATACGGGAACGATATGATCGTTTACAGCTAGTTTACAGTATCGGATTCGTAGATCGAGTTCCGACTCTTCTATTCCATACACTACAACCTCGGTCTACTTGGTACACGGCAATGTATTTTAGATATCAATTAGTCGAACACGCACTGTGTATCATACTTATAATCATATACTGGAGGTGCTAAAAATGCTTCGATTCTCAGTTCGGGTTCTGAATTCCGACATCGAAAATGAAACCACAAGGTAAAAGCATGGGCCCGTGGACAATGCACACATTGCACAAGATAGCAAGAGAAAATGAGCATCCCTGACCTCGGAACCTAACCGTCCTCGATACACACGTCACATAAGAATTCGTGGCCCACAACGGTTCAGAGATCTCCTTGCCTTTCCTGAACTACCTTGTAATAGGGACTGGCATGGTCGACAAGTAACTCGGTAAAAAGGGAAGAGACGACTTGCCGTTGGGCTGGGACAAGGAGCTCCAGCCTTGAGATAAGAGACCGCGGTAGTATCCATGACGTTTTGTTGAGCGGATGTCTATTTCTGCATACACGAGAAACATTGGAGGAAATTAAAGAACGGAATGTGCACGTACAATCTTGTTTGACTTAGTACTAGGAGTGAGATCGGAGTGAAGGCATTGCACTTGAGGAGACTTAAGGCTTGAAGTTGGGCCCTATAGAAAAGTGTACTTGGCTGGCAGCCGCGATTCGCGGCTTCAGGTTGACCTTAAACGAACCATTCGATAGGGCTACGAGATTAGCCTTCAAACCGCCATTATGCTCATATTTCCGAAGGTTTATGTCGTCTACTATAGTAAGTCATTTTGGCTAGTTTTGGCTTCGGTACCTTGGCTTGAAGGGCGAGTTCGCAAGGTAGCCACAGTTTTCATGCATCAAGTCTTCAGCGCGTTGTATGAACTTGAATATGAGCAGAAGTGGTGAATGGTCTAATCCATGTGGACTATCGGATTCATTGTCAAAACTACAAAGTTCCGCTTCCGGTAACAGAATTGCCGGAATGGAACTCGTGGGAAACTTCTTTCCTTCCTTTCCGAATGCTCCGTCTGGGAGCATCGTTGGCCAAAACTAAGCCCTCATTTTACCTTCGGCATTTTCATCCATCGACATCTACTCGGAATACATCTCAGCAAAAACCGCCTCCAACAAATAAAGCATTCAATGAGCAGGAGTCAAAACGGTCTACCTCGAATTCAGAATCGTCGCAAATAATAGATTCGGACCAATCATCTCCCACTACATCTACAACTACATCTCGTCCCGCACCCTCACTTTCTAAACCATCATCTCCAGCTAACTCTGATTCCGAAGATCGTCAGCCGAGGTCTCTTGACGAGCTCAAAGAAAAACTTCTGAAATGGGTCAACGACCGTGCTTTTCATTTTCGCCGGAGAGCAGACAATTTCACCGGCGCAACGAAAGTTAGACTATCTGGCCTTGGCGCTGAGCTGAACAAGGTCACTGGTTACGAAGAAATTGATGCCCTCAAACGACAGGTGGTGGAACAAGGTACGATCTCCTGTGTTCTCCACCTCACACAGAGCCGTTAGTTCTAATTTTATTTCCTTCAGAGGCTCGAATAGAGACCACGCGTCAGGCTGCGCGTACTGCCAAAGTCAATCACGACGAAGCCGTTGTCAGACGCTCTAAATCCCAACGAGAGGTCAACGACCTCCTACAGCGCAAATCGAGCTGGACAGATGAGGACGTGATCCGGTTCACGTCTTTAGTCCGTGAAGACCATCTACTGGAACAAGAAGAAGCCCGAGCAAAACTCGCTGTCGAAGAAGCCGAGAACGCAGTAGAAAACGAGTTCACGGAATTGATGCGCTCTATCCTCGCGCGATACCACGAGGAACAAGTTTGGTCGGACAAAATTCGAAGCGCATCGACTTATGGCCAGCTCGCAGTTCTCGGACTGAATATGTTCGTTTTCATCTTGGCTATTGTCCTCGTCGAACCATGGAAACGTAAGAGGCTGGCGCAGACGTTCGAAAAGAAGGTGGAGGAATTGAATGAGGAGTACAAGGAAATGTTGGGAAATAATATGCAGATTCTCCAGAAGCAGTTGGAGGATCAAGCGGTGATTATCGCGGCTCTGACAGCTGCTGTTGCCAAGGTGGATTTCCAGACGCAGCATCCTGTTGAGGAGGTCGTACAGGATCAGGACGAGCCTGTATTGAATTCAACTGGGATATGGACGAAGGCAATGAAGGATCGGAATTTCGGAGAGGCAGTAGCCATGGGTGCGCTTACAGCTAGTGTACTCAGTGCTATTGGCTGGATTTGGCTCGGTGGATAATATAATTGCTTTTATATCTCAAAAAATAAAGGGATGATGACGAGGAGCATTCTGGAATCTGCGCGTCAGCGAGTTGACACGCAACCCTGGGTGCTTCCGATGGTTAGACTGATACCACTTCGCCAAGGAGAGTCCGATTTTCGACTCTGGTAGATAACAGCCTCGATAACAGCCTCTCCCCCTCCTCTCCTCGCGTTGAATATAATAATGATACCATTATCAAGTATCAGCAACGATCGCAGGCTTTCGCGGAACTACTGAATCATTCTGGCATTCTCACTCTAAATTGAAATAAACTCAATGATTTAATGTTATCAGCAATCCTCTTAAGTACACCCTCGCTTTTTGCTCTCATAGAAACTCACTCCGAGTCGCACCATGGTGTCTGTCGAATTGCTCAGCGCTCCTACGTCGAGTTAGCGATATGTATAACCTGCGTTGATAGTTTTAGGGTCTCCCAGAGACTGTTTTTGCTCATGAACACCCGGGTGACAAGTTCAATATCTTAGCGACGAGCGCACCCGGTAGCATCTCAGGTTCATGTTTAAGGTTGAGCTCTTCATCTCGGCAAGCAATGACTACCTTCGTCCTTCCTCAGACGCACCTTTCTCCTCTTCCTCCACCTATACTTCATGCTCATCCTCTCACATTCCTGAAGTGAAGATACTTTTTTTCCCCGTCTGCCTCCGCCTATCCACATCCGCTGCGTTTTCTTCGACATGCTGTAGCCTTACGTGCCTCTCATATCAACAATACATTTACTCCCCTCATTCACAAAAGAACAGCGATTCTGACAGCCATGGTTCGGATGATGATGAGGGTTATCATCCCCTTGGGGCCTCGGGAAGTACATATACTGCCACTTTTGAATGCGAGGATGAAGTTGTGCAAAATAATACTGATTTTCTTCCATCGTCTTGCGAACACAGTGACACAGATACGAAGATTTTTTTTGTACAAATCTATTTCAATCATACGCATATACATACAATACCAAAGAAAATACCATGCAAACTTCCTCACATTCCAACACTACACCCAATGTAACGCCCTATCACAGCCTTCTTCTCAACATAAGAAGTCCCAGTTAGAGTCCGATCCGGGAAATAATATATGAACCAAATCCGAACATCAGCATCGCTGAGATTTGCCAGATCACCAGCACACGTTATCGGAGGCTGTAATTCAAGCAAGGATCAACACAAGAGGAATCACAAAAGGTTAAGGATCACATACAAGAGGCAGAGGTGCACCAGCATCATTCAAAATGTTGTTATATGGGGTAAGGAGCCCATAACCTTTGGTAAAATTTTGAAGGATTGCCATTGATCGTTCAAGTCCAGTAAACCGAGCATCCACAGTTGCTTCCAGATTGGTGACCGTGTTGGATAGATTATTGACGGCGTTGCTGAGATTATTGTAATTGTTGTTGACGGTGTTGTGTAAATTATTGTAGTTGTTGGATAAATTATTGACGGTGTTGTTTAAATTATCGACGGTGTTGTTTAGATTATTGTAGTTGTTGTTGACAATGTGGTTTAAATTATTGTAATTGTCAGATAGATTATTGACGGTGTTGTTTAGATTATCGACATTGGTGGTCAAATGAATTAGTTGTGCAGCTATTGGAGCGAACCAAGGGGGAGCAGCAACTATGCAGGATGAGTATCACTAATTCAGTCGGAAAAAGGAAACCTCACTTTGCGGGGCACATTTTGTAGCAACTTCATGTACATATAAAGTGGCACCACCGACCTCAACGTTGGTCGGGGTTTGCATGTTACTGCTAGCGGCTATTCGACAAGAGATCAGAAAAAACATAAGAGGCAAAGGAAAGTCAAGTACCTCCTACACGGAGAAGGTTGTCGAGATAGTGTTGGGCTTCTCCAACTTCGGCGAGGGTAGGGGGGTTTTGTGTAGGGGGTGGTACAGATATGCCTGAAGAATTCGGAGGAGCGGAGATTGCCATAGAGATTGTTGTTGGTGCGGTTCGGGTCTAAGCGATGGACAAAGGCTGTGGACTGATGAGTATAACATGCCGCTTGCCATGGGTACTAGCAAGCAAAGACTCACAAATGAAAAGGCGAGGAATCTCTGTTAGAATAATCGATAAATAGGGGGAGAGAAGAAAGAAAGATAATGGCGGTCCGAACACTTCCGAACACAGTATATTGAAATTGCAATGTCATCATCAATGTGATCAGTAAAATGAGAAGCACGTGAGCGCGCTTCCGCCTACCAGCATGCCTCTATTAGTGGGCCATGAGCACTGGGACGACTGGCCACGCCCTATTTAACGGACCAAATTTCTGGGGAATCCATCAGTCATAATTCTTACAACACATATTACTCTACAGCATGGCAGGAACTCGAGTCCCACCGGTCAACTTGAACGTCTCTCCATTGACATACGGGCACTCTAAAATCCACCTCACCGTTGCCGCGAATTCCTCTGGCATCCCGTACCTCTTCGGGAACAACACCGCTTCCTTTTCTAACCTATCCGTCATGGATTGCGAGAATTGACCTAAAGCAGAAAGGCAAAAGTAGATTGGAAAGGTTCTGGGTGGAATTTTATGCAAGAATTGAAGCGTACCTGTCATGGGCGTCTTGAAAGGTCCAGGGGCTATCGTAACGACTCTCACTCCATATCTGGACATATCTCTAGCCATAGGCAATGTCATTGACCGAATGGCGCCTTTTGACGCTGCATATGCGATCTGACCAGCCTGGCCTTCGTACTATCGGTTTAAAACCCACAAACGTCAAAACCGTCAATCGATGATGAATTTTGAAAGCAATTTGGAAGAGAGGAAGGGGAGAAAGATTTTCTTACAGCTACTGTGCTAGCAATCATCACGATGACACCTCGTTCCCCGTCCGATACCTTCATCACCATCCCTTCTTCTCTTTCCCTCGCAGTTTCTTCCAGCTCATATTCCCGAGGAACAGTCACGAGATGTTTTGCCACCAGCCGCGTCAGGTAGAACGTCCCGGTCAAATTAATCCCCAGAACACGATCCCATGTACGTGTGGAATGTGGTTCGCCTCGGCGGTTGATTGTCTACATTGAAACAAGGAAACAAGTCAAGCTAAGTGTGATGAACCCCCCTCAACGGAATAGATCAATCTCAGCAAGAGGTAGATGCGTACCAACTCTGCAAGCGCTATTCCAGCACCATTAATCACTCCTCCTAGATGTGCCCCAGTCAATTTCGTCCATTCTACGATTCTGTCCACTGCAGACTCCACGCGATCTTCCTGTGTGACATCCGTTTCAATGTACAGTACCCGTGGATTCTGACTCGTATCATCCGATGAGCAAGTCTCAACGTCTGATACTAGTTCGGCCGATATAGGCGACAGGTCCAACACTGCGACATAAGCATTGCATCGAAGGAGTTCTTGGACTGTTGCGAGACCTAACCCTGAAGATCCCCCAGATATAACGAAAGTACGGTTAGTAATTCTCATCGCCACCAAGGAAGGGAGGTGAAGCAGATGCAGAATGGCTTTGGGTGACGGCTCTAGTTTCAGAGAACTGGACCAAGATAAAGATAAATTGGCTGGCAGTCGGGAAGCTGATCTGGGCTTCTGATGGCAATGATCTATAGGCGAAGGAAGACTGGGTGAAAAACCTGCAGAATGGGGTAGGGAACAAAGTCGCGGAAATTGGACAAGGACAGTACGCACAATCTATTTATCAGCGTCTATTATCAGACAGATCCACAGTCGGTGCTGTTTTGGGTCCGATAACTGTATGGGACTTCTCTCAGAGATGAGCAATCACTGGATCAAACCACAGCGCCAGAACAGCGCTCTATGTTTCTCAAGAAGCGTTTCATCCATAGCCGCGTCGCTGAACCAGCGCTATTTTGCTAAATCCAACAACCTGTTTGGAGAAACAACCAGTCGACCAGAGTCGACTACCTGTGCTTCCTCTTGTGTGCGTTGTGCATTTCGGAGCTGGGCCTAATAATGGATCTGTAGAGGCTAAAACGTAGCAGGGTAGAGAGCACCTTGCTTTGCTAAAGTAACTTCCCCAGCGTTTTAGCTGAATCTATTTTTTGGTTTTCCCTCGGTTTCTGCTTCCACACATTCATCCATAGGCTTCACTATTTCTATCATTCTCATAGCTTCCTCCAGGCCTCCCCTTAGCCACTTTGTCATTCCCAATTTGTATGTTTCTCCCATCGCACTCTTCTTAATCTTTTTCCCCTGCTGCTTCTTCGAGAAACAACAATATATGCATGTATGTATGCGCCGCGACCGAAATACTCAGTGCCCACTTGTTTAAGACGACCATTGAGTTTATCAACATTCACGACGGGACAGGTTCCAGCTTTGAAAGCAGTAATTCTCAGAAATATCAAATTTGAAACTACATCTTTGCTGGCATCCTACTCGCACCTGCGCAAGAATGAAATAGGATGTGGAGGGATCAAGGAGAAACGACATACCGCTCAACCGTACTGTTTCTCCATTGACATAGGCACACTGTAATATCCATTGAACCGTCTGCGCAAATTCGAAAGGCTGTCCGAACCGCTTCGGGTACACCAAACCGTCCTCGAGGCTCCGTCGAGCTTTCTGGGGTAGTTTATCAGTCATACTGCTCACAAACATATTCGGCGCGATCGCCATGACCCGGATGGAATGTCGCGCCAGATCACGAGCCAGAGGCAGAGCCATAGAACGAAGTGCGCCTTTGGTGGCTGAGTACGCTGCTTGCCCTGGTTGACCTTCGAACTGGATGTTAAAACAATTGTCAAAATGATTTTTGAGGACGATTTCGTGGAACAATTTTCATTTACACACCGCTGCAGAGCTCGATACAAGTACAATCACACCACGTTCTGCATCAGGACCCTCCTCAGTAGTGCTGGGTATCATAAGATTCTGTCTGGTATGATACGGTATCAAGAATTGAGCTTGTGGTATGATAAGTATCACTCGTATTATATGTATTATACCAGTATTATGTAAGCGCCGCAGGCGAATTTTTTTCTAGGTATAATACCGTATAATACATGTATTATATCTTGTATCATAGGAATTATAGGTATTGAACAACTGCATATCTACCAAACACTGTCAAGAGATCAGTTGGAGTCCTTCGCACTCCTTTTTTTTGATGCTTGTTGTGATTGAGAGTTCGATGGCTTCTCCTTTGGAATGTTTTTCATCTGCAATGGTGGATTGTAGCGCTCAAGCAGTTTTAGCTGAGTCCAGTGCATGGAACAGCATCTGCAAAACCTGTTTTTTCGGCTAATTCTCTGAGAGCAGCTGAGAGCGCTTCCCAGCAGCCAAAGCACCCAGAGCAGGGTTGAAATTTTGCTCTCGGTGCTTTGGGTGCTGGAGAGCGCTCTCCAGCCAGTACCCTTGCTCTGGCGAACATACAGGTTTTGCAGATGAGGCTTTTGCATCCTCCCCTCCTCTATTTTGGCCAAACACTTGATCCATACATCTGCAAAACCTGGATATTCGGCTAAGGGTCCGAAAGCAGTTGAAAGCATTTCCCAGCAGTGAAAGCACTCAGAGCAGCCTGCTCTCAGTGCTTTCGGTACTGGGATCTGCTGGGATCTGCTCTCAGCCCTTAGCCGAATATCCATGTTTTGCAGATGTAACTTCCTCAAGCTCTACTATTCCAAAGTCTTTCCTCTCCAAGAAAGAGACAGAAGCCTCCAGGAGTCTGATAATCTTCATCTATAAGCATTGCAGGTGATGAGGCAGATTGACGTGACACAACGTGACAAAAAAAAGCAAAAACCTTAGGTAGGCCAATCAGATGCAGATATCATGGGATTGCTTTGGCCTTGCATCTCTATAAGTGACAACAAGATCAATAGGTAAGTGATCTATCTACTACAGAAGTACTATGATGCACAAGGAAAAGCAACATATTGTAGTAGCTCGCAATAAAGATCAAGGGTTTTGATACATATAATACACCAGATTTCTAGGCCTCATGGTATCAAAGGTATAATACGGTATAATACATGTATTATACCATTCTGTATTATACCACCTGGTTCAATACCCAGCACTACTCCTCAGGTTCGTTATGAACCATATGTTTAAGTGCTAGGCGCGTAAGATTGAACGTTCCGGTCAAATTTACTGCCAGGACAAAGTCCCACAGATCCAGAGAGTGCGGCTCATTCTGAGCGTCGATTATCTTGGCTCCTGCGGCAACTCCTGCACAGTTGATAACGCCTCCCAATGCCGCGCCGGTTTGCTTGGTCCAATTGACTGTTTCATCCACGGCTTTCTCGATATCGTTGACCACAGTGATGTCTGTTGGATAGAATTTGACTTGGGCACCTATAATATCTGACGGTGGAGGTTCGCGGTCAAGGATGGAGATATAGGATTTGGCTTGGACGAGCATTTGGACAGTTGCGAAGCCAAGACCAGATGAACTGCACAGAGGATGAGCATCGGTTTTACGAAAAACGGTGAATAATACACACCCGCCCGACACAATGAATGTTCTGCCCTCTATCTTCATGTTTGACTATAGGCGCGATTCCTCACGGAGTGAATATTGGGGAAGTTGGTTCGTGATCTGGGACCGGGTTTTCAGAGGTAGTGTACTTACATGTGAAAGTTACGGGCGTCTCTTTATCGCGAGTCTATGATATCCAGTCGGCCCGGGGTCGGCCACTGCTTTGACTCTCAGTCTCATTGCATCCTTCGCAGACTCTCCATCGTCGCCACCAATAGCCCGTTTTCCCATCCGCCCTTCTCCCGCTCTCCAGCTTTATTGAGGTACGTTAAGCTCACCTAATCACTTACCTTGTCAGTATCCCCTGGGCAAGCGGCAAACCGCATAAGTCAGCCGGACGGTTACTCCCTTTTCGTTCTCAACCATTATGCAAATCACACGGATCCTCTTCCCAATGACCCTTCAGTAATATCGACGACTCGCATAAGGAGAACGCACAAATATGCTAACCATTTCTACAAACTCCAAGCTTTATCGACTCGAAACACCGTATCATTTTCTGTAAGCAAACTTGCAAATTTGGCTGTCATGAGCGTGTTCTCGAAGAATACGGTGATGAAGGACCAAAAGAGACTTTCGATAAAGTTCAGATCGAGGGCTAGGGAAGCAAATGCCGCGTCTGCTGAGGCTTCAGGTGCCCAACACTCTAAACACTTCAGGTCGACGAAATCAATAAGATTGACCCCACTTTCTCTCTCAATATATCCTTCAACCAAGTTTTACTCAACTTCGGTATCTTCATCTACCACATTCCTCTTGCCCTGTTCACCAACAAGAACATTGAGCTCCTCAACAACGGTTCCATTTTTTTCATCGCACGAAAATCTCGCATATAGAAGGAAAACCTCATTTGAATGGCTCGAGGCCACAGTGAATTTCTTTGTACTCAATCTCCTTTCACTACTCTACTCGCTTATTCACCTATTCGCTTACTCGCCGGGTTATATACACAAAACTTCGTCTTTGTGGGCATAGTCCCACTCCTTATCGCACTGGGTTATACACCCTATTCTCTTCTCCTACTCGCTATTTCTCACTCCATTTACACAGGTGGTCTCCGCACCCCCAGGTACCAAAGTCTTCACTATGAATATTTCAAATTTCTCAACTTCGTGTCCTATCAACGCGTCGAATTCGTCCCTGATTCAATGATGGATCCAGCATCTTTCAGTGCCCTATGTCTACCGACAAATGTATTAATTGGGATCAACGCAAGACCTGGGGTTGCATCCTTTTGTGTTACCTATACGTAATCAAGATCATTCAGAGCCGTGCTCTCTTTGAGTTCCTGCTTGCCCGTGTCTACCGTTCTCTCTTCGATGGAGCTCTGGCTCTGTTCGGGTCGTCCAGCTCAACTGGCAACTGCGGAGGGGAGCACGGGGCTAAAGCCCAGCCAAACATTTTTGCAAGTGTTGTCACTTAGCCGTAGCTTGGCTTATCTTGTTAGTACATAAGTACCCCTTGAGCAAGCGGCATGTGATGTGTGGCTGATTATTTCTTTGTCTATCGTCTTGAACCCGAACCACAACATCAATTGCAGTCGTCGCCAACCTCTATGCAAAATCATCCTGCGATTACTGAGCAAGTAACAAATTTGTTCAACACTGTGGATCATACCAATGCCGTGGCTAACCTGAGCAATGCTGTTGCTAAACTGAGCAATTCCGTCAAGAATCTGGAAGATACAATGAATACGCGGTTCAATTGAATCGAACGGTCGGTAGAGATCCTTCAAAATTCTGCCAGAGGCTATGGGCATCTTGTCCCGTATAATGTTATCATGAATGATGCTGGAGCGCCTCTTCCTCTTGTATGATGTGTTCAACACGATTGTTCGATGTTCTGGTTGAATTTTGACTGACGTTCACTGCAGATTCCGATAAGATGCGCTCATAATTTGGTCTCCCTCAGTAACACTGATGTGAGTACGTGGTGCACGTACTTAGTACCTTCCTGGGCGCGAACAAAGGGATATTGAGTTTGCAGTGAAAATGGTGAAGTTGGGCGGTATATTGGGTATCATGGGCATGTAGTTTGAGAGGGTTGGGTGAGGCTGGTAGGGTATGGGTATGACTACGGATAGATTGGTTCGGGCTTGGGGAGAGTTTTTAAATTAGTATCCTATCGATCGAAAAGCGTACACCAAAAGATTCGTGTGAGGGGAAAGAAGAGTTGAACTACGTAGACTAAAATCGATCCAAGGTCCTCTCACTTGCATTCGATCTTTCCCTCGCCCGATGTGGATGCAGCTGCCCAGTACAGTTTGCTGTAACATTTAACATGCTGACCCGCCTTGAAGCTTGTGATGAAGGTATAAGAACGATCGGCTGTGAAAATGCCGTGCCGACGTCGGTCCGGAAGTTAGCGGTCAAATTCTGCTTGGTGATACAGCGCCTTTCATTTTCACTTTCATGTTGCCCTCCAGACTATATCGCAATGTCGGAATCCCTCCGCCTCTCAGGAGCCTTTTACACCCAAGTCCAGCTCTGCCACCTAGTATCCGGCTTCAACTTCGGTTACGGCTGGGTGTCTTTTCGAATACAGCTGTGAATACGCTGAATCCGTATTCTACAGCCACTTCGAGTAATTCTAATGACCAGTCAAACACTGCAACATCAACGGCAACAGGAGACTCGGGATCTTCTCCTTCCTCTTCGTCGGCCCCCCAAACGGTCACATCGCAGGCATTGCCTGAGAAAATGACACCACGCATGTCAATAACGTTTACTTGTACAGTGACGGACTGTGGGACGAGATCTACGCATGAGTTTGCGAAAAGGTCGTATGAGCGGGGAATCGTTCTCGTCGAGTGTCCAGGATGTAATAACCGGTATGAGATTCGTTTCCATCTCGTTGTTCGCAGCTTAAAATATCTTCTATTTTTACAGACATTTGATCGCAGACCATTTAGGTTGGTTCAAAGAAAGTACTGAAGAGGGCAAGCTTCGAACAGTAGAGGACCTTGTACGAGCCCGAGGGGAGAAAGTTAGAAGAGGACATGTAGATATGTCTGGCGGGGTTGTGGAATATACTCCGGAATGAGCCTCAGAATCATAATGATAATGAATGAGGAGATTAATCTATATGTATAGGTGAGTACATTCACTATAAGAATACAACGACAATATGATTCTAGAACAATTGCCAGCAGTCATTTAATAAGATCGACCCCAAAAGTATCACTCGGCTCAATCATATATCCATAATCCGACTCCGGCTACATTCTTTAGGCACTCGCAGCCTGTACCTCAGTCTCTTCTTCTACCTTGGGAATAACGTTGTTGGCTACTAGAAGGTTTTCGAGCTCTCCAGATTGGTGCACTAGACAGGGAAGGAGTTATTGTGTAATTTAGCATCTACTAATGTATTTTATAACAATTCACCACTCACTGCCTAAAAGAATATCGCATCCACCAACGAATTCACCATTCACATACAGCTGAGGTATTGTTGGCCAATCTCTGTGAAGTAGACGTCGAAGTTTCTTCCACGAGTGTGGTCTCGGGGACACTTACGAGAACTCCTTGATCCCACTGCGTAGTTCGCTGTCAGCAAGGACGTTGTATGTTTTCATTTTCTCCGGCGGCACACGATGAAGGTCCAGTACTTGGACAGCAGCCCTTGAGAATCCACACTCAGGGAGATCTGGTGTGCCCTTCATGAAAAGTACTACAGGACTCGATTCGACTGCATTTTGTATTTGTGCACGGGCTTCTTGAGAAAGGTAACGAGCGGCGATGACACGACTGGCAATGAGGGATTGCGCAGCGGATGAACGAAGAGAGAATATCTAGGAGTGATTCAGTGGAAAACGAGCGAGGATACAGGTGTAGTAGCCCACTGGTGAACGTAGAGATGCTCGGAACATCGTGGAAGAGGTGAGAGTTATAATTTCCTCCGTGCCCGACTCGCGCCCGCGTCATAATTTCGAGAAGTGCTTTGTAATACAAGTCACGCCAAACTAGGCTTTCCTGATTGGCTCGTAGATTTCGCACGCCTTTCTACGCCGTCTTTCTCGATTGCTCCTCGAGACTCGCCTACATCTGGGCCTTTCCCTGCCTTCCCAAATCGACATGCCCGGTTACAACCTGCTAGTCTCTCTGTCCCTACAAATTTCAGGCCTGTACTCAGGGACTCGGATATATGCTATCGGGAGTGGAGTCCAGCTTATATGTATGCGAGGCGAACGACCAGCTGTATGCAAAGATTTGCCCCACGATTATCATTCAATGGTTGCATTCAGTCAACGCTGCCCTGATTGTCAGCGTGACGAAGTCGGATTATGGATATCCTGTTTCGTCGGGATATATCTCAGTGCTTTCAAACGTCTCCTGTAAGCCGAATTGCACTTTTAGCACGCGAGGCGTTCAAAATTTGTATCTGGTGAGTAATCCTTATTCAGCATGTGAGTCTGCCGAAAATCAACCGAATGAAAGCTTGAAGGTATCACATCCAATGCCACAGCAATCTGCTGAACCGTCGTAACTTCGTTTGTTCAATCGTCAGATGCCTATAAAATGGCACAGGCAGCCTTATTGGACCATCTCCATCCTCTCTTTTCAAATCGCATTTTCAAACGTACTACCGACTGCTTTCATCAACCATGACAGTAATAGATCTACTCAATTTGCAGGTTGCATGCCTTGCTCTTGCCTTTGTTGTTGGGTGGTATAACTTCGGTCGAAGGAACTCCAACATTGACAACATACCCGGACCTGCACCCCAATCGTGGTCTGCCGGTGAATTAGCATCTCATAGCTCAACTTCATACGCGGGACTGACTCTCAATATTTCCTCCCCCTGCTGTAGGCAACTTTCCGCAACTTATGGACCAATACGAAGGCTGGGGATGGAATGACTTTCTTGCGAAGAAGTGTGCGTGAAAAATGTTTGCAACGTAGATGATTCTATCCCTCATACATAGTAATGCAGATGGAAGTACCCTTCGCTTACATGGACCATTTGGGGTGTGCATTTTGAAGCCCTTGACTTGCGTGTCATGGCTGTGCTCACGCACGATTTCGTTCATGACAGTCCAAGATCCTTTATACGTTCGATCCCAAAGCAATGCATACGATTCTTGTGAAGGTACTTCAACGTCTGGTACCTATATTCGACATCATTTAATTCGAATTGTACAGGACTCTCACGTATTTGAGGAAACTGCTGGGTTCATCGAGTAAACATTCTCTCGCTCACAGGATTCATGTCATGACCGCCTGCTCAATGTAGGTTCAATCGCAACGTCTTTGGAAAAGGTCTATTGGGAACCGTGGGTAAGTTCAGAAATTTTAATCAACTGTGACGGTGTGTGGTATTGATATACATACTCTTCAAGGGGACTATCACCGCAAACAGCGCAAAATGCTCAATCCGGTCTTCTCTGCCGCACATATGCGAGAAATGGGTATGCGACTCGATCACACACCCTGCTCCATCGTCATTTAACCTGCTCTTCAGTTCCAATATTCTTCGATGTATCCCATAGAGTAATGTCCTTCCTACTTTCGACATATTTAGTGATTGACGAAAAATGCTGTACGTAGCTCAAGGATGCTCTTATGAAGCAGCTGGAAAGTAATTCGAAACTGCAGGCTGAGCAAGAGGTAAGTGCTCTCTGCACCTCAGGGTCAATCAAATTGAATTAAACGTCTTGTAGATCGATATTTTATCGTGGCTTGGTCGTACTGCATTCGAGCTGATAGGTCAAGCTGGTCTCGGATATTCCTTTGATCCTATGAATGACGAAGAGTCTGCGCATCCGTTCAGTGGGGAAATGAAATCGTTATTGTATGTACTTGAATCTCTCGAGTCGAGCCCTATCGGACCCGATGTTCGACTTACATCCATTCTGCTACTATCATAGTCCTCTCCTCACCCCCATGATGTTCTGGTTCACTTACGTCCTTCCCCTGGTTTCAAACATCGGTCCTCCGAGCTTCCGGCGCTATGTCATAAATATTTTACCTTGGAAGAACCTACACCAGATGCGCGACATAGCAGATTATATGTACAAGGTAGCTACAGATATCTTCGAGGAAAAGAAACGCGCATTGGAAGCAGGAGATGAAGCTATCAAAAACCAGATTGGCAAAGGCAAGGACGTGATTAGTGTTTTGAGTAAGCCTTCAGCGCTGGTCTCTTGAAGTACCACCCTTGACGTATGCACAAGTGAAGGAAAATATGAAAGCCTCTAAAGAAGATCGACTGGATGAAGACGAGGTGATTTCTCAGGTATGTGTTTTCGAGTGAATTGCCGCGTGTGCTTCGCTAAATGATTTCAAAAGATGACGTGAGTAGCATATACGCACTTCTGGACCATATAAATCGACGAGTATCGCAGTAGTTTATTGTTCGCAGCTACGGACACAACCTCGGTAAGTCTAGCGGCCGATGAACAAGTGGACAATATATACTGAATCGTTCATCTCTGCAGAGTGCCTTGTCTCGGCTGGTTTCTCTTCTTTCCAAGCACCCGGATATCCAAGAGAAACTCCGTCAAGAAGTTACCGAGGCTCGACGGAACAATAATGGCGAAGATTTGTCCTACCATGAAGTGAATTCTCTTCCGTATCTTGATGCAGTCTGCAGGGAATCTCTACGACTGTGAGTGTCAAGCACATTCCCTGCCCCATGGCGCCAATAGGTCGTTATGCACAGATACGCTCCGGTCACTTCTATGTCGCGATAGTAAGTATATACCTGACTGGCCGGAATTTACGATCTTCAACTTGACTTTTTTTTCACTACAGCACCCTTCAAGATGCAGTCGTGCCTCTGTCAAAACCAATTATAGGTGTTGACGGGACTGAGATACGAGAAATATCAGTTCCTCGGGGCACCCAAGTGGTTATATCAATGTACAACGCGAACAGGAATGAAGAACTGTGGGGTCCTGGTAAGCTCCAACTGCTCTGTACATATCTTGAGAGGACCTTATCAAACTCTACTCCTTTGCGCGCAGATGCAAATGAGTGGAAACCCGAGCGCTGGCTCTCCCCTCTGCCTGAAGCTGTTATTCAAGCGCATGTTCCCGGTATCTACTCTCATTTGTGAGTTGCCTGTTTGTGTCGCCGCGTCGTCGAAGACTAATGAACATGAACATAGAATGACATTCAGCGCCGGTTCACGCTCTTGCATGTATGCTTGACTCTCCGCTCAATTCTTACGAGAGTTTTAACTGGTTCTAAATTAATGTTTCCTACAGTGGCTTCAAATTTTCTCAACTAGAAATGAGTGCGTGTCTCGACCCACCTGTCTTTGTCAAAATTAGATTTTAAGGCAATATCAAAACAGAGGTGGTTCTGGTGGTTCTTCTCGAGTACTTCAAATTCTTCCCCTCGGCAAAGGAATTGGAAATCCGATGGCAAATGAATAGTGTAGCGGCACCGGTCGTTGGAAAGGACGCTAATATTCATCCTTCCTTGCCCATGAATCTGAGTCTGGTCGATCATTAGGTATGGATGAAGTAGAAAATGAGACAAGTGATAGATCATGATTGGCATGGCCTCATCTGGTCTCATTGGTTCGATTTGCGACGCTCCCGCAACGTTTTATTGTCGCTGTGAAATTCGGGCAGCATATTTAACAAATCTCCTTGTGGAAGATTTGAAGACTGTATACTCTGCTGTTAAAATAGCTGCGAAGAATCTATCAGAGTGGTGCAGTCCATGGACGTGCTTTCGATCGAGTAATATATCAGCATGGCGAAACTCCTCGGAACGAAAGATAATACTAATTGACCATAATATGACATGGCTTAATCCTGAGCAGTGGTCGGTTATCATCCCATGATTTGTTTGAATAAGCCGTTACCAGAACATAAAATTTGGTTGAATCCTCCATCAAATACTGAAACGATAAGTAGTATCTGGTCGAGTAGCTACTGCCGTCATATGGAATGTATCACAGGCTACCTCGAATCAGTATCCTCTGAACTGGACAATTTCCGATTTTTTGTCTCCTTCCTCGTATAATCCGTCATTGTATATATCCTGATGCCGTTTGTTAGACGCTTTGAAGGCTCCGGCTTCAGCATCAGTATAGGTTGTCGTAGTGATGTCCACTGATATTGGACCAGTGGCTACAGAACGTCCGTGAAGTTCAATTCCTTGAGCACCTGTGCCAGTACGCTCCGATGGTAAAGAGCTTCCTTTGGTCATGGTGTGGTATAGGAATCCCACGAGGACATTAAGGCTGGCTACTATCATGGATATTGTCGTCTGAGAGCATGTTACAAATCGAAAGAATTTCAAGCTATAATCAAAGTACAGACCTCGAAGATTCCGGTGAAGATCTCATTCAAACCGAGATTGGCAAATATCCAATACGCATGAACAAGGGAAACCTTTAGTGGTGTGAGATGGTTGATCGAAGACCGTAGACAAGGAACTTACGATTGTCGTCAAAAGGCAGGTAGAAAATACTATATTCAACCGCATCCGATGTCCACTAGGCAGCATGGAGTTCCAGAAGAGCCGTAAAGGAGCGATGAGTAGACAAAGGTCGGCAATAATATCAGCTGCGAACAATCATCAACAAGGGGAAAAATTGGGCGGGTATATTTCGTACTGATCAATTGGGTGATAGCCACTGATTTTCCTAGGTGGCATTGTGTTGGTACCGCTGCTTTCCAATCTGGCTCCCTCTCACAAATGAAGATTTCTTGCATAGCGAGGAAAATCCACATAACCCCAAATAAGGACCCGACTACTAAGAGGATTTTTCGCATAGTTCCTGGAGGAGCTATACGAATGATAGTGCATAGGATGGAAAGCCGTGAGGTCCAGACGATTGTATAGAACCCTTCTGACGTTCTATAATGATGATAAATGGACTATCAAGAAAGATAGAGTAAAATCAGTTGCCTACATGTAATAGCCCGCGACGCGGGTTAGTTGGCTCATCGATGCTGTGGCCAAAAATTAATATTTAAGAAGAGGTAAACGATGCAGCTCCACGAAAATGCCTACGTTTTGGATCAAGAATGATTAGTACTCCGGTCATCAGCAGTGCTGCGCCGATAATGCTGAAGGTGGCCCAGAAATCGTCCCATCCTAATTTTCTGTTCTTGATTCGAATACCGAGACGAGTGAAAGTTACGACGATTGCTATCGTCAAACCCGCAATATCAATATCTGCATGGGAACGACGTAGCAGCTGGGGTGAGGAGGAGGAATGCTACAGGGAATGCTTAGTAGAAGAGCACGTACCGTGAACATCTTTTGAGGTGATGGTAATGGCCATATTGAAGATTCCAAACTACCAGAGTGTGGAGAAGAGTGATAGCAAGGTGACTTGGGGATATGGTAAGCTCAGCATTGTGGTGTGATCCACTATATAATAACGCACCTGGTTCCCTCCAATCACAGTCATTTTGAAAGGGGATACCGCTGTCGTGATCCAGAGAAGACGGTGAAATAGTAACGAAATGTAGATCTGGATGTATTGGCGCAATATGAACGAGTTTGGCTACCTTAGGCTACCTTTCACACGAAGAGCACGATGGTTGTTGCAAAGATTTGCATATATTCAAGGCATCGGACTAATATACACCGAAGTATGTAAAATATTTCTTTGTAAGTGTCGAAGTGGATCCCCATGCAGCGCAATGCTTCTACATAACATGATGGTGGATACTCGTTGATACATAAGCTCAGACCCGCAATGCCAAATGCTGGCAGATCAACCTGAATATTTCTCTACAAAATCAAGGATAAGCTTATTCGTAACGTCTGGTGCTTCGTAGAATGGAGCATGGCCAACTCCGGGAATGAGATGAAATTCAGATCGAGCAAGGTAATCCTTCATCCATTTTTCCAAATTTTTGGGAACAAGGTGTTGGTCATCTTCGCCCTGAATTGCCATGTAAGGGAAATTATTAGCAACCGCCATGATAGCGGTGGAGTCTTGACCTCGACCAAGCATAGACTGCCGCACGATAGGGGCCTGAAAGTAACTCAAGCACAAAAAAAAAACAGAAGTGTAATTGCTTACCCTCGGAGCCGCACCTCCCAACCATTGAGTATAGACATCGTAAGGAAGTTTGTGATTTGGAGACACACAAGAGAGGACGAATTCCGGAAGAGTTTTAGCAAATAAAGCAATATCTTCAGTCATGAGTCCTGGAATGAGGCTGAGAATGACGGGATGAACGACTTCGGAATGCATGTTACGATGAGGGAACGATCCCATCATTATATGACCAGAGAGAGAGTCAGGCCCGTATTTAGCAATAACGTCGGGAGGAACAATTCCTTGAAAGAGAAATTCGAAAACAAGTACCGTGTTGGAGTAAGCATAATCACGTACCACCGAGAGACCTAAGCGAAAAACTGGTAAGTAACGAGAATGGATCTTGGATGGGGCACATACCATGTTGCCACAAATGGTTTCGCGACCTTAAACGCATTAGTGACAGCTTTGAAATCATCCGCCTGGAGCTCAGACGAGTACGCCTCCCCGCTCAATGGTCCTTCACTTCGTCCACATCCACGAACATCATAGCGAATCTACAAAAATTAGGGTTGGGCGACTGAATCACAGACGTTGACATACGATGTATAAGTTTTCTAGCATTTTGGCATTGGAATATTGCTTGTTAAAAGCATCTGCGGTACAAGCGAATCCATGAATGAACACCACTGCCGGCTTGGACGGGTTTCCGCAGGCATGAGCCCAAATCTTTGTGCCATCAGAGGATGTTACAAACTGGCCTGGAGAGATATCGATAGACATTGGGCTGTGAGAGAAAGAGTATCATGCTTCGTCAAGGGCTATATATGAATCGTCCCCAGATAGATCAAAAACATCACCTGCCGCTCTGAGAGGCATATATTGCTTATGCAGACGCTCACAGAGCACGGGTATTAAGGATCTTACGATATGGCCCCTCGCGACCGAAACTCCAGAACTTCAAGTCCGATTTCCGATAAGCTACTACAGTATGCGGAAGCAAGGAGGTTGTGTGAGTCCGGGAACGCTTCGTAAACAGTGATAATTTTAGACCTATTTGGAGAGATCTGGAGATGACCTACCTTGTAGTTTCCGAGTCAATCAGCAACCAAATCACCAACATTGATGATCAGACAACATCGGAGAACTGAGCGGCGAGTCAATGGACTGGAATATGGAGGTATGGATGTATGCCTATGCACATAGCCCCAATGTATTTGAGCAATAATTATTGATTAATACGCTAATTTCGTAAAACACAACATTAATTTTGGGACTGGGAAATTATTTAACAATCGACTCAACTCTTCTCAGCATTTAACCTCTCCTACACACGGATTTTCCCCATGTTGAAGACTACCAGCCGAAGATTAATCAGTTCTCAAGCTTCTAGAGCTCTCAGGAGGGCACCTGTTAACAAGACCCCAGCGCAAGTTCTGCAGCCTGTTGGTCAGACGCCATACCCGTTGCCGGTAAAGACCTACAGGCCATTGATTTAACTATGACAACTAAACGAGACTTTATCAGACTTCCTCTCGGGGAGTTGAGAGGTATGCACACACCGTCAATTCCGTACTATACTCTTAATGACTATTGGACTGAACACAACCAGACGTCGACTTGATGATATGCACCATGGCATTGCAAGATATTTGAAACGACTTACCTATGCACCTCTAGAAAACCCGACTCGGATTTTAGAGCTTGGGTTTGTTGATTGCCATTCAAATTCTAGATTCTAAGCATCTCTTCTGACCCTGCTACATATCCTGTACAGATCTGGCACAGGAGCATGGTGAAGGCGTTCGTTTTCGGAAATAATTTAACGAATCCACTTATCGTCAAATTTTTCATACTAGGTCCGTTGAAGCCGCAGAAACGTTTCCTTCCGCTGAGGTCATCGCTGCAGACATGTCTCCGCTGCCAGAAACGTGAGAGTCGTACTAGAATTATCCTTGTTTTGCTGGCTGAAATTTCTTCTCGAATTCTGTCAGATTGAATATGCCTCCGAATCTGACATTCAGGCAGATGAATTTCCTGGATCCATTTGCATTTCATCCTGCGTCATTTGACGTTGTGCACATGCGCTTCGTGATGATACATGTGAGTGCGTAATCAACGACGACGTTGATAGTAATGATCAGTTCGACTTGATTGACATTGGATACTACCTAAACAGCTGCCAAATCCAGACGATTATATTCATCGTCTTGCATCGCTACTCCGTCCTGGAGGATGGCTCTTGCTCGAAGATGTGAACCACACTCTTTTGGATGCGAACAGACCTATTGGACCCGGCGTCCAGGCGTTGTATCGCGGTTACCGTGAATACATGCACGAGCAGGGCGTTGATCCCGAAGTCGGAGCTCAGTTAAAGAATATGCTCGAAAGGTCCAAAGAGTTCAGCGAAGTCAACGAGATCGTCATTCCTTGTTACATGAACCCGAGAAGCACCAAAGGTAAATGGTCATTCCATTGACCCACGTTCTGAGAATTTAACACCACCTAATTTGCTCAGATCCAGCTCTACAAGACCTCGGAGAAATCTTAAAATATTCAATAGACGGAGTTTATGTTGGGATCATGGAAAAAGTTGGTCCTGCTGGTGGCATCACGCCTGAAATACTGAGGGGTTGGAGACGAGAAGTCAACGATCCAGAGAGGGATCTTCGAATTGATATGCATCTCACCTGGTCAAAGAAGCTGTAGGAGGCAGCATATGCTAGGAAAATCGACGAATGGAGTATGGGTTAATTGATACTGCGGTACTATACTAGTTTTAGGGAATTTTAATCTTGACAAAATCTAGCAACGTCATTAATTCTTCATTAATTCATATCAGTGGCCTGGGATTGCGCTCCCGCGAGTAAAGCTAGAAAGATGGCATAAGTGAGATAATTAGGAAATACATCAAGACTCACGTTGCTCGATAACACTGAAAAACAGAGGTAAGTCCATCCGAATGGAGTTTGTTGGTGTGTGTGCGCGACATCCTTCGCATGTAGTTGTATAGCATATCTATGTCCGTGAGAATTGGTGAAATCCAAGGAGATTGTTGCAACTTGCTATGCAGAAAACAGAGAACTGGGAGCCAGAAGAGCCTGACAGACTAGGATCGCATCATGAGGAAGGGAGTGGATCGCGAGAATAGCAACAATAATAAAAGGTAACGGAGTCAAATAGTCAAGCTGTAAACGACATACATCGCAGCAACGGCCTTTGAATTCTTGCAGGTATTGGGGAGTTATATACTTAAAAGGGAGTGGTGGAATCATTGACATATGAGTCACTTGTATACCCGTTAGGTCATATTCACGGTAACGAAAACGGGAGAATACTGATTCTGCTATATTGGGCAGCCAAGGGTATCGTATTCGAGCATCCACCAGGCATAACAGAAAAAAAGCGTCTACACACATGATAGTATAACCCAGCTCCAAAATCACTGATTAACTGTGAATCATGATTGCAAACCCACGCCATGGTTATTTGAGGTGCTGAAAGCCTCAGGGTATGAGATATGTGGAGTGTAATGTCGAAAGATGGTATCTACGCTCACGAGTGACTCAGCGCTTCTCCCGGATCCCTTCAAACATCGAACATGATATGCAGCAGGGCGGGAACAAAATCCAGAAGCATCTATCCACGGCTTCCGGGGCGCATAGCCAATGAATTGTTCGTTCCTCTGGAGCCAATTCAACGTTGTCCAAGTTGGATACAAAAAAGTTCGACCAATTCAACGTCTTCCCTAAGCTGAAACGCGGAGACGCCGTGTGTCTAGAGTTCCGGAGGTTCTGCTGAAAGTGTATGCAGGAGCCTTCCTTGTGATCTAGGGTCCTTTTGTAGCGCAGAGCAACGGAATAATTTCAGATCGCCAATGACAACTTGGTCACTAGGCCAGGATGAAATGGAAAAACAGATTGATACACGGCTTTGTCCATAGACGATGGGTCTCATCAGAGAACGGCCGGGCGACGAGGTTACGTATCCAGAGCCTGCAAAATCCGTCCGTACCGACCGAGGTGTGCGGGCCTTTTTGCGATAAGCGAGGACGAGCGGACTGTAGCTAAATGTGCATGAAAGGCCTAAACAGAAGCGTATTGAAGATTATGTGGTGCCTGATATAAATAAATGATACAGGAAACGCAGAGTAAACGGTAAAATCACAAAAAAGCAAAAATATCAGCTCACATGTATCCTGGTAGGACAATGTCATTAGGCCGTTTCTTTTGCTTCTTACTACTACAGAGACCGAGTGTCGCACATTGTGTAACTCTATCCTTTCCTTTCCAGTGTAACTAGAGCGTGTTGTTATATATTTCCGAGCAGACGAATCGTTGTAACATACCTGCGCCTGCAACTAAGTGGTGGGCCCAATTTTGGATCGGATATGAAGTTCCTCTACGCGAAAGAAATCATCAGAGCCGGCTCATTACAGTAAATGCCACTGCAATCAATTGTCGAAGACATTGAAATTCGAAGAGCATGAAGAAAGTTAGGGCGCTAAATTTATGCCTATTTTGTCGCTTGCCAATGCCAGTTGCCTTGTTGGTTCTGGGGATCACCGACAAAAACTTCAATGTTAATGTATGTTTATCGCCTAGCAGGTTCAAGTGGGAATCGATGAAGATGTTATAAAAGAAGGTTCACAAAATGTCAATCAAGCTATGTTCAGGGAATTTTGGTTGCGGTTCAATTGTAGTGGTGTTAGACCAGTTTTGGACAAACATATATTTCATATATATAGAAAGAAACATGAAAAGAATCAACTTCGAATCTTCACATCACCCAACTTGTGCTCTATACCGTCGATGACTTCACTAGGAACCAACGTTGATGATGCGGGAACTGCCAATGGTACAGCAAGTACCGGATCCGAATTTGAGGGGTTTAAAGCGTCCAAAGTATTCTCAGTCAAGGTATTCAAAGAAGTGACGGCACTGTCGCCCTCCCATCCGGCGAGAGCCTCCCGTTTCGCGTTCTGTACTGAAAGGAAAAATGCTGGTTCAAGGAATCCCTTGTCGTTACCTTCTGTAAGTACAACGCCATTGTCTGACAGGAAAAAAGTGATTCCTGCTGCGAGAGCTTTGGGTACGTCGATAAAGATGAGGATATCGCATGATTTGCGCATTCCTATGTGAGTAACAGGGGTTAGTCTAGCGTCACGGTGATATATGACAACAAATATGGTGACAGTGACAGGAGAGCAAAAGAAGAACAGAGAAAGGACGAATATCGCACCGCGACAAAGGCGGAAGCAGAGAAGTGTAGGGAAAGACGGCGAGTGAGAGGATGCGCATGTATAGTGCCTACGACGCCAGCCGAAGAACGAGGAAATCAGAACAGAAGGAGCAAAAGGAAACAGTCCTAAAACACAGTAAGCAAAGATAGGAATGTTCTTCGTCCGTCCTTGACCTCCATATGAAAAACGGGGTAAGTAGAAGGAAAGGATAAGAGAAGGAGAAGAGAACAATCAAGGAACGAATGAATCGGTCACTGAGGTCGCCGTTTTAACGGTTTATGTGTTGTACTCACCACTGATTACATTATTCCCTGTAACTCCTTGAGCAAGATGTATATGATTGCGGGTCATCTTCGATAATCCTTGCGATGCTGATTGTCGGATGAAAAAAAAATGAATATAACGATTAAACATGGGAAAGATCAGTCAGGAAAGAGGGAAGGAAAGTCCCAGCATAGACAGCACGTAGCGCAAAGGCAGAAGATATTACCCACTCATAGTCGTTCACCCTCGTGCACATCTCATGTGCAAGGAATTGTATGAAGACACATTTTGTAAACGATACATTGAACTCACATATTGATTGCCAAGCAATTTTCGTCGTCCCGTGTACAGCTGTGCGTGAGGGAATATCTTCAACCGTGAAGATAGGCTTCAGATCTAATTTGACTGCCTAGAAGGAAAAGGGAGGCGTGTCAGTTATGTTTGGTAGTTCAAATGATTCATTGATGGAACATGCACCACTAAAGCGAGGGAGTACGTGTGAGCAAGGATGAATGAAGACGGAGCATGAATGTGTCCTTAAAGTAAAGTCTGACGAAATAAGGCGGAAGGGACAAAAGCAGTGGTATTAATCGTAACAAGTGAACTGTCTACTGACCTTGATCGAATGCCCTTGATTAGCTTTGATCCACCATATATCGTCTTCACACACCAAACTGTAACGCTGCTTCGAATCGGCATTGACAATCTGCTGTAAGCCTGTGAGGTCTAGTGCCTGCGATTTGATTTTTGGGTTTTCTAACTAGATAGATATTAGATCACAGCAATTTCCGAACACATAGATAGATATGTGGGAGGTGGCACATACGACAAGAGGATAATGATTGAAGCATAGTACGCACGAGATCGATCACTTTAACATATCCATCTGCTCTCATCGTCAATCCTTCACTCTGCGCCCCATGGCGTAGCAGCCAGGAGAGCGTTTTGGACAATCGGACAACAGGACTATCTTTTGGTAATCCTCGTAGTTTTCCACCACCTCCTCCGCGCTTTGGATTTTGGGGTTTTCCTGTTGGAAATTTCTTGGTTGGCTGAGTAATTTCTGCCATAATCTTGAAGAAGCGGAAGGGGAAGCGCGTTGTGACAAGTAAGCAGCGACTCGGATGATTATCGTTCAGTCAGTTCAAGTCAACGAGTGAGATCAGCGGAAGCGAAACTTAACGCGGCCCGATGTCGGAGCATGAAATGTGCTCTGCGGCAGTCGCGCCCTGCTTACTCACGCATTGTAAATGCGCTTACTCATACTTTTTTTGGCTGACGAATCATTACCGAGAAAAGTGTCTTATAAAGGCGGTTGTTCTTCTCCTTCCCCCACTAAATCGTTACTATGTGAGTATCATTGACGTTTTATTGCTCTGCAAACGCTTTGGATGGAACGCTTTGGAATGATACGAAGTTTAGAAGGCGTTTGGATAGGTTTCAGGCGAGGAGCAAGTTGGATTGGGAAATCTGAGCTAGGATGACGTGTCTGGGAGTAGATGGGTGGATTGAAGTGAATCTGAAGGAATTACTGGGAGCTTTCTGGATAAATGGGCGATCGTATTTTCGAAGTTCTTCTATTCTGACTTTGTTGTTTGATCAGTAGAAAACATGGGTCGTCGTCCCGCTCGCTGCTACCGTTATTGCAAGAACAAACCGTACCCCAAATCCCGGTACAACCGTGGTGTCCCTGATCCCAAAGTACATCATCCATAATTTTTCCATTGGGGCTCTATAACTCAAATTTTTCTTGCCAGATCAGGATTTTCGATCTTGGTCGTAAACGTGCAAACGTTGACGAATTTCCCTTCTGCTGCCACCTCGTCTCTGATGAATATGAACAACTTTCGAGTGAGGCTCTGGAAGCTGCTCGTATTTGCGCCAACAAATACGTTACCAAGACCTCTGGAAAGGACTCTTTCCACTTGAGGGTCCGTGTACATCCATTCCACGTTATCCGTATCAACAAGATGTTGTCATGCGCTGGTGCCGATCGGTATGTATTGAAGATGACGCTCAATTAGACGAACATTATACTGATTGGGTTTTTGTGGCAGACTGCAAACGGGTATGCGAGGAGCTTGGGGCAAGCCTTACGGCACTGTTGCCCGTGTCAACATTGGGCAAATTATCCTTTCCATCAGATGCAAGGAACAGAATGCTCCTGTCATTATGGAAGCTCTACGCCGCGCACGTTACAAATTCCCTGGACGTCAAAAGATTATTGTTTCGAAGAAGTGGGGCTTTACTAACGTCAACAAGGAGGAATACCTCCAGCTCAAGGCTGAGAAGAAGGTGTTACAGTGCGTATTTCTGCCTTCTTTGTCCACTGTACAAATTTAAGACTAATATATGCTCTTTCCAGGGATGGTGCATATGTCCAATTTATCAAGTCCAAGGGACCCTTGGAGCAGAATCTGCGTAACTCTCTCCGTGCTTGATCTGTTGTCGCCCTCTGCATATGTACCTTAACGCTATATAAATCTTAGTCGATTTGCATGCGTGAAGCCGATGTTTTCGGTTTTTTCTACGCCTCCACTGACGCGCTTGCCCTTATATTCACTGGGCCACTCTTTTCCGTGGGTGTGTCCGGGGGAAAGGGGGCATAGATTGAATGGATAAGGATATTATTCAGTACCTAGAGCAGCAGTATAATCTTTTTGGGGTTCAACTTTGTAGCACTCCAGCTGTCGCCGTTCTTGTAACAGAATTTTCGGTCACGTATGCAGTTAGCTAAGGCTTGTAATGAAAACTATTCATTTACTTCGGCTCCACTCTCCATGACCGTTGTCTAACCACCTTGGTGCTTCCGTAACTTACACTTTCTTGATTTCCTCGAAACGAGGTGGACGACCTTCAGCGTATAACGGAATTTAACTTACATAGCTGCCAACAAGATCGTCAAAGTCATGCCGTTCCAAAGATACCTTCAAGATAATCGTCAAGATATGTTCCCTTACGACTTTGACAGTAATGTGCCGCAGAACAACTCTTCCTCCTCCTCCTCATCCTCATCGTCATTAACCGCAGCAATGGACATGCCTATCAGCCACGCTGGGCAATCTAATTCTGGCTTCAGCCACTCTGTCAGGCTTCATATTCCTCAGTTCATGCAGACTGGAGTTCCAATGTTGGCACCAGGAGGCGGAGCTGAAGTATTACCAGTTGGACTGTTCTCTGATAACCCCGCTGCTAATTCTGCCTGGTTTGTCAACAACGGAATTACTTCGAATCTTTCGTGCGTATTCGATAGAAATACATGTCCGAATAATCTTCTCATATGTATACTTCATTTACAGCGACTCTGCTGCAAAGTCATATGTATATCCTATTGATCAGCAGCAGCAGCAGCAGCATCAGGCCCCGTCCTCGTCTTCCTCACCGTCACCGTCCTCTCATTCATCGCCCTCTCCTTTCGACTTTGATTTTAATAGTCAATCTCCTTCCATTCATGAATCCGAGCCGAACGCACAGTCTCCGACAGCTCTGAGCGTGCATATCAATTCTGGTCTCATTAATCCCCAGAATCGCCTAACTCCTCACCAGCTCAATGCTATAGGAGCAGGAGCAGCTATGGGCTCTTCAAGTCTCAACGCTCCCTCTCCTCTCGGTCTTCCTGTCTATTCGAGATCAGGCTTTGACCTCTTGTCTGTTCTGGCCCGAGTAGCTGCTCGGCCAGACCCCAAAATTGCATTAGGCCCGGTGGACTTTTCATCCAGCTTCGTCGTCATAGACGTTCGGCGCTACGATAATCCCATCATCTATTGTTCACGTTCGTTCTGCCGGCTGACGGGATACGAAGAACACGAAGTCATCGGTAAAAACTGCCGGTTCCTCCAAAGTCCGAACGGTGTTCAACCCAAGGGCGAATATCGGCGGTTCACTTCTAACGAGGCTGTATTGTATCTAAAAAAGCATTTGGTGGCAGATAAGGAATGTCAGACGAGCATCATCAACTATCGAAAAAGTGGAGATGCATTCATTAACCTCGTCACCGTCATTCCTATCAAAGGCGGCGACATTAGTTCTCCACACGAAGACGACAAGGTTATCTACCACGTTGGATTCCAGGTAGATTTGACCGAACAGCCAAATGCGATCTTGGAAAAGTTAAAGGACGGAAGCTACATCGCTAACTTTGCGGCGAACAATCCTCTCACCATCAATCCACCTTCCATATCCTTCCAGGGTGGAGGCAGTTTGGGTTCTGGGGCAATGCATTCATTGATGTCCAGGGACAGAAGGATGCAAAGTATTTCTGCTCCAATGATGACTTCAGAGTTCAAAGCCATGATCGAGGATCCGCTTTTTATGTCAAACCATCCCATATCTATGGGAGCCAATGCCGATTCTCTTCCTTCATCTTCTGTCATATCTTCCAACATTGGATCGATCAATGGTGACAATAGCGATCTGGTCAATGTAGGGTCGCCAGGCAACCATCCTTTTTCTTTGCTTTTGCTCGAATACGCACCCGATTTCATCCACGTTGTGTCTTTGAAAGGCACGTTTCTCTACGTCGGCCCTTCGGTGCGTAGGGTCTTGGGCTATGAGCCGGAAGAGCTTGTAGGCAAAGCTTTATCGGACATTTGTCATCCAGCCGACGTCCAACCTCTCACGCGCGAACTTAAAGAGTCTTCTGCTACAGGCTCCACAGCGCCTGGCAGCGGCACCTCGCCGCCGGGAGAAGATGCCTTGACTTCACGGCAGTCACATCCTGTCAAACCTCGTGCGGTGAATCTGCTCTTCCGTGCGCGCACGAAGAGTGATCAGTACGTCTGGGTCGAATGTCGAGGTCGGTTGCATGTTGAGCCAGGAAAGGGAAGAAAAGCAATCATGTTGAGTGGGAGAGCGAAAGAAATGTCGATGCTGCTATGGTCTGCTATTGCCTCCGCGGGCGGTATTTCCCATCCGCAAACAGTAGCCAAGTCACTGTCGGGAGAGGATGGAAAGACCAGGCTGGTGACCGTAGATATATCAACAGAATTCTGGGGAACCATTACCCGTACCGGGTCCTTGCTTATTGTGAGCAAAGGTGTCAAGGACACACTTGGATGGGATGAAACAGAGCTCATGGGTAAGCAGGTCTGGAGTTATCTACTTGATGAAGAGGCCCGGCGAAACGTTGGTAAGGAACTAGCCAATATAGGATGTGCGATGGGCACGATGGACGCCCCAGGATCATTACCCCGAAAGATCTTCTGTAGGATGACACGCCAGGATGGATCTGCAGCCGAAGTCGAATTGATATTATACCCATCGGCTATTGACTCCTCGATTTTGCATTCCTCTCAAGCGATATCCCCTGCGCCTATCATCTATCAAATCAGGTTGTATGACCGCGCCACTTCCTCGACTGGAATTAGGTCGTCGGAAGCTGCAATAATGCACCCGCTTAGGGAAAATGTCTTTAAAATTCTCGAAATTAGTAGAGAATCGAGTTGGCAGTACGAGTTGCAGCAGATGCGGTATATGAATGAACGGTTGCGAGAGGAAATTATGTCTCTTGAGGGTGATGAAATTGAACACTCGCATGCTCATTCTACTTCTTCGACCTTGTCGCAGCCTTCGGCTCCTGCATCTCATGGACTTGTACACGTAAATCCTTCTGTCGGAACGATGTCTTCGCGCATGAGCACGATGTTGCCCAGTACTGGGTACGATCGTCATGCCCATCAAGGGATTGGATCGGCATCTTTTAATGCTCCGCACATAATGTATCCTACGTCTGGCCAATATACTGCACACACGCAGTACCCTCAGCATGTTCAACACGCTCAACATACCCAACCTCAGGCTTGGCCTCCTCCAACTTCTAATGTTTCCTCAACGACAGCTATTTCTATGCCAATGCCTTTCATGTCTCCTCCGCTTAACAATACAGGGTATGATGTCTCGAATACTGTTTCTTCATCTCTAAAAAGACACTGGAATACCACTGACCGCAACGGGAATGGTACCTAAAACAGGCACTGACAATATTTGTCCGCAACAAATGTTCTGATATATCATTACAAAAAACTTTGCCAAACATTCTTCAATGAAACCAACCACTCCGGATATACTTCCACGATCGCTCTCGCTACTGCTATCCTCTTCATCCTCATACAATATATCAATACTCAACGGACAAAGAACAAGGAACGATTTTGCGTATAGTGTATATATATATTTCTGTCGTGTTCATGGCATGGCTCCTGTATTATTTCTTCTCTATACAAGCATTTCCCTCTCTGTGCATTGTATTCTTCTTCGTGGTTTCCGGTTTTACATTAGTAGTATGTTGTAGTCTCTCCATTCGAACTGTGGTCATATCTTGCTTGGAATGTTATTTGCGTACTGTCGTTTTCAAGTTTTCATAGTGTCAAAGAGCATTTTAAATATTTGGGCTAATATAAATTAAGATATAGATACAGCGAAATCCGGGAAGTTCTGTCTACATGTACGGTGAGATGGACACATAAGTCACTACATACTACAAGTACCGATAATCCCCACCTCTACCACCTCCGTATGAATCCCAGTGATCACGCTCGTTCCTCCAACGCCTACCACTCTTTCCTCTGCCTCGGGGAATCGCAGCTGGAACACCGTTCTCATCGTAGTATGTTTGAGGGGGTATAAATCCGATCTGGGGACGATTATTCATGGAAACAACAGGAACGTCGTGTGAATCGTATCCTTTATCCCATTCGTGAGTCTCATCTGCTAGATTACCTCTGGGCTGCGAAGCGACAAATCGATTCAATTGTCTTCCGAACCGTACTTCATCGTCGTACTCGTCGTCCTCAACTCTGTCGCTTCCGCGTTGGTTTCCGTGCTCCTCTCTCTGATCTCTCCGAGTACTTGGACCACCACCGTTTGTTCTCCTATTATTTCCAAGCCGGGGGCCCTCGTCGGCATTGTAAATGTTCCCGTAATTCCATCTCCGCGATTGATCATTGACCCAGGAAGTATTTTGGTCTCCAGAGATGGAAGTGAAGTTGATGGCTCCGCTGCTGGCTATAGGGTTGCGCGCAGGTGCAGCATGCTCTGGTTCATTCATAGGTTCGGAGGATCCAACAGTCGCAGCTCCGCTTTCTTCTCCGTGTTGCTCAACTACCCCCTTGCCCTTTCCTTCCTCGCTTGTCGGAGTTGTGTGACGTACTGGAGTATCTCCCGTTCGGAATGTAGCCCCAGCGAACGAGAATATGGCAGGGAAAACGGAAGCCGATGCGTTTCCTGGAAGCGTGTGGAGCGATTCCGTTGCTATAGGAGATGTAGGAGCTTCACCAGAAGCGGGAGGACCAGTCGCAGGAGGAGGAGTGGAGAGAGAGGTGAAGATGTTTGCTCCTTCGGATATAGGAGAGACCGGAGATTGTAAGGTCTGTAGCACCTGCGTTTGCTGGGCTTCGATGCGGCCGGTTACTTGTCGAAGGGTGATGTTCGATTGCAACTATACGTCAGCAGATTGAATATTACCGTACACGAGTAAAAAAAAAGCCCGGTGTTTTATGTAACACTATGTACTCACCGTGAACAAATCCAAAGCCATTTTCATTTTGTTCTGAAACTCTGTCACCTTTCCTGTATCTGAGCGAACTGTCAAAAACCTGATAAAAGCATTTCGAGAGGCGACATGTCTGGCGAAGGCATCTATATCGGTCAGGGTACTGTTCAGAGGTAGAGACGGGTTGGAAAATGAAAGCTTGATATGTGAACAAAGTTACAAAGACTAAGACGAAGACGAAGTGGCACACCTACAAAGCCTTTCCAAATTGTGCCGAAGCTCTGGGTTTATCTCTTCCTCCTTCTTCGTTTGCTCTGGCTTCGACGGATCCCTGTCCTTGTTAACTTCTTCGTCTATTTGCGAGTTTTCCTTTTCGAGTTTTTGCGTATCTTCTACCGTGGACTCAGCAGACTCCTGCTGTCTATGCCGCTTTAACACCTCATCGCACGTCGCCATGACGGCATATACCAAGGAAATAGCGTCTGAGCCTAATGATTTTAGGGAAGCCTTAGTATCACGAGTGCTCTATGAATATGAAAGGTCAAAAATAATCAGTACTCAGCAGTTATATAGAATGCTCACTTGGACAGCATCCCAGATGTCAATCGCCAACGAAGCCGCCTCGCCAAGATAGGGAATAGGTGCAAGTGCAGCAGCATCACGCAGAGCCGAGAGAGTCAAGTTAGTTGCTCCTGATAACGCGGGAAAGAACTCTTCTTTCCCAGATCGCCGTTTTACGTTCTTTGTCTGTTCTTCGTCGCTTGGCATATTTGAGCCACTGGAGACCGTGTCCCGATGCTTCACCCTCTTTATAAAAATTTTGGTAAGCCGAAGGCGACCATGTAGAGGTAAAACGGGGGTCCGTTCCCTGGCACTCGCTTGTGAGCTACCAGCACCCCCAGCCGTGGAGGAACACCTGAGTTTAGGCATAGAACTTCAGGGGTGGAACTCCTTCACAAAGAGTTTCGTACAGGATGGTGCTGATGGTGCTTTTTTGCACGTTCCACCCGAGCATACTATTTGAAAGCAACATTTTAGCATTAGCTTGCTCTCAGTGGCGTTGTCATGCAGACAAAGGGATTTCCGCCACTCAGAATATGTACGCACATAAAGTTTACAAAGGGTAATTAAAAGCGATGGAAAGGCCGATGTAAAAAGGAAAGCAAATGAGTATGAGACCCGCGACTGCAAGGAAAGAGCCATAAAGGAAAGTTTTGACGATATAGAAGCAAAATCAAGATAGCCCACCGTTGGTACATAGGCCTGGAGTTTACTTTCGGACTTGTCCAACTGGCGGTAGCACTGAAGCTGAGCGCTGGCCTTGCATTCGATCGCGAGAAGAGAGACAAAACCACATGTGCATCAATGAGAGCTAGTGTCATTTTGCAACAAATGAAATCATAAACCACTGGTGCATGCTCATCTGAGTCATCTCCACTGTGAGGTTTCCGGCTTCTCAAGTTGTTTCCATTTCATCAAGGGATGTAGCCCACATCGCTTGGCATTACTACGCCGTATTCAAGCCTACTCACCAACAATGCCAACGCGATCCTACATCCTTCATTTCTCCGCCTCGCTGTAGGCTAAATATTTGTTCTCTCATTGAGTGACAGAATCCAAATAGTGAAGTTATAGTCCTAACTTACTACAGTTGCTCCTTGTCATACCTGAGCCCAAAGCGATTGAAGAATTCCGATGATCATCTCGAAGATCAATAAAGCAATCCTATGGAGAAACTGAGCTTGATGAAGTGGTCCGAAGGAGAAGATAGGTTGGAAAATTGGAAACAAAATGCCAGTGTACATATATATATGTCACTGACAGGATGCATCCTAAATGCATCACGAGACGAAATTGTCTTGATGCATGTCCCTCTTCTCGAAATCCGAAGGTTTTGTTATAAACGGTGGAGTTTTCACTGCTGTGGCAGGAGACCTGAATTATGGTAATGGAGAACGTGAAGGACAAGATACCCGTGCGAATTTATTTTACAGTATATGATCATCTAACCAAAACTGCTCGTAGCTGGGCGAGGCCTCGAAATTTTGTACCAGGCTGCCGTGACCGGGGCTTCCCATGATGCTGAACAGCGTTTCCCTCCTCCAAATTGCTATCCGGGCACTCGGATTCAAATTCTGGAGATCTTAAAGACATGGATCAACAACGACAATAAGTCCACCTCGATTTACTGGATTTACGGTGCGGCAGGCGTAGGGAAATCCGCAGTGGCTCAAACTATATCGGAAACCTTTGCACAGGGTACAGCAACAGGTCGTTTGGCTGCTAGTTTCTTCTTTTCACGCGCAGACTCGGCACGGAACAATCTATCCCTATTCTTTATCACCATTGCTCACCAGTTAGCGATATCCCCTGTGCTCGGACGGCATGTAGGAAACAGTATCGACCTTGCAATTCGTCAGAAGCGTAATATAGTACATGCTGCATTAGAGCATCAGTTCCAGGAACTCATTGTAAAACCTTGCAGCAAACTAAGGTCCGAAGAGTGGAAAAGTCTTCCCCGGTTAATCGTCATCGACGGTCTAGACGAATGCCTCGATATAGCGTCACAGGAGCGTCTGCTTTCTATTATCCGACAATCCAAAACATCCACGCCGCCCTTACCATTCCATTTCCTCATATGCAGTAGGCCCGAGCCTCGCATACGCAACGCTTTCAGCCATCCAGGCTTTCGCCTCATTCTGGACTGTAACGACCTTGGCGACTCCTTTGAGTCCGGGAAGGATATCGCTAATTATTTCCGAGATCAATTTGGGAGAATTCGACAGGAACACGGCCGTACCATGGCTCATGTAGAATCCGACTGGCCAGGCGATGGGATTATTCAACAGCTTGTCCAGAGGGCGTGTGGGCAATTCATTTATGCCACTACTGTCCTTAAGTACGTCGGAGACTACCACGGTTTGCCTACCGAGCGGTTGGAGATCATTATGAATATCACTGTTCCTGAAGACTTTGACTCTCCGTATCCTGACTTGGATCTGTTGTACATGCAGATACTCTCTATGTGCAAGAATAGGGACCTTCTCCTCCATGTTATGGGTCATCTGTTGAAATCTGATCCAGACATCTACTTTGATTCTCGCTTTGAACAAAAGACGACTCATTGCATCGAAGGGCTATTTTTCTTACAGAAAGGGAAGGCTTCGACATTGTTCTTTGGACTGCATTCAGTCCTAGTTATACCTGAAGACGACCACAACAGTATCACCATCCGTCACGCATCCTTCGTCGACTTCCTCACTGATCGAAAGCGGTCGGGGAAGTATTATGTGGACATAGATCTAATGACCCGCCACGAACAAATTGCGTTGTACCTTTTGAAGCGCATCACCTACTCGATTAAGAATACCCACAAACTCTCACGGTGAGCCTTTTACTTTTTCCTTCATAATGCTCCAAAATGAGGATTGGTCATTAGCATGAACTCCGAGTTCGACACTTACGCATGGGATTTTTGGTACCTGCACTGTCGAAAAGTGGCGAGGTTGCCCAGTGGGGATTTCCTCATTGCTTTATATGAGCTCGATCCTTGTGGGTTCCTCAACACCGCTATGCGACGCAGAAATACCAGTTTGGAAGCCTGTGTTTCTGTATTACGAAATTGCCTCAGACGCCTCGATAGCATCGCTCAGTGGTCCAAAGTTTGTTTGTTTTCCTTCTTCCGACCAAATCCATTCATTCGTTCGCTTCATTGATTCCAGGCTTTACGGACCTTGGTATCCTCTGAGACACAAGGCAATCCATCAACGGTAACCACTTTATCAGCTGCTCGATACCGACTATTCCAAGACGGTTTTCGAGTACAGATACCATCGAGCCTACAGCCTCGAGAGAAAGATACACTGAAACGGGGTATTTCAGTGCTCAAATATGATTTGTTATTGTACAAACCAAATATGTGGGATGTTATTTCCGACCTCACACAACGTCACTTGAGCTCAGAGGAAGTTGGTACTGCTCTGAGTTCTTCCTGGCCATGCCCGACCATTGTATCTTTCAAACCCGAATCACAGCCACAGGATATGATGCATCCACTTTTTGACCTTGTGGACGTTTATTTCTCTAGTTGCCAAGAAGAAATAGTGTTACAATGCCTGCAAATCATCCGAGAACCTTCACAGAGTACAAAGGAGGTCATTATCTACTCCAAATTTCAGTGGATCAATCATCTTTCAGAGACCATACCGAACGAGGGAATGTTGCAGGTTTTGCTGAAGAATTTGCATTTTCTCCAAACCAGTGAAGATGCAAAGAAGGCTCTTAAATGGGTTGAGGTATGTATGACCTGTATCATTTGATTCAGAACTTACTCGATATATCTATATATTAATACACATAGAGGTCCGGACATTTTGCGTCTAGGAATAAAGTCATTCAGGCTCTTAACACCCACGTACGGAGACTCACGGATTTGGAGGAACGAAGGAAGCCTCGAGTAAAGAGGCGATGGTCCTCGTGGATATGTATGTAATTCGAATTCAAATCAAGTTGAATTTTCCGAAAATCGATCCCAATGCTAGAGACTTTCATTCCTCGGGGGTTCGACTATTGAGCTCAGTAAGAGTACCCTTCTACAGTTGCCAGGTCTGATACCTGTTCGCTTCGTAAGCAGTTACGCTCCAACAAGCTCTACAGGTTCACATTGATGGATACTTGTAAAATACGCTGCGACCACAATATTTGTTAATCAGTCCCTTCCAGGTGCAACCAATGCTACTTCTTTCACCTCCGTCAAAGTCAAAATGTTATATATGGCAAAATGAACTTGATTACCTCCTTTCAGCAGTGCCATAGTAGACATACCATGTCCTAAATTTGACCAGTCGTATGATATGTCTCTCACCCCCAGCCTTTGCCAATAGTACCCGCGCTACAGCTGTCCCCACGTGACCATCGCTGGAGGCACCACCGATCGGTATCTCCCCCCCAAAGGCGGCTTTCTTCTCTGGGACTTCTCTTGGTATCTCCCCGAGGCTTCACCCATCCCAGCTAGCAATCCTGTTTCAAATTTTCCAATGTTATAACCGGACTAGGGTCGACATACTCAGGTCTTTATAGCGCGTCAGGTCGAGCTTGCCCGGACGTCTACCTAAACTGAACGTGTGTACGGAACGCATCACCGGTATAATTGGGCTCCTCAATGACTACAAGCATCTGCAAAACCTGTTTTTTCGGCTAATTCTCTGAAAGCAGCTGAGAGCACTTCCCAGCAGCCAAAGCACCCAGAGCAAGGTTGAAATTTTGCTCTCGGTGCTTTGGGTGCTGGAGAGCGCTCTCCAGCCAGTACCCTTGCTCTGGCGAACATACAGGTTTTGCAGATGAAGATGGCCCCTTGTATTCCTCAATCCAGGTTTATATGCCAATTCAAGTGCATCCAATGGAACTGAACAGCTTGGTAAATCATAGGAGACAATATTTAATTCATCTACAGTATGTCAGCTCAGGAACAGAATCGACGTCGGTACACGAAGGGGGGCTTCCATTACTTCCATACTCTGATGCTTCATCCATCAACCTATGACAAGAGGATTGGAAAGGGCCTCATACTGAGGCACTGACCTTACCTGACTTGCCTTTATATCCCAAGTGTAGAAGGATATTTATGGACAGAATAGTGAACTTAGGTACAATTTCTTACATATGCACAAGTTTCAAAAAAGTACATGGCATTAGACTCCAGAGCACAAAGTTAGTGTAGAAAACAGAGCAGAGCATATACAGATTACATTCTCAACATTCAGATGAGGTGGTTGGGCATTGAGTCCCAGTGAACCCCAGGGCAAGCAAAGGAACTTTTGAAAGCTCTGTGTGAGTTTCTCAATGTCACTCATGCTGGCTTGGTGATGCTCAAAAATTCAAACTGGGCTTAAGCATAGTCTTCACCATTTTTGCTAGATGGCTGGTCACTTTCTAGCCTAGTATTATTTCCTTTATTTCCATTTCTGCTTACCAGTGGAGCTGGATTCATAACTGGGGTTGCTGCAACTACCAGATCTTGAGAAACTTGAAAAAGGTGCAATCGAGGGCCACTGCACAGCTGTGCTTGGCATTCACTCAGCTAGCATTGAAGTATTTTGGCTTTTGCACAAGGATTTTCTATGAAAATTCATGCAATATTAAAGAAGATTAGCATGGCCCCTGCACAAGGATGACAAAATTGTCAATTTTCGGGGCAAAAGCAAAATAAATATTGAGATCCGTAGATCTACCACTCCGGGAAAGCGTGTCATCCTTGTGCAGGGGCCATACTAATCTTCTCTGTATCGTTCCAATTTTTTCGTATGTCACCCCGAAGGGGACATAGAAGATGTGTTTATGAATGGGGGCAATGATAAACACCTCCCACTTCCCCTGCAGCTCCTGCAGCTGTGAATTACACTCTTGCAGGTGAAGGAAGACTATAATCACAAGCACCAATGAAACAAAGTTCAAAGGGACTGGGGAGGTTTGTTAAACCCTCCGCTACCCTCAGAGATAGTCGGAGCAATGAGCAAATTGGGGAAACTGCGTCCATGAAGATAAGATGGCGAGAAACCTAGCCAAGCAAGGTGATACTTAAATTATCACAAATGAATAATTCTGTGCAAGTAATTTTTGAGTGAATCTCACAGATTTCCCTAGGGTTCCTAGAACAAAAAATATGTTTAAGTAGCCCACCGCGAGGGTCGAACTCGCAGCCTTCAGATAAGCAGAACAACATCACCGCCTTAAAAGTCTGACGCTCTATCCGATTGAGCTAGGCGGGCTGCATCATTAACGTCCCAGTGAGAACATAGATACTCAAGATGATAGATCATTTGATAGATAACTAACATACATTTTTCGTTGTACTTTACACTGCTCTATCTCAAAGGTCCACAGCTGCTCTGTCACCAGCTACAATTGCAGGTGGTTGCTCCAGATCTTCCACTTGTGCAGGGTTAGGCTCCGGGTCGACCGTTGATATCGGAGTTAGTGTCCGACTCTGCTGCTGCTCCGATGTGGTATCAAGATTTTTCAATCTCATTTCCACCAAAAATTCCTTGTCTCTGACCGCCTGCGACCACGATGCTAGCATCTCACGAAGAATGATGAAAGTATGCGTCAAACCCGCCAAACAAAACAGGCTTGAGTAAACGTATGTAACTGACGAGAAAATTTTATGTTTGAAATCACATACACACGAACTAGCAGATAACTCACAGAGGAACTGATTGTTGACATGATGACCCACAAGGGGAAAGAAGTAGTCCACAACGTAGAACACAAGACCTGGTAAGACAATCATGCCAGTTAGACCGCCGGCAACAGGTGCAATGACGTCTTTCGTTGCAGCGATAGGATCTGGGTGGGTCCAACCATTACGCTTAATCTAGTAAGAACGTTCAGCCCCAAGCTGAGGAATATGGGAAAAGATAGCACACAATTTGGATACCCCTTGCTATGGGATTCTGCGCTTGTCTACGAGTCACTCTCATCGCTATCTTCATATAAAGAATACCGGTCGCCCAACATTCCAAGACTCGTATCCTCGGCACGACGATATCTGGACTGAGACGAAGTTTGAAGGGCAGTACAATATACAGGTCGACAACGCCACCGACGAGGGTTGGGATCACGATACCCAAGAAAACAGCCATGTATGAAGCTTTGACAATCCACAACAATCCACGTTTTACGGCAAGCCACCACAAAGAAGCTCGGGGACCCTCATTACCCCATCTCTGTCTTCTCTTGTCGAGGCGATCAACAGCTCTGCCAACAACCCAACATGCCCAAAGCATGTAGAACCCGGCAATGATAGAATATCCGTCATGTACTTCTCGTTTTCCTTTGAAGACCATGCCAAAGAATCCTCGACCTATGAGTATAGGGAGAGCCACAGATATGCCAAGGCAAAGAGCTCCGAACGTCCATAATATCAAAACAAAAAGTATCATTCGGTAGCGGAAATATGGCGGGATATAGACCACAGTGAAGTCTTGTCTGATGCTATGCTTGGCTTGAACCGTTTCCATATCCTGTTGGGTCATGAGGATCATTGCCTCTTCATTGACAGGTTCGCCGGTAGCTGTAACCGCTACAGTAGCAGGAATGTCCCGCGGGATAGCGAGATCATCCGTATTGGGAACCCGCCTGAAAGACCCGTCGTAATCCTCAACCAGGATAGAAGCGTCTTTGCTTGGGCCATATATGATGCGGGAAAGTGAGAATTTTTTCGGAGTGTATTCCTCCTCCGCCAGACGTAACCCGAAGAAGTACGAAGTTAGCCGCAGTCGTCTGGCTAGTCCTTTCCACACTACCATTGTGAATTTCCTAAGAGCTCTTCGAGGACGGAAATAAGTCATAGTATATGGTAATGCGATATTGAGGAACAGCAAATCGATAGGGATATTGGATAAAGGCTCTCTATATTATTCATGAGATTAAGCAAGAAGTTATACAAATAGGATACACGAACCTCGTTTTCCATCGAATGGGAAGGAGTATTTTTTGGCCAAGAAAGAGCAACGCCGCAACGCTGAAAACGGTGCATACGACGACAAAGGTGTACATGATGCCACTGATGCATATTTTCCGAAGTTGGACTAGCGCAGCTCGTTCGAGGATATCGCGTATGGGATGCGCATTCTGATCCTGTGGGTCTTTGATGAACCACATCCCCCCTGGACGCATTATACTTCGACACCCAGATAGCAACACAGCAAATGAGTACCTGCAAAGTAAGGTAAGTTAAAAAGTGCAATATGATCAAGGGTAAAAACAACAAACATGAACATCGTTCCTGCGACCCAGTGATAAAATATTGCGGTAAGTGGGGCTTGGTAGGAAAACTCCATCCTTGAAACGTAGGAAGCACCAGGGAAAAACCAAAGCGTGCAGATATCCAAAACAACACCACAACCGAGAGGAAATGTGACGAGTTCAATGAAGATGAACGACGCGACCTTGATGTGACATTGCGAAGTGAGATCATGAAGGACGACAGGAAGAGAAATTGCAAACCTTCAATACAAGCAGCTGTTGTTTGACTGCAGTTCGAACTGCTCGTCCAGCAGTTTTGACGTTGCCAATAGTCAGGATATTCATGTACACCGCTAGTGCCGATGCAATGATACAATAACCAAAGACAACCGAAAAGATCCTCTCGGCTGGTCCGTTCCCGATTGCAAGCTGAGTCCATACTCCACGAAACTGTTCGTGACCTTGACGAATCTCTCTTCCTAGAGTTGCAAAGTACGGTTCAATATAGTCCATGAAGTCAGGAAAAGTTCGTGCTAAGAAAGACGGGATGACGCCAATCTTGGGCGTCGAATGGACGATCTCTTCTGTAGAATCCTCTGCAAGATTCAAGGCATGAATCACTGACTCGAAGCAACTTTCCAGGAAAGAATACTAAATCAAGGTGAGTACAGACTTTTAGCACGAAACGAGCTGTTACACACGATAACCATGAAAGATTCTCGCATCTTCTTCGTTTTCACTTCTCCGAGATATTCAGAAATAACCCAGAAAAATAGTTGGACAACCCAAGCTCCCGAAGTTTGCAGCAATTGTATGTGAGGCGGCAGTAGGACATCGATGATAATATATGCCACCAGATCCACGGCGGGATCGGTCACCAGACGAATGGCACGAATGGGAAGGTGTAGAATGAAGAGCATTCGCTGGGGTTCTAACTGTGATCAAGAAGCTTGTGTTTAATGAGAGGGCTAAAGGTTGAAAGATGGCACTTACCATGAGGAAGGCCGTTGATTTGCCAAGCGTATAGGGTATCCACATTGCCAAGCCAATAACAGAATCCATGATGAAAATCATCAGAGCAGCATTTTGTGCCAGACCATATATTGGACCTCTTAGCCCAATAGCTGAGCACAGGAGAAAACCTTCTGAGCAAAACATCACAGACTTCAGATGTGAAAATAGACTGACCTTCCATTGCTCCATCCATATCATCATCAACTCCAGCCTCTAACTCATCCAACAATGCATCATCTGCGTTCAGTACTAGAGGACCTTGCTGAGGTTGTGGTCGAGCTGGAAAACCTGGAATGGGAGCCAACGCTAACGGGGGAGGAGCGTTGGCGTCAAGCTGGATCACCCTTCTGACACCGGCATTGAATGCAACAGCAGCTCCTTCTCGAAGTTGTGGTCTGACCTGGAATTCTTCGGCAATCTCATCTTCGCCTTCTTCGTCTTCTTCCTCGTCTTCCTCCTCGTCATCTTCCTCATCCTCATCCGCACCTGCAACTTCATTGCCATCCTGGAGGTCCACAACATGAGGTTCCTCATGCTGTTCAGCGTTCCGAGCCTCCGGCTCAGGTAAATCTATTACAAGTTCTGGCTCAGTATCACTCTCGCCTTCATCTGAACCATCTGTTGCTTCCTCTCGGAAATACGTCCTTATTTCCTCGTCCATCTCACCGTGATCCGGGATTAACGGCGATGTACTGTCTTCGCCCTCATCGACTTCATGTCCGTCAAGTGTTTCTGTGTCATCATCTTCATCGTCGGCTTCGACCGCTTGTTCGCTAACCGGCGCTAAAGCACTGGTAGAAGGACCTGCAAAATAATCTTCGTTGTCGGAGTTGACCAATTCTTCTGGTGCCCGATAAGTAGCCAAATTGGGAGAAGCAAGAGGTGTTTTTACACTCGGCGAAGAGGTTCCAGACCCAGGAGAACTGGGAAGGGTGGTTGGAAGCGGTGGACGACGTATGGGCGTTCCAGGTCTGGATATACTGGTATTTGAAGATGGTATGACGGTAGGAATCAATGGCGGAGGCCCGACGTAAGCGGTGGAAGCGAAATTGGGGACTGGGGATGTTGAAGGAGATATAGAGGGTGCGGACGAGGGGCTTGACGACTGACTATCAAAGTTCGATCCATGAGAAGGAAACGAAGACGATTCCCCAGATGTAGAGTCCGGATCGGATTTCGGGGGATACACAAATGAAAATGGGATACTTCCATTCGGGCGCTCGAGTGCAACGGTTGGGAAAAACGAGGAAGGGGGGGCGGTAGTAGTTGTCGTTGTACGTTCTGAAGAGGTTTCGGCATTTGGAAGTGCCAGACCCTGATCTAGGGCCCGCCTTCGGCTACTCCCATTCTGCCTGGCCAGTTGCAGTCTCTGGTTGAATTTTCGCCTCTCCATCCTCTCTAGCCGGATAATTCGAGCGAGAGCCTTCTCGATGACATCGTCTTCTTCTTCTTTCCCCTTGCCCTTTTCCATTCTGCGCTTCCTAGCCCTCTTGGTCGCAACCTTATCCAATTCGTGCTCAAGTTCATCGCTTCGAGTAGGTGCAAATTCTACGGCGGAACGGCCATTCCGCTGGGCTCGGATTTCCCTTGCCCTCTTCTCCTCTTCGGTCAATATCCTCTGTCTTTGTGCTCGAAGAGCATCCAGCGCCCTGACAGCTTCAATTTGACGATGTGCTAAAGCAAGTCGAGCATTGACGTCCATTCGTGGAACTGCTGGACGCCGAGCCACTGGGCGTCGTGGGGCAGGTTGAGGATTTGGTTCTGGAGCAGGTGGAACTTGTAGGATATCTTGTCCGTCCTCGTCATCGAATTGGCCAGGTCGTGCATTTTGAGCAATCCATTCTCTAAGAAGGAAGATTGCAACGAAGGTAATGACAATCAGTGCCGCGATGATTTGTCCGGTGAAAATGTCGGCGGAAATAGAGAGCCATCGTGGATGACTGACGATTCGATTGATCAGAGTGGAGATGTCAGATGGAGGAGGTGTGGGGTCGTCGAGAAAAGAATGTGTAAGTTCAATGATTTCACGAACGAGAAATTTGTTTGTCGGTCTCAAATCTTCCTGTCCAGGAAGCGGTTGTCGGTTGCTGATCCACCAGGCGCTGAAACGAAGACGTAAATTGCAGGAAACGAGTTTTGTGGGTGGAACTCACATGGATTCTCCCATTCTAAAATACGCTCTCCATGACCAAACAGTCAAAAGTGGTACAAGGGAAAGCCAGACCAAAGAGACTACAATAGCTCGTACGACCATGAGTAACGCATAAAATCCCTGTTGTATGAGCCGCCGCATCATTAGCAAGGGCGGAAGAGTTGAGGGCATATCCGGAGCGTAAACTGTTACTTGTGATGTGAGGGTATGTACTTTCTGAGGTTTGGAAAGCTATCTGACCTTTTTTGAAAAGAAATTGGTGCCTGCATGTATCGCAGGTCTTCTTCTTACTATGGGCGAGCCATGTTGTCAAGCTAGACAGAAATTAGGTCAAGCTTCATTCTGGAATTGTGCCTTGCTGGAGCTCACCAGTCTTGATGAATATATCGGATTGTCCCGGAGCATTTGCAAGGGTGGAAGAGTGGTTGATCTGGTTCTGCTGGAGCGCTACAAATACGACAGGTATCTGTAAAAGACACATTATCGTCGTTGTCATGAGCGAAAAAGTTGAATGCTATATTATCTTACCTTGCTCTTCAGCCTCCTGCATGAGATGTTGGAATCAGCCTTGTGCTGAAGAACACAATGAGTTTTGTCCTTCGATGTCAGGCAAAAGACTCACACAATGTTATTTGAAGGAAAAGTTTGGTCCACTTCGAGTTTGAAAAAGAGAACGTACAAAGCGCGCTGTTGGCAGTGACTGTGCTCAGAGTCAATTCCCGGCAAAGCTGTGTCAAATGAGTAAGCTATGTAGCCACGTGTCTTGATAGGGCCCTGCCTGCACAGCGAACACTGAGTGAACACTAGTGCACTAGTGCGTAATTCTCTTCGTGAACTTACAAGACGGCTAGTCAAGCTAGCTGCAATTTCGAAGTTCGAGTCGCTGATCATCCTACAGCCTGGCAGTTGATTCGATTTGCTTGTAAGTAACTTGAAGTCGATGCGGTCATTAAATGCTCAAAAATGTAGACTTAACCTCCAGCGGCAGAACGATGCGTATTGTACCTCCATCAGCTAGGATTTGCTCCTTTCGAGATGCCTATCCAGACTAATGCTTCAAATGCTCTTGTCACACCACCATCTCTAGCATTTCATTCGAGGTCTGCCTTTGCTTCACCAAGCCAACATACCTGTATCTGTGACTCCCAGTTAGAACATGGAGCAGTCGTCACATTCAAGACTCTGTATGTTGTTTATTTACTTCGTTTTCAAAATCTGAGATATTGATGAAATCAACAGTTGTTCCCAAATACTCAAGTCCCCAAAATGTTTCATGTCCTTTCTGCGCCGCGGCTCAAAGTTATCATATCACTTCTGGCAGATATAACACCAAAGCATCCCCCGGGAATACTGAGTTGAATTTCTGTCGCCATCTATACACGTAATGGTGGGAAGACCCTAACGCTGTACTTTCCTCCCCGTTCACTAATTCATCTGTCATATCCGAAGGTCCAGAATTTATATCACTTGAAACCGTAACTTTCCCGACGTACCAGATGCATATCTCGACGTGTTACATATTAAAAGACTCTAAGAGCTCAGTTTCTTCCCAAAAATCATCAGGTTCGATTTCTGCCTCTCCTTAGGTGATAATAATGGTCTATTTCCATTTTCATGTCGATATCGGCGTTAACAAGTGTCTCTGTCATTCCTAGATGGAGGACGGCATGGAACGGCATGGAACGGTTTTGAAACCTGATTCTGACTATAACTTCGAAAGAAATAGTCAATAAAATGCAAGGGGGTTGCGCTTATCCACGATTGGACGGGAGCAAACTGTAACAAATAGGTCATAGCTGAAGTGTCCTTCCTCAAAATTCAAATTGTTTCCGTCGTCTCGCCACTCCGGGACCGATGTAGAGCTGTGGACTGTGCCCCTCAAAAATCTTCAAATTGAACTTTCGTGTATGTATCAGAATGTATCTATCCTTAGATTATCTTATCTACCGAATCGTCAAAGCGCCTAGTGAGCATTTTCAAAACCGACGAATGGATTCCGGATACCTAACTTGTCGTTAAACCCTTCCGCCTGGGATAGTCAATACGTTCCTTCGTTCCTTATGTTTACCGAGTATCGCTGACTATATAATTCTGCTGAGCGTGGTCTTACAGTGCGTAGAACCCGAAGCCGGTGCCCCCATTTCCCCATAATGTCGCTACAGGTTAGCAATAATCATTGGAACGGTATCAAATTCGATTATCAGAGGCGCCGTGATTGTCCTCTGAAACTTTCTGTTTCAACGGCCTTTGAGCTGCAAGTAGAATTCGAAACGCGCTCAAGACAAGTCAAAACTGGAAGTAATAATGAAACTGACAAACTTTCTGCAAGATAGCGAATATGTACTGCTCATCCTTGCTCCGTGGCTTCGACCATATTGTGGGCCGTGGCACAGTGCTGAAAGTACAGGTTCTATTCTGTTCTATTACTACCTGACCGATCCCATTGATCGGATAATCTGTGTTACCACCCGGCGCTACATATTGGAGTAATAGCATCTCAGTCTGATCTCAGTCTTGTTCGTGTTCACCGTGCCATTAATAATTTCCGGGAGGAAAATAATGCTCTAGTGCTCCGTCACTTCCGTTCTAATTCGGGAGACTCATCCTTACAAATGCCTTCACATAGTGTGGACTCGGAAGCAGGAATCAGACTAGCTGTTTGCCTGGGCTATACGCCGTTCGTGAGGTGTGTAGCAGCTGCCTATGATACTGTTTCGAACCTTTCGGGATTGTGCTGGAGGCTTGGAATGAGAATTTCCATTCCACGCACGCTAAACGGACACTAGCACCGTAATAGACATTATCTGCCTGTCCAGTCCTTCCCACTGCCCAGGTATGAAATTTACAATGTTAGTAAGGAATCTGGAGATGAAGTCACTTTTCAGGAGCAAGCCATATGACTGCGAGATTTATTGTGTCTATTCCGGGTTCATTTCAATACGAAATACTGCCTGTGGTGCTTTACAGTAAAACGGTCGGGCGGCATCCGGACGATACTCAGCCCCTAAGGCCTAAGGCCTCAGCGCTCAGCACTCAGCTATGTACATACATGATGTGTCACGGCGATCAGCATGTATGAGCTAATAGTAAATTTCAGGTAGGTCTTACCAAGTCTTACCATCTGATTCTGAATTCAACATATTTCGAGTTGTGAGGATTAGTGATAATCTGGTGATAATCTGGTTGAAGTTCTCATTACTTGAAATCTTCACATTCCCTGCAAGCCGCTGGCAATTTTTTTTAGGTACGTATAACAATTACAGCAACAGAGTTGAATTACCCTCTCTTAGCCTCTCTTCCGCAGTATTGACCTGTTTGCCGTATGCTCATGTGTTATTGGTGGCTATTCAAGTTGATGGTCGTATCTCAACTATACTGGACTTAAAACAGGTCCAACTTTGTGTTGCGCAAACTTGCCCATCATGAAAATATCACGACGTTCAAGCAGCTGGACCCCGCATATTACCCGCACAAGCCCGACGATTTCTCAAGAATCGGGAGCGTCTTTGATTTCCAATACCCTCCAATATGTTTCAGACTTCTCGTGAATGCCATATACCAGATTCACGTAAGTTTGAGACTCGACCCATATGCTCTGCCTGAAATCACTCGTAGTCTAGAGCCGCGAACATCTGCAAAACCTGTATTTTCGGCTAAGGGTCCGAAAGCAGTTGGGAGCACTTCCCAGCAGTGAAAGCACTCAGAGCATATTGCTTTCAGTGCTTTCAGCACTGGGATCTGCTGGGATCTGCTCTCAGACCTTAGCCGAATATCCAGGTTTTGCAGATGAAGATATCGAGAGCACACTCAGTCAAAATCTTGCTTCGCGTCCTATCCTGAGGTTGTGGCCTGCTGAGGCACTCTTCATGTCTTGCTTCGCATCCTATCCTGAGTCAGGTTGTGGCCATGCGAACCTTTCAGGTACTTGAACTTCATCTCACTGGAAACGTTTTTGCAAACAAGTACTGGTTGACTCTGTTAATAGTACCTCAGATGTCACAGCAATCAATATGAAGTTGCAGGACAGATCTTGATGTAGGATCTATTGACTTTTTTTCTCTTCTGCCTTCTGCATGCATAAACATCTGAAAATTGAAGTTCTGAACCATTGAACTCGCGAGCGGCTCCGAGTTCTGTTGATCGGCTCCTCGTCACAGAGGCTTTCAGAAATGTGATCAAGAGTTGCCGTGTGCACATCGAATACGTTGTGTGGACTGTGCGGTGTATCACCGTGTATATATTGCACATAGCCATGTGTGCGCGCCCGGCATAAACCTGCGTAAATCAGTGGATTGGATTAATAGATACAGAATCATCGGAGAAGTGGAGTTGTGTATCTTCATCACTGAGTGAATGTTCGTTCTTGAAACGCTCTGTTTAGATTGCATACGTATACTGGCGAAAGATTTCTTGCATTACAAACATAGCTGTCATCCATGTATGTATAAAGTGGCACTAGCAGACAAGAGTTTATCCGTGCGTTATTTATGGGCCCAAATTGTTTGATGTAGTGGGTATACTATTCTCAAATTCAGTTGGATAATAATGCTAATGAGGAGCGCACATGATGTACCTTCTAAGGCCGTGGAATACCCACCTTGTATCGCACAGAATAGACGCAAAATCATGGATGCATATGCATGTATGTATGCGATTTATCATCGACTTTAAGTCGCTCACAATCAACACACCGGTGGTGAGTGAACCGGTGAATTCAAGTATCAAGTATGTTACAATTCCAGGGAACGGCGGTAGGGTATGAACGTCTCTTGAAATAAAAATGAAGTGTATGTGAGCTATGATGAAAAGTTCAATGGAAAAGAATTAATTGCACGAACGCTGGGTCGGGACTCGGGGATGCCAGTATCCATTGCTTTTCCTCATCCTCGTTCTCAGGTCATTGGGAAGATCCAGCGCGGAGATCATGCACATTCGAGATTCCGAGGAGAAGAGACGTCCAATAAATAAAATGCCAACATGCACACATACAACTGATAATACGAGGATGTTAATTCTACTTTTGTACGAAGTACGTATGTATAGACGTTAAATGTACGGGTATGTATGAGATGCGACTATGAGGAGGGTGATGACAATAATGACGTTCAGCAGGTCCAAGGAGATGTTGAACAACTCTACACTATCCAGAGTTCAGCAATGTCCAGAGAAATAAATGTTGAATGAGAAATAAAAGACAGGAATGATGCGACGATAGCGGATATATAGCGGTTGCACAACTATGTAGTATTGCTACAGACAAGAGACAGACAGACATGAAGGAGGGAAATGAGCGTCTAACATGAGCCGGAAGAAGGACCGGAGTTCATTTGTAGGCAAGGAAGTACGCCGAAAGGGCAGGAAGATCATTGGGACTGGCGTCCGTGTATCCTTGACGTCTGGAACCATTGAATTTCAGCACCACAACGGGCCCGCACCAGGCCTTAGAGGCCGAGCCACAGGTGATGTTGAAGATGGAACGATTGACAGGAGAGGAGCGCTGAAGCGCGGTAGGAGAGTACCAGAGATGGAGAGGGAATCGAAGATTTTCGCCGTTCAATCCTTGGGTAAGGACTATACCTTCCGTGAGACCATCTGGGAAAAACATTTGTAGAATGGGAATGGGGCAAATTCCATTAGATGAACGTGGCGTGGGACGGCAATGTACTTGTGTCGTGGTCCATCGGTCTAGAGAAGTGTGAGGGATAGTGGTAACGGTGGTGAGGGCGCAAATACGCACCGGCTTCAGGAGCAAAAAGAATAGCTGTAACAGTAATGTATTGTGGCTCAGCGGGAGGTGGTGTTGCAATCATGTTGGAACTGTAACCTGAAGTTGTATTATGAGACACTGAAATGCAGTCACGACGATGGCGAGGCCAATCCTGCGCAGGTTGTAAGTATGTCTCTAAATAAATTACCAAATAACTATACAGACCGTCTGCAAGTGCTCCGGACAACAATACCATGTATTTTGGCAGCGACTACACCACATCGCACAGGGGTTTCCACACAGTGTGCAAGCTTGGTTGATCGAAGTCGGGACTTGCATTTTTGTTAGAGGCGAGTAAAGAGAGGCAACAGAAAAGACAGCGGGGAATGAGTAAAATTGAGCATCATTTGTGGGTGGTATTTAAGTAAAAAAAAGTTGAAAAAAAACGGCTAAGCCGTTTGTCCTTCATGGTTCGCGAGAAACATAGATCAAGATTGATGAAATGTGCATCAGGCACTATGTGACAATTTGCTGCTATGTCCATTTTTTTCCATCAGTTCACCGCGACTTGACGGTCTTGACCGGTTTGACCTTTCGCGTTTCTTTTGCTTCTATGACATGTTAATATTATTATTGCATTGAGAAGGTCAGTCAGCACATGTAGTCCCAGATGAGCAAAAGAAAGCAAGGTCAAAGTGTAAAAGTTTAAAACACGAACGTGAAAGCATAAACACTTGAAAAGGAACAAAGCACCACTATGGAATATATGAAGGCCATAAGGAGATCGAAATTACTTCTATGTATTCTTTGAAGAAAGGATCCAACGGCAAAGAAAAGCTCTGAAGTTGCACGCGAACTGCGTATTGAGTTCGAAGGAAGGACCCTGGTCACCACCGTAAAAGCGCGATTTTTTCGTCCCGGGATCGTCCCGGAGCAAGCTATATGACTATGTTTCCAAGTGTGACGTGTGTGACCCAACGCGTTTCCAATCATGTCCGACGATGAGATGAATATTGACGAGGGTAAAAACAGTTTCATCTGAGATTTTGTTCTGGTCTAACCCTTTACACTTGTGTAGTTGCGGCTGGCGGAGCTGTGAGGAGAAAAGGACGTGGATTCCAGAGTTCTGGCAAGGTTTAATTTCTTTTCCGGAATTATAACAACTTACCAATATCGGTGAACACATCTACAGGAGGGAATACAGGGAATGTAGGAGGTACAGAGCTGACGTATGACACAGTGGAATCATCTCATTCGGACACCAGGGCAGCTCGATGTACGTTTTTTTTTTGATCTCTATATTCATATCTCCTGAATGATTCTTTTGTAGCTGTCGAAGGTTGGATAGTTCTGGTCACAAATGTTCACGAAGAAGCCACAGAAGAGGAAGTAATGGACAAATTCGCTGAGTTTGGCGAAATCAAAAACCTTCATTTGAACCTTGACCGGCGCACAGGTTATGTCAAGGTTTGTGTATACTTTCTTTAAATGATTTGTGAATAACCATTGTTGCTGCCAGGGATATGCTCTAGTGGAGTATGAAACTATGACCGAAGCTCAAGCAGCCATCGATGGTGCTTCAGGGACTACGCTGCTTGAACAGACGATCCAGTGCGACTATGCTTTTGTACGACCTCCACCCTCAGGACCGAAGAAAGGGAGAGGTGGAAAAGGAAGAAGTGCGAGTCCCAGCCGCCGTCGTTGACACCGTAATCCCACCATGATCTATATCTTCGTACTGTTGTGTATTGTGTAGTATATAGATTGTATTTTCGAGGCCTTAACCAAATCAGCCCGTTCGTTATGTAAGCACTTTGTTGATCTGTGCGCAACCCTGGCCACAACAGCGCTTGCTCTTGCACTCAGCCCATACTCAACTTTATGGCTCGTTCCGCTTCATTAGTTTCTGACAGCGAAGGCAAACCCGAAGATGCTCCTGCGCCGGATGATGATGATGTTGTGAAAAGTGTGGACATGAATGGAGATGAGGGTGAAAACGACGAAGAGGAAGAGGAATTCGAAATAGAAGAAATCCTCAAACACAATAAGGGTCAATTTCCTGAAGTATAGCCTTTCTATCTTTACTAGCAATACCCAAGACGCGTCTGATTCCGACAATCTATCCAGGGAAGAACCGGCTACTACGTGAAGTGGAAAAATTATGGTTCAGAACACAACAGCTGGGTTGACGAAACGGATGCCGGGTCAGTTTCCTTCTAGCTAACAAGAATGTCTTTTGATTAGACCACCGTTATTGTTTCCTCAGCAATGCCCAGGAACTGATTGATACATACTGGGCAAAGAAAAATGCCAAAAATGCCAAAAATTCCATTTCCGCGCGCAAAGGCCGTAAATCCGTGGCCACTGCAAGTCCGGAACCATCTAAAAAACGTCGCAAGTCGGTCAAAGACGATGAACAAGATGAGGAACTTCAAAGCTCAAAGAAGAAAAGAGTTGCCAGAAAGAAATCGGAGACTGTCGAGCCAGAGTCAGTACAGGAAGATGACGCGGAAGATTCGGTAGCTACTGAGAGCTACATGCAACGGTACATGAAGCAGGCGAATTGGGAAAAACTGATTGCCAGAGTCGACACTGTCGAAAAGCCGAATGAGTCTGATGGACTGGTCGTTTATTTCCGACTGTAAGTGTTATGCTCTTGGGATGTTGACATGTGCCATAACTTGTGCTACAGTAAAAAAGACAACAAGCGCGTTCGTCTACCGGCCAAAACCTGCAACGAAAAATTCCCTCAATTGGTAAGTCACCAAGATATGGATATGCGTTCGCTTTGAGTCATCAACGGTTCTTTACAGATGATCGGATTCTATGAGTCCAACCTGAAGTGGAAAGAGACCGAAATGGATGTCGACAGTGAACCTGCTTCGTGATTTTTTGCATCCGCTTGTTCTATGCGGTACTCTACCATTTGACTATCTAAGATTATTTTTCCCTTACCCTACCTCCAAGTCATCGTTTCACCTTCCTTCCATCGTTTCACCTTCCTTCCTTACGCTCCAGAAGTCTTGTGCCTACCATTTTACTACTGCCTTTTTCAGGAATTGTCATTTGGTCCTGTTTCATACTGTTTCATACTGTTTCATACTACTCGGCTGTTCTGACAGAGCATGCAACATACGAATGGCTCGTCAAGTTTTCTGTTCCAGTCACATCAGTACGTTCTTCAGCTTATGGTGGTGCGCTCGTCGGACTTCCCTTTGATTCGACGTTGAACTTGGCGTGTGTGTTCCTAAGGCGTTTTGTGGCGTGAACTCGTGTACAAAGCTGGTTTGGGGGAGGCTTTCTATTAGTGGCACCCGATATTTGGAGAATCGAGGGTACATTATTTTTCGCATAGTATGATGAATGATTATTAAAAATTAATCTTGCATATTCTTCCATGTGCTTGCTTGCGAAGTTGAGTCGGCAATTGTAGTCTAGCTTGCTCTCTAGACTGACGCTGGATCGGGCCAAGATCGGATATCTAAGGATATCTACCTTGTGGCGACGCTTTCGGCGGTGGTTCATGAGTGAAATTCATGGGTATATCATCTCCGCCACTTGGCAACATTCATCGTGGACTTGGACAATATAGCAGTGGTGAAGGGCGATATAGCAGTGGTAAATGGTTGAAGGACCTGGCAGTGATAGGACTCTTCGCCTCAGTGCATCGCTTTCGGTAGCGATTAGTTCTGATCCTCGGGAATCAGTCACCTCCTCTTCATTGTTCGCTTTTCACTAAGTTGCACTCATATATGATCGCAGGGAATTCTGCCGCGTCATATGTATGTTGTCGATAAGCAGCCTTGAGCAACGTAAGGGGAGCTGAGGGAAGTAGAATACAGTAGGATGTGGTACGTGCACAGCAACTCAAAAACCTGTCTCATCTCTCCCGAAGGACATAGAGCTAGTAGTCCCGGAGGCTCACCTATGCTCACTCAAGCCGAAGGACCAGTTGTGAAACGGAACCAAAACACAGATCCGCCGTTGTCTCCGTACTGCTGTGCTGGCTGATGTGCATGCTCTGGTGTTTGGTAAGGAGATCTACGTACAAAGGTCAGGACTCAGGAGTAGGTCAGGTCAGTATCATGTATGTACGCAACTTTCCAATATCTCCAGCTCGAATTGTTATTCGTCGCAGATTCGTGGCTATCAAGCCCACAAAGGTATGGTCTGGTATGGTGAGAGTTTAATCTGAAATTGTGGTCGTGTGCAATGTGATTCCTTCATTGGCTGACGGTACCGGTTTTCTTCTGAGGGCATTCCGCTATGTTCTCACTGATTGATCCTGAATGCGGCGGGACGCTTCTGCATTGAATAAGTACCTATCAATGCTTTTCAGTACAACTTCTTATACAGTCTGAGGTCATATAGCAGCCCTGGAAGTAAGGTTTCAAAAAATGTTCGTCAACGAGGAGGTATTCGGGGTCCTTCAATGTTCACCGTCCTTTGGACTCCGTGGGCTCGTTGCCCAATTAGGCATTGTGCAGATCACTGGTTCACTGTTTCCCAACTTCTTTCCAGATGGTACAGGAGTTTGCTAACACTACGACGGGCAATGTACTCGAATCAGAACTGGAAATGAACCGTACATGCTTTGTGGGTATGTATCTTCCCCCTTATCAGTCAATCACAGCGGAACCAGGCAGGACCAATTGTTTGATAAATACATCACCTGAATACCAGTATATTCCACGACTCCCACTTACTCCGGAGATTCTATAGCTCTTCGTGTACAGATTCCTGAGCAATACGTATAGCCTCTTCAACCTGTTCCTTGCTTTTGCCAATAATTATATTCGCCGCTTCAAGCTCCTCCTGTCCATCCATGACCGGAGATGTCGGTACTGGGTCGATGGGCAAGATACTGAATTTCTCTCCTTCTCCCGATACAGGCTCTTCTGACGAAGCCTCACCTTCCTGCTCCTCTTTTTGCGGCGGAGATAGGACATGGTGTATCTGAGCACTCAATGTCCTGACTCGTGTATCGAAGCCGTTCTTTGCGTCTTCCAATTCCAATTGAAGCTTGTCAAGAGCAGGAACAAGTGGGTCTATTGGTGGGGATGGGTGAGTCCCATTCTGAATCATACGAATTTGTTCGTCGAAGCGCTCGTGGGCTGGGGAGATAAGCAGTGTCAGAAAACCATATTGATCAGCTTCGAATTTTCCTACCTCGTATCAAGTCATGATATTTTTGCCAGTCCTGATATGTGACATCGTCGAGCCATGCCATAGGCATACCCATGTCCCCCTGAGCTTTTTGAGCAAAGTTTTTGACTTCTTTAGTGGCGCGATGATACTAGTTCCAGTTGAGCTAAGAAAGAAAATTTCGGAATTATCAAAACCTACCTCTTGCACCTCGAGTTCACGAACTTCCAGGTACCACCAATGAATTTTCTCCTGTAGTCCATTGATGCGCTCGATGAATCTCTCCTCGACTCGCTTGACTACATTGAACCAGCGTTTCATACGATCATCAACATCCACATTAGAGGAATCTCAACATACATTTCAGTACTTGAACGATCACCGAACGACAAAGAGTTGAACATACCAGAAACAAGCTTCTCTTCCTTTTTCAAATAGCTCTCAAGACCTTTCAGTAACTTTTCGCTTTCTTTGTCGAAACGTTCGAGAATCCCAGCGACATCTTCGCCACGAATATGTGTCAAAGCCTCTTCCAAATCACCATTGTCCTTTTCAGGATCCGGGAAGAGGGATCTCACAGCGCCCTTTCGAACGCGGACCAGCTCTTTCCTAAATTCCTTCGTTCGACGTTTCATCAACCCGTCGAGATCAGCATGCCACTTCTCCATCCGTGCTTCAAGCTCTGCACGCTTTTTGGCAGTCGCAACCCGACGAGCTGCTGCCGATTCTTCAGGACTAATAGCTGTGTCCTGCTCTGTCTCGACGACGGAGGCTTCCGTAGAATCACCCGTTTCGTTCTCTTCGTTCTCTAGAAGACCCAGGTCAGCGAAGAAGTTGTCGAGATCATCTTCGGAAGTCGATGAAGCATATTCGGAATCGAGATTTTCTTCCCAAGAAGTACCCTGTTCAGCTTCAATTGGAACCTCGAATTCTGACTCGGGTTCAGTAACAGCTAAAAGCATTTCAACGGGGCTTGCGATGTCAGGCGTCAAAGCGGAATCGTAGGAGGCAGTAGTGCTCTCATGTTCTGATGATGTAAGAGAAGACGTAGATGCAGAGAAGATCTCGCTTATTGTACTTGCTTCCAGTTCCGTAATAATTGACGAAAGAGTTGGATCTTCCGATGTTAATGTTTCCAGGGGAAGGGATGACTCTTCAGGGACTGGGGATGCTTCTGAGAGCTCCAAAGGGACTGATAACGAAGTGGAGATACTGGCAGAAGGCACGGAAGAAGACCCGGATTGAACCGTTTCTACTTCAGCCTCTGCAGAAGTTGCTTTCGTTTCAGAAACGGGGGTCGGGACGGAAAAAGCGGTAGAACTGGTCGTGGTTCCACTAGAGCCACTCAGCTCGACCACTTTCTCCCAAATCTTAATCACATGTGGGTCCACAAATTGCCTCCTCGCCTCTGCGGTTTTTTCCAGGAGCAGCCCGAAAAGCTTCAAGCCCGTGTCCACCGACTGTACAACATAAGGTTTCGCGACCTCCCAGGCCCGGTCCATCAAAGGTCGTGCACGAACGTAGGCGGAGTGAATACGAGGTGCAGCGGCTAGATATATTCGATGCAGAGTCCAGAAGAGTTTGTTCGCATACAGATGAGTCTTCAACATCAGCGGTCTGAAATATGGGTCTAAAACACGCGATCGCAGGAGATGCAGACGAGGATAAACGTATCCCATGTACAAAGGATCAACGTATTTCTGATACAATGGTTGGATATGCTTGTTGTACATTGGGGTGACAAGCTTAGCATAAGCAGTCAGCGCCGTTGCCTGAGTAAGCTGGGTAGCTTTGGTGATATACGGTTGGGCAACAGCGTGAGCGCGAATAACGATAGGAGCCACGGCGTGTTCTACAGCGTAGAATTTGGTGACAGCTGGAGCAATGTATGGATGTAAAAGTGCCTTTTGCACTGGTGGAAGCACATATGGGTCCAATACGTGTGTTCGATATTGGGAAAGAGAACGACATATCGGGTTGGAAAGGTGAATATCGGAGGGACATGTCCATAAAGCATAAGTTGAAAATATTGCAAGCATAATGACTAAAAATCTGTCCATTATCGAGGATTTGGTTCTGAGCTTTGGTGTTTTCGAAGGCTTCTTTGGTTTCGTTTTCTTCTGAGGTGGACCAGCCGTAGAAAGTGATTTGGAATTAGAGGTGGCTTTCGCGCGAGGGAGTGGCTGGGTCGAATTGGTCCTAGAGCCCATAGTTGGGGCCACAGGGAAGTTCTGTTTCTTGTTCACCACCATCGTCTATAGCATATGAAGGAATGAAGGAAAAGAGCTGAACAACTGACGTGGTGATGACATTCAAATTGATGCTAGCAACTGCTTTTCCACGTGGTTAATACATTGGCGCTATAAGTTTAACTCGGCGCACTCTTTAATGTTCAAATTCGTATGTATGTAGCTTTCATTTTCTGCAGATTACTATGGGAAGGTTGAACTACCTGGTGTCACCGTTGTGGGCCCCAGGTTCAAATTTGGATGACTATCGGTTGACCCCAGGTGCAAATCTGAAAAACTACAGGATTGGACGGTACATAGATCCTCAAAGATCTGGGTTGATCTAGGTAAATTAATCAATCTGTAGAGAAGCCAATTGTGGCTAGCTACTGCAAACAAATCAGACTTATTCCAAGTAAAAGTAAAACGACCTCCTTGCATGTATCAAGCTTGGTATACACATAGTAGGGGGTTATTTACCGTGAATGTCCATGGAAAGCCGAGGAAAGCGTTCTTTGAAGCAGAAAAAATTGCTACTGGTTTCACGGGTCTGTCTGTTACTCCGACCTGCCTGGTTCGAACAGGCGACCCCAAGATGACTTTGGATATCCTTTACAGTCTTGTGCTCTTCCAACTGAGCTAAGGTCGGTTACAATGCAGGTGACTTAAAATGGTTATGAGACCTAAAATATTGTCATGTGTATTATGTGAATCGTGAATCTGCCTATTAGCGCTGACTCTACGACCATGAATATCGATACCCGCCAAAAGTTGAAGCGCAATATTTCCTTGGATGCTCAGCAAGATCCTCCTATCAAGAAGCCCAAAATGCGAAAACCTCTAGAGACTAGATACGAAACACCTTATCCTTCTTCTCTTTCTGAATCTCAAGTCTACAAGTTGCCATCGTCCATCGGTCCTTATCTTTCGCCATCCAAGTTTTCCCCAATCCCTAAAGCTCATTTGCGACGTAATCATCGAAGAACCAGCTCTACCAATCTGAAAGAAAATGCATCTGTGCTGTGCAGTCCGTTTCCTAAAGGGAAAAACCCACAGAAGCTCAAGAAATACGGCAAAGCAGCCAAACGTACCTCCAAGAAACGCGCTGATCCACGCTCAAACGGGACTCCATCAGACAGCTGCTCTAGCTCCGCTTCTAGCCCCGACCGTCGCAATCAGGAGCTTACATTGGCGGAAAAGATTCACAATTCCAGCATTCCTCGTTCGCGCGCTTCGCAGTCGACAACCAATTCCCCAGCTGAGACGACGACCAGAGTCCGTCGACCTTCAGCTCCTACACCTCCAAAGAAAATTGATTGGAAGGATCTTGTACCAACCCACCCCGTTAATCTAAGGGCCCCTATTTCCGGTTATCCCCAGTCCCATTTCGATCCAGATGCCAATGAGTTCATTCGACCTTCGCCTAATCACTCGCAGATAGACTTCAACAGGCCGCCATCGCAGCTCTCTTTGTACGACTATAATCGCAGCGTAACTTACCATGACATGGACGTGGATGATGTGGCTTCGACTGATCAAGATGCGTTTTTCACTGATGTACAGGGTACCTCGACTCCTTTCAAGAATCTTAGCTCTCTCAGCGTCGCTGACCGTCGATTTGGAGGTACAGTAGATCCAGCAGCTCTCTCCGGCTCTGCCCTCTTGCTCTTGCAATCGAATACTGACGGACAAGAAACGGACACTGATAATGATTCCTGTGGATTTGACTCCGATGAAGCTATAGATGACCCTGGGCCTCATAGATCTTTCCGAGCCCTAAAACTCGCGTCCAGGAACAAATCGAAATCTGGTAGTGGATACATCACTCCCTCGTGTGACTCTGGCGACGAGGAGATGGGTCGACGTTCTCCGTGGATCAGCGACTCGTTGATCTCGCCTCCCAAGACGATCGACTGGAAATTAGTGGCACAACAGACTGAAGATGGCGCATATAGTCAGGTAAATAGCGGAGATCATATGGTGACAGATGAAGGAGATCGCGTCTCCGAACCTGCGTTGCAGGATTTGTTCGACAATATGATTCTCAGTGAGTTTGTGTCCCTCTTTTGATGCAGTCAAATTCTGACGATGATTAATAGATAAAACTGCAATGGACGCCCACAGCTCGCCTCCCGACGACACAGAATCATATTGTGTTCGTCTTCCTCTTCGTACTCGCTCCCTGGATACCGCGCATCCTCTATCTACTGACCAGGAGGAGGAGTCTTTCAATCCTGTCGCTCCTGTCGCTCCCGGAGCTAGAAGAACCAGGAGCGGAACCATTATTCCAGGTACCTCCGCCGTACCCGTTGTCACGTCGAATGTACCTCCGGCACTCCCTAGGAGGACTAGAAGTGGAACAGTCGTTCCAGGAAACTTCGGCACTCTCTATCCCGCTCCATTGAATGACGAAAAGCAAAACACTCTTGGAGCTGCTCTGTCCGTCTACGGTCGCCGTGCTCGCAGCGGAACCATTGTCTACAGTTCGTCGCTTGCGCCGTCCCTGCCCATCGTAGAAGAAAAAAACACTACTGAATTCAGCTCAGCTATTCCAGTGATGTCCCAGGCTCGACGCGCTCGCAGTGGCAGTATCATGGCTGCTAGTTCCATTCCGGAAGGAGTAGTTGCAAATTCTACCGTGGGTCCCACTGCTGCTGCTGCAGTGCCTCGTTCTAGAATTAGGAGTGGAAGCATTGTCGCACTTGGGAACACCTTAGGAAGCCTTTCCAGTCATGCAACTGGTTTTATCAAACGTCCGAGTAGCGGAACAGTGGTGCGAGCGTCTGCAGATCCAGATCCAATGATTGCTGTGGAGAAAGCCATCGATATCGATTATCTGCAAAAGAGCCCAGCTGACACGAGTACCGTCAATGTGGCTCATCTCCAAGGTGAAGACGTAGAAATGTCGCTGGCATCTGAGGATAGGCATAACCCCATTCCGCGTTCACCTGACGATCCGATAGATCTTTTAGAGCCAATGGTCTTCGCTCGTCCTGTCCAATCGTCCCCTCCACACACCGCCACGTTGAGCGCTGCTTTCCACGTCCGTTCCTCCAGCGGACTCCGCGCTCGCGCCAAAGCTGCCGCCTCTAAGGCGAAAGGGTTGAGTAAGTCCTTGACTGGCAAATCTGGCGGTGCCAAAGTCAGAGTCCTGATTGGACCTGAGGCGGGCGCGGCTGCCCTTGCTCGTGCTCGGGCAAGGGCTGAACGTAGGTCGACTAATGATGATGATTTTGTTAACGAAGAGGATTTGTCTGACGATGAATTGTTGTTGAAGTGATGAACTGGTACAAGTGTGCATTCTTACCCCGCATATATGAAAGCTGACGTTGGTCGCCGTCGTCTGTTATTTTTTCTTCGTCTCACTACTGCTACTAGCTACTAGCTATTAGGATAATCTGGAGGGATGATCCCTCAGCTTTCGTTGTTATTTTCATTATCGTTGTTATGTAAGTTTTCTACTCTCGGTCTGGATTCACATCACATCGCTTTCTATCGCTTTCCAATCTTGTGCAGTCACGTCTCTGGTTACAGAAAATTTTACTTTCAACTTTGAATTTCCACCCTCTCCAAGAACGCCATTTCCCCTTCATTCCATTATATCTTTGGCTGGTCTTTTGACCTGTCTCAATCTTCCCGTCGTTCGTTGTTTCCTCCAATCAGGCTCCAATGACCTCAACTTCACGGTGCTTTTACATTTTACTCCTCGAAGTTGTATAGTATCCACCCCGTTACTGTTGAACAAATACTTTATGTCCTGTTTAGGCTCAATTTCCTGCTGACTAGTATATTTGAACGGGAAAGGAAAGAAGAGTTTATTACACGGCTCGGGAGTATTTTCATTTTCACTGAAGACGTAAAAACCGACCGTCGATAGAAATTCTATAGCTTAGCATCTGAGATACACTATGGGAAATGGGGTTCTCTCCGTCGAATGGTTTTCTAGCAGAATTGGGCGTGCGGCCTTTAAAGACGACGGTCCGATTTTGCTAATCACCTGAGCCACTGAGATCTGAGTAGTGCATTGCGACGACACGGAGCAAGACTATGTTCCTGTATTGCCCCCAGATTGCTCCTGTATGTGGTACGAATATCGCCAAACAGGCTTCACCGATTGGTCCCCATTTTGGTGAGGTATGTATACATATAATCAATGCTAATTTCATAGTAATTCTGCGACTCTGGGGTCCTAGGAGAAAGACAGGCATCTCGTATTTACATCGGACTGCGTGACACGGCCTACGGACTGAGACGGGGCAAAAAATTCTTACCCTACAATAACTTCTTTATCGAATGACTCTTATAGATACTTCATACCGGCAACAACTATTGGGAAACTTTTGTACGTGGAGAAACGCAGGATTCCTTCGGGAACCCTCCACGAATTTCACTTTGAGGGTTTCCAGAGGTTAGGCCGGTGGCTTGCGCCGAGAAGTCTTTGCTGCCATCCCAAGTTCTTTAGCATCTACTTACTCTCGAGCTGATGATAAGGTTCAAGGAATTCCTTGTTCTATACCATACATACTGCACACTACCAATGTAAACCATTGGATCTCATCCTTTGATGACAAGTGTTGAGGTTTTTGTCCGAGTTTCGAGCATGATATGCTGGTAAATTATATAAGTTTAAGAACTGGTTTCTAAGGGTTGGCTAAAGCTTGGCTTCGTGCCTCCTCCCCTTATAGATGAGGCCAAACTTTTAGTGTTAACTCGAACACCAAGGCAGGCTTGTGCCGAATCACTGCCAGATCATGCCCCGAAGGGTTGCCCAATAAGGACTGTGGATTTCTAGGGGTAAGTGCAAGGGTATCTCGATAGTTTTTACCTATCATATTTTAGCAGTACCATAGTGAATCTCACATTGCATGCTTGGCATAAGGAGGTGTCACGCCCACAGTATGGATAATCCTGAGAGATGCCGCAACGATGATGAACTTGGCATTGACGAAAACGCCACTATATGGAATTCTACCCAGATAGCTATAACAAGCTGTAACACCGGGAGAAGAGGATTGTACTGTAAAGGTATGTACATATAATGCTTTTTCTGTCGAAGTTGTGTATCGCTGTAAATCCAAATTTTGATACATATAACAAATTGTTCGGAAAGACTAGCGTGCTTCAACCCATTTCTTGACGTCTGCCAAACAGCTATATGTAAGATTTGAAAATATCCAAAGTTCAAAAGCTAATGCATCACTTACATGAGGCGGAAAGGACCATGCGATTCCGACAAGAATCATTGCCTCCGAAAAACTCGTGCTACTTCACTGCACATGAAGGCTCGTCTAGTCGACTTGTACCAGAGCGCTGATGATATAGCGGATCTGAACGATCTATTGTTCAATAAAAAAGCATGACTGCCATATAAGCACTGGCGCAAATGGCAAAGTAGAATCAATTTCAAACCAATGCAGCCGTGGGTATTAGCAGGATCAGTAAGAGACTGTGGCAGACAGCTAGAAGGTCCTTTCAATGTAAGAAATTCAGAAAGCAAGGAACAATTCTTTCCTGAGGTGGTCAGCTAATCACGACTGAACGGCGGCAAGTGAAGATATCACAGCGGGCTGACTGAGAAATACGAAGCCCACCGAATCCCCGACTATGTTCAAATTGTCTATCACGAAAGTTTTGGCCGATATATTGTTTGCTGGTACTTCATGATTGTTACTCGGCGTGAAAATTTGGGGGAAAACGACGTGATATAGACCGCGTATTAATCACCGATGACCTGCACTTTACCTGCATGACAGATCTGTCCTAAAAGAACAATCGAAAAACAATCAAGGTGGTTAGATTACAGCAAATTACAGGTATACAAAATGATAAATGAGCGGAAACAATTCCAAACCAAGAAAATACATGAAAGGAAGACGGTGCATAGAAGCTCAGACGCGAGCTCAGGAAGCGTTTGCGATAGACAAATATATGAGTTCCTTGTTCTTAAACAACCCCGTGTGATGAATTTCCTTTCCATTCCTTGTAAATGGTTTCCCTACAGATGAGTGACAGCCTTTGAATCTAACGGCATTCCTGTAACGCATATGAGCAGACTATCATTGAGATTGAGACGTGAGTCTTCACCTGAGGGGTCAATTCCATTGCTTGCAAGAATCCTGTTGTGCCGAATCAACCTAGCCTGATCAAAGCTGTTGCATAGATAGACATTACATTGCAGCACTTATCTATTATTCATTCACTCACTTGACTCTCTCCTGACGCATGATTTCCATCACTTCCTGAGTTCCTCTTTCATCGAGACCGCTTCTCGAGTCTCCATCCATTATGTTGGCTTCGATGTCAAAATTTGAAGACGACATTCCAGCACCTGCTTGATCTGCAAATGTCGATAGAGGAACATAGTGGTTGAATTGAGGGAACAGTGATTGCACGCGGCGAGGAATATGAGGAGCAATTGAAGAACGATATCGATGAAGGACTAGAGTAAGACAGCTTTCAATCTCCTGTCATGAACAGATGATATTACAGTGTGTGCTTACTCAGAACGAGAAGGGCCACAAGGGCAATTAAAGATAGGTAGAAAAGCATGGATGTACTTTCAAAGCAGTATGTTCCAATCTATGTCTATTCAGATGAGTTTCATTGAAGAAGCGTATGGAGAATTCAATCACATTATAACTTCCAGAGCGGCGGTTCAAGTGAGCGTAAGATAAAGGGGACGAAGTGTGGGAAGATGCGAGATTTCATGTAGCACGTGACACAAGCGCTCAATAGCAATGACCAAGACTGAGAGATCGTGCATATCCTTCCAACCTTGAACTGTATAATTATTTGTATTCCACTTCCATGGACCTGCGAGATAACTTATTCGATGAGCTTCAAGTTAGTCACTGCGCTGATTTTCATTTCCTTCTACATTTGAATCCTGAGTCTCTATCAGAGTCAGTTTTGTCCCCCCCTCGACTCTTCGTTGGTAGCGGCCTTCTTGTTGGATTTAGAACCACATCCCGAACCGACTGAACAACAAATGAATGCTCTGCGTTCAACCTTATCCGAACTGGCATCACAGGCAGATGCTCTGCAGTCTGCAGAGGATTTTTCTTATGTCGGGGTAACGGATGATCTCAGCACTCCCAGTTTCACTCATGGAGACACTTCCACCTCAAGAAGTGGTTCAGAAACCTCGCAACAGCCTTTCAGCACGCCCCTTGGATTTCTCCAAGCTGCTTTTCCTGAATTACAGACCCAGAAGCTTGATCGCGCGCTTCTGGATGCCAAAATGGACGATGATGTGGACCTTAATATGTGGGATATAGTATCTCGCCTTTTGAGCGAGGAACTGATTCAAGAGATGGAAGAACGTGGTCTGGATGGGCTGGATGATGCTAACGATTACCCTGCGGAGATAGAAGCTTCCTGGGAGACAGTCGGCAAAACACGTTCTGTCAATAACGAAAGGCGAAAGAAGAAACAAGGGAACTCCCGACATAAGATTGCTTTGGTGGACATCCGCCAACAACATCACTCGAAATCCACCGATTATACTTCCCCGAACCATCCTCAATCATTCCCAGCGCCGGATCCATGGACACAAATATACTCGCTTTCTACACATTTAGCAACACTTCTAGCTCCTCATGACGCATCTTTCTTCACATCTTATTTCCATTCCCCTAAATATTCAACACCGTATATTGCGCTTGTGGAAGCCCTTCAGGAAATCTCGAAGAAACGACCTACGGATGTTGACCTAGAGCCTCTCATTATATCATTATTAGATATACTTTTGCCTTTATACGAAGACTTGGACCCCGAGCAACGGTCCCGTCTGGTTTCGGATATCGAACTCTCGCTCAGCGCTACACAGGGCCATGCGGACGAGGCTCTGGACCTGGTTAAACTTTTGCGTGACCTCGACGAAGATTCATCTTCCGGATATCTCGAAATGGGTATCTATCACCAACCTATAGCGTCTAAACCCCCTTCGAATGACATCCGTCCAAGTGGGACACTACTATCGCAAGCTTCTTCGCGAAAATCTCAACTCCCGTCCGGTCCGCCCGAGATACCGTCTCCGCCCTTGTTGAAAAATAATGCTACCCCAACGCGCTCAGGGAACCAAGCAAGTCCTTATCAGTGGCAAGTTGTACCCAAGCGCAAAACTCGTAAAACACCTCACCCACTAGCGCTTTTCATTCCCGCCTATTCGAGGGATGTGAACGGCATAAAAGTACGTGGATCTGGGAATGGTTTCGGTAAAGGAGGCAAAGGCGATGTAGGAGAATTAAGGAAAAGAATTGGAGATAGTGTGAGGAAGCGGGATGAAATGTTGCGGGAAGCTTCGCGGATGTGGCAGAAGGGAAACGCGAAATCCAGAGGCGGGGAGGTTGCACTATATTTTGCAGACAGGGTACGTCGTCGGCTTTCAATGGTACGGGTATGACACTCACTTTTTCACATAGGCAAGGCAATTCCAGGAACTTGCTAAAAAAGATGCTCTGGAGGCTGCAAGGATGATGGTCGAATCGAAACGGTATGGTTCCATTCTTTTCTTATGACGTTGCGATGTGAAATCAACTATGCACAGACTTTCTTCGCAAGAGCGAGATGCCATAGATTTGCATGGAACAACAGGTAGGTATCGTGTCTGGGCTAATGCACTTTCTTGGAATAATCTTTGACCATTTAGCTTGCGAAGCTATCATCATCGTTTCTGAGAATTTGGCCTCCTCGGGATGTTCATCCAGTGCGTCTATCCATGTTTTTACCACTGTACTAGTACTGACTCCATTCAGCAAAACCTTTGAAAATAATCACAGGGCGAGGTACACATTCTGCTAACAATATCAGCGTCCTGAAGCCTGCTTTACGCAAGGCTCTTGTTGAAGATGGATGGCTTGTAAGCACTTGGGACGGTGGTCTTATTGTAAGAGGAAAGCGTGGACTTTCCTGACGCGTCTGCTTTTCTGCTCCGCTTCTTGTTCTATTGGATGTACATAGAATATTGTAGCCTTAGTTTTTCTTATATTTCGATATCGTGTTGTCCTTTCTTGACGTTACAGACCTGTTGTAGCCTTACTTGTAGTCTACGTACGCGCCTGTATGTGTACATAGATTTTTATTTTTATTTTGTATGTCGGTCCGAGTCCGTGGGAGAGCTGATGATTCTCCCCAAGCTCTTCCCATGTACTCTGATGATTCAAATGACTCTAATGACTACGTCTCAACCAAAGCTACTCACAAGGTCCATACTCCTCTCAACTTTGAGATGATTACCCATCAGGACCTAATCATGTACTTCGATTTAGTCTCGTCACCGTCATCGGCGTCGCAATAAACGCAGGAAGACAGAAACAGGAATTGAATCTTCCGTAGAGGCCGCAGAGGACGTTGTGCCCGTGGTTTCCTTTGAGTCTCTGTTGGATCAGGTCGAGAATCTGACAGACGATGAACTTGTCCAACTCGAAACCTCGTTTGAAGATGTCATCGGCGATTCGTTACCAGAATATCATCAAGCACGCAAAGATCAACTCATGAAGGACACCGATAGAGATGACTTTGTACGTGATGGACGCTCTGTGCGACCGGCAACTGATGAATTTTTCTTGCTTTATAGGGAGTTTTACTAAGGCGTCTTACTCGAGCAGAGATAACGTCTTTAATTCAAAATCATTCTGACAAGGTCAGCCAGCTTAGTGTTCCCGAAGCTATTGTTTTACGGAAGTTGAAGTTGGAGCGGGTGGGTAATTCACTGGTTGCACCCGGATTTTTGATTCATAAAATAATTGTAGGAACGACGTCGTGCGTCTGTAAGAGGCACCGATATTTCAATAGCTCCTGATGGTGTGGTGGAAGGTCTTGTCGAGCTTACCGCAACCCAATTGAGCACGGAGACCGTGGATGCTCTTTGTAGTATTCGTAAAACATCGTATGGAAACTCGTTCGCATCCCGGTTGTATGGCAATCATGCTCGAACTCCTGGATTAATTCACGTTGATTGGGACACAAAAACACCTTGGATGAACTTGATGGAAGATATTCGTGAACATTATCAACTTCTACAGTGCGAAATTTTCTCCTTCGAGACAAACCAGTCACTCACTAATTACTCGCAGTCCGAATCGTGAACCAGCAGAAGAGGCACGATCCGCAATCATGTATACTTCTTTACAACCTAGCCATCTAGACCAAGTACATGACATTCTTGTTCGTTCATTTTGGCAAGGGGTAAATGGTGAGAGAGAACATCTTTTTCTTTGTTCATCTACTTATTTATCGAGTGATCTTAGTATCCGATTCGTTGGACTATTCTCCTGAGAAATGTACGGTTGTTGCATCCTATAAGAAAATAGTAGTTGGTGTAGCCATCATGAGTTCTCCAAGAGAAACTTACATCACGTATCTGGCTGTCAAGCATGGCTGGGATAACTCCAATATTGCCACGTACGTCCACTCACTAATTCGGTGGTGCTTGTCCTTAACGCCTCGTAGAACAATGTTATATCAGCTTATAATGTTGAATCCAGGAAAGGATATTACTTTACATGTTTCAGCAAATAACTCTGCAATGGTACCTTCAATTTCTGTTCGTTTGTCCTAAAGCTTACTCGTTGCGTATCCCAGTTGTTGTATAATCGCTTTGGTTTCAAGTCGGAGGAATTCATTGCTGGCTTTTACGATGCATATCTAGACCCCGAATCTCGAGCTTCTAAGAATGCCGTCCGCTTACGCTTGCGACATCATTGATTGTTCTAACATTCGTCTTGGAATCGTGTCGCTGCCCGGTCGCTGCTGTATTCGCTCCCGTATTGGAGTACTATTTATCAACGGTCCATCGTGGCAGTTATTCCAACGCCGAGAAAGCCGACCTCAAAAGATTCAGCCTCGCTTCGGAAAATTCCTTCTGGTTAGTCTCATTTACAGGGGACTATCAAACCATTAATTGTCTCTCACAGACCAATGCGATGTGGTGGCGCGTGTAAAAATGAAGTATTCGCCGTTTCATTTGGTCGTACCGCGGACAAAGCAAAATAAACTATTCAAGAGTTCATCTCCTGTAGAAATATGACGCTTTAAGAACGTTCATCATTTTATGACAATGTGCCCAATATTGTAAATCCCAGATAGGTGTATCCAATGATACTAGAGACCATTCTAACTCGATATATGTAGAATTTCCTGCGTTTAACGGTTCAACCTTTTTCAACCTAGAAGTAGGTCTCAAAGTCGCTTTAAAATTCTACGAAATATGATGAAGGCTACAAAATGCGAGAAGTCAATATACACTGAACATTCTTATCCAATTAAGAGGTACCAATCTCTACCAAAATTATTCGTCAAGTCATATATGTATGTACTGGCATCACTGTCGTGAAATATTCGGCGCATACCCTAGGAACGCTTGACAACCACAATGCTGGTTGCCCGTCTTTTTTTGAAATTTTTATCATCCACCAATTGCACTCCCTCAATGGCCGGAGCTGGAGTCGCAACTGAGCTCACCCGGCGACGTGGAGGCACTCTTTTGCGACCGTCTTGCTGTAATACGCCGTAGCGATGAAAAGAAGGAACTTGAAGTGCGATTGCCGGAGCTGCAGTCGCGGTCGAGCTTACGCGGCGACGTGGTGGCACTTTGTTGCGATCGTATTGGTGTGAAGAAGAATAGAAAGTGACGGTGGGAGGACCCGTTGGATCGACTCGCTCGTTAATCTCGCTGGAAGCTACAGTGGCATTGAAAACCCAGTTGGGACAGTCGCCAATCATACCGCTCATAGACTTTCTCCTGCCCACACATCGTTTTTTCACTGCTCGTTCGTCATCTCGGGACTGAACCCCGACACTGCGCGGAACTGCTTCTTTCCATTTACCCCCGGAGGAGGAGGCTACAGTGTGACCACGAGGTCGCCCCGTCCGTTTCGGTGGGGAATTCACTCCAGACTTAATTCCAATATGAACACCCTCAACGCCTCCATTCTCTTCCATTGCATTGTCTCCGCTCTCCGGATGGCTTACTGTCTCGGCCAACGGTTTGTACTCCTTCTGCGATCTCTCCAAAACCTCTCTCACTTTCTTGCCCCAGTCGTCAAGCTCGTACAGCTTGTGAAGCATCATCTTGAATTTGAATGGATATTGTTTGCCCATCGGAAATTTGGCGACCGACTCAGTGTCGGTGTCGGCGTCAATATCGCTAGACCCAGACGGAACTGCAACGGTGTTACGGCGCCCTCTTCGTCCACTTGCAGAAATGGTCCTCGGTGTAACTAAGGTGGCGAGATTACGGAATACAGGCTGCAAGTCCAACGGAATGGATAGGATATGGGTGTCGTCCGTTACCAAAGATTCCCCAACATCAGTGGCACGCGTTCGTCGAGATGCGAGCTTCTCGAATAATTCGAAGAGATGGGCGAACTCGGCATTCTTCGGAGCGGTGGACATCGCGGCTGGGAAAGATGTACGTGGTGGAAGAGATTGTGATTCCGAGAACTGGTCCTGTGGGACCCAAATGCCTTGTGTCGTTGTTATATAGGAAAATGTCATGCAAGGTCCATTCTGTCCATCGGCGTGGCTACAGATAGTATCATTGCCTCTTTAGGTTATTTTCATTGTCCTCACACTCCGCTCGGGGATACAAGAGGGTCCAAGTTCCTATGAACATGTTATCGTTATTCTCCTCATTTAGACTATCGTTGCAACGAGATTGAACAAAAGAGTTGAGTCTGATTACTAGGTACATTGAAAACCATCGTCTTGAAGCAATTGAGTCTGTGTGCAAATGTGTAATACTGTAGGGAGTAGGGCTAAATTATCAAAGAATGGCAAGCAAGCATTTCGACGGTTCCTTCGTTCATCTCGATTCCGAGCTTTTCAAAGCCTAATCACTCGTCCGTTCCTTCTTTCAAATAACGCCCATCCTGATCGAAAAGATTCGGGTCGTCGGGCAGAGCTTTCCAATTCATCTTCTGGGTTCGGACGATCGAAGAAAGTGCTCCATTTGATTTGGCAGAGGTTAGGAAGGTTTTGGAAGACGATCCCACTGGCGAACTCTTCTTTCGCGCGCACTTCCTGCCTAAATACGTCGCATATGGCGCAGTTGTAAGGGCTTGTAGCAATATAGTTGGCCTCATTATCCTCAGCCGGATGCGCGATGTGCTCGTAAATCATGCCTTCGTCTGAGAGGAAAATGCCGAGTTGTAGTTTGGTAAGTTGATGAAGAGGTTGCAGCGCAGCTGCGTAAGATTCCTGAGGGCCGTGGTCAGTACAAATAGACACATATGAAAGGAGACCGAAGGTATTGAGCTTACTGCGAGCAGATCTGCGTCGCCATAACTATCAGGAATCGGTGAATGCATACAACATTCCAAAACATCCTCGAAGCAGCACCAGCAGATACATTCTCGATCAACAGTAAGGCGCCCAGTCACTGAAAGTTTGAGGGTCTTCAGACAAGGGAAGGTGGTCGAAATGAAAGATAGCAATGTACGATCAATGCGAGGTATCATATCGATGGCAAGGTCTGAGAGTTTGGAAGAGGCGAAGTTTGGGAATAATCGTTGGCAGACTGGATGCTGAGTTTGTAGTCCTTCTTTCCCAAAGTCCAGACAAAGATATTGCAAGTCTGTCAGGCGTCTGAGCTCCATGCAATCCTTGATAATGTGTGCTGGATTTGTGTATAGTCCTCTGATCAATGACATCAATCCCTGTCCAAAGCAGGAGCGCATATATTCAAGTTGACCTTATTACAGTGAATCCATCCGAGCTCCGAGCTCTGGCTTGGGATATTGATAGTATCTTGATGATTCTAGACCAGCAAGCGTCTTGTAACCATATTGATCTGAAAAAATATTTGAAAACGATTTGCCGACATGTTCTCGAGGCCAGAGCGAAACCTGAGGTCAAAGCTAGAGAAAGAGTAGATCTGGTGCATATTCCCCATGGAAGAAAAGAGAAGACGAGTTCTATCAGCTCCAAAGGAATGCGCGGAGAAGGTCGTTCAAGATTGATCTTGTCACCACGAGAGGCAACAACGAAAAGCGAAACGGACGGTGAGAATTTCTTCGGCTTACTACCAGTGCGCGAGAGAGTCCGCAGCATAATCAAATGAAGATAGACGGTGTCTTGGCCAAGGAGTCTTGACGTCCCAAGATGAAAGTAGTCGGAAACCCTCAGCTCGGTCAAAGCCTGTCAAAGCTGAACATCGTAAACTATTTTAGCTGTGGCTGTGCGGCCGCCCCAGTACATGAAGTATACTTCTTCTATGAATTCACATAATATCCGACGATATGGACACGCTTTAAATAATTATTATAGTGATAGGACTCGAGTACTAAAACTAATTACAGAATCCTCAGTTGATAGAAATTGCATAGGAGCTGGTGCTGAGTGTTGCGCTCCCTGAATTTGAAGATCGCTCTGAGTAAAACGGCGTTCGACAAGATAGCTCTCATTAGCTTACCAACAAAAGGCTCCGTTCCGGCTTGCGCTTGTACCAAGAATTGAGAACTCGGTACTCCGTGGTTATCAATGAGGAACGCTAAGTGGCAGTGGGTCAAAACTTCTTTCTTGTGTCAGCATATTACAATCGGGAAACGTACTGTAGAACGGAAGCAAATCAGAGTTGAAATCAGTGATCTCGCTAGGTGCAACAAAAGAAAACACAGTCCAGGTCTCTACGACTCCCTGGAAGAGGTTCCAAGTGACACCATCAACGCTAGGAAAGGGTGTCAGAAGGATCCTCATCTCATGGTATGAAGAAATCATACTCCGCAGTTCCGACTTGAGAGCCCGCAGGGCCAGCACTGTTTTAAGATCGGATTAAGACCTGTCCATACGCAGCGATATGAGTTACAGACCCTCCTCGGCTACTCAGCCATATCATTCTGCCAAAAGTCAGAAGCTGGCAGTTCAACAAAAGAATACGACGTACATTTCGAAAGTAGACGTCGAGGACGAACCGCTGGAGGATGCGTCATTGGACAGCCAGGTATCATAGGAAACATCAGCTACAAGGTCTGATGAAGCGGATGTGTACGACCAGGACCACGTCGTCGGGATAGAGGTGATCGAAGCCAAACTTTGACCTAAATCTTCACGGAAGTCTAAATTCGCGTCTGAGTATGGGCGGGCCACTAGCATTTGCAGTATCACCTGCAGTGACAGTCACTGCATGGTATCTGCATGCACCTGCATCACACTTATGGCATATAAATGCCGGCATTTATATGTATTTTGTCTAATTATGTTATGCTATTTTGAATTCATTTTTGCTGCATGTTCAACTATTTCAGGATACGTCTATGCACATTGAGTTGATATATTGCTTGGTTTACAGATGTATGTAAATCCTATATGCTTAGTTATGTATGTCACAAGCACTTCACTGTACTCACCCATTCATATTATCTGCAAAACCTGTGTTGAAGCAACTAAGGGACTCGACATTGCTGTTGGCATGATGTATCTGCTACTGCACAGCATAAGATAATAACACCATTTATGTAACTGTCCGCTGGTCCTATGCACGAAGTACTTCCCTAACAAGCACTGTCTGGCCAAAGCACTGAAAGCAATTTCTAGAAACCACTTCAGTGCTGGGAAGTGCAGTCAGTCTCTTAGACAGAAATCTAGGATGTACAGATGCATCTGCATGCTCCTACCTTTTGAATGCATTTGCCTGGACTGTAACTGCACACATCTGCATTGTGACTGCATGCAACTGCACTGTAACTGCACATACCTGCACCTCATCTGCACTGTAACTGCACACATCTGCACCTTACCTGCACTGTGACTGCATCAGCCTGCACCTTACCTACACTGTTACTGCATTCACCTGCATTGTTCCTGCACTTACTTGCAGTCTCACTGTGGGCAATAGGGCTCTGTACCTTTGCATTGAAATTATTGGGGACTGAAATCCTGCATTCAATCACAAGGCTCTGAGTGTCTCTATGCACTACATGTATTTTGAATATGGCCTTTGGAAAATCATTGAGCCACCAATATTGTGAAGCTACTATCCCCCTAATTCTCACAAATTAAGCACTGTTGGCACTGAAATGTGGAGTTTATTCTGGGTCATTTGTGGATAGTTAAGATTATGAAGGGGAGGAAGTTACATTGCTGATTTTGGCCAATGGTTCTGAAACATCATATAAAAGGCATGATGGAAATATTCTTGCAATCTCATGGTATTGCCAGATTTAGGTTGAAGAACCTAACCAAGAGTCACAGGGCCATGTATAAACACTGGTCAAAGACTTACAAAAACAACTTAAACTGTAGGAGATACTTGATATAAGAAATACTTTGATTGGAAAATTCTAGAGGACAGTATGTGTATTGTTATACTTTTTTGCTTTTCGGAGTTCTCCTTGGCCAAATTGTCATCATTTATCCACTGCTTTCAAAATCCACCCAAATTATTGATGGTGGAATTTGGAATTATACCAGGTTTGTGAACACCAGCTGGTATCATATTGTAGTACAAGAGGATATTACTTACAAAGCTGAAATTTTAATGATACAAGATACATATTACAGAAAGCCTGCATTGAGAATCAATGCCAAGAAACCTGGCATCAGACTTGACAGAATAATGAGATCACTATCCAATTTCAATCAAATATTCACATATCCATTCAGCCCCTACAGGCCATTATACTCCCTGTTATTGTCATACAAAGCATTTATAGAATGGGATATATTTTGTACAGTGGAGGATCATCTATTTACATATATATTTGAGTAACTGCAGTGCTACTGCATGTCACTGCATATGTCACTGCAGGACTACTGCACATGTCACTGCATATGGTACTGCAAATGTTCTGTGCCCAGTATGGGCATTAGCAAAGCTTTTGGCAAGCCGTCAAGAAGCATACAGCTTTTGACATCAGAGGGGCCACCTAAACCCGTTAGGTATGTAGTTCAGAGATCATGCAAATATTTGAGTTGTAAGGGCGTACCTTCCCAAGTATATGTCGTTTCCCAAGTGACACTGTCACCATTCGTCGCAGTAACTTGCGAGCTTTGGGAGCCTGAATAGGAATCATGTTCGCATGTTTTATTTCAAATTAATACTCTATACATTACCGCTGGTGGCCGCTGCTTCACCCCATAAGTTGTTCTCGAGGATGAAACGGCTAGATGAATTATCAAGCAGAATTTTTGTGCTAAGTCGATACTTCGTACCCTCCAAGCTACAGCGCCGTCAAGTCATTTGCATTCATTTGATAAAGGATAAACACTGAACCTCAGACTCAGTGGCAAATTGGGCAGTCAACACTGCACCTCTCTTGGTCAATCCGCTGTTGGACTGAGGCACAGGACTTGATAAAACCAGATTGACCGAAGTGATGAGCGAGATTGAGAGCAAGACCCTGAAATGCATCTTGATACTGATGGAGATCGATAAGGCACAAAAGACAGGCGAATGAAACTGTAGCGTTTGTCGTCATTTAAGTACTGGGAAGAGGCCCAACAACCTTTGAGCTTTCCATTCCTCTCCCAAGCCCGGAAAATCATGCAGGTGGAGTGGAGCAAGAGTGAGGAAATAACAATTCACTAGATACTGTCGGCCCGCTGTTGGTTGCAAAATGCATGCGCACCTTCGAGATGAACTTCTCCAACTTTGTCTTAGCCATAGTGTGCAGAGCGTAAAGGGAAACAAGTTTCCCTCAGTTATCATCTGCTACAACCACAGCATGATTCCGTCCGGAAGGGTGCGATTTTCGAGACACATCTGGAATACAAGTCGGTGTAAGAATAGCAAAATCAGATCATGAGCACCCGAGCAAGCTGATTCTGACCTCGTATGTGATGAGAGGTGATGAGAACACGATCGAAAATACGAATTCATACATATCGCAAAAGTTCCGGGACCTCTGAAGACTGATTCCTGAGAAGAACTTCCTGTAAACACTCAATCTATGCTGAGCTTTCTAACTTACCGCGAGACGGTCGATGTTACTCGCGTTTTCCGATTCGAGAACTACCAGCAACGCTTAGGGCTTCCATAGGCATTTTTCAATCACAGAGTTCCCACCCATTGTAACGAAAATGAAAAATACAGGTTCATGCTTTGTATTTGATAATAATAGATACCATTAGTTCTCCAACGACTCAAACAATGGCCTGAAGCTCAACGAAGTTGGGAGTACCTAGCCCCGTTACCTAATTGACAAAAAAGAAATAGGTCAGCTAAACAAGCGACCCCATTTGATTGGAAGGAAAATACGTACTGGATCCCATCCAGTACTCGTCGTGAATCCGTTCGTACCACAGCCAGGGTTGCTTCCACTCGTTATGTCATTGAGCGCACTAGGATTAGCATACAGCAAGGGGTTCAAGAATCCAAGAGTCGTCCCATCCTTAGCCAACTTGAAGTCATTCAAGAGAGCAATCACACCAGCAAAAGTAGGTGAAGAACACGACGTTCCACCAACAGACTCAACTCTGCCGCCAACGACGACTTGGAATCCTTCGCCTTGAGCAGCCACGTCAGGGTAGGCTCTGCCAGACGCATTGAAGAGTCCCGCGTTTGTTGATCCGATCTTCGCTAGGTAGGCGGAAACTGCGGAGGTTTGATAGCTGGGTTGGGCGAAGAGCCTGGAGAATCCACCGCCAGAGGGGAATTCGTTTACTGCGACTTCAGGAGCGATGCCAGTAGTTGCACCGACAGCGGTGACAAAGGGGCAGCTGAGGATAGAATATGAGTCAACTTGTTTGTAGGATCCTGGATCGCAAACATAATGTACCTAGCAGGGAAAGCGGGCTGGAAGATGACTTTCTTTGTGCCGTCATTTGTTTCGCATGAACCTCCGCCAACACTAAATGTCATAAATTGAGATAGTCTAATACAGCGCTTATGGGCTATACTCACCCAGCATCTCCAGAGCTGAACATGACACTGGCGCCTCTAGCTCCAAGGGTGGCGAACGCATTGCAGACTTCGGTTGCAAAATCAGCAGGGACTGTCTGTTCATCGTCTCCATAACTTGTGCTGAAAGTGTTCGGAAGATCATTATCGGCAACGGTTGCGATGAAATCAAGCCAATTGAGATATGGTTCATTGGTATTCGTGGGCTCGTTGGAGTCGGCGATGAACGGAGGCTCTCCCCCGGTACTGTTGAGGATAACATGTTAATCTTCAGTTTGTTCTTGAATTGCTCCGGTAAAACATACATACCTGTAGAATATCATAGGAGTGGGCCAAGACATTCCAGTAGCATACTGCACGTCGAGATTAGCTTCCACACCCGGATCGTTCTGAGTGTTTAGTCCACCGTTGATCTCCGTGAGAGTGAAGGTCGCATTAGTTGCCTGGGGAAGGAAACTCTTGACGAACGTGGCGAGGTCAGAATTGGAAGCAAACTGTTCAAGATATCCAGTGATACCGATCTTATTGACCGCAGTCTCAGTTGGTGTGTAGTTGATTGTCTGTAGGGAATGTGAAAGAGAGTATGCTTTTCCAATAACCATGACATACGTTATACAAATCCTTCAGACAAGTGGGTGTGATAGTTGTTTTGCAGCTGCTCGATGGTGTGACATCGCTACCGAGACTCAATACTGGACGGTCTGGCTCCAAGTGGCTGGTTACCTTCATGCTTCTGGTGGTACCAAAATATGTAGTCGGCGAGACGAGATCAATGTGGTCGTGAAGGTGACGAGGAAGGGAATACTCCAATGTACGGATGATCTTCTCGTCAGAATCTGTGTGAGAATACACATGATATTTAGTGTTCAACAGCGTCTCAGCTAAAGAGACCGGAATGGCGACCGTGATCACACGGTCCGAGGTAGAGATAAGCGCATCGTCCTCGATGCCATGCCAGTTGAGCCATTCCTTGACCTCTTGCAAGGTCTCGTCCGTGGGCTTCATAAGTTCGTCAACCTGAGCCTTGGACAGATGCTTTCCGTATCGTTCATGGAAAGGATCAGACGTCTCCGACAAATGTTCGAGGAGTGTGTCCAAGTTAGATGGGCGTAAACCAAAACGAAGTTTCAAGAGCGTCGAAGGGTCAGGAGTAGAGTGGTGGACCCAGGTGGAGGAAGGAGTAGAGTCTCCCCAGGAATGCTTCGTGGCAAAGTCCGCATAAACGACAGAACGGGAGGAAAGGGGAGTCGCGAGCACTGTCAAGGGCAAGAGGGCGAAGACAGCAGATGGGAAAAACATCGTTGTCGTCGATAAAGGAAGGATGCTCTTCTCATGCGCCTTATATATACCCAATCGTGATATGTGATTTGTTGAGCATTCTGCCTTTCGCTTCAATTGTCTTAAACTGCCGAGAAAGAATAGATTTTCATGGGCAGCACCCTATGGTAGAAAATAAGGATTCTCGCGGACTCTTTGATGCAGGCTGTCTCTCACCGTGTGGAAAGGTATTGAGTACCTAAAGTTGATATCGAGAACCTGTTGACTTTATTGGCTTTTTCAATTGAACTGGACATGGAGAGAGATCGTGAGATCCAAATCGAAGCTATACCATATGCTCCAATACGCACAGTTGACAATATGATAAACACCGTGTCTTTGTCGGTGATTTACATGGGGGAGCATTAGGGGAGCACCTGATACTTTCACCGTCTCGCTGCGCGCTCTACCGTAGAGGCCGCAACTCCGCCCGTCCGGTATGCTGGTGTTCTGAAGCGATGCAGGTGGAGTATCCATGATAATTGAGTCTATCCCGACAATGGAAACAGATGTATCTAACCGGAGTTGGAGAGAGGCACTGAACTCAATTCACAACGTCGTAGAGCGCCGTGCCTTCGCTTTGAATATGGAATCATCGAACTTCAAGCCGTGACAGTCAGCAGAAAGTTGCGCACAAAATATACCAGTGTAACACCCAAGGTTTCAATGTTTCACAATGCATAAGCAGAGTGGGTAGACACATTTTCGAGGTCCTTCGAGGTCTTGGAAGATTTAGGAGGGAGTGGAATAATGTGGGCGCTAAATAGGGCGCCAGTGTAACGGTGGCTTTTTCATGGTCCTTGCATGCTCTTCGCCAGCTCATTGAATGGCAGGTTACCATTATTCCTCGCTTCTGTACAGATACAAGGTTATTCTACCTCAGCACTCATATCAAAATCTGAGAGGCTAGGTCTATCCGATTTCGCTCCCTAGATAGAAGGATTATAACATTTCTACTCAAGGACACAAACGCTTCAAGGACTGGTTCGAAATAATCAACGTCAAAACGGCAAAGGTCGGCCCACGACTCGCCTGGCTTCTCCGCCACGGGGCTCGCTATCATAATTTGTATGTCAGACCGGATGGCTATGCATTGGTAGACGAAGTTGTGAGTGATTTTCTTTGATTCTTTAATCAATTATTGAACGAGGATATATGTTTTCTGTTATGCTTAGCTTAGAATCAGCCCTTTCAGAAATCTCAATCTTCCTGACCTTAAAGAACTCGCCAGAATAGATCCTCTGAAGCGGTTACAAGTCAAAGAACTTCGTCCTCATCAATGGTGGATTAGAGCTACTGCGAGGCATAGTCTCAAGGTGCGCGTCGCTATTCGAACCCCAAAAAATCCAGAATTCCAACTGGTATTCTTCAGTTCGTCAATCCAGCCTGGAAGGAAATCAGAAACGCTCGTGAAGTTGAGGGTTGCATATATTATGCAGACGGGAATGAGTGGCAAAAAATCCGTACGTCACGTATACCCCGCATGTTTGCCCGAGTTCTGAGATTCGATCTGATATTCAGTTCTCAGGTCTTGAAGGTATCAGAACAAGGCTGAACGAACGTCTCATCACCTTATCACAAACCGTTCCAGAGTATTTCGGTTACTCGCGTGCGTTATACACGTCTTTTCTCTCTGTTGAATAAACGTGGTTGAAAGAATGATGATATGATGACCAGACATAGAGCCTTCCACCGTCATCGTTATCCACATTGACGTCAAGAAAGCTTTGGACTACGGACTGACCTTCTTTGCGAAACATGACAAGACTATCGCCACCGAGGGTGATTCAAATGGATGCATATTGCCACAGTTCTTCCGAAAAGTGGAATACCTCCAATGGTCAAAAACGATAATCTTGGCAAACAAAACTGGCTCCGAACCGACAGAAACTCATGCACGTCCTACCCCATGAGGGCGACATCGAGCGACCCCCTTTTGTCCTTCTGCATCCAATCTGCATTTTCTACAACTCGTGGTTCCGGACTGAAAATATGAAAAGCTTAAATCACCTGCCTCCGTTCTCTAAATAGTGGAATGGGATAAGCTGTTCCGATCTTCCGACTCTCAATCTACATCATGTTTTCAAAGTACCCTTTTTTCATCCTCGTTGTTTTCCGAAATTGGATCGACACCGTGTCAGAACCGCCCACAAAAATTTCATACACAAGTTTCTTCGACATTGTGATGTGATTGCCTCATAGATCAACTACCTGCCTACCTTGCATTTCTTCCATTGTGACTCGAAGAGCATGTACTCTACATTTAATTACCTGCACACCACCTCCCATACTTAAATTTTATCTCATCGATCGTGCTTCTTATGTTTTCGGAATCAGCGTTCCTCGAAGAAGGTATTCAAAATTTAAAAGATTGTTATAGCCTTCGAATGACTATGCTGGGAGTTCTTGCAGTTGGTAAATATCAATCTCAGATCTACAGACGCGGTCTCCAAATCACTCCCAATCGCCTCCATCGATTTCTTGGCTAAAACGAACACAAAGCTCAAGGAAGCATGCAAGCAGGCATACTGCTACCGTACGCTAGTCATCAGGGAAGGAGATAGGTCAATGTTGAAGACGGTAGCGAGCTCTTGTGATGAGGTTAGAGAAGATCCGCTGTGGAGTGCACTGTTTCCCTCTCTTTCGTATGTAAAAGTATAGTAACATACCTGTTTCCTGGGCACTTAATGGATGAAGCAATTACGAAATAGCGGTCAAGCATCAAATAATCATATATCTTGATAGAGGTTACAGCTTTATCCAGTATAGCAAGACAGTGGCATAGGCTCGCTCAAGAGATTCGCGCCTTCTTGACCTCCCTTCGCAAATCAGCCGTCCCAGGCGACGAGGCTCGTGTCTGAGTAGCCGATGAAGGAGGTGACGATTCTGACCGGTTCAGACTTGTAGGCCCATTCTCAAACTGTCTTTCTAATTCAGAAAGCCACTTCCCGCCTTCCGCGCCCGAGAATAACCAGACATGACTGAAAATTATTCAATGTATGTTTTGTAAGTCGTGACTTGAAATCAATATAATTGAGTTCGAACAAAGACGTGCCTATGATCTACTCTTCGAGGTTCCTGTCGCCCTTCTTCTGCCTCCTCTTCTAAACCAGATGATGACCGCTTTTTGATATTTCCGCGGGGAGGCTGCATCCGTCCGGCGAAGGGTGACGGAGACGACGAGGAGGAGGACGTCGGTGGCGGTAGGTCCCAACCAAGTTCAGCACATATATACGTTACAATATCGTCGGCGTTTCCCAAGAGGATGATCTATTTGAGGATGAACGACGGACTTTGGCAAGAAGATAAACTGGCTTACATCGGGATTGATATGCCTAATGGGAGTCTTGTTAATCAATATCTACATGAGGAGGTTTGGCAGGGCATATGAGAAAAAAACGAAGGTCGGTTTACCTGAGGAACGGAATGCGGGAGATGCGCTTTTTCGTGCAAGGTTAGCAAAGACAGTAACAAGGACATTGAGGATATTGTACTCACACAAGATGTCCGCAACAGGCGCGACCTTCAGAGAGGTACCGATGACGAGCAACAAGTCCACATTGTCCCGATCTTCTTCAAGTGAGCGGTCAAAATCGTCAGTCAACTTTTCGCCAAAGAACGTGATATCAGGCTAGAAAAACAGTTCAATCGCATCTCTTTACAATATCTGATAGTGTTTACCTTCATGATCCCTGGGGGATATGTCGGAGCGTCACTTTCGTCTTCACAATCACTATCCCATTCCCCCTTAGCCTTTTTCTTGCTTATTTTTTTGCCGTTTTTCGGCGTCGACGTCGACGTCGACGATGACGGAGGATTACATACCGGACACAACGGTACCTTCCGACGCATGATGTCCGATTCTATCTCGGACCCAGGTACTCGTCTACGACAAAGTAAACAAGTAGCGGTAGCGAAGGAGCCGTGACATTGAAGAACCCGTTTTACGCCGGCCACAGTTTCCAATGTGTCTATGTTTTGTGTATAATTCTGAAGATTGTCAGTCGATTGGAGGTGACGGGTGAGGTCAAGGGCCTTACACGAAGGAGCTGGTTAAAATATTGGTCAAATTGCTGACAGTGATGCATCGAAACACTTACCTGGCCTTTGTCTTCAATAAGTTTAATAAATCGATGGCAGGATGAAGGTACAAAATTTGAAGGAAATATCTGACTATCGTAGAGTATGAGACAAGCAGAATATATGTTCAATTGGGGTGCTCATACCTAGCAAAAGAACTGGACACACGCAGGCATTCATTCAACATTTAGGACTTCGCAACAGCCTTTGGATATCATACTCACTAAAATACTAAACCAAAAAATGAGCAAATAGAGAAAGGATGTTTCAATTTGGATACACTAACCTGATGGATTTTCACGGAAATAATTTATATCGAACCTATACACATGCCGAAGTGTTACACCTGGGAGCCAACTCGTAGAATCAAGAAAGACACACGTACATCTGTTGAGGATCATCCAACTCATAATCGCCCAATTGAGCATATAACCCATTACGGGATCTAAAATCTGGTATGCCACAAGAAACGCCTAAAAGTAATTGTTTAAGGGATTGTCTTCGAATGATATATATGTACACACTTATACCAGCGCCTGTCAGTATCAACATTCGTTTGCTGTTCCGTATTAGGTTGACGGCATCTGAGATTGTGTTGTACTCAGATAACTTCTCTCGCAGTCGCAGTCTACAAGTACACGGTCGAAACACCACAACTTAAGGAAAATCAGGTGAAAGGAAGGGAAAGGACAAACTCTTTCCACATCGCTACGCGAAGGAAGTAATATAGTGTAGGATTACTTCTGTTCTGGAGTTCCGGACACTAGTATGGCATTGGTAGTCAGTGACAGAAACATGCATTGATAGCAGTAATTTAGCATACCAGCTTGATCCCGAAAGCCAGGAGCAATGTTGGGATCGGTATTGCACGATTTATCGCGTATTTGCGTACAAAATGTCCCATTCCTTCAATTCAAATGAGACGAAGTCGCGAAGACGAATGACAATCGAACCTCGCTCTTTCAAAAAGCTGATCATCTCTTTACGTTCCTCCTTTGTCCAAGTTTCTATCTGCACAGTAAGCTACAGCTTGGTAGATGAGCTGATGAACACCTGCACCATCATGCGCATTCGTGAACAGCGCGGAGATGTCGAGTTCCACATCGTTATGTTCTTGGCCAGGCAGCCATTCATCGTCTTCGTCCTCTACATCTGGTGTTGGTTCCAAATCTACAACGTTTGTCGTTTGTCTATCCGCAATCAACTGGAGCAATTCTTGTATTGTTTCCGGACCGACTTCCACGTCTTCTGCAGCATCTAGGAAAGCCTTGACTTGAAGAATAAGGAGATCCATCGGAGATGCGGTGCTTGGTCCTGATATAGGTTGAGGGAGAGGAGGGTTGAGCTCATGAGTGTGTACAGTGTATGGAGCTGAACTGTTCATTAAGGATTCGAAAGAATTTAAGAGGAAGACCTCGTGGTTTGAAGTAAAGGGTAAATTCTGTACATAATCAACGGGCGCTTGTCTCTATATACCTCAAGTCTCCATTTGCTTCGCCCAGTCTCAACTTTTTCTTCTAACAGCCATTTAATATCCGACCTGAACGCGAATGATAGTTCGAACATTCCGGTTCGGCGGTTTCTGTTGCAGCATAGCCCACAGGCAATGTATACATTGATACGGCGATGATATCGGCGCAGGCCGTGCTTGCATCACTGATCAAAAAAAAGTTCCCAAGTATTTATAGAATCGGAACGAAATTTGAAACCCTTTTCCAGTCCCGTCTCTCATCTCGTAGTGCAGGCCACGTCCACAAAGAGAATCTGTTGAAGAAAACCCCTGCTGGCCAGGTCGTGTCCTTCTCAATCGTGCAAAATCAACAATCCGATACTTTCCATCATCTCCCCCTCGATTCGTACAGCTTATTACAATGACCAAGTCCACTGGATTACTTCGTCTAGCTTTAAGCGTGATGTTAGCGATGACACTCTTGACGGTCTGTCTTTCAATGCCGATGTAAGCTCTCATTTGGCATTCTTGGGTCCCTTTTCTTATCGTCTTGTTCTTCAAAGCGGTATGTCAAAACTTTCATCTCCCTCGGACGAGGATTCGGCCCTGTGAGCGGAGCTTCTATTTTATCTTATCATCATTCCTCATTCATCGCAATTTCTAATAGCAGCAGTACCTCTGCCGCTGATGGAGGTGCTCCTACGTCTGCCACGTCTGCACTGTGAGTACCGTTTTCTGACTGCTCCCTTTTCGCTATGCGCTCACACACGCGAGTAGCAGCCCTGCGGTTCATCCAACGCCAACGTAAGTACTGGGTCCTTTTTGTGACTTTCTGCAATGCCTCATTATCTCCCTGCAGCGCTGGTTCAGCCGACTCCAAGTAAGATACTTTCCAAATCTCTAGAGGTTTCTCGTACTGATTTGTTTATTCTAGTTCTGCTACGGCCTCTGCTAACGCTTCTGCGTCCGCTGGCGCAGATAACGGCTCCACCTCGGCATCTGCTTCCTCGTCCTCAGAGGCCGATACGAGCTCAGCATCTTCCAGTGCTTCCTCCTCTTTAAGCGCTGATGCTGGCTCCGCTTCTGCGTCTGCCAGCGCCTCATCATCAGGCGATGTTGACTCTGTTTCAGCGTCCGCCAGCGTTTCCTCAGCCAATAATGATAATGGAAATAGCACTGCCGCGGCGTCTGCCAGTACTTCGTCGACTGCAGGTGCTGAAACTGGCTCCTCGGCTGCTTCGGCGTCTGTTAAGAATTTGTCGTCTGCCGATTCCGATAGTAACTCAACTTCAAAGTGAGTTGAAGCTTAACTGCCTGATTCCTCCGCATTCTGATCTTCCATGTAGCGCGGTAACAGGTAGTGCTTCTCCGGACTCGTCGTCGTCATCCTCATTATCGTCATCTTCATCGCCTTCATTTTCTGCATCCCCTACAACCCAAAATCACGACGGTGTGCCTCCTCTCATGCAACCACTCGCTAAGACTGCCAAGTCAGAGAACAAGACTATATCTGATCACCAACGCTGGCCTTCTGCAGTCGCAGCAGCTACTATTGATGGCGTAGTGTTTCCTCAGACAAGTAAGCATCCCAGGATTCGAGCGGGTCAGCTTTCGTTCATGATTGGGCAGAAGTGCAAAGAAATGAAGGAGAACGGATATTGGAGCAATGTTGGTGATGGATTGAAGAAGAGTTTCACTGTGGTACCTCTGATCCTTGAGGCCATGGTGAAGACGGCTAGGAACTGAAGTGTTGATGTAGTATTGTGTTTAAAGTGTATGTAGTTCGAGGCTTGATAGATGATCGTTGGTCGATGTTGATCTCTCCTGTGAGCTAAACTTTGCTGTATGTAGTACAACCTAAAAGCCCGATACGGGTAGAGCTGGTAGAGATCGGCCTTCGTTATTAACTGACATCGACTACAGTCTGGGTACATATGTATGTGCTAGTGAATCATAATAACTTTTCTTTTTGTGAAAAAAGAGGCAGTCCAGTCCACGATAGCAAGAGGTTGGAGTATAGCAGGAGTATAGCATACGCATGTTTATTGAGAGGCATGAATGCATGGAGAGTATGTATAAGTTACAAGATTACTTTATAGTTACAGTGTGGTATCGAACAAATCGAGAGAAAACAAAATGGCGATAGAAAACCCATTATGAGCGCTCGCCCCTCAATCTACGGGCCAAAGCAAGATCCTTGGGCTGGATGGTAACACGCTTAGCGTGGATAGCAGCAAGATTGGTGTCTTCGAATAGCGAGACAAGGTAAGCCTCCGCGGCCTCCTGAAGAGCCATGACTGCTGAGGATTGGAAACGAAGATCGGTCTGGAGCATAATGAGAAAAGGTAAAAGGTACAGAAAAACAATTCACGCACCTTGAAATCCTGAGCGATTTCACGAACAAGTCTTTGGAAAGGAAGCTTGCGGATGAGCAGCTCGGTGGATTTTTGGTAACGTCTAATTTCACGAAGAGCGACAGTTCCAGGCCTGAATCGATGAGGCTTCTTCACACCACCAGCTGCGCCTTGCTATAAAGTTGGTGAGCAAAGAAAAACGAGCAAAGATGATGGAAGTTCACTAACAGCAGTCTTTCGTGCAGCAGACGACTTTGTGGCCGATTTTGAAGCTAATTGTTTACGAGGAGCCTTTCCTGAAAGCCCAGTTATTGAGGCGGGAATAAAATGACGCCGAGGAAACTCGCATACCTCCAGTAGATTTACGAGCAGTCTGTTTGGTACGGGCCATGGCGAGTTATAGAAAGAAGTTGAAGTTGAGTGGTGATTGTGGTGTGGTAGTGAAAGTTGAAGATAATTCGGAGTTCAAAACTTCCTTTATTTATATAAACGCGACGCGCTGTCCTGCACGTGATCGAGCGCGTTGAGACCGTTCAACAAATTTATGTGAGCACAGCCACCTAGCGGACTGATATAAACAAGTTATTCCGGGTTCCTTGCCGCCCCTCCCATAATCAACGCTTTTGTCGTCACTCATCTTGACTCTCGACTTTCTTCCTTTAAATCTCAATAATCACAATGTCTGGCCGTGGTAAAGGTGGAAAGGTAAGGCGTTTTGGCAAATCGGACTGGGATCTTCTTTTGACTGTAGTGCTAGGGCCTTGGAAAAGGAGGAGCTAAGCGTCACCGTAAAATTCTGCGTGACAACATCCAGGGTATATCTGCTTCGTTGTACGCTGTGAATGTATATTCATCATTGCTGTTGCTCAGGCATAACAAAGCCTGCTATTCGTCGTCTCGCACGTCGTGGAGGTGTCAAGCGTATTTCTGGTCTGATCTATGAAGAGACTCGTGGTGTCCTCAAAATTTTCCTCGAAAATGTACGTCTCGTCTGTCCTCTTGTTCTTTCGGTTTTACTTATTTGATTATCTTCTGTCAGGTCATTCGGGACTCTGTAACATACACCGAACATGCAAAACGGAAGACGGTCACTGCTCTCGATGTCGTATACGCTCTGAAGCGTTCAGGGCGCACACTATATGGTTTCGGTGCATAGGAGTGCATAGGATTTGTTCCGAGAGTTGTTGTATCCTTTACTTGCTATTGTATCATTATAATTATTTGCTGTACAATCAACGTCAATTTTTTTTGGGATCACAGCAAATCGACCTCTCACCATCCCCAGACAGTCAGACAGGACCCCCAAAGTATTATATGAACCTGGATGCTGTATATCAATCGGGACAAGTTTTAGGATTTTTGAGCTCGAACTCGGGCAGAATCCGGACATTTTTGGAGAAAGTTTCCGAACGCTTTGGTATCATCTATGAACTAGATTTTGATAGTTCTTGACGCCATGTCGCTACATGGGCCTCAGAGTTTCAAACTCATGTTTGAAGTGGAGAATGTGTAGACCCCGAATTTTAGTGTCTCTGTGGTCCACGCAGTGAATATTTTTCCTTCTCCGGCCCGGCTGGGACCTTCATACCACCTCCGGTACCTAGGTTCATATACATAGTACTTTGGGGTCCTCCCCAGACCAAATTGGTGCTTCGCGTGCCCTTTTTAGAGCTTCACACTGATTGACACCTTAAAGTGTGCCTATAGTTTTAAATGTATGGCCGAAGCATTCGAACTTCGAAGTCTGGTCGAGACTGATCAAGATCGCGATAGATGGAAATCCGATACTTCTGAGTGCGGTCGAAAAGACCATGGTGAGAGACTTCGTGTCCTCGTTAGAATCCGACTACCTGCCAACGGACATTCAGCGGACATACACAATGAACAGATTTATCCGATTCTCAGAGCTTCAAGGAAGACAGACTTGTTTATCTTTTCACCTCATTTGAATACTTAAATCATCGAGCTTCGATATATGCCTATACTCTAGAATGTTGAATCCCGATTCTGGACATGGCTCGAACAACCCCAAGTGATATCAGTAAAGACAGTAAAAAAGACGGTCACGCCGGTGGACTTGAAGTGAATTGTGGCTGTGCAATTAAACGCCGAACACCAACTGCTCGGCGCTATTGATCTTACATCCTACAATGGATACCAAACATATCGAGCTTGTTCCACCTCTGGTCGAAGCTGGTAAATCTTCCGACTTAGCCCAGTCGGGGCATATTGTCTCTGCATCATTCTCTCCGTCCAATAACTCTCTAGCATTACATCTCGCTCCCTTGAACTTAACCGGGTCGAAGACCTCCACTGTCGAGCAGCCAGAAGCGGTTTATCTTGCGGGATGCGACGATGTTCCTTCGTCAGAGAGACGTCTGGTATGATATAATTTGCTCCCACTTACGAGATAGAACCGGTCTCAGCAGGCAATATTATAGTTCATCGCCGACACCGTAGTCATATTCTCAATGTTCAAAAGCATGCTAAAAGACGCGCACTTAAGAGATCCAACTTGGTTCGCGACCCATAGCTTCTCCGATGACCTTCTAACAACAATTGCAGGCTCCAGACGCGCCAAGCTTTGGAGATTATTCGAAAATTAAGTGTCGACTACGTCAACTTCATCAAAGAATGTTGGATCCATGCCTCTGTGTGTCTTCAAATTGTTCCTCTTGGCGAGCAGTCTCTGAACTCTGATTCAGCAACCGATATCTCGTCCGGAGCCTCTTCAATTAAGCGTAGAGCACTATCGAAATCTTTATTCAACATTCTCCTTGTTCGTGGTCCTTTTTGTCCCTGAACCTGGTTACGAGGACGCTCCTGTCGGCGAAGAATTGATGGAGTGGCTTAACATACATTTCATTGAGCCATCTACGGAAGAAGGCGATCAGCTCAGCTCCCTGGATCATCCATGGGAGGATGAAAACTTCTGGTCATATCTCACTAGGTAATTCTCGGAATATCAATGAACACGGTCAAAGCTCACATGTCACAGGTCTACTATTCGAGGATTTTCAAAAGCCTCGTTATTCTTCCTGAATACCCTGCTACAACACCCTTCGGAGGATCTGCAAGAACTCGTAAAAATCCTCATACCTCTTGTAGAATCTCATCCACGGCTACCGCAATTCACTGCCGAACGAGACTTTGCATATGCATCCCGAAAATGGAAAGACAAGGTCAAAGCTTTGCGTGTGGAGATGGATCGATTCTTGGATGAATCTTACGATTGGTGGGATCCCTTGAGTGATCTCATTGGCATCCTAGAGGGCCGCGGGGATGTGATTGAAAGGGTTTGCGAGGAACTTGGTGCGGATTGGAAGGAAGTCTGTGCTGCTCGGGGCATCTTTGTGGATACTAGGCTAAGAAGACAGGATCTACCGTATGTGTCCCCTCCTGTCATTATATTATTAAATGTACTCACTCCATCCAGGGATGTGGTTGCAGACGTCCTGGAAATTATGCCTCCAGACCCTACAAACCTAGAGGACATGATGCTCTCTTCTCTTTTCTCTGGTCATGCTGACCAGGTCTTGAAGCATGCCTCGGATTTCGACTTGTGGCTCTCCGCTCATTTGGCGGATATCATGGAGCCCCTGGGATTGCTGGATGCCGAATTAGACTTCGAGTACCATTATCATCCTGCCTCATTTCGTCTCTTTTGATTGTCCTTTGAGCTAGGTCAGGAGTTACTAAACGCGATGAATACGTGCTGGCGTATGCCGAATACCTCCGTTCAGACTCAACTTTGTGGCGGATTACCATTGCCTACCTTTACTCGTGCGGTAGGGTAGGTGAGGAGCAAGCGGATGAGGTGCTGATGCGGGTTCCTCTGTCTTTAAATGCCGCCACTCTAGACGAATCGCTTACTCCAGGCGACACGATGGCTGAGGTCGTGAAAGATATTAGCTCGATATGTCTGGAACATAGTCGCGAATCAGTGCGACGGGCAGTCTGCAAGGTCTTTCTTTTTTTCTTGAGTTTGTTGAATGGAGTTCATGTCCCTTTTTGTCTTAGATTGCTTCGACAATGTTGGTGCGTTCTCGAGACTACGGGATGGCCGTGTCGTACTCTACATCTGCTGAAGATTGGACTGGGTTGGGTCGCGTGATTGACGCAGTTCTCGATGAATACATCCAAAATGGTTGGTGATTTCTCTCAAATGACAAACAGTATTGCATTGAATGTCGACCTTTTTAATTCATTACAGGCCCGGTTGTCTTTGCCGGTTATGCTTCTAAAATTGCTCCATCGATGGATGAGATACAATCGAGCTCGCGCACTCATCAAATATTCGCCCATCGTTTGATGTTCACTGTTAGATATTCACAGATGCATAAAATGAGGCTTGACCGGGATTATCCTAATGCTGCATTAGATCTTCTCGCTCTCCTCCGCGACGAAATTGCACCTAGATCCTGGTGGCCGATACTCTTGTGTGATGCAGTCGAGTTCCTGCAATACGGTATGCTTAAGCTTATTTCCATGTCGTTGCAAAAGTATTGATATCCCGTTTTCGAATCCCAGGGCCAAAGCTTCTGTTCTCTTCTAGTGATGCCATAGAACTACTACGAAAATTGGAAGAAATTTCCATTCGTAGTTCTCAAGGTTCTGGCGATGACTACCTAACGGTTCTCATCCGAACCATCAAGGGCGGAGGTGAGAAAGAGGCATTAGAACGACTGAAACAAGTGCGTCTGGCCATTGCTCGTTATTTTGCACGATGCACTGTGGGGAATGGTTGAAGGTTCGGATCCTGTATGTTTGTTACACTCAAACCAAATTAATGTGTTCTTGTCATATTATTTACGGGTATTGTATCAGTGTATGTCATATTCCGCTTTATATCCCTCCTATGAGTTTGCATCGATTCGATCGCTTAGTTTCCTAGTAGCTGCTCAAACTTTCGAGTGCAAACCTCAAACTTTATCCAAGGCTTGAGTGTTGTGTAGGGTATTTTAGACGGTATATATATGAAGACCCATGGAGAACAGATGCTCACCGTCGTTCACCTCCTCAAAAATGTGCTACTTGTTGACATTGATGAACGAATTTGATTGTGGACACTGTTTCACAATCAGACGCGACCGGGTATATTCCCTTTGTTCTACCATGCCTATGTCATTAGCTTATAATTGATATACATCGATGCAATTCCCCAGATTGACTGCAACTCGACTACCTGCGCTCTGAGCGCATCCCATAATTTGGATTGTATCAAATGCACCACTACCTGTCGCCAAAGGTAAGGTCCCAATGATGCCAGGCCTACACTGCTAGCTCTAACTGGGCCACTCAGTTTAATGCAAGCTCAAACGTGGATCTGGGGAAAACTATGTCGCCCTTGTGAAAATTGCCTTTCCGAATAATTAGGCTATGGTGGAGGGAACCTGGTGCATTTCAGCATTTTTATTTCTTTCTTCAAGTTTTCCCTCTTTATTTGAAATTGTATAAAGATGTTTTCAAAGATGTTTTCTTATGTCCAAAGGCCATAGCCCCAACGTAAGAATGACAGACACGGAAACCTGTACATAATTTCGAAAAGTGTCTGGTAAAAACAATAGTTAGAATAAATCATAGTCGTAACTAGTAGTCGTAATCAAAGGAGGAAGATTAATAATTCACCGATGTAGTATGCAACCAATGCTCATTCTTCGTCAATTCCCTACCGTCCGCTCCTATCGAGTCCAACGCAGGACAATAACTTCATAAGGTATGGAGTTGAGCGCACTAAGGAGGGAAGAGTGACCCAAAGCAGAGAAGGCTCAGGCTAGTAAATTGGGGATTTGCAGCGACGATCTTAGTACGTATGCTTTCTTGACAGTGCCATTTACATGGTTACTACTCTCTACTAGTCAAGTTGCGATCGGGTATACTATATCACTTCCAACAAGAGTAAGTATGAGTGGTACTAGAGTCATTGTGGATTCCACTTATGATTTATTTAGAGAGTGTTCAAGCATCAAGTTAGCAACTGATATCTCTAGGCACATACATTGTCTGACTGTCGAAGCCTCGAAGGGATATATGATACGTATTCGGCAGAGAAAGAAATGATGGTCGAGTACGGGGTGATACTTGCCATCTGACTCGCAACATTGAGATTCTACTAATTCACACCTTAATCTGGAAATGGAAGAGAGGCTCGAGGTGCGCTGAGCCGCGCGTAGTACGGTACGCGCACAGTTCTTAACCATGAGCCTCTAGATCGGTTTTGGACGTGATCCTACGTGATCTGGACCTGATGTGGGAGATTGTTTCAAGTCGCCCCTCATGAGTTCTTCCTTGAACCATCATCACGATCGGAGTCTCGACTCCTCAGTACCTTGGCGTATTCTAGTGACAGGTTCCAATTGCACTTCTCTCTGACCGTTTTGTCTTTCCTGTCGTTCTCAATTGCACTTCTCATGTCCTTCCCGAACAAAGACCGACGACTGACTATTCATGTCCAGACTATTGTGGGCCAATTTACTAGATATTACTTCTATGATTTAGTACGCTGAACCATCCTGACCTTTTGACCAATGCTCATATTTTTGTTAGTTCAATGGAGATGAAAGGTGCCTTTAGTCATCTTGATTATTGATTTCAACTCCTACTCAATGTTTTGCAGACCGCTCCTACTTAGTCTCTTGAAACAGACTATTCACAGTCAAAATGATTGGACACTTTTTACTCATGTGAGCCTTAATGCTCTACGGATACTACCCCACATCTGCAAAACATCATGCAATGTAATCGGTAATTGAATGCCTCTTTCTTGTCTCCGCCTTCAATGCTTTGTATGAGTAGGACAAGGTTGGCACCATGGTCAAACACTTGATCAATCTTTTAACCTGGATTTTCAAAGTGGGAGAGAACAGTTTGGGTATTCAATTTCTGTGGACCTTCAAGTTGAACCTTGCACAACTGTAATAAATGCTTACACATACTACCAATCTGCAGAACTCGTAATTTTGGTTGAATGTTCAGGAGCAGCTGGAATTTCTGCTCTGATGACTCTGCTTCGAGTGCTCGTTGAACGATGGCAATTTTACACGCAAATGTATTAATGGACTTTTGATGATGTGGTATGTCATCGCCTCGATTGCTTAGAGGCATATAAGGAAACTCAGCTGTATATAATCTAAACCCTCTGACAACAGAAGGTTTAAAACTCGCTTGTTAACCTCAGTCACTCTGGAAGTTCTAAGCATGTGTTACCCTTTGAAGTTGGCAAATCAATTCAGCTCAGAGCTGTGGTCGCCGTGTCATATTCAGCCGCAATCGGGTATTTTAAGGCTTCAAGTTGTCCATAACCTGCACCCTTAGCATGTCCATAGAGTTGACTGTAGCCAGTGCATCTCTACTTATGACCAGAGGTCCGGTAATGGTTGATTGGTGTTTTGCTTGAAGATGTCCCGAAAGAGCGCCCGTTAGATTGATGCAAGAGCAGACCGTACCTTGGGAAGGTTGCCTTTCCAAATGAGTAGGCTATGGAGGAGGGAAACCTGTTGCCCTTACTAGATTAAGTTTGATCAAAATTCTATGCATACTTTGTCCGCTATGTCAAAATGTGGGCCAATGTAACGGTAGTAACCATACAACGAACGGAAGATACATGTTAGTAGTCAGTAGCTAGTTCAGAGAAAACATCATTCGAATTCCTATTACCTACCGAGTTCATGATACTTCAAGGAGGACATGCGAAAGACCTCGATCTGATATTGGTGGAGCAGAAGCCAATGGATGTGCAGCCCAATGTGAGTTTGCTGGCAACTTCTCATAATCGAGATATGCAAGTTGGTCCTCACGACAAATATGTACCGCCAGCGATGTCAATCAAACTCCTTCCAAATTCATGAAAAAAAGTTGAGAAAATATGTTAGTCGCGATTTTCTGGAGTCTAGCAATTTGAAGAATTTGGCAATCCATATCCGCATCTACGACGAGGGAAAAAAGATGCGCTAGGACACCAGTGCGCCTTGAAAGGAAACGCAAACCGGTACGATATCCCGTTGAAAAAAAACCGGGGCATTGTGTGACATTATCTGCACCAGGTGAAAACCCCTTCGGGGCTTCCCGGGCTGTCGCGATTCCCACTGATTCCCTAGAGCGAGATACCATCGTTTATCATGATCTGCATGGGATTGGATCTCAAAATGTGCCAAGCTTCCTTTCGAAAAAAAAACAAATACCATCCAAATAAATGATCTTAGTTGTGCGCTCTTTCAATCTCAGCAATGAATTTATAAGAAAAAATGAAGACCCCAAACTTTATCTGAGCGTTGGGAATGAGTTTGTGCTCGGGGTTCAAGCTCCTGTGGAATTGCATTCTTTCCGTCGCACAGCGCACTTAGTCCAGATACTGAGGTTGTTCATTATACTGGCCAAGGTCCGAACCCCGAACGACTAGTTTACTGCTCAGAATATAAAAGCATCTCCCTGAATGACAACAGATGCTCACCGTTCAACTCCCAGACCTTCAAATAAGCATGTGTTACCTCTTGAATATCGCGACTGAATATAGCTGTGGACATTGCATCGTATTTCGACGCGAACGGGTACATTTTTTCTCACCATTGACATTATTACTCTTCTCTGAGATTTCTTCAGATTGACTGCAATTCGACTACATGCGCGCTGAGTAATTCCCATAAATTGGATTGTGGCAAGTGCACCTCCACTTGTCGCCAGAGGTAAGATTCCAGCGTCATGCTTGCTAAAAGGGATTCTAACTGAGCCGCATAGTTTGATGCATGATCAAACATGGACTTCAGAGAAACAGCGACGTCCTTGCGAAAGTTGCCTTTCGAAGTAATCGGGCGGGTTACGAGTACACATGGTTTGCGGTAGAAGGAGCAGTGGAAGGAGCATTATTTTTGAAGTTTATTTGACTTGGTGCATTCATATAGGGCATCATGCCATTGAGATCGTTAAAAGGAAAGCCTGAAATAAGTTATAAGTCAGCACTGAGCGGCATAAAGTCGGGGGAGTGCAAGTTGTTGAAGAGTCAGTGTATATGTACTTTGGCCTGCATTTGGGAAATGACCAAGCATTAAATAAAACCGCGTGATCAGAGCTGCTTAGAATTTTACAATTTCAATTTGACATACTGCATAATGCATGAGGAAGGGTACTCCTCGAGCGCCTGGCACAGCTCCGAGCCATCCGACCCAATTTCACCCTCTTCATATCGTCGGCCATCGTTGACCTCACATGATGACTCTACTGAATCTACCGGACATGGACACCCATTGCACTCCGGATCTCCTCAGCCACGTATAAGTTCAGATTCTGGAGGAATTTCTTCAGGATCCAGATGGCGAGACACACCAACTGCTTTATCAGACTCACAGGAAATTCCACCTCCAACTCCCGAGCTTGTAGAAACAGCATTTGACGAGAACGTTCTGAGGGCTTTATGTGAGATGGACGTATGTTTTCTATGAGGTTTCAATTGGAACGCGCACTTATCTTGGCACGGAACTTTTAATTCACAGTGCGGAGTACCGTTGCTTCTCGATCGTATCAAGCAAAGTATGGTCTCTTGCAGGGCGAGTAGTTGACTTGTTCTTGAGATGCTCGCGTTACATCTTCAATGTTCTTTCAGGAGGCTTCAGTATTCTTCAAGAAGCGGGCTCTTATTGAAGAAGAATACGGCAAAACTTTACAGAAGTTAGCTCGCACGACTACCGAGTTATATTCGATGAATGACGGAAAGGCCGGGTAAGTACTCCTAGTTGTCATTTGTGAATGTATGACTCAGGGTATGTCCAGGAGTTTTGTCGCCGCTTGGCAGAATTCTATGAAAGTCCACGAAGTACTAAGCGAAAATCGAATCAGATTTTCCCAGCGTTTGAATGAGATGAGCGAAGAACTGGCTAATATAGCAAAAGAGGTCGATAAAAACAGGAAATCAGTTGTGTCTCTATCTCTTTTCACAAGATGTTGAAACGCTGATTACTTCTCATTGGTTAGACCAAAGAGCTTGCCACTCGATACGAACGCGCGCTTCAAGAATCCGAGACAGCTACCGAAAAATGCAAGAACCGCCTAGACGTCACCACTGAAGAGCTTGAACGATTACTTTTACAGAAAGAGGGTGAATCTTTCAAGGACAATACCGTTCAAGCAAGAGCCGGTACTACTGGTGGAAAACGCGTGATAGGCAAAGCCGTTGCCAAAGGCGGCTTACTTCTCAAAGGGAAAAACCCTGGAAATGCAAGTCCCTATTCCTCCCAGATGTTTTGCTATCCCGAGGTCTGAAAGTCACTATAGATTCAAAGACAAGAGGACGACATAAGGTCTCGTATGTCTGCTGCTTCCGATGCATTTCGGAAAGCTGTGATTGATACACAAGCAATGCGGCAAGAATACTTCAATTTCCAGCTACCACGTATCCTGCGGGTAAGATGAGTCGATTGAGCGCGGTAGATTTTTCTCATTATTATAGTAGGCATTGAAAGAATGTTCGGACGAAATTGATCTAGGCACTCAGTATCATCTCACACGATATGCTTTTCTTTTTGAAAGTATTCTCCTGAACGATGGCTCAACACTAGTTCCTCCGAAAGACGAAGGTCAGAAGGTCTACTATAGTGCAGGAGCTGAAGAAAAAACTCACACCTCTATATAAGGGGGCCATTCTGCTGGGCTGAAAACTGCAATAGAAGCCATCGATAATCGTGGCGACTTTAGAACGTATATGCAAAATTATGCCTACGCTCATTCAGTTTCTCCGAACAGAGGGCCACGGCGTGAAGGCCCTTCAGATGAAGGATTCGTAAGAAAACTTCAGTCGGTTTTCGCTTTATACTTATTGAGAATCTTGTAGTTGCCCCCGTTGAGTTCGCACAATTCAGATAAACCGCCGACTTCATCTACTTCGGCCACGCATGTTAATGGTTCCAACAGCCGTGACAAAATTCACCTTACATTCGGTATTGACCTGGGAGAACAGATGGCGAGGGATGACGTAGAAATACCTCTGATTATGAGGAAATGTTGCGAAGCTATCGAAAAATATGGACTGAATGCACAAGGCATCTACCGGCTCAGTGGCGCGACGAGCAAAGTTGCAAAATTGAAACAACTTCTCGATAAAGGTATGCTTACCTAGACCGCTTGAGACCAAAAGACTTACGCAAATTCCACCAGACCTGGAAGCTGTGAATCTAGATAATCATGAATGGTCCTCAGATATCAATAATGTCACCAGCGTGCTGAAAATGTGGCTTCGAGAACTTCCAGAGCCATTGATGACGTTCAGCTTGCAACAAGGATTCATTGAAGCTGCCAGTATGTGCACAGCTGGTTTTCCATGGATTCACTGATTCACGCTATCAGAAATTGAAAATGATCGTCTTCGCCACATCCGGCTTCATGAAAGAGTGAACGATCTACCTGATCCTAATTACGCCACCCTAAAATATCTCCTGGGACACTTGCACCGGTACAGTGCTTTCCATTCCATGTTGCACTTTGATGATAACTTTATCGCCTTACTAGGATCAATCAACACGCTTCCGAGAATTCAATGACGAACCAGAATTTAGCAATAGTCTTCGGGCCAACTCTTTTTGGACAATCAGCTCCCACTGCAGGCCCTTCGAGTAGCATTGCAGATGCTCCATATCAAAATCAGGTAAATCGAACCCGCGCGAAAACTAGCATCCTGTTCATTGTGTTCCATTCTAGGCAATAGAGACGATCCTCAACCACTATACTGATATCTTTGTCGACGATTCTGAATGATTCATTCGAACCCCGAACCCCCTTTGGTACCCATCACGAGTCATTACGCCCTAGTATTTTTGGACTTTATGTTGTTATCTTTAGCAGTTATTGGGCTTCTGTAATATCTATGTTTAGCTGTAGGATCAGCTCTAATACGCACAAGCTGATGAGCCATATAATAGAACTTGTCTCTTGGAGGATCAGTCAATTGCCTCGCCAAGAAATGGATTTATGTGACGGACAGGTGACGCTGGAGCATTAAGTAGATCCTTCGTTCCCAAGTGTCAAAGCAATATGCTAACAAAATTCGTCGATAACTCCCCGGAATAAATAACATGCGTTTTCAAACCTTTCCTGTTATTTTGACTGATTCCGAGCCGTAACTAGCCAGTATTCCAGAAGATTCATGAGCATAATTTTTTACATACTGTAATCCTTTACAATTGTTTTCGACAAGGGGCGGGAGAAGTCAAAGTTATTATCGGGGAATCACAAACACAAGACGGAAGCGTAGCAGTTAGACCATAATAAAACCCTCGAACATTTCCTTTGCTCCTGATGTTCATATGTCAGTAGGTATCCACATCCTGTCAAACCGATGAAACCACTCTCTGTGAGAAGGGAATGTTATCCTCTTTAATGATGGGCATGCGCGATGCCATTCATCGCAAAGGTTTAACTCTTGTTCAACATCCCCACCCGCAACCGAAGTGGGGGACAAGTCTAGATGAACAAGTAAACGGAATGTCCTCAGAACGGACGACAAGCCAGTCAAAAGCCGCTGTTTTATTACGATGTACAACGTCAGAATTTATGATCAAGAACGATGCGGAGCCCACTTACTATGCCAGTGAGAGCGTAATGTAGGGTATGGCGCAATGCAAGCCGCACCTTCAGCACCTCAATGGAGGGAAGGTGCGTAGCTAGGTTCCGGAGAAGAATTGGCCTCACTGACATTCCAGACAGATCTAAAACTCGAAGAGGGACCGTGGTTTTTGCAAACCGCGTTAGAATCTCCTGATTCACATCGTAGTCATCGCCGATGAGCGAAAGATATTGAATGGGCCTACCCGGAAGAAGCGACGCTGATGCAGCGGGTGAACCGCGGAAAGATGATAGAATAGGAAGTGCGACAGAAGGCAGACTCAAAGCCGCATGATGGTCATGCAGCTTCAAGTGCCGTAAAGACTGTAGTGAGCCGAGGAAATTATCCAGGGTGCCAGAGTAAGGTGGTAAACCTTTTGCCCACTCTGCGCCCAGAGAACAACTGGTGAGTTGTCGGAAATGGGAGCCAAGGATCATTCGCTCGATGATATGGGGTATTGAAGGGTGAACACCTCGATTTGCTGGTCCTAGCCAGAGTTCAAGTGATTCGAGTGAGGAAAGGATGCCGCTACGAAGGACCTGCTCGAGTTTTTCGAGCGCTGTTGTAAAATCGAAGTCGCAAGGTGAGGAAGGATCGACATCGATATGCCATCGAATGTGAAATCCACGAATGCTCTTGCCCAAATGTTGGCGCTGAATGATAGATTGGCAACACCTTTCTGTGCGCCATGGGCAGGAAGAAGACGATGAGAGAACGTCCTTAATTGATATAGAAGAATATAGAATGTGTTCTGATACGGCGTTGAAACCACGGGAGACGGACGTAAGAATTACGAGGTTGGGGGTAGAGAGGTTGTTGAATATCTCAAAAAGCACCTCGTTGGGTACCGAAATTTCCAGAGGGACGGTTGTACTATAATGATAATGCGAAAGCATGTCGCGAAGCGTATACGCCGTTGCTCAAGAGGTGGGAGAAGCGAACTTACGGTGTTTAACTTGACCCGAAATTATCTCTGGATATATCAATCGGATAAAGCCCGGATAAACGTAGAAGGCGTTTTGTCGGTATCGAGTGAGATATAACTTTGGGGTGCCTTGGTACTGTATAACTTGAAGCTACCAAACGCCTTCAGCGCATCAAAGTTGATGTGAATATGTGTGTATATTAGCAAAAGATCAATGGTCTTAGGTCGGATTATTTCGGGGGACAAATGTCAATCCTATTGAGAATCAAGGGGACACATATCTGGAAGGACGGAGAGGTGTATGTAGAGCTGGGCAAGGCTGGGCAACAGAACTTCGGGGAAGCATCTAATGTGATGAATGCCCTCAAATGCCGTTTGTTCGTAGTTCCTCTTAGCGAGTTCATTCGGGACCACTAGGGACATTGAGTGGCAGCAATATTTAGCCAAAAAAAACCCAAGGACCAAGGGATGAGTGTGTAAATGAGAATAGAATATAAAGCGGATAAATTACAGTAAAAGTACACCGTGAACGTAAGATACAACAGCTTGAACAAATCCTATGCACCAAAACCATACAGTGTACGCCCTGACCGCTTAAGAGCATAAACCACATCGAGAGCGGTGACCGTCTTCCGTTTCGCGTGTTCGGTATATGTTACGGAGTCTCGAATGACCTAAGAGGATAGCTGGATGAGGAAGACGGAAAACACAAAAATGAACAAGACACACATTTTCGAGGAAGATCTTGAGAACACCACGAGTCTCTTCGTAGATAAGACCAGAGATACGTTTAACACCTCCACGACGCGCAAGACGACGAATAGCGGGCTTTGTTATACCTGCACAACGGCAAATGCAATGAGACAATTGTCATAATGGGACGAGGAAGCAGACATACCCTGAATGTTGTCACGTAGAATTTTACGGTGACGTTTGGCTCCTCCCTTTCCGAGGCCCTGGTAGTTTTCAACGATGAGCGAAGGTTCAAGTCGAGTTTCCCGTAACGCCTCACCTTTCCACCTTTGCCACGACCAGACATTGTGAAGTATTGAGATTTGAAGAAAGAAGGTCGAGTGACAGATCAAGTAACGGCGATTATGGTAGCAGCGGAAGAGGATCCGAAATAACTTATATAGATCCGCCAGGTGGCTGTGCTTACATAAATTTGTTGAACGGTCTCAACGCGCTCTCGATCACGTGCAATACAGCGCGTCGCGTTTGTATAAATAAAGGGAGTTTGAAACTCCGAATTATCTTCAACTTTTTCGACCACAACCGTCACTACCACATCACCACACCACATTAAAGTTATCCCCCCTCAAATCGCCATGGCCCGTACCAAACAGACTGCTCGTAAATCTACTGGAGGTGAGCAACTTAACTCGGTGTCCTTCTCTTATCGCCTTTCTAACTATCGGTTTTCCAGGAAAGGCACCTCGTAAACAATTGGCTGCCAAGTCTTCTGCACGAAAGACTGCTGTCGGTACTATTTGGCTTTTTCTTTTCATTCTTTCTCAACCTGTTCCTCTGTAGACTGCAGCTGGTGGTGTAAAGAAGCCTCATCGATTCAGGCCTGGAACTGTCGCTCTTCGTGAAATTAGACGTTACCAAAAATCCACCGAGCTGCTTATCCGCAAGCTTCCTTTCCAAAGACTTGTTCGTGAAATCGCTCAGGATTTCAAGGTGCGTGAAATGTTTTTCTTTACCTTTTCCCTTTTCTCATTATGCTCCAGACCGATCTTCGTTTCCAATCTTCAGCAGTCATGGCTCTTCAGGAGGCCGCCGAGGCTTACCTTGTCTCGCTGTTCGAAGACACCAATCTTGCTGCTATCCACGCTAAGCGTGTTACCATCCAGCCCAAGGATCTTGCTTTGGCCCGTAGATTGAGGGGCGAGCGCTCATAATGGGTTATCTCGTGTCATGTTTGTTCTATCATTATTCTCATGTATCCTGTACTTTACTATCCTCAACTTCTATCTTTGTACTTGGGTAATACCACTCGATTTGTCGCGTTATTTCTTAAATGTGACCGCGGCCGGAGGTGTCTCTGCGTACAGCTTCTATCTGCTTTCCGATCTGAGTAACAGGTTGCCATCTCCAAGCTGTTCCAAAATGTATGTCTATGACTTTCGTTGAGACCTTTGTAATTGGTGTGCTTTCCGCAGCCACCATCCGGGAATACTAGCCATAGCGGGTCATACCCATTCGGATTACTGCGCTTTGCTGATGCAGCAAGGTACTCAAATTCTCTCTAATCGTCCTGATACATGAAATGAAGCACAATAGAAATTCGAATAAACCCTTAATGACGATGGCTGGCTGCTGCAATAGACAGCGCTTTCGAGAGAAAACAAAAGACAGAATTCGGGATCGAAGAACACTGCACAAGCCGGGACCTAACCGGACAACGCCAAGAATTAGGTAATGCAATCATTTAGTTACTGCGCAGTTGCCGATGGTCTTTATTTTTCCACCCTTCTACATATACCTCATTGTCCTCTCGCTGGACGAGCATAGCCCGCTCATCCCTTTCCTTATTTCCCTATAACACGCCCATTTAACCTTCATCGCTATCCTTCGTCCATTTCTATATTCCCACACAATGGTTCCGTTCTCATCACTATCTCCCCTGGCACTGCTGGTCTCGCTGTCGGCTAATGTTGTTTATGCTGCTCCACGTTCCTCTCCATTGTCGTTATCGATGAACCTCAGAAGAAGAGCTCCAGAAGCTCGGTCTGCTGATGAAATTGGTTCTTGGGCCCAGGCGCACAAGGCTAATGTGGAGACAAAGTATGGAAACCCGTCCTCGAAAGCAAAGCGAAGTTCTGGTCAAAATTTGTTCGTATTCCTCTTACTTTCTTCTTTTACAGCGTTACTCATGACTAATTGTGTAGGATTGTCAACCAAAAAGCAGACTCCAGGTTAGTGGCTCCAAAGCTTATTTCGCCGTAGTTTCTAACACTCATCCTTTAGCTTCTTCGGTTCTGTGGCTGTTGGTACACCGCCAGTGGCGTATGATGTTATCCTGGATACTGGTTCTGCGTGCGTAGTTGTACCCTCGATGATCTTCATACGCCCTATCTTCTAACCTTTCTACTACAGTGACCTGTGGTTAGCAAGTTCGACCTGCACAGAATCAGCATGTGAAGGAATTCCTACGTTCAAGTCCTCCTCTTCCTCTAGTTTCCAGAACAAATCGACGGAATTCTCTATTACCTACGGTAGTGGCGATGCTGCCGGTACTCTCGGTGAAGATATTGTTCAAATGGCTGGGTTTTCTGTGTCAAATCAAGTATTCGGTGTTTGCGACCAAGTCTCGGATGGTCTGTTGAACAGCCCTGTGTCTGGCTTGCTTGGTCTCGCCTTTCAGACCATTGCTTCCTCTGGGGCATCACCTCTCTGGGAGACACTGGCATCAAGCGGTGCATGGGATCAGCCGCTCATGGCATTTCAACTGACAAGGTACCGTCTGTTTTTGATTTTTCTGTTCATATCATGTCTGACTTGATGTCTCTATAACTAGATTTAATAACGACTCCAAGGCGACCGACCTTGAGCCTGGAGGGACATTCACTATGGGTTGGTCATTTTGGATCGTCCACGCGAGCTGTACTGATTAACTAACATTATAGGTGCTACTAATACCAGTCTTTACACTGGCGACATTGATTACAATGACATTCCCGATAATGAAGAATCTTACTGGCTGCAAACTGTCTCTTGTCAGTTGATTATCACGTTCTGTATTTGATTTTCAGATTCTAACTGTCCGTCCGCTGTTAGCCATAACGTCCCAAGGAAGCGCAATCACCATCTCCTCTGGATCATCTGCTCTTGCCGCAATCGACACTGGTACTACTCTTATAGGTGGCCCTGCAGATGCTGTCGCCGAAATCTATAGCAACATTCCCAATGCTGAAGCAGGAACCGGCCAGCTCGAGGGTTACTACATCTATCGTGAATACTGTTTCTCTCCTTTTACGTTTGTCCTGTAAACAAATGAACCTTTTTAGCTTGCTCGACAACCGTCAACGTTACGATGGCATTTGGTGGAAAAAGCTGGGCTATCAGCAATGCAGATTTCCAAGCCGAGCAATTGAATGAAGATACCTGTATGGGGGCCTTTTTTTCTCTGACGACCGGTAACAATGCACCTGCCTGGATTGTTGGTGATACTTTCCTGGTCCGTGATTCCTATCTGTTTTCTTGAACGAACTCACACTGAGATTTGCCATTTTATAATAGAAAAACGTCTACTCTGTTTTCCGATACAACCCAGCCTCTGTTGGATTTGCTACATTATCTGCTGAAGCACTAGCTATGAACGGTGTCAACGCTGCGGTCCCAAGTGCCACGATTGGTTCCGCTGCCGCTACTATATCTGCCACTGCCACTGCTGGAACGCGAGACGCCAACGGTGCATCAATCATTCAATCATTACTCTCAGGTCCTGCTCTATCACTACTTGTTATTGCTATGACGATGGTTTTTCCCTCGATATGCATATAGTCTAACCATGGGAGAGGAGGTCGTAGTTTAGCTGCGATTTAGATGCGCAGTTGATTTCACAGCTATCTGCACCTCTTCGTACGCTGGGCAGTGGGCCCGGTTTTTTGTACCATAGAGTAGTGATTTGGGACTTGCATCATTGGACAATTTTAGCTATCATAGCAATATTTGCATGTGTATTATACTAATAATATACATTCACGGTTCTCTACCGTGATGGTAACTCATAGGGATTGCTCTCTTTGAAGTTCCAACAATTAGACCAGATAGGCCAGAGACAGGCCTCAGTTGCCTCTTGAATAGCTGGAGGGCTGTTCACTGACACCTTTCAGTTTCCAAAGCGTCAACATCCGAAACTACTGGCTCAAGTCTAAAAACGAATGATTTTAGTGCGTCGTCTCAAAAATTCGTTTACCGTTAAATTGTCATGCTCAAAGGTAATTAACTGTCCATCCAGATGAAGCTCGGGTCGCCAGACAATGTGAGTGCTGTACACTCCAATCGGATACACGACTTCTCCTTCTCGCCCGGCCCAATCATAGTCAATGAGCTGACATTGCCATCTATCCTGTTTTCGACGCACAAACACATTCGTGTCACGCAAATCACCATGAACAAAACCCATTTTGTGAAACTTCGACACAGACTCTGTAATCGCATCCTTGCAAGACGGCTCGAGGATGTCAAAATCGTCGCATGGTTGAAAGTCACTTTCCAAGTTCTCCATCACTACCATCCACCAGCCACCAGCAAGATTGGAATGGCTCAGCAGAGCTGGGGCAAAGCCAGATTCAGCTGCTGCCTGGTGCGCCTCAACTCCGTAAGGCCCGTATCCAAATTTGACGATGATATCTTGATCACCCTCAGTACGAGCGGTGAATACGAGGCGGATCTGGCTGACTCGCTCGATGTAGGTGAACTTGACTGTGGTTCCGGAAGACCGGTATGAGCGAGGATAAGGGAAACTTGCTTGATCAGATTCAATAGCGTATTCGTTTGGCTTTTCGTAAACTTTGACAAGAGAGCGGAAGAGATTCCGGAGGGCTGTCATAAATCTGAGAAGATTTTCCATAGAACGGGTATCGTACTCGCTGAAGTAGAGCGGCAGGGAAGGTGAGAGCACTTCGACGTATTGATCAGTTAGATAGACAGCACCTAGAGCCTGAACATTGGGGCCTGTGACATGCTGGAATCAGACAAACCAAAAGCAAAGGTTCGGTTCGTGACATACCGTTATGAATGACGAGGACAGAGGGAATCCTTGTCTTTCGCCAATCACCTTTGTATTTATCGTTTGAAAGGATGTGCCTGACACCTTCCTGATCATAAAGTACGATCTCGAAGACAGCGTCACACGATCCTTGGGTGAATTCTATCTTGACCTCCACAAGCAAGGGCTTAACCAACAGGTCTGGTAAATCTGAATCCTTCGGATCAATGCCTCCGTCGGTTTCGAACGAGTCGATTCGTTTCTTCACCACCTTGTAACCGTCAAGTAAATCAGATAGCAGCTCGTGAAACTTGGACTCTCGCTTATTCTCGTCCTCAAAGAAGCCTGAAAGTTCCTTCGACCACCTGTAAGCGAGGGGTGACAATTCTTGATCAAGAGCGCCGGAAACAATATCTTCTTTGAATTGAGCAAATTCGGCATGGAAGAGGGAAATAGGGACGTGATAGAAGTCGTCCTGCTTGGGCCTCCCAATAGCGATGGGATTGGATTTGTGGTCGTTGATGAAAGTAGAGGCGGTTGCACCCTTGGAAGGAGCCTTCTGAGGACGTTGAAAGATGTTCTTCACCCGCAAATCGGTCAACTTGTCCCGTGCCTCATTCAGCTGTGCGTATTGAGAACGGGGAACGATAAAAACGGATATAGAGACGGGATCTATGGGCGGAACAGGGGCAGGAAGGGGGCCAGACACCCAGACACGCCAATATCCGGTCTTGTATTCGACAGGCGGGCATTCTGCGACACGATCCCAGAGAGTTTCGTCAGGGGCATAAATAATCGGAATTTCAGGGACCTATGCAGAGATATGAATTTATGGAAAGTTGTTTTTGAGCAACGCACTAGAAGAACCCATTTGCGATGGATTTGGGGTCGCTGTTTTCGAATGGGAGTTATGAAGGAAGTGAAATTATCTCCTGGACCTCCATAGTCGAACATCGGATCATCAGGGTCTTCCACTAGTTTATTGTCTTCAATATTTGCAAACATATAATTGAGCTCTTTGCTGGCGGCAGCTGTGGCGGTCATGGTGGTGCGAGGGTGAGAATGGGGCCAGGCAGTCACGCGACTCGGGAAAGGAGAACTTGTTCTTTACATAGGTACAGTGACAAAAGTAAATATTCATATGACCAGGATATTAATATGCTTATGATATCCTCATCCCTCGACAAACTTCTCAGTGGCAGAGATGTCTCTACATTCTCAAATTGTATGCTTCACTTTTTTCTGTTCATGAATGGGGGCAATGATCAACTCTTAATTGTATGTGGTTCCTATTCCCACTTCCCCCCTCCCACCTCCCCCTGCTGCATTTCCTGCAATTTTGAGTTACACTCTTGGAGGTAAAGGAAGACTATTCACAAGCGCCAATGAACAAAGTTCAAAAAGGGACTTGGGAGGTTTGTTAATCCCTCAGAAATAGTCGCAACGAGCAAATGGGCCGAGAAGGAAGCCATGTCGTGACACCTTTGCGATATGGAATGAAAATTAAAGATTGCGAGAAACCTAGCCAAGCAAGGTGACAAAACAGATTGTATGTCACCTTGCTTGCAAGGTCTATTCCACTCGGTATTTGACCACTTGATGTGCAGGCACATATTTGCTATGTTTGATTTCAACGCTGTCAGCCAAATCACTTCAATCATCTTGCTTATAATTGGACACCCTCACCTCGCGGCGCGCCCTACGCGCGCCGCATTTTTGATCTCAAGCAAGGTGTGCAGCCACAACAGTGGGGCCTAGTAGTAACTGCACGAACATACTGGCCATGAAGGTGAGAATGTAAGTATCACCGCCTTAACAACGGTCCTCACCTGCGGATTTACGATCATCAACCTGATAAAGATGAGATTGGACGACGCGAGCATAGTAGTTCAAGTATAATATAGAAATTGCGCTCACCAGTCCGTAACATAGGCGTACTCCAGGCCTTGTAAGCTACGGGCACATCATGAAGCTCCGTGCCACAATGAGGAAGATAATACATCCGCCCGAACGGAAGAATACGCACGAGATTCAGAAACAATGTAGAGCCTGCTGTGTGTATCACCATTACTATCAGAACTAGCTACAAACCAAGAGAACAAGATGGGGAAGAACAGGGGAAGAATGTACATATTCGTCCGAACGGAAAGATACGCACAAGTTTCAGAGAAGGTGTAGAGCTTTTCGCGCGCCATTCTTACAAACTGGGGCCGCGGAAGACTGAAAGACTCTGTGATTTCCAAGCAGGCACTTATAGCATTCTGCTATGGGAAGTTCATGAGAAGGAAAAGAATGAATCGAAGAGACAGGAGCTGGAGACGTTTGGTACAAAGTACAAAGGAAGACGTTGCAAGTTCATACTCCGTTTGGAAAACATACGGAAAGATGGGGAATAAATTTTACTTGGTTCTTTCAGCAATCTGATGACAGCATTAGACTAGGTCAATTACTGGATGAGATAGTTACTACAACAAAATATAATGAGCGGTGATTATCAGGCTACAGAACCATTGCAAAAGACACAAGACACTGACGGACATTTTTCTACTTCCGAGCTTTCACAAGATTGCCCGGGTGTGACTCCACACCGAAGGACCGTAGTAGAAATACAAGGCCCCAAATGCAGCACCACCCAGATGAGCCCAATGATCCAGCATTCGCCATCCGCGATATATACCAATCATGTCCAAGGTCAAGATACCCAAGGCGGCGGTCTGAATACCTATTGGGGTAACGGGCGGGAAAATCAATGAGACTTGTGAGTCTGGATAGGCTAGCGCTACCAGGGTCACGCAAGAATATACAGCCCCGGAAGCTCCTAGACTTCCTGGAATTGTTACCGCAGAAGCTGAGGCAACTGAGGCAGTAGTAGCAGATTTCCCTACTGTTGAAGAAGCGGCAGCGACCGCAGATGCCCAAGTGTCAGTCGCTGGGGTCCTGCTAGCTGGGGAGGAGAGCTGCGCGATTAATTTCGGATATCGGATTCGAGCGTTTGCGACGTGGGATACGAGGCTGGCAAATATACCCGCTGAGAGTACATCAGGAGAGTAGTACATCCGAGCGAAATCGAGACTTGCCAGATACGTAAAACGATAGGAAATGATAAGAACTAGTTGATTCTAGTTGACCTGGGACATTTTTGTCCTGTGCTTGTCTAAGGTAAGTGGTGGCGGCGGATCCTGCAAAACATTATCAGCGGAAACGTTCCTTATGACTGACTGCGAGACCAGACCAAATCCTTCCAAGGCGAGGCAATTGAATGCGAGATGAAGGAGACTAGAATGACTAAGAAATTCATCATTCAGTAGTAGGTTCAACCATGAGAATGCAAAAATCAAAAACCTGAATGTACTCGATAACAGAGTGTAAGTAAGACCAGATAGCGGCTGATGTACAAAGGCGCGATTCATCATCGGCTGAAGTCTCTGGAACTGCCACATAAGCCATATACCTGTGTTCAGCAGGCAGATCTTCCAGCACAGACGGCGACCCTCCGACGCGTCTGCGTAGGGTTGTAGCAGAGCGACGTAGGCCGCATTTAGATAGGGTCGGATGAGCTGTGGAATTTCAGCTGCTTGAGTGTTCAGGTATTTGTAAGTGGAGCGTAGGCCCTGTAATTTGGTCAAAGAAAACATATAAATTGATTGATATCTACTGACCTTGACCAATTCCATTTGCTGAAACCTTCTGAGATCCACATTTGCTATGCTTTGGGCTTGCCATACGCTTGATTGAGACTTCAATTTTTCGAGAACTATAGCTGTTTCAATGTTTGTGGCCCATGCTGAGTATAGGAGGATGGAAGAAGATCCGAAGAGGAAGAACTATTGCAATTATTAGTTCGTATCGAGAAATAAAGTGAACTCACACTTACCAACACCTGGTTTCGGATGGATGGTCGAACAGAATTCGCGAAAGTTTCGGTTGTTTGTTTACCAGGACTTGCATGCAGTTGGCTGAAGTTCTTTGTAGACAGAAGGTGTTTTGAGTACGAGAAATTTCGAGTCAGCGGACGGTAGAGAAAACCATTCCTTCGTAAATTTCTGGTACAAAGTCGAAGCATCAGCTCAAAGGAATTCTGGTCCTAACCCTATTATAACCCTAGTTTCCCGCTCGCTCTTGACCTGCTCTTGACAGTCACATTTCCTCGCTGTATGATATTCTTCATGATGGCCTCATTAGAGCAAATAAAGAAAGGGTTATGCTATTTACCGAAAGATTCTGAACAGGTTGTTGATGCAGACGAAGAGGTACACTCATATACCGAAGGCGCATTGATTATGATTTTAATCTTGCTGCTTAACTGTAATAAGGTCTTCATTCTCTACACCGATCTCCAAGTGCAAGATCACCAGTCTCCTACTAGCGCAATGGCCTCATTCCGTGGCTTGGGCCACGTCGATTCTCATCAAGACATTCTTACGGTTAAATATCTACTGACAAACCCTGTAGCGAATGTTTCTGCTGCTTCCGAGTCAGCCTCGTCTTCGGAACTACCACTGCCAGCAAGATCAAAACGTTCAAGAAGAGCTCGGAAGAAGCGGATTGCTTGTGCGCCGGATTTAATTGAGCTGGAGATGCAGATCATTCAGGACAAAACTGCTTTACACAGCCGCAAAGGAGACACTGGGAGCGTCGTGTGGAAAGCCAGGTATCAATGTTCTATTTTTGCATGCTTTTAGTGAACTGACCTAAATCGTTACATTTTATCCAGTGTGGATCTGGCGTTCAGCATCCTACAACATGAGCGCTTTCCATCGACTCTTCATCCATTCTTGGATCTCACACAATTGAAAAACGCACATCTATTAGAGTTGGGGTATCCATAGCTCATTTATCGTTCACGGTCTTCCGCTCTAACATGCCACCTTCAGGTCCGGCACAGGAATACTTTGTGTTGCACTTTCACCGTTCGTGCGCAACTACACATGCACAGATTTACCTGATCTACTGCCTCTCATCCACAAGAATCTCGTATTAAACTTTCCCGAATGGCCTCAAGACTCTAATATATCTTTGACACCCTTAGATTGGGTGGAACTGCAAAATACTTCTCCGAGCAACCGTTCGCGAGTTTTCAATTTTAATCCTGTCGATCTGATCCTGGTTGTTGACTGTATATACCATCCTTCTCTAATACCTCCTCTTCTGGCGACAATCGACTACATTGCTATCCCAAATGTCACTACGGTGCTAGTCGTAGTTGAGCTCCGAGCTGAGGATGTCATCCGGGACTTCTTGTCTTGTTGGTTGAATGTCCCCGCATGGGAGATTTGGAGGATAGGAAAGGGTGGGGATGCGATAATGAAGAGACCGTATGCTATGTGGGTTGGAATGAAGCATACTGGTCGATGATTGAATAGGTTGACACGCAATACGTTAAAAAGAATTCGAAATTTCAAAAGGCTACATGATGAGATATCGCTACACAGAGACATGGAAAAACATCTTTCAGAAATGTTGAAATGAATGGATATATTAGCCATGAAGTTGAGGCTCAGAGCTTTCGGAATTGGTGACGGTCCACGCTTCAACATCAGGAGATACCTGTTGCCACTCTTCGAGAGCCTAAGCGACCGATGGTAAACGTCTAGGACACCGGACGTAGGTATCATTTCCCACCTTATGCACCTGTTTAAATAGTAACGCAGCACGTTCATCGGCGCGGTCTGCAGTGTCAACATTTGCTCTAATCTCGACTTCAGTTTCAGCATTTGTGGCTTCCAACTAAGCCCAGTGCATGAGTCGAGTTCCGCATAGTGAAAATGTTTTCAAAACTCACTGCAGCTAATGAATCTCGTAACCTCTTCGCCTCTTGTTCCAACACTGGAACCGTTCTCGAGGCTATCGCACTACGTGCATCAAGATCCTCTCTCCAAATATCTTTGCCAGGAGAGACGCCAGCCTTTTTGCGTTCTTTCGCTTCTGTCACAATGGTGTGTAATGTGTCAATATTTTCGCGAAGGTTGTATGTTTCGAATATCTTTTCCAAGTCTCGCTATTAGGTATACGGGACTAGGTGAGCTGAAACGTGAGGGACTAGCAGAGATTATACCAAGGCTTGTGTCTCTATATAGTCAGATATCGTGTTAAACGTCGTAGAGGCCCCGTTCAGGTCTTCTTCGGCATATAGAGGAAAGCATTGCGTGAAATCTTCATATCTGGAAGGATGAGAAACAATTTTGGCGGTTTGAAGCAGCGAGCTTACGACCACTTCCGAGCAGATTTTTGGACTGCAAGTTGTAGCGCTGACTGGAAGTGCTCCCACCGACGACTACCACTTTGATTGAACATTGTTGAAAGTTGAGGTTGAAATAAAGTCACGGTCGCCGGCCCGGGTCTCTGGTCTGCTGTTGCTTTATTCAGATTACTGTCGCTGTTCTTTCAACACTGCTCTTGAGGTTATTCAGTATGGATAATCCTACTCGAGAGGAAGAGTCAGGTCTCTTCGGGAGAACCCCTCAACAACGAGGACCTTTACCGTCAATCCTCTTCGTCATGTTAATGTTGCTATTGTTCACCAGTCATAATGGCGAAGAGTTTCTTGCAAGGCACCAATATCAAGAGGCTCTCCGGAAATTGACCTACCAGAAGTCGAATTTCACAGCGTGGATGGATGGTGATACAGCGAACTTCAGTCTTGTGAGTGTAGATCTAGTATCTATGCCTTCATGTATCATCGTGTTCTGAACATTCAGTCAGCCAGAGCAGAATGTTTCCGTCCTACCGTTGCTTGAAACTTTCCTTCCTTCTAATGGTTCTATGGACCCTATATATTCATCCTATTACCAGAATATCACTGGTTTCATCCATGGTGACCTTCATCTCTACAACATAACACCACCTTACCTAGCGAATTCTACCGAATCATATCCTTCAAAGCATATAATCCAGGACTACATGAAAGATGGCAATGAGAACATGACTGAAATCCTGGAAAAGCTGGGGGTGTGGAATTGGTCGGCACCGCAGAAAGTGGCCTTTAGTGTCGTTGAAAAGATACCTCTGCTGTCTGCTAACTCGAGCGCCAATGTGACTGAAAATATTGCCCTGATACATGTAAGTTTCGGTTTGTCTTTGAATCTGAATTTATCACGAACCACGATACGGTAATAGGGAAGAATTGAGTTCTCAGATGCAAGTATAGGGGAAGATTTACGACTGGAATTTGAGGGTGTTCATTTTTTGAAGAATGGGACAATCTATGGTTTGGCAGAACCTCCCAAGTGAGTACATGCTCTATTTCGTTATAACAAAAATTCATGTTGCTACATCGCAGCCGGGCTGTCGATATCCGTCTTCTTCCATCAATTGTACCCGAAGACACGAAGAGTGAGATTGCTCTATTGATTGAACCGGAACTTTCTTCTCGAATTGATAAACTCAAGAATTTGATCGATGCGGGTATTATCGAGGATTCCTTAGAAGGTCCGGAATTTCATGTTCCTTGCCTTGCCAATTCTCATCCTCGACTGCAGATTTACCTCCGAAGACAGCCTGTCCGTTCAATCTATATGCTCAGATCGATTCTGTGGATGTGCCGGCGTATTTGATAGAAGCACACGAAGAAGAAATACAGCGACCAACTGGTATCCGCACCAATTTGCCTACGAGACTTACCATGAAATCTATCCTCATCAGCAAGGAATGCGGGGTGTTGTATGAAATCTCGAACATGGAAGGGCTACGCTCCAGGACCTTCTTTCGCAAGGTCACAACTTGTAAGACATCTCCATCGAAGCGGTGTACACGCCCTCAGAGGTCATTTTATAGACGCCGGAACCGCAGCGGTAACTTATCTTACAATCCTGATACTCTTATCCCGCCAGATGGCACGGAGTTCCACGCCCTCCGGGATTTCTCGAGTATCTCGATATACATTTCTTGTACAATCAACCATTGATTCGGTTTCCTTCGCTGGACATGTAACTTTTGCAGTCCTTGCTGAAGGTCGGCCCTCGCTTTCTCTTATCGCCCCATCTTTCCTAGCATGTGTTATCTTTCTCTACGAGGCTGTCAGTATCCTCTTCAGTCAAATTCCCTTCTCATTCTTAAGGCTACTTTTTCTTTTTCACCAGCAATTTTCGATGAACATACACCAGATACAATTACCCGAAGACGCACCACCTCCGCGGCCTCCCGTTCCTGTACCTGCAGTTCCCGTCACGGCGCCTTCTTCTGTGCCTGGAACTGCACCTCAAGTCGTTCCTACTCCATCTTTGCTCAATACAGATCTCCCTACCGACCCTCCAAATGCACCACCAGCGCCAATTGATAATGCTCCCGCACCTACCGCTGCTACTCAACCTGCGACACTTACGCCGGCCCCTCCTCAGAATGTCACTTTTTGGACTTTCTTTTGGCAACAGGTCCGTACCGATCCTCAAGCAAGACTATGTGAGAGTTACTGTCCCATCCGAACGAACCATAAGACTCATGCTTTCCAGATGTCATACTCTTCGTCTTCCTCTCGACCATTGTTCGTATAATCCTATCGCCAACACTCACTCTCCTTTTTGTGGCGATCACCTATTCGTGCATCTGGTTGCCTCAAATTTGGAGATCGATGAGACGAGGAAGAAGCAGTGGATTGTCAATGGAATATCTTGTCGGCATCACAATCTGTCGGCTATATTTAATGTTATGTGAGTTGTAGAACTTGGTGGTCGTTTATGATCAATGATGAAATCTGCGTAGATTTCTTGGCCTGTCCAAGAAATGTGCTGGACGTTGAACCCCGATGTGCGTTGCATCTTCCGTTCCCTGGTCACTCTACAGCCCAATAACGTTATGTGACATAGACTGGTCTTATAACCTTGCCGCATTTGTTTGCTTACAAGCTATGGTACTGATGCTTCAAGAATATTTTGGACCTACGTTTTTATTACCAAAAAGGGTACGAATTCCTAGAGATCCTTTGGCCTACAAAGGCTGATATGTTATGTCTAGTTCTCGACAATCAACACTTACAACTACCATCCTCCCCTACCTCTACCCGATGAGGAGTCACCGGAGAAAAGTCTCGGAGACTGTGCAATTTGTATGGATGCGATCATTGTCGATCCCTCACTTCGCCAAACCCATGATACTTCTGCGTCCTCGGGCAACTGGGATGCCAAGGCCTCCGGGGCGGATGGAAGGAGAATAACCTCCAATATTCGCGCGGGCGGAGGAGCCATTGACCCTACTGGGCTTCTAGATGCGTTTCAGAGAGGCGTCGGAAGCGCTGTTACCAGAAAGAGTTACAGTTTGGCTCCGTGTCACCACCTATTCGTGAGTTTCTGTCGGTCGAACTTGGGAGATAGTGGGTGATACATCTATTCGCAGCATACTGAATGTCTTGAACGCGTAAGTCTCTCATTGTTTTCGGACTATACATACTAACTGCTGTGTATCAAACGATTCCAGTGGCTAGCTATTAAGGTCCGTTGTATCTGCGCTTGCGATTGTATCTCAAGTATATTGATTATCCGTACAGAATATCTGTCCTCAATGTCGACGACCTCTCCCACCACTGTGATCACTTTCACAACCCCATCTCATTGTATGCGAAGACTCAGCCCATCTGTACTATGTATATACTTACATTAATCTGCACGCATGTATTATTCGAAAGTTCATTACTCAGTCATGTCCGGACCGATCCTCCGGTTTCCATCTTCTTCACGTCCACCAGAGTGTCGAAATTAGAGTGTCGTGGTTCTGCATGGACTCTTTTCCCTCATCCAGTGCTGGAACTAGCTCATCGCTAGATAATTCTCAAAGATCCTCTGCTTCTTCTGTGCTCTGGGCTCATTTGTTACGGAAAGACGTCCTGTCCAGTCCGACGAAGACCGATCTCCCTCTGCCTCCTCTTGCTCCTGTCGACAAATCTGCAACGTCGACTCGTATTCTCTTGTTGGATACACAAGCACATCTGCAAAAGTTTGGACAAGTCGTGGATGATCTAACTTCGAAAGTGGACAACGCGAAACATGAAATCGTGACGGTAAAGACACTATTCCAACAGGACCGGGAGGTTTTTATGAACGATATCGTCGATAGATGTGCGTATTCCTACTCCTGAAGCTCCTATATGCGTCAAGATTTCTGATTCCAAGGTCGTGGCTCGCAGTGAACAGAAACCAGTCAGAAATCCAAAAGAGCATGGGTAAACCAGCTCAAACCAGTGGGCTGGAAGATGTTCAGAAGATACTCGAACTTCGACTGCAAAATATGGATCAGCGTCTGGATTCACTACAGATGGTAAATTTGGCTCGATTGCGTGTGTTCTTCTAACTCAAGCTCGTATAGCTTCACCAGACGTATTCTCAGACACTACAGATTCAGACTCAGGCTCTCCAATCATTACAAGATCAACAGAGCACTATCATAAGTGCTCTCGTTCCTTTGCTTCCTCTTTTGCAGACTATCCCTCCGCAGATTGAATCCGCACGAGCCAATCTGAGCGAGTCATTATTGAAACTTCCATCTGTTCAGCTCGCTGCACTTACCTGTCACAAAAACATGCCCTCTCCAGCTTCGGAAATCTCGTCGAGAAAACGCTCAAACTCTTCTTCCTTTGTCAAACGCAAGAGACTCCGAGTGGACCAGAACCTCGTCGAACACCCACTGCCGACTGTTGGACGTACAGTTGCAGTCACAGCCTCTCCAATACAAACCAGAAATCTCTCGACCTCGTTCACTCGACCTCATCATATCATTGCTAACATAGGGCGTAAGCAGTCGCAGAAAGCTCAAATCACCTATCGACCGCCACTCGCCGAATTGCCTTTGAAAAACTATAGAGCATCACCATATTCTTCGTCCAACTTACCTGAACAAACCAATATCCTAGAACATGTGCCTCGACCCGAAACTCCTGTAATCATTCCCCAAACTCCTTTCATAAAATCGAGCGATCTTATTTCTCAATTTCGACAAGGTTATGTTCAGCCACCTCTGAAACAAGTCACGGAACGTTCTCCGACTGTTTCCATTGCGGATGCTAGCTCCTCGCACCTTCCGTCTTCCCCTTACGTCTCAACAAATTCTGTTCAAATAGGTCCGAGAGTTCAAGCGCGTCGTACAATCGGATCAAAATCCAAGTTTAAACCTGCTATTAACGTTTTGGCACATGCCTCTCGCCTCCAGAATGCTGTTGCTGTTCATACTCCGTCACGGCCAACGACGTTTTCGAAGACCAATACAGCCCTCGCAGCGGCACCTATACTATTTACTCCTACCCCATTAGCGATAGCGTCCACGACCGACGTAGAACCCATATCAACTAATACGAACCTGGAACTGGACATCACTCCCTTGGCACCTCCAACTCTACGACAGCGACGTTCCCCCTTTGTGAGTGAAGCTTGACACGTGCATATATATGTACTAACTCTTTTCTAGCGAGAAGGCAGACGATTTATACCTTTGGATGATTCTGATACATCTGATGACGAACATCGCCAGACATAATTCTTGTAACTTTCATTTGTATCTACCTGTGTGCTTTTTATTCCTTCGTAATCGAGTTGCTAGCTTATAGGTTTTTGGGTGGATTGCTTGCTATACAACTTTCATGTTTAGTACATCGATGTACAATATCATACTATAGTTATTGGATGCCCTGAATTTGACCCAACCAAATCTCAACAGGAGCGCCTCCTGCTCCTCGCCTGTCTCCAACACGTTCGAAATGAATGCCAACATCCGCCGCCATCGACCACAAAGATCGTTCCGCTACATCGCGCTCCTTGTATCCTAGCAGAATGATAGGCAATTGGTCGATGGGATTGAGTCTGGTTAAACTACATAGGGTTCGGATTAAAGCACCAAAGGATGCAGTGTTGTAAGTAACATCAGCCATTCTATGAATCAGAAACAAAACAGGTAGGCTGTTAAAAGACCGCGGTCCTACAAAAGAACAGAAATTACATTATTGCATCCAGTTGTCCACGCAGGGCTTGTGTATAAAGCGGAAGTTCTTCGTCCCAATCAAGGATTTCTGGTATTGGACGAACAGCAGCCCGCGCGAACATATGGGAGTTCATGGACAAGTTATGCTCCAATAGCGGCATGGCAGAAACTGTAAACAGATAAGATACTTGTAGGGACTTTGGATGAACCAACGAACGACTCACGTAGATCTGTTGTTATTATGCAGCCATCGTCCTCTTTGACCTCACTCGTGGAGAGCACAGATCGAAGAGCTCCTAGTGTCAAAGAGACCACTCCCGTCCCTGCACCTACAAGATGATTATATTAAGGTTTGCTCTGATTAATCTGTTGATCTTACTCACCGAGTTCAATTATTTTCCTAGGACCCGGACTAAATAGGACATTCCTGAGCTGCGACGCAACGGAGGATGGTGAGTCTTGAACAATGTTGTTGACATTGTCGGCAAGAGCAACGAGCCATGAGCTAAGCCCAATGCCGCTGTCCCAGCTTTTCTACGAGTCCTTAAGCACGATCAGCATAAACACACTAAATGAAAAGAGTAAACTCACCTTGTCCAAATCGAAGGAAGTTTGCTCAGTGATTCTCAATGCCAGATCGACCCTTGACGTAGGAAAGTTCTGAGCGTTCGGCACAGTGAAGGAGTAATAGCGTTCAATCTTCTCCTGCTTTGCGCGATTTTGATTTGCATTTCTTGTAAATTTTATAGGCATGGATATGACCGGGAACGGGGTCTTTCCAAGATATGATTCTGCTCCAGACACATCTTCCAAGTGGATAGAATAGCGCTGCGGCATCGAAGATAGAATTAGTCTCCATGACTGTCCATCCCGAAGTCCTGGGGGTGAAGGTACAGTAATCTCTTTGTATGCATTTGTCTGTCTCCAAGTGGTCAATTCTACTGGCTTAGTGGCGTCGAGAAAGGTGCTGTTGGACGCCGGTAACCAAGAATAGAAAATGACCTGCGAGTCTTCAAGCGATTCGGTCCGGAGATCGTTTGCGATTTGGGGGATGATAGTGACTTGGGAAGAAGGCAAAACTTGTAAAGGCGGTGGGCGAAGGAAGGAGATGTAGTAAAACATCGTGAGAGTAAAAGACAAGAAAAAATGACACCTCAACTTCAAGGGACATAACGACAACGCCAATGCGTCAAAACGAATAATGATAAGATCTATTATGTAGGTACGGGTACATTTTGTTCTCATTCTTGACAGTGAACACACTGTCACCTTCATCATCGGACTAAATTATATGCTTAGAGATGCCCAACGTTGCCCAAGTCTTCGCAGGCCTCTTTAACACGTGCAGAGAGTGTCTTCTCTCCCTCACGAACCCAGACACGAGGGTCGTAGTACTAGATTTCAAGTCAGATCGCACAGGATAAAGCGATTGTATCGGCAAACCTTCTTGTTAGGCTTGTCAGCGCCCTCCGGATTGCCTACTTGACTTTGAAGGTATCCAGATTTGTTGGTGACAAAGTCCTAAACAGGAAAGCGTGGATATCAACCTTCGAGGCAAAGTACTTAGATAATGATTCACATACCCGTATACCGACGAGGTAAGCCCATTGGGTGTCAGTGTCAACATTCATCTTCACCACACCGCTCTCGACAGCAGTCTTGATCTCTTCCTTTGTGGAACCTGAGCCTCCGTGGAAAACAAGATACCTAAATAAGACATCAGGTTAAGGAAGTGCTTGCTGCCAATTTGGGTTATACTCACAAGGGCTTCTCCACCTTTCCTCCCAATTGCTGGCTTGCGTACGCCTGATGTTTGCCCAACAAAGTGGGCTGAAGCTTAACGTTACCCGGTTTGTATACACCATGTACGTTTCCAAACCCAGCAGCGATGCTGAAGTGGGGAGCGATTGCACTTAACGCGCTATAAACATCCCAAATATCCTCCGGTTGAGTGTATAGGCGGGAATTATCCACGCTAGTGTTATCGACACCGTCTTCCTCACCACCTGTAATGCCGATTTCCATTTCGAGCCAGATGCCCATCGGTGCCATACGTTTGAAATATTTGACACAAGTGGCAATGTTTTGTTCCTTAGGCTCTTCGGAAAGGTCAAGCATGTGAGATGAAAATAGAGGCTCTCCATGTTCTTTGTAGTAGGCTTCATCGGCCTCAAGCATACCGTCAAACCACGGAAGGAGCTTCTCAGCACAGTGATCAGAGTGGAGCACTACGGGACTATGAAGGATATAGTCAGGCGATCTCCAAAAGAATCAATAGTTTAACCAATACTACGTACACACCATACATAGGAGCAACAGTCCGAATGTGGAGCGCAGCCGCTTTAGCACCGGCGATGGAAGCCTGTTGCTTATCATTGGCAAGGCCTTTGCCTGCAAAGTATGCACTACCGCCTTGAGAGACTTGGAGTATGATGGGAGATTTGATGTCTCTGTGAGGACCTCACTTAATGATTTGCCACTAAAGAGGTCTAATGAAACTAACCGTGCGGCCTCTAAGCATGCGTTGGCTGTGGAAGAGGAAGTAACATTCTAGGGTACGGAACTATTAGTGATATCATCAAGACAAGAGGTATAGAACTCACAATCGCCTTATCAAGTATCGTATCGCGCAGAATCAGCAGCTGTCATTATTGTAATGGAATATAGAGTTAACGCACAGGAATAGCAAACTAGAAGGAAAGTAATGGTAAGAACAAGATGATACACATATCGAGATTTTCTCGCCTTGTGTTCTTTGGCGTAGTTGAATAATTTGACAACGTTTTCGCCAGTCAAAACACCAGCCTGGGATGTAACTCATCGTTCACTCATCAAAACAATCGATGGTACATAGAAGCTTACAGGTACGATGTCGAGGATCCCCATAGCACAGATAAGAATCGATGGATGATAGTGAGGAGAAAAAAGTATCTGGAACGATATTTATAAGACGGAGAAGGACGGAACGGGAAACATTCCATTTTAAGTAAGTGCATCTGGATTGGCCGCGCCTAACAAGCTAGTTCACTGTTCACTACTGTTCACTAGTACAATCTGGTAACATTGACTACAATATAGGACTGCATAATCGAAATCGGTACATCGATTACACGTTACTTACCCAAGACATGAATAAACAATTTCTCTGGCTGTTATATTACAAACTATGTATGACATTTTTGTCTTCTTCGTCGCTTTAGGTCCTCGCGTTTGATATTCAATGATAATCCGATTTGTGTCGAAAGTATCTGCCACAAATAACATGAGACTTATCTGGGTCAACCTTTGTTACACTTGTACACTCACTTGTGTCAAATTTGTGAGCGGCTGCAGGCCAGGAAAATCTTCTGCTGAGAAGACACGAAACACACCACCTGTGCATTGCGCTTGAATAATTGTATCTGGGTCCCCTGGAGTGGCAGATGGCAAGTCAATGAGCTTGTATCGCAGTCTGAACAAGCCCAGACTGAGGACATGTAGGTTCTATCCAGAGCCTAAACATCTGATTAAATCATCAAAGATGCTTCAGGACTCACAGAAAATACAAAAAGTAAATTCTTCCGACCATTAAACTCGATGAGATGAGGTCGTACTGTCATAATCCCAACGAGGGCATTAGAGGCCAGCGGGGCAATTTCTGATTCAGGTACTGGATGTTCTTCGAGTAACGAAGAGTCCTGTACATTGGTAGGCATCATGATGTGGTGATTACTTTCATACTCATACGAGCTACTGTGCGAACTAACCATCAGGAGAGCATGTTGTCCACTGCTGAGATCAGCAACTGGTATTAGCTCCGCGACACAGAGAAGACCAATCGTATCGATGTTTCTAGTATTATCGCAATCATATCAGCGGAGAAAGTACAACGCCAAAATACTTATCCTCCGCTTACTCGTCAGTGAGTATCTCATTTTCTTGGCCCATCATACTGACCTCGAATAGTTGAAGGGCAACTACAGGAGGTGGATCGAGTAGTCCTTTATCTACCTCCGTATGTCTGCGAAAGGAATCAAGGTCAAAAGCAGAAAGGAGGAGTACAGAAACTTACTTTCTTCCCAGCTCAGCATGCTGCAATTCATGTAATTCAGCTCGTATAATCCTTCCCGCCCACTGACCTGTATGAAAGTAGATGGCTTTGCCTTTCAAGCTGTCACCCGTAGCGTAGACACGATTGTCTAATCCCGGTCTAGACACTGTAAGCCCGTCTGTGAATGGCTGGTCTGGAGCTGACATTGGGGCTAGAGTTATTTCGATGACTGGGGAAATGTCTCGGTGCGAAACTCTCATATAACTTGGCAAGAAAAATAAAAATTCTGATTACGCTCAGAACTGCTCAGAATAAGTGAGACCTGGCCTATGACCGGATATCCTACCTCATTCTTCTTCATCTATCTTCCTCAGTTCTATTATCATCTATTTCTTCCCTCTCCTTATCATGACGACATATGAAGCCTTGGTGCAATAAATCTTCATTGTAGGTATATTGCGAGTCCTTAATGAAATAACCGAGGTAGCGCCGGCAAGCGGCAGTGCCCGCTACATCGCCCATATGTAAACCACTGCAATATATGGGTATGGGCACTCCCACCAAACTTTTCGTCCACTGCAATATTATTATACAAACAATGACCACTACACGCGTACTACTATTTAACAATGTCAAAAACCATATTCCACAACATTCACCAATGAGATGCCTGGACATGAAGAAGAAATACCTGATCTTGCCCTTTGTAATTTCTTGATCAATGTTGTTGTAGATCATTCCTCTGCATTAGTAGCATTACTTGAGAATACAATGCTAATTCCTGAGGACCAGACAGTTGTGCAGTGCAACAAAAACAAGACATACAGTGACAATCAACTCATTTTGTCTCGCGTTTTGCACAACAAGACCCATGCTTGCTACGCCTTTCTTTTGGTCAGTCTATTAGTTAAAATAAATTTTTGGACTGCTGTAAACTTGTAGATATGCACTTGTGCTCACATGTAAACTGACTGGTGCTTTTTGAGGTAGGGACAAAGTTTTATTCACCTGTTTGCAAGAAAGAGGGGGTGCTTTGTGGCCAGTCATCATTCTCACCAGGGACGGACATGGAACATTGTACACCAGATTTACAGTTACCAAATAAGCAAGCATTTAGCACAATATTGCAAGTTGGAGTCACTAGATGCACAGAGTGGCATTTGGAAGTAGAGGGTGCAAGAGCATTTTCACAAGTAATCAGATTATTGAACCCACAACAAGGGGAATGCCCATTCGGGCTGGCCAAATTTTTGGTGATTAATCCTTCCGAAACCATCAAACCACCCACATGTGGTTCACCTTGTAATTGTTCGGTGTTATGGACTGGGAAGGAGAGTACCAATGACAAAAGAATAAATAAGCAATGTAAATGCATTGGATAGAGGAAATCTCACTTTGAAAATTTGAGAAAGTTGAGGTGGCAGGTGAAGACAGCCCAAGTGCATTAACAGCAGAACTGATTTGTGGAAAGGAAGTATGAAAAGGCCTTGGATACAACAGCGTTACATCTTGCACTGCAGTTTGTGAATCTGATTAATAGTAGGCAAAACATTATAACAGGCAGCATGAGAAATGGACAATCAGCTGAAAGAACAAACCAGATGTAATTGTGTTGGCTGGGGTATTCATTGGAGGATTACAGGAAGAAGAGGTCAAGTAAGACTGTGAAGTATCAGAAGCTGCTGATTTGAATTCAACAAAACAGATATTGTTAATGCACAGGTGCACTGATTTGTGGATCCAACTATAAAACATGTAAGCAGCAATGATAAAGACTATTACAAATTAACCTACTAGATTGAGTATTCACAGCTACAAAAAGGTGTCAGTTAGAATGGAAAGTTAGAAATTAACTCTATATGCATGATATTGAATAGTGAGAGGGATAAAATCAGAGGCAGTAGATGACCTTCCAGTGATGACTGCACAAGAGGCTAATTGTCAAATATCTGAACACAATCAGAAGATTGACATTGTTGTTGGAATTTGATACCAAATATTACATCATAACCTGCTAGATCATTGAGAATGATAAAATCCAGAGGCAATGTGAAACTGAAATTGCTGAGACCAAAGTTAACAGTGGCAACAACAAAATCACAGTGCCAGTTGCCGAAATTTGCAGCACAAATATGTTGGGAATACTCTGTACATACACAATAACCTTGCTTCGACTTGCCTTTTCCGTAGACCGTGTTATTACCATATACTATACAGTTGCTAGTATATCACACGCAGCGGCAAACTCGTACACCTCAGTTGTTCTACAGTCAACTGAGGTGAGCTTATAGTCTATCTTATGCCAGCAGCCTGAGTACTAATTTAGCTCAGTTTAGTAGACACTAACAGATTATGAGACTCGCTAACGAGCTTGCCTTGTTTTGTGTGAAAGAGAAAGGAAGGAATCAACCAACCAATCTAATACACAATATGCAAGTTCACTGCTATCAAATTTATTTAATAGCAAGGGGTAGCATTGGCAAAGGTTCCGCAAAGCTTTGAGAGCTAAGTAAGAAGCTTCGATCAATCAATTTGAATCGTTCTAAGGATTCGATATATTCCTTTGATCAAGGTAGATTCAGCACGATTTGTGCTTTGATTGTATTGATACGGGTATATCAAGAATTGTGGGTTTGAATCAAAGTAAATTAAAAACCAAAACACACAGACCCCTACAGAGGGCTAGAACTATGTGCTGGCACAACCACACAGCGTGATTTGTCCTTAAGACCAACGACTGATTCTAAGTTCAAAGAATACCCAACAACTGGATATACTTCTCGCAGTCACAAGGAGCAGAACACAACATTCCTATACTCACAAGTGCCGGGCCCGAATGGCTGCTAGCGAAGAGGTTTCAGTCTGGCGGGAGTGTGTCTTTCCTTTTTATGGATTAGCACTGCAACGTCGTCCCAAAATCACTTGTATTCCAGATACATCGGATCGCTATTTATACATACAGAATATAGAGTCACACAGTACAATTAATTTAATACAATAAACGTTTGGAACCGCAAGGAAACTTCTACAATCGGTCAGATACCAGTTTAGTTTGAATCTTCATGTCCTTATTTGGTCCATAATGGTTCCAAGATTCTAGTATACCTCCAAACATAGGTAGGTACTTCGATGTTTATTTAATTTAATTGTTTTGGAGAATGACTCGAATGGTGTTCAGCTGTTGTTGCTGTTCAACACTTAGTTCGATCATTTGTCACCTTGTCTGGAGGCAAATCAGCTCTCCTCGATTCTAATCCTATCAATCTGATTCATCTGGATTAAACTAATTGCTTCTCTCTTTCAATAGACACCCATTGTGCCTATACTCTTTCAAGGGAGTTGCGCATAGTATTCATTTAATTGCATTCTTCAATATTTTCTACATCAGGACTCTTTGACATTCATTTGATATGTCTTCGGAGCCTCGCAGTACTTCGATCGTTCTTCTAGTCATTTTCCTCAACCATGCAACTTGATTGGTCCATTAGACTAAATCGCAGTCTTTTAGATTAATGCATGATCTCGTTCTAGAAGGAGTATTTGATAATCCCTGAGTTCTAGAAAGTCATTTTGAGTCAATCCTCGGCTCATGGTCACTTGAGTAAGTTCTTCCAAACTCCTGCCAGTGTAAGGTCCAATAAGAATACCCTTAGTATGTCATACGTGAATGGTCATCCTTCGGATGTAGTCCAAGTCTGGTATAATCCTGCTTGACAAACAGGTAGACTGCTATCCGAAGGTAGTATTGGGGATGGGTAAACTAACCAACTTGTGGTAGTATGGGTATATGGTCCCTTCAACTTATTAGACTGATTCAGTATTGACTTTGACTGTCAATCTGGGTCTCAATTACAGTCCTCTCGATACAAATCTATACGTGAAAATGTCACAATTCACAGCATAGACATCTAGCCAAAATTTACGCATGTCATCGCACTCTGAAGTAGAGAAGAAAAGCAGCACATTGAGACAAAGAACTTTAGCCCAGAGGTACTACAAAAATAATATATCATTTGGAAATAGCCCAAATATACCGGGACTCCCGGATGAGAAACAGCTCATCGGTGAGGATAACTGCAGGCCGTTTAAGCATGAAATTATGTTCGCAATACAATCAAGAGGACTCAATGGGTACCTAGATGGAACAATACCCAGACCAAGCAGCTACCCTGGACTGATATACCCATCCACTCAGACCACCACACCCCTGTTCAGTGCAACTCCATGCCCGGAAGAGTGGGAACTCCATGACAGGCTAGTAGCTGGGGCCATCATCTCCAACATTACGGACCCCATTGGCTTGGGTGTAGACGAAACGAAACAAGCCTCTGAAATATGGCTAGCTCTAGTGAAGAGGTTTGAAAAGCGCAACAAACAGTGCATACACCTAGCAGATACGAGTCTTCGACAAGAAAAGTACGACCCAGCGTCAACTACGGAGGACTATGAGAAGAGAATGCAGAACCTCCTCAAAAAGGTCCTGTCATGCCCTGGCTACAACCAGACCCGTCCCAGTACCAGCCACCATCTCCTATCGACCTCTACACCTTCCCAAGTACCACCATACACCTCCCCAATCCCCAAATACCACCATGCACCTCCCCAATTATCACCATTCCCCTGACATACCTACCCAAATGCCCTGACATTCACCCCGATACACATACAACACCCTCCTAATAGCCAACCCCTTTAAGTACTAAATCTCAATTAGCTGCCTCATGTTTCCAGATGTTCTCTTGTTCACTTCCTGTACCTACTTAAGTAGCGCCGCAACGTCCAGAAGCCCCAGCTTGGTATATTTTGAACACACACCCTTTTGCATAGGTCCAGTCCCTGTCCCTTTGTACCTGCTAACTATATGGATTTCTGTTTACTCTCTGTTTCCCTATCTCTGTTTCTCTCTACTCTTGTATACTGTCTCTACGATCGTCTATATGGTCAAATATACACTTTTACTTCATGTCTAAGCAATCTGAGTGAGTCTCCGAGCTCCCCAACGCCTAATGCCTTGGTGAGCCAACCTCCCCAATTGCTCTACAAGCTCCGGGACCTCAATCTAGGTAACGTCGAAGCTACCCCCTACATCGAACTACGTGCCGCTTCTCCTTTACCACCTCCAACACTCGAGGACGTCTACCCCTAAGCCCCAGTTCCCGGGACCTCCCCTCCCG